GGGTAGAAGAAGGAGTGACAAAATTGATTGCATGTACAGATTCGTTCTTCTTCTTGCCAGCAGGCTTCTTGAATGAGACCCCAGCTTGGGAAGACTGTGCTATCTTCCACTCCTCATCCCCTGCTCTACTCTTTCCCCTACAGTGACTATGTCTGAGAAAAGGTTGGAGATACTGGCTATTGCCTTGTCGTAGTACGCTCCAGTCAGTGAATCGATGAACATAGCCACTGTCTCCTTATCTGTCAAAGGAGGCTCTATTTGGGCAGCCATTTCCCTCCATCTTTGGGCGTATGCTTTGAAAGGTTCGTCGTTCCTTTTGTTCAGAGTCCTGAGATCTGACCTATCAAGAGTCAGATCAATGTTGTATCGGTAGCGACGAAGAAAGGCATCAGCCAATTGTTTCCAGCTCTGGACTTGCCCTCTCTCTAGCTGCATATACCAATTGAGAGCTGTGTCCGCCAGACTCTCCTGGAAGCAGTGGATCAGGAGTTTCTCGTTCTCAGCATTGGCGGCCATCTTACGACAATACATCATAAGATGGTTCTTTGGGCAGGTCATCCTGGCGTACTTGGGGAAATCTGGGATCTTGAATTTGGGAGGGAAGTGGATATTCTTCACTAGGCACATGTCCGCCACCTCCTTGATGTCGAAGTTGTGCCCTTCTACTGCTTTGAGCCTCTCCTCCAGGGCGGAGAGTTGTTGTTTGGACACTTCTGGGGGTAAGGATGCGTGCAGTCTTAGCATCCTTCCCGTCATAGAAGTATTCCTCTTTCTCTTCCTCATGGTGAGGAATGTGTTCAGCTTGGTCTTCGCCCTTACTTTGACCCTGGCTGACGACCTCCATTAGTTGGGCCACTTGCTCGCGGAGGGTGTTGACCTCCGCAGTGAGCTTTCGATTTTGTTCCTCTAAATTTTCCATTGCTTTTGCTTTCTGTGTGCGAGTGCGAGTGGGGAGAGGACCAACCACTTTCTAGAATGCCCGAAAAAGGTTTATTAATGCATGTTGAGTGTTTTAAACTAACATGCATGAGAGATTCTGTTTGAATGATGCTGAATGTGCTCTCATTTTTTATTTTCTCTCTTGGTTTTTCTTTACTCATGATATGAATGATTTGACTTTGTCAGAAGTTGATTTGCTCTATTTTTTTAGTATATATATTTTATGTTTTATTTTTTATAGCCTTTTATCTCTTCTGTCGGAACTGCGTGACTACTTAGCTTATAAAGAACCTGAAACCAGGCTAGCTAAAAGGCAGACTGTCCGAGATAAAATGCGGCTTTATGCGAAAGAATATTTAGCGTCCCTTATCTCTTCTGTCGGAACTGCGTGGCTACTTAGCTTACAAAGAACCTGAAACCAGCCCCCATTATAGGGTGCCCCCATTATAGGGTCCCCACTCTCCAGCCTTCTGACCATGCTTAGCACTAAGGCCATAGTCAGTCTTGTTGCCAAAAGAGGAAGGTTATCACCTTGAGTGGTGATTTCCGATCACACCGGTGGGCACAAGGCCATCACTACAGCGAACCGTACCTGCCACCCACTCCCTTTGGTTTTCTCACTTGCCCCCGGGTATAGAGGGAACTATTGTGTGCAAGGGTTTGTGTACAGTTTGTATTTCACACAATTGCGTAAGTATAAACAAGCAACAGTTATTTAAAGTCAAACCGTAAAACATGTTATAATACAAGGTAAGGGCAAAAGCGTTATTTTCTTGGTTTATTTATTTTATAAGCCGGCCCATCACTAAATGGGATCAACTCTCGAGGGTTCCCCAGTGAAGTCGTCATCTATCGCCGCCGTAAAAAAAGAAGAGGCGGTCAGAGCGACGCGATGGTTTCGACCCTCTTGATTTTCGCGTTTTTTGTTGGTGGTTACAACGCCTTTAGGTTGTCCGATAACCGGGCTGAACCTAGGGGCGAGGTTTTCGAAAAGACGCTCTTGGATTGTCCAATAACCGGGCTAATCCAAAAGCTAGTTTTGAAAGATTCTGTGGAGTCGCCACCGATGTTTTTACCGGAAACATCGGAAAAGGAGTTAAAAGGCGTTGGTTTTCGAAAAACCAACTTTGGTCGTTAGAATCAGAGTTGGGTAAGGGAGTTAGTTACGTATAAAGGAAGTGTTAGTTCCTTTATGACGCCCCTTTCGGGTTCCCTATGATAGGCCAGCTTTATGTAAATAATTAAACCGGAAAAATACGCTTTTACCCTTTTATTTGTGGAATTAAAATTATGACTACATGGCCCTAGCTTCTATTGCATAATGAAGATTAAAGCAGTAAAGTAAAGAGAGAAAGTATAGAAACCTCCGAGGCAAGCTTTTCTATTTAATTCTTTAATAACTTGGGTGCTTTTTGGCAGCCCTTCACTCTACACAGCTTCGTAAACCTCTTGAAACGCTAAAAAATACTCTTAGAGACGCTCAGAAACTCCGGAAATGCTTCGAAGGGGTTCTAGAGAGAGAAATTCTAGAGAGAAGGAGGAGAAACTCTGTGTGGTGTGTGAAAATGAGAGGAGGGAGCCCCCTATTTATAGTTTTTCGCGCCTGACAAGTCGAGACCGTTGTCTCGTCTGACAGGATCGAGACCGCCGTCTCGCCTTCGCAGGTGGCGAGACCGCCATCTCGCCACTTACATGAGGCGAGACGGCGGTCTCGTCCCCTAAAAGGCGAGAAACTTTATTTGCGTGCCGAAAATCCCTCCTATCCTAGTATGTGGCCTAATAGTCTCTCCTAGTGGCTTGTTAGGCTTCTTCCATCTTCGAATAGGAGGTCTTCTACTCTTTATTTGGAGGCGGGGCAAGATTTGAGGTCTACACTCGCAGTTGTCGATATTGCAGACATATTCCCATTATGACCTTGCCCCCCAGTGTTTGGTGGATGTGAACCATTCAGAACCTCACTGTTACTCGGATTATTTGGTGGATGACTCATTCTTATCACTCGCTTACTCCTTAATCTCATATACTTTCGAACTAACCAATTTTGTGTTTTTCGACACAAGCTACCCCCTACCTGGTGCGCCAATTTGTTTCTGGTGAAAATTTGATTGATTTTGATTTTATGGGAAGTTGAGTCCTAATCAAATCTCGACCATGTAGATTCTTTTTACTTAGGTTAACAACTAGTTTTCAATCGAAAAGTGCATGAGAATCGAGAATCTTATGAATGCAAACAACATTACTTAAAACACAAATCGAAAGTGCTATTTTTGGTATTTTTTCTTTAAGAGACGCGAAGTAAAGAAAACAGTAAAAATATCGAATCGAAAGATAGTGCAGAATATTAAATTGCAGAAAATGTAAAGTGCGGAAACCTCAAAATTGCACTAAGTGTAAATGGCAAGGAATCGAAAATTGCAGAATTGTAAATAAGCAGAAAATCGAACTTTGCAGAAAAATAGACAACCGGAAATCGAAATTGCAAGAAAGAGAATAACAGGAAATCGAAATTGCATAAGTGTAAATAGCGAGGAACTTAAATGCAGAATCAAAAAGTAAAATAACATATAATTAAAAGTGCAGAAATTTAAATTGCATCAAAGGAAAATTACATGAACATAAATTACCAGGGAAAGTAAAGAAAGCGATAAAGGCAGTCAATGAAAATGGAAATCCAGATCGCCAGAAACTTCATGATTTCGTCGTTCTCCGGTAGACTTTTCACAAACGCTTCTGTTTTCTCTGCCAATTCCCCTTTTTTCCTTCATCTTTCGCTCTATTTATAGAGCATCCTTCAAGTAATCTCTTAGGAGCAGTTAACGAAAACTGCTACCACGTCCTGCGTGCACGTCTTTTGCAGTTTTACTTCTAGCTCTACGGTTAAAAAATTGCATTCACGTTCTCATGCATGAGGTAACTGCTCCCTTGACCTTCGACTTCTGCCACCACTTACCAAGTTCTATGTGCACGTCAACTGTTCATCTCTTTATAACTTAACCAAAATTCCGATAGTAATGTAGGTTAGCCTTTCCCTCGATTTCGATTCCAAATCTCGAGAATTTTGAATTACTTCTGTTTTCACTTTGTTTCTTAACATTACTTTTGACTTTAATTTCTCGATTCTCTTCAACAAATAGACATTAAATATTCCTCCTTCGATGTTTGGTTCTAATTCTCGATATCTTTTCACTTCATCAGTTTTTAACCAATCATATGATCTTCGATTTTTCTTTCCTTCATTTTTCGATTCTTTTAACAATTTCCTACTAAAAAACAAATGAATAATTAATACACAGCAACATATCACGATTTATGAAGCATCCAATTTACCCCATAAAATTTTTTATGATAAAAAAAAAACGAGTGTAAAAGGATATATTACACGAGTAAAACGAGAAAGAAAGAAACAAAAATAGACAATGCTTTAATGGGTTTTGGGGACATAGTTATAATTATGCTTGAGCCAAACACGCTGAACCCGGATCGGGTCGGGTCGGATATCCGCGAAAAGCGTGTACGTTTGTGTTAAATGTTTGACCCGTCACGTTAAAGTTTGGAAGAGAAACTGGAAAAAGAAAAAGGTGAAAACAAAGAAAAGAAAAGGGAGAGGCAAAGGCAAAAGCGTTTTGGGAACATCGAAATTCGAAGCTGCATCATGCATTGTTGTGGCATGGCATCATCCACAACATAGCATAACATAACATAACGACTTTGAAACGCCTTATTTTAAAGTTTCAGTGGAGCTCACATGCGGGCCCCACCCCCACTAATTATTAGGTGATCAAAAGGCGGTGCACATGTTATGCAAGGCCTCGCACCACCACGCCTTTTATCGCCTCTACCTTGTCAATCACGCCCTATTCTTTAACGGTGTAGATACGCGTGGCCCTCAAGAGATTCTGTGAGCCTTTCCGCATCTTATAATAACCCTCCAACTAGCTCCTAGGGAGAGAAAACCTTGTATTCTCCAACAATTCGAACAAGAAGTAGTAGAAAGCAGCGCATTCCTCGTGAGGGTCTCCGTCTCGGGTTAGATCCGCTGCCACGCGGTGGCGGAGGTTAGAATGACTTCCGACGGAGCAACCTCGGCGGCCGCGGCAAATCGGAGGAAGCCTTCGTGGAGGGAAAGAGAGAACAACCGGAGGAGAGAGAGACGGAGGAGAGCCATAGCGGCGAAGATATACACTGGCCTTAGGGCCCAGGGGAACTACAATTTGCCCAAACATTGCGACAACAACGAGGTTTTGAAGGCTCTCTGCGCCGAAGCTGGCTGGACTGTTGAAGAAGACGGCACCACTTATCGCAAGGTACTCTTCTTCTTCTTCTTCCTTCTATCAACTTGCTTAATTTCATAGAGATCTCACTTTTCCGAGTTTGCATCTGGCGTTCACCGTTACTTTAATGCGTAAAAGTCTCACTGATTAGTTTCTTTATTTTTTATTTATATATCGTTTTCTCGTGTACGTGAAAGAGAGAGAAAATTGCGTTGTTCTTTAGTCCAATTAGGTAACACATGAACCAACAAGGAAATTTTTCCTCTACCAATGATGTGCGTGTTTGGATTCACGCTTAATTGTCTAGAATAAAATCGCCTTTAATTATCTAGAACTTGAATAATCACTTTTAAATATGAATTAACGCGATCTTAACTTTTTTTGTGTTTAGTGTTTTGTTTTACAATTGGGAGAATTGATGTTGACTTGAAACAAGTTTTGCATTTAATAAACATGCTAGTTTTTTGTGTGTTTAGTAAAAAAATTGCATTTAATACGAATTTTGCTAATTTTGGGATAACAAAATTTAAATATAAACCGCTTAATTTCATGATCTATTTTTAGTAAAATCAATTTCACTGAATTGCGCGAACCGTAAGTACACGAAATCGTGTTGGTGTGTAATTGAGCAAATTTGGGATGTCTAGTATAGACATATGTATATATATGTGCACTGATTTTGTTTTTTCTATAAATATATATTTTGTCGAAAAGATATATCTACTGATTTGGTTTTGGGTGTTTGATGATTGTTTGCGGAATAGGGATGCAGGGCACCAGCTCCGGGTGATGGTGTAGGCACCTCCACCAGAAACACCCCTTTTTCGTCACAAAATCCGAGTCCCCTTTCATCGTCTTTTCCGAGTCCAATTCCTTCGTACCAAGTGAGCCCCTCCTCCTCCTCTTTTCCGAGCCCTTCTCGTTTGGATGAGAACAACGCGTCAAATTTGATTCCCTATATTCGACATTCGTTTTCTGCTTCTCTCCCTCCTCTGAGGATATCAAATAGCGCCCCTGTGACCCCGCCTTTGTCCTCGCCAACTTCAAGAAACCCCAAACCAATCCCCACATGGGACTCCATTGTCAAAGCCTCCATGGCATCATCCTTCAACCATCACCGCCAAAATCACCCTTTCTTCGCGGCTTCTGCCCCTGCTAGCCCCACACACCGCCACCTTCATGCCCCGCCCACTATTCCCGAATGTGACGAGTCTGATACCTCCACTGTTGAGTCTGGGCAGTGGTTGAACTTCCAAGCGTTTGCACCTCATGTTTCTGCAGTGCCCATCTCTCCCACCTTGAACTTTATCAAACCTGTTGTGAGCCAGCAGCAGAAGCAGAACCTCAACCTCCCTGATAACAGAATCCAAGAGATGAGAAACTCGGAAGTGCAATTTGGAGTGCAGGTGAAGCCCTGGGTTGGAGAGAGGATTCATGAAGGGGGATTGGATGATTTGGAGCTTACACTAGGAAGTGGGAAGACGCTTTCTTAGGCTGCAAGTAAAGCTGTTTCTTGCGGGTTATGTCCGAGCGAGACCCTAAAATTGTTCATCCAATTTTGGGATGTTGAAACTTGAAACTCAAGTAATTGTTAGTAGATGGCCATGCTCTCTTGCTGCAGCAGCAGTTCGTATGTAATCACATACTTATTACTGGAATTGGCTAGTATCAGATGCTTGGGCACTTTATGTTTTCAGTTGTTATGCCCAAAACCAAGACTCTTATTTAATTTTTTTAACGGATTTTTTTTTTTTATAGTTTAAAGGATTTCAATTTTTAAACATAAAAAATATTAATTTATTTTGTTAGGTTAACTGTTTTTTAATTGGATCCTTTTCTCCTCACCCTTCGTATCTATCCAAAACATGCTTGTAAATGCCCAAGAGTAATAAAGCTACTTATGAACCGTTTCTTACTAGAGCAATTAAATAATGCAAATGCAATCAGATTGTCTTGTTTGATGGACTTGATTCCAATCTGATTTCAGTCTGTCAGAATCACAAAACCCAACTTCCAAATATAATTTTAAATCGAACTAAGATAGGTAACCATTAACCTCCTCACAGATTTCGTACTTATTATAGACATTAAAAAATTATCGATTGAAGTATTTAAAAAAAAATGTCAAACTAATTCATTTCCAAACATGATATAGGTTTGTGCAGTGAATGAGGAGAACCAAGAAATTTGCCCGAGGAAACCATGCATGATAAGCAAGGCAAGGACGAAGACATTAAGCACCGATGCATAAACCCCCCAGATGGGAGTTTCTAACCATTCTCCCTTGTCATGGAATAGGTTATATATTTCTGATAATAGTATTCGAAAAATGTTGATGAATATAAGCGCATAGTGGGACATGGAAGCAATGCATTATCAATACTACAGGGTGGCAACACTAAGTTGGAAATTTATTGCAGAACACCGAAACAGATTAGAACAACAACTTATCAGCCAAGTGTAGTACAAGAAACATGCACCTTCACATGGGAACACCAATAACAACATGAGGCCTATCATTTTCTGGTTAGGTTAGGTGACGTACAACCATATTAACAAAAAATAAAATTATAGCATACAAAACAATCAATTATAAGTAAAATGACAATCGACTATGCCTTCAGTCATTTTGTACCTTCAATCAGCTCCGAAGTTTCATTTTTATTCTCCTTAATCTCAGTTTTAAATTCGTTTTTGGTAGTCACGTTGCATTCCCGGTGCCTGAAGCATGTCAGTAGATGGTCATTCACAAGTCCCGCCACTTGCATGAAGGAATAAACTACAGTGGGTCCCACACATTGGAAACCTCTACGCATCATGTCCTTGCTAATGACTTCTGCTTTTGGAGTCTTCACAGGTACTTGACGTCCATATCTGAATTCATTTCTGATTGGTTTATGGTTAACAAATCTCCAACAGTAATTGCTAAACGAGCCAAACTCCTGCTGAACCTATAAATGGATAAATCAATAACCATGTGATTTTGAGATGCATTGCTTCTGTCTTTCCTTACTTTAAAATTCAAATATTCACTCATAGAAGTTCTAATATATTTGCTAAAAAAGCAGCTTTTAAAATTACCTTAAGTAACTGCTTAGCATTTTCCACAATGGCACGGAGCTTTGGTTCTGATAACAATGAGTTGTCTTTTATTTTCATTGTTAGGAGTTTCTTTTCAGTAAACTGTGCGACCGATGATGGGTCAAAATTGTCAAAATGCTTCCTGTGACATGTTAAATACTAAGAGTCAGATAATACGTATTCACATGAAGTGTCACGGTTTAAAAAATTTGGTTGATTTAGAGATAGACATACCTGAATATGTCCCTCTGGTTAAGAATTGTTGGCCAACGATGTTCTGCCAATGCTTGAGAAAATATCAGAAGCTCAAATAGCTTTGTATCATCGTTAACGTGAACACCCCATTCTTCATCATGGAAAGCAATGTATAGGGGATCTGTTTAGAAATATAATTGCTTGAGAAGGTAATCCTATCAATGGGGTCAGGTAAATTTAAGAGTATAAAAGAAATTGTTAAGTGATCCAAACAATAATTTTTAGATAACTTACATTTATATTTTTAATTTATTAAAAACTAATAATATTTAAGTATAGACTGTAACTTAAAATTAGTCCAAAGTACAGAAGCACTTAATAAACACACACTTATATTGGAAATTTAGAAAAATCACATAAAAAAGTATACAAACATAAAATCCGAAGCTAAAGTGAACTTTAAAAGTAAAGAGGCAACGAGGATAACCAACTAGAAAACAAAATCAAATCATATACTTTCAGATGCCTTTCTCCATAATTCCGTTGGGGGAATTCTGCCTCTGATTTTTAGCTATAGAAGCACATTGCATGGAAAGTTAGTAGAACAAAAGAGTGAAAGCCCATTTCTCATTGACGAGATTCATAAAGGTGTGTGGTAAGAGCTATAAAGCTCAAGACAACACTTTAAGAAGTAGCACGATAATGTGACTTAATGTCCATACTTTAAACGGTAGTTGTCCTAGCTGACCATGCTCTATTAATTATTTAGCTCAACACAGTTTATGATGATGCTAGGTGCAGAAGATGAAGCACTGCAAGGATTTCAAATCCTGAAAATTACAGTTGTTTAATCCAGACATCCAGTTCAGCAATATCCAGGAAATAAAGTTTTTAGAGCTCTTATTTTTTTTAACACTCTCTCTATTTAAATATAAGCAAAAACAAATATCATTTAGAAACAATGATCATATTTATTGGCTTAAATATAAGTAAATTTTTATTTTTTAAACCTGATTTATTGCAACTATTTCAAAAACATCTCTGTCTTTAAATTTAAAGATGATTTTCAATAAATATATTGAAAAGGTAACTTAGGAAAAATATCTCTTTATTATATGAAAATTAAAATATTAAATAAAATTAATTTTATTCTTAAAATTAATTTTGCTTATAATTAGATTTAAACATTGTTCCATGTAAAAAAAAAGATATCTAATAACTACTACAGAACAAAACCAATTTTCGAACATAAATACTATGAGAAACGTCGGAAACAGTTGATATGGGTATGGAAATGCGGTTTCTTCATGACTATGGCATCACTCGATAAACATTTACAATCACAATAAATATATATTGCTATACAAGTCCATTAAATTTCGATACTAGATGGTAAATATGTGTTTTTTTAATGGTCCTACAAAGTCATTCATAAATTACATGGTTATAATTTAAAAAATATACAGTATTTTAGATTTTAATTAAACTAAAGACAAATATCTTCAAAAAATAAAATAAAAATACAAACCCAATCTTTTCTTGGCGTAATGGTTTTTACTTAAAACCGACATTAACAAAACTATTTTATTTTTAAAATAATAAATAATTAAAATAATTAAAATAAGGTAACCTAAAAAAACTCATATTTCATATTTTATCATCGTATTAGTCTTTAATAAATATCATTAAATTCATTTATCTCGTAAACTCCTAAACTCTTCATATTTTTATATTTCTAATTATCAAAAGATGTTGTAACCAAATTACTAAACAAATTCAGGCTATAAAAAATAAACTGACACCAAGACTAATTTGTCAATGTATTAATTATTCAAAATATTTATTTGACGGATATTTTTCAGAAAACTTACATGACGATTTAAAATTGATCAAAAATCAGTGGTCCAAAGACTACACTACGCAATTAGAAGCAACACAAGTATGTTAATATAATGACTTAAATATGTTTGAGATTTGATTTTAGGCTCCCAAACAAATATTTTTTTCCATTCATTATTCTAACATTTGATCCTAAATCCTAAACACTATTTAGGTTAAACTTAAGTGATTATTTTGGGTTGTGGTGGTTTCGGTTATGAAACAATATTTCTGTATTATTAATGAATCTTATATAAACTAAAAATAATGATTTGAAAATTTTAAAGGATGAAAGACAAAAAAATTCGATACATATTAAAATCAAATTTGGACATATTATTTATAAAAATCAAAAACAAATTTTATGGGAGAAAAAGAAAGATATTTTGTTTTTTCGGACCTAAATTTAAACCCAAACTAATAATAAATACATGTTTATGCCTTGAAAATTGGATAGATGCTGTTCAAATTCTTATTTTAATACAAAAATCGAAACCAGTTAGTTAATTTTTGACCCTGAAAAAAGTTGAAGATTCTCTTCTGAGTGTGTGTGAAGCACGCTTACCGGAATGTGGAGTGATCCATTCACATCTCTTGGGAGGTGGAGACACGGTAGTAGCTACGTCGACGGCGTCGGGAACAACCCTAACCGGCTTAAACCCGTTACGCTTCACGCATCTCCTACTTGCAGTCGGAGGATTCACCTTTTTGGCTGATGAATTGCTTGAACATGAATCCGAGGAACACGTGCTGTCCAAAGACACGTTGCTTTGCACAATGGTGTTAGGAATTTGCGGTGCCAGGTTTCTCGGGCGCTGTGGAGTCTTCGCGTGATTCTCCTTCTTGTGTTTCGGCACGTTGTCCAAAGAAACAACCGCCACTCTGTTGCCGGCGGGTTTCAGAACGGCTCGCGGTTCGGAGGGCGGTGGAAGCTTCGTGGCGACCGGCATTGTAAGTGTTTGTTTGTTGGATTTGATTTGGAATTTTGGGTTTTTGAGGCGAGATGAATATTTGAATCTATATATCCTGAAAAATAGTGGAAGTGAGTAAGGATGAAGTTTAGTTTAGGCGAAAGGTCACAGTCACTGTTGTTCAGTAACGTTAAAGGAATTGGTGTTGGGTTTGTTGAGAGAATTGGCCTTGGTTTTGTTTGTTGTAGTGTACGGAGGTTGGGTTGCTTTGTTTACCGTTAAGAAAAAGAATCCAAAGGCTCTCACCCTCACCAAAAGGCCACGTAATGGCGTTCGGTGTTCTTTATCCAACGGTTGTCACAACATTTTCTCTCAACATGGGCCGGGCCCAGCCTTTTCCATTCATGGCCTAAATAGCGGCCCATTTTAAACTCTCACCTGTACCACCCTTTCTTTTGACTTTGTAGAAAGACAAATATTGCTCGTTATGTTTTGAAATTATACGTAAAAATTAAAACTATTTTTTTCATGACTTAGTTTATAAAATAAGTATTAATTTTTTATATTTAGTAGTAATTTTTTTTTTAGATTAAGTAATTTAACCTTTTGATCCAACACATACCGACTCATACCTGACAAATTGTAATAATAAAAATAGGAGAAATATTTTATTTTTTCTATAGTTATGTTTTTAAAAAGATATTTTAACGAGAGTTTATTGAATTTCATCATAAATTATTGTTTTCATTGGTTGAAAAAGGGGGAAAAGCTGACGTTTTTACACCAAAAAAGAAAACAGTAGCCGGACGTGGATGAGGATCGCGTGAGCACTTTCCGTCAGATCCGCATAGCCGAATCAAATCAAAACATTGAAACGCAAGAATCGCCTTCTTTCCTTTTCTCCGTTGCGTCTCTGCATTTCCCTTCCCTCTCTTTCTAAAACCCTAAATCCATGCATGGAAGGGAAAAACCATTGAATATTCAACGATCGCAGTAGCTTCACCGTTTGATCCAACATGGAGTCCGAGCTCAAAGACCTAAATTCCAAGCCTCCCAACGGGAGCACCGCTCGAGACGACCGTCCCCTCCTCAAGTCCGAGTCTATCGCCTCCGCCGACAGCATCTCCGAGATGGAGAAGAAGTTCGCCGCATACGTCCGCCGCGACGTCTACGGCACCATGGGACGCGGCGAGTTACCGGCGAAGGAGAAGCTCTTACTAGGTTTTGCGTTGGTCACTCTTCTCCCAATCAGAGTCCTTCTCGCTGTCACCGTATTGCTCCTCTATTACTTAATTTGTAGGATTTGTACTCTCTTCTCTCCGCCCAATCGCGAAGAGGAACAAGAAGATTACGCTCACATGAGTGGGTGGAGGAGAACGGTTATTGTTTCATGTGGACGCGCCCTCTCCAGATTCATGCTCTTCATTTTCGGCTTTTATTGGATTCCCGAATCTAACTATGCTTCTCAGGTTATTTTATTTGCTTTGTCTTTTTCGCTTTCTCAGTTTAGCGTTATTGACTTTTAATTGGGATTCAATGCACATCCATGACCTCAAGTTTAGCTCACTGTTTAGTGTTAACTAGTATAAAAGTAAGAGCACTCGGTATTGTTTTTAGGATCATAAGGATGATAAATATAAGTAAAACTTAGATACGGGACTTTTCTCCAATCAGATTTAAAGTTCACCGGATAAATTATTTATGCTACTGTATCCAAGTTTTGTCCTAAATATAATTATTCTCATACTATCTCTATCTATGGTATGTTTCTGCTTGTTTATTGTTTTCTGAATGGCATGGATATTACTTGCGGAATGAACAGAGTATTGGTTTGAAAAGGGCAAACCTGTTGTTTAATATTCATTTTCAGAGAGATATTGCATGATATTCCTCCTTCTTGTTTTCTGTGTAAACAAGACTTCTTGTTTTCTGTGTAAACAAGACTTCTTGTTTTCTGTGTAAACAAGAAGTCTTGTATGCTGTTCAATTTAGAATAACAACTTCTAATAATAGAAAATGTCATTTACTCACGAATTGTATTTCTCATTTCTTGTCAAAGTTATTTGAATTGTGTGTCGTTGGAACTGAAAAAAAGGATTTTGTTCATTTTTTCTTTCCTTTTTCTAGTATTTTCTGTACGTGGTTTGCTAGTATGGCTCACAGAGAAGTAGTGCCTCCCTTTGTTTTCCATTCTTGAGAGGAATTTTGAGATGTATTTTAGCAGATATTAGATGACATGTTTTTAGGCATCTTCCTCCATTATATTTTGCAATAAAAAAAATATTATGTATTCGTATTTGATTTTAGTTCTTCCTCTGTTCTTCTTTTTATATCAATTTGAGAAGGATGACAAGCAACAGCCTGAAGAGTCAGAGAGACCTGGTGTAATAATATCTAATCATGTGTCATACCTGGATATCTTGTATCACATGTCGTCCTCGTTCCCAAGTTTTGTTGCTAAGGTTTGTGTTGTGACAATTTTTTCGCTCTATGACTAGCAGAATATGAATGCATCTTTTACGTATCTTTGTTACTGACTTTTTTTTGTTTCAAATATTGGATTTCATTGATGAAGAGATCCGTGGCTAGACTTCCTTTTGTTGGTCTCATCAGGTCAGTTGGCTTAAATTGGATTATTGCAAACTTATATCCCATTGCTTCATTTGAGTCCTTAAGATCTTGACATGTTCTGCCCTTTACTTTCTCCCCGCAAATCTCCATTTAAAATTGATCTATCATAAGATTATTGATCATATAGATCTGAAAATGGGAATGCTATTTCATTTGATTCACAATATGCATTATCTTTCCATTATGAGGGATTATTCAAAAATCGTGCTTATATATTTTGGTATGTTTGACAACAGTAAGTGCCTTGGTTGTGTCTATGTTCAGCGGGAATCAAAGTCACCGGACTTCAAGGGTGTTTCAGGTGCGTATGTACTGGTGTATGAATATGCACTTTATAAATAATATTGACATTATGTACTGGTGTAAAATCCATTGCTTTAATTCCTTGTCCTGTGCTTTGTCTGTTTGGAGGTATCACACGTTTGACTGACATTCCAAATTCTTTAAATTGATTATAAACCAACATTAATTCATCTTCATTTTCCTTGGTCTTTATTAATTTTATTTGTTGTATTTGAATTTCCCTTTTGGCTTCCAAATATACTCTTGCTATTTGTCTCTGTTTAGAGGGCATGTGTCCTGTTATGCTTATTAGTTAGTCAAGCTAGGATTTTAAAGCCCTGTTTATTATAAATTATATTAAGCGTTATTACTTGTGTCTAAATTTAATCTTATGCAATCTTTGTTCTGGAACGTAATCATTGATCAGATCTCTAATGAGGCTAACATGTGATTTTTCATTCTGCAGCCATTGTCACTGATAGAATTCGAGAAGCTTATCAGAATGAGTCTGCTCCATTAATGATGTTATTTCCAGGTTATCATCCTCTCTCCTTTTTTTCCCCCGAGAGGGAGGGGTCAAATTTATATCTTAAACAAAATTGTTGTTGTGTTCTCAAATTGGATCTACATTGATATATATACCTTAGATAGTGTTTGGTATCCTGTTTTGTCCAATATATAAAAAAACCATTAAATAATCTTAAGAAAATGTATAGTTAGTTGGCAGCTTTTTTATTTTCAAAAGGAACATACCCGTCCTACCTCATGTTCTCTATTATGTCAAGAGGAAAGATATTGATTTTGTAAGTAGTAGCGGATAAGAACACTGATGTAAATTTTTCTACTTTTATTTATTATAAAATTAATTTGATGATTATAGTTGCTGTATATCATTACCGTCCTATATATTAATACTGAATCCATGCTCTCATCCACAGGCAGAAATTTATGTTTTTGATTCACTGTTTCCTTTTTAAAATCCCTTTTCAACCTAAAGATTCATTAGTTATGTTCATTTCTTAGTGACCACACCTCTCATTGCCGTATCTTAAAATATAACTCTGTAGCTTTAAGTTCTTCATGTTTATTAATTTGTTCTACTGCTAGCATGTGAATAATTTTTTTACATATGGTTACGCTAGACTTGGTCTTATAAATTTTCATAGTTTATCAATTTCCTTCACTCATTTATTATCATTTAAGTATCAATGGAGTATTTAAGTTGTTAATGCGTATGGATGTTCCTACAATCACTGAATTTAACATATTGGGTATTCTACAGAAGGTACAACCACAAATGGAGAGTTCCTCCTTCCATTCAAGACTGGTGGTTTTTTGGCAAAGGCACCAGTACTTCCTGTGATTCTAAGATATCATTACCAGAGATTTAGCCCTGCCTGGGATTCCATATCTGGGGTGAGTACTTAAATAGTGATAAGTTGTCGTGTTTTTTGCTGGATTCTGACTATAAAATCCAATCTTGTACCCAATATCTTAACTATTATATTCTGATAACAGTTATATTTTGAATCTAGAGGTGTACCTCAGGTTTGAATACTAAATAGTACTTGTTTCTTGAATGTTCTTCTGAATTGAAGTTTGATGCCCCATGTCAGAAATGGTGAGAAAGCTAATGGAACTCTCTATACCCGCTTAGTTTCATACTTGTTAGTTGGTAGTGATGTTTCTTTATATTTTTTTCTTTTGGGTGAGCAGCTAAAAAAATATGCTTTCCACCTGTGTAAAGTGTAAAAGTTGTAGTGCGTTTTAGAACAGAGACCAGCTTTTGTGCTTGAAAGGATGCTGTGCGATCTAGGAGAAACACTTTGTTTCTGCTATTACTCTTCTTTTTATTTTAATGTTCTATGCACATTTTCAATAATAAACTATTACAAAATTAATTTCTTTGAACTCTTTTGGTAATTTGTATTGTGGCAATTGTCATCTTCCTTAGAAACATTTGTTGTATTCTTTATTTAAGTTTTCATTTACGTTGGCAGGTGCGGCATGTGATATTTCTCCTGTGTCAGTTTGTGAATTATATGGAGGTGATCCGATTACCTGTTTACCATCCGTCACAACAGGAGATGGATGATCCCAAACTATATGCTAATAATGTTAGAAGGTTGATGGCTTCTGAGGTATTTATATTGTTTTCTCACAGAAAAAAATTCAATGTTTCTCTACTGTAGTGTTAATTTAATAGTTAAGCATCATATAGGTGTTTGCCTGTTCTTTAAAGAAATTGTTTTTTGGGGAAACCTATCTGTTGAAAAATTTGTTGATTCTTTCTGCATTCAGAATTTAAGGAATAGGTGCTACGTGCTTTAATTGTTGGTATATTCTTGTCTTCGAAAAGTATATTGTAACTTAATTTTGTAATGTTTTGTCTGGGTAACAAATATATTGGATTTGTATTTAATTTTTTAGCATGATATGCTTCTCGGCTGTGGATATTTAAGTTTTTTTTGGAGGAAATGTTAGAATATTAGGACTAGGCGTTTTAGGAGTCTTGTATTGTTATGTTAATTATCTCGTCTTATAAGTGGGACTTGAACTAAGTTGTCCGAAGGCACACGCTAGTACTTGACTTAGATTGGTAGTTTTGCTAGGTGTTTGTGGTTTGTATTCAATACAAAAAATGTACAACTTCCTCTCAAAACACTTTGTTTCACTTGGAAGTTATTCCGCAATAGACACAAGTGTGAATCAAAGCCATCTTAGACCATTTAATATCTAGGGTGACTTTCTTACAATTAGATCGGAAGTTTTATCACATTCTACTATTCAAATATAGAAAAATATTAACTTTTGTGTGATTTATAGAAATGGTTAAATATTAATCGAGTATAATATTTAATTTTATGATTTTGTCCCTGTAATTTTAATTTTCATATAGTAAGGCAAAATGGGAGGCACTATGAAATCTTACACTTTCACTTTCAAGTGCTGTTTGATGAATATCAAAAACTTAGTTTCTTGATTTACTTTTTTTATTTTGATTTTATACCTCTATAGTTTGAGATATTTGCCTCCATGTTATTCCATTTGTAGCATAGGGCATATGTCTTATTATATAATTGCTGTTGATGCTAGCTTATTTCTTCTATATTGTGTGTTCTGCTTGCAGGGTAATTTGACACTGTCCGATATTGGGCTTGCTGAAAAACGAGCATATCATGCTGCTCTCAATGGTAATAATAGCCTGCCTAGTGTTTTGCATCAGAAAGACGAATGATAATTTCATGGCCCCAGTCTCAATTGAAATGTAGTTCCAGTCGAGTTTTAGTTCAAACTTAAGTGTCTGGTTAAGAATGATCAGCTTGCGGAGGGGCATTTATAGCTAAATAGTATACATTCACCTAAACATCTGAATGGTACTTATGTAATTTGTTGTAAATAATGTGACCAATAATGTTTAATTGATGGTGTTCTATTGAGGCACACAATTCAATATCTATAAGTGTTACTGTTCGTTCACGTTTTGATTGTGATAAATGATCTGAACTCATTTGAGAAAGGCCATGTAACCTTAGATCTGAATCTTCTTTTTCGTTTTTCTGCAGGTTTGTTTTCCCAATGCTAATTCTTCGGATTCGTGGTCTGTATATTCATTGTATGGTTTCCATTATTTATCTGGAAAGAAAAGGAAATTAATATAGAAAATTCTGTGCAGAACTAGTGTTCATATTTGAAAATGTATTTATCTGATAACTGCCTCTACTAGAGTCTAGTGCATTAACGGATTTCTGAGCAGACGCTCAATGTATCTATACATTTTGGTCAGTTTGTAGGATCAATAGGATCCATTTCAATATAGGGTGTACTAAAATATAATTCCGATTCTTATTATTATTATTATTATTATTTAATGTTTGTTGCATTAGGTAGAACGAGTCGGGTGGCATTTTTTTGGGGGTTTTGGTGATGAGGAACAAAGCCATTCAACGACACCCACTCTTTAAATGGGGGAATATTCAACACCATTTAACAATTGACGCTGACGTTCACAGTGCCATTTTGTGAGTCATGAGAATTTAATCTTGAGAAGGGAACCACTTTGTATGGGCGCTTAGAGCAATTACAGTGCAGCTCTTTGTGTTGATTCTTTAACTAATTTAATGCTATTGGAGCAAATGACTTCTTCCATGCTTCGTATGAAGGTTTTTCTTATAAGAAACAAGTATCACAGTTGCTTAATTTTTCTAGTCGACAACGTCTCGTGTGAGTGAAAATATAAAATATGACTAATTAAAAATTTGTTAAAATCTCTGCTTGGATTGTAATATGGAGTGAAAATTAGTTAATTCTCTTAGTTTCTGTGGCAACAAAAGTCTTATTAAAAAATAATTAAAATTCAATTTTAAATTCTTGTATTATAGATGCGCAGAGGATCAACATTGGAAATATAGAAGTCTTTTTTTCAAATTGAATCGCTGTATTAAAGTTAATTTGGGCCTATTCTCATGAGAATCTTCATTATACAAACAAGCTGAAGTTTGTAATCTAGAACTTTTTTTTCGGATAAAGTTAAAATAATTATTTGTTTATTTAAAAGTTTAAAACAACGAAAGATGTAAAACGAATTAAGGTAGAACTTTCAAATTGTTAAAAGATAAAAAGTGCTTAATATTATCAAAAAAAATATGTTTAACGAAATGCAGGAAGTTGATTGTATTCTTGATATTTTAAAAGCAAGCATAATAGCATATAGATAAAAATATTTGATTTATCTTTTCTCCTATCTCCATTGAGAGGCTTTAAAAGTAGTTTTTTTTGTCGTACTTTAAAAGGAATAAACAATATATATATTTTTTAATATTTGGGACATCACATTCGTTTAGACCAACAGTATCATAAATAAGACGATAACAATGGTCTATATGTTTAAGAAAATGTGCATGTAATGGAGGAAAATATACTGGGTAAGTTCTCTCCGAAAAGGAAGTGAAATTTTATTATTTTCAAAGTCGTAAAATTACACTTGCAATTCTGTTATTCGTTGGATTAGACTGGAACTTTATCAGTAGATTCGACACACATGATTTGTAATCCATCTGGTTGGTTCGTTGATTTATTGCCTATGGTAAGTATTGGAAAACATTATGTAGTTTTCCTACGTTCTTAATTCATTATGGAAAACTATTCTACAGGATCTTTAGATTATTGATTTTCATAACATAACATACATGAATCATAATAAGAGAACTAACCTTGATCCATGAAAATTTATTCTTTAATCTTCTCGTTCTCCAATCTTCTTTTCCCAATCTATCTCTTTGTCTTTCTTTCTCTTCTCACGCTTTCTTGATGATTTACCGTGAAAAACTTTATGACCAGAGACAGGACCCTTATTCCATTCAATTAACCAACGTCCATCAAGTTAGTTACCGTAAGTTAATATTTTTATTTTATCTTTATTTTATTCTAACTTCACATAATAACCAATAGGTCCTCATATTTTATTAAATCACATTTGGGCCCATTATTATATTTCACATGAGTCACATAATGGAATGAATGAATTAAATTAATTCTAACATTCTCCTACTTGACTCATGTGATGTCATACGATTCTGTGATTTAATACTTAAGTCATAATGCGCATTAAAGGACCTTACATAAATTGGTTCTATCATCATTCATAATTAAAGATACAGCTATAACAAGAGTCATGGCGGTTACATGTCATTCAATCGACAGACTCCCTTTCATGTACCACTATATTATCTCTTTCTCCTTAATATGACTTTAAAATGAGAAGTCCATAATGGGTTCAAACATAATATCATTTTAAAAATAATAACATAATTTGTTTTCTTCATCATAATTTGCATGCATATAAATAAAGAAGAAAACACAACTTTCAGAAACTTATACATTAAAGATCTCAAAGTGTCACATAAGCATTAATAATAACATTAACATTCAACATTCACTAGTGAACATAATGCCCACATTCATTATATGGCCAACAAATAATTTAGGCGATAATCCCTTTGTTAAAGGATCAATAATCATAAGATCAGTACTAGTATGTTCTATTGACACTCTTCGTTTCTGAACTTCTTCTTTAACGACAAAATATTTCAATTCCATATGCTTAGCACCTTTGGAATACTTGTCGTTCTTAGAAAAGAAGACTGTTGCGGAATTGTCACAATAAATTTTCAGCGGCTTGGCAATGCTGTCGACTACTCCAAGTCCTGAAATAAAATTCCGCAACCAATTAGCTTGAACTGTGACCTCAAAGCATGCCACAAATTCAGCTTCCATAGTGGATGCAGCAATGACAGACTGCTTTGCACTTTTCCATGAAATCGCTCCTCCAGCTAAAAGATACACATAACCAAATGTAGACTTTCGTGTATCCATATAATCAGCTAAATCTGAACCTGTATATCCAATCACCTCAAGGTGATCAACTTTCCTATAAGTAAGCATGTGATTCTTTGTTCCTTGTAAGTATCTTAAAACTTTCTTTGCAGCCTTCCAATGATCCAGTTAAGCATACCAACTGCAAAGCTAATATCTGGCCTCGTACATATTTGAGCATACATCAAACTCCCAACAACAGATGCATAAGGGATATTTTCAATCTGTTTCCGTTCCAAGTCATTCTTTGGACATTGCATGAGACTAAACTTGTCTCCTTTCTGTATTGGAACGGGAGATGCTGAACACTTCTCCATTCTGAGTCTCTCTAAAACTTTATTAATATATGCTTTCTGAGACAAACCTAACAGTCCTTGTGATCTATCACGGAATATTTCTATTCCTATCACATAGTATGCCTCACCCATATCTTTCATTTCAAAGTTGTTAGAGAGAAACTTCTTAGTCTCACTTAATAGACCAAGATCATTAGTCACAAGCAAGATATCATCAACATACAAAATCAGAAATGTAAATTTGCTCCCACTAACCTTCAGATATATACACCGATCAACAGTGTTTTCCTTAAATCCAAAGGACAAAATAGTATCATTGAACTTAAGATACCATTGTCGAGAAGCTTGTTTAAGTCCATATATTGATTTCTTAAGTTTACAAACATATGTTCCTTTCCTTCTTCAATAAACCCCATTGGTTGATTCATATAAACATCCTCCTCTAAATCTCCATTCAGAAAAGTAGTTTTAACATCCATTTGATGCAACTCAAGATCATAATGAGCTACTAATGTCATGATAATTCTAAAGGAATCTTTCTTAGAAACAGGTGAAAATGTTTCCTTATAATCAATGCCACCTTTCTGAGTAAAACCTTTGGCAACAAGACGGGTCTTGTAACGTTCGATATTACCATGAGAGTCACGCTTAGTCTTAAAGACCCATTTACACCCAACACTCTTGCATCCTTCTGGCAATTCCACAAGATCCCATACACCATCATGTACCATTGATTTAAGCTCATCTTTCATAACATCTAACCATTTGTCAGAATTATCACCATTAATGACGTCTGAAAATAAAACTGGGTCATTATCAATACTTAAGTCATTTTCTGACTCTTGTAGATAAACCACGTAATCATTCGAAATAGCAGACTTTCTTTCTCTGTGAGATCTTCTTAATACTATTTCCTGTGGTTGTTCTATTATCGGATCATTGTTAATCGCAGGATCATTAATTTGTTGTTCTTATTGATTGTCGTGTGATTCTACAACATTTGGAACAACAACTCTTGAAGATGTACTAGTTATTGGAACTTGTACCCTAACTTCCTTAATCTCCACATTTCGTGAAGCTTCACTCCCATTGGCTTCACCATTTTCAATGAACCGAGCATTTCCAGTTTCAACAATTCTTGTACTATGGGTAGGACAGTAAAACATATACCCTTTTGATTTTTCTGGATAACCAATGAAATATTCACTGATTGTTCTTGCATCCAGTTTCTTTTCTTGCGGATTATAAATTCTTACTTCTGCTTGACAACCCCAAACATGTAGGTGTCTTAAACTGGGTTTCCTACTTGTCCATAACTCAAAAGGAGTCTTTTGAACCGCTTTACTAGGAACCCTGTTCAACAGATACATGACAGTCTTCAAAGCATACATCCACAACGATACAGGTAAACATGAATTACTTAACATACTCCTAACCATATCAAATCATAGAAGTACGCTTAAAGAAACTGAAACAACCATTCCCAAACTTAAAAGAGTATCTAATAACATCAAGCTTAGACAAAGAAACTAAATTTCTAATGATACTAGGTACATAAAAAGTATCCATAAGGTCTAAGTGATATCCAATGTCAAGGATTAAATGATAAGTCCCGACAGCTTCCACTGGAACCTTGACTTTATTTCCCATGAAGACGAACTTCTCATTTGGGTTTATGGTTCGGGTTGAAAGGAATCCCTGCATCACATTAGAAACATGAGTTGTACATCCGGAATCGATCCACCAAGTATTATGGGGAACTTTAGTTAAATTTGATTCAAAACATACGTAAGCACTATGCTCACCTTTCTTTTCGAACCAAGCTTTATGCTTTAAACAAGTCCTTCCGAAAATGTCCGGACTTCTCGCGAAATGACATTTGTCATTTTTCTTCGAATGTTAGTAGATGACTCGTTAATCTTTAATGGTCCTTTACCCTTTCCATGTTTCTTAACAACTTTCTTTTTAGCTCCTTGATTTTTCACGTAATGAATAGAGTGGCTTCCTAGGTTCTTGAGTCTGGTCTCCTCCTGAACTAACATACTGTGCAATTCATGCACATTCCATTTGTCTTTCATGGTGTTATAATTCATCTGAAACGGACCATACTCAGGCGGTAACGAGTTCAAAATGAACTGCACAAGAAAATTTTCTTCCACTGCCATTCCAAGAGACTTGAGTCTTGCTGCGATATTTGTCATTTCGATTACGTGTTCATGCATACTATGAGAACCATCAAACTTCATGGTGGTCAACGTACTCATCAATGTCCCAGCGAGAGATTTGTCAACAGTTTGAGAGCGCTCTTCCACAAATTTCATAAATTATTTCACGTCCTTAGTTTTGGAAAAAGCATACTTAATATTGCTTGCAATATTCATTCGCATAAACATAAGACTAAGTCTGTTTGACCTTTTCCAAACTCTATAATGAGTTTTCTCTTTGTTGCTACTAGAATTAGTGATAGCAGCCGATTTTTCAACTTGGAAAGCCAAATCAAAATCCAACTCACCTAAGTGAAATTGGACTTTCTCACTCCAGTCAGGGAATTAAATCTATTAAAGACTGGAACAGACGAAGTAAGCGAATGTAGAAATATATAAACAAATATTTCAATTAACACATGCCTAACATTAACGCTTTGAGTCATAAAAACTAAACATAAATACAGATTCAAACATAAATAACCATTCTATGCATACTAATGTTCTCCTTTGGGAGATCCACTAATACACAAACATAATTACGCTAATCTTTTTATAACATTAATGATAATTAAAATATGCATCAACTAGAATCACTTAATACCTTTGGGTATATAAATAAAACTAGTGACACACACAAAATTATCTACTTTCATGTTCATTAATTATAATAACAACTAATCAACCTTTGGGTGATCCTAAAATGCCTTATAATAATGAACTTCAATTAACCCATAAATCAAATATTCATAATTTTAGCGTTCATATTATGGGTAATTGAAATAAAATCATTAATAATTTGAAATCAAAATAACCTTAAAATTTTGGTCACTTTGGTGACTAACAAAATTTATCATGCTTAATTTCAAATAAATAATATCTTTAATTACTATTAACCATTCATAGCATTTTTTTTATTAATTTTAATAAATATGTACATTATTCACATAATAAAATATTATGTGCCATAAATAAAATTGAAACTCATAATTTCAATTTTCATCCTAAGATTGATTTTCAATCCAAGACCTTTATTTGCATTTCACGTAAAAGTGAAATTGTCATCCATTCAAAACTTTTATGAGTAATTTAAACACAGCGGAAACAATACAATTCAGTTTGCAAAACAAGATTCATTCATTTATCAATATTTACATTATAGGTACATTAACAAAGCTTCACACTACATTAACAAAGCTTCACAATACATTAACAAAACAGTATATTAACAACCTTAACAAAGCTTCACAGTACATTAACAACCTTAACAAAGCTTCACAGTACATTAACAAAACATTATATTAACAACCTTAACAAAGCTTCATAGTACATTAACAACCTTAACAAAGCTTTACAGTACCTTAACAAATTTACAGTACCCATAACAAAGCTTTACAGTACCCATAACAAAGCTTTATAGTACCCATAACAAAGCTTTATAGTACCCATAACAAAGTTTTATAGTACCCATAACAAAGTTTTATAGTACCCATAACAAAGTTTTATAGTACCCATAACAAAGTTTTACAGTACCCATAACAATATAGTACCCATAACAAAGCTTTACAGTACCATAACAAAGTTTTACCGTACCCGTTTTACAGTATGAGTATATTATACAACTCACTTTAACATAAAAATAACTCTTTAATTATCCTTCCCCACATAAAAAAAATATGTACGTACAAAATAATGTACAGATAATATGGGGACAAAATAATATATGGACAAAATAATATAGGGAAAAATGACTTTAGCAGTCACCAGTCACCAATATGTACATACAAAATAATATTATAAATAATATAATATAATATAGGAAACATATGTGTTTAACACGTGCTCTCTACGTGCAAAGTTTATCACCTTTACAGTTTATCATTCTTCTATCATAATTATAACATCCCATCATAACATCTCATCATAATTATAACATCTCATCATAATTATAACATACAATGAAACTAATTTCATACATGATTCATCCTAACCTTATCACGTCATTTGCCTTTTCAATTAGAAAGGATTACAGGGTCATTCACGCATAGGGACTATAAAATTGGTTTCAATTTGAACTTGAAAACATAATTAGGGTTTATTCCTTTATTTAATTTTGAGAAAAATAAAATTGGGAATATAATAGAGTTCATACTAATCTGATAGAGAAATCCCTAAATTCATAATTAGGGTTTATCTTAATTTGGGAAAAACATCATTTGAGAAATATTTTCATAAAAGAAAAATCATAAATCTAATAATCTAGCTCTGATACCACATGTAAAACATTATGTAGTTTTCCTACGTTCTTAATTCATTATGGAAAACTACTCTACAGGATCTTTAGATTATTGATTTTCACAACATAACATACATGAATCATAATAAGAGAACTAACCTTGATCCATGAAAATTTATTCTTTAATCTTCTCGTTCTCCAATCTTCTTTTCCCAATCTATCTCTTTGTCTTTCTTTCTCTTCTCACACTTTCTTGATGGTTTACCGTGAAAAACTTTATGACCAGAGACAGGACCCTTATTCCATTCAATTAACCAACGTCCATCAAGTTGGTTACCGTAAGTTAATATTTTTATTTTATCTTTATTTTATTCTAACTTCACATAATAACCAATAGGTCCTCATATTTTATTAAATTACATTTTGACCCATTATTATATTTCACATGAGTCACATAATGGAATGAATGAATTAAATTAATTCTAACAAGTATATGTATTTCTAATCATTGCTTTTGAGGATGAATAATTCATACGAATACATTATTAAAAAAAAAAACTAAGAGTTAGTATTTCTAATAAAGTCTACCTATATGAGAGTGAAACGTGGCCACTTCTTGAAATTAAAGGTGTGATTCTTAAATCTACGAATAAAGACAATGCCTCACATTAACAATTTGTTGAATGGCACCAAGATTGTATATCATTTAATAAAATTATTTAGGATACGGAAAACTCATGACTTATCTTTCAATAAAAATGTGTCGCTTTAAGAAAATGTGCATGTACGAAAAATTGTATTTTTTGTAAAAGTTATTTCTATTCATGAAAAGATATAGATATGAAAGTTTGTATATCATTTTAAAAAATATTTATTTTTTCATTAGATGATGTCTCTCTAACAAAAAGTTAGGAGATCTCTTTTCACTAAAACTTATAAGAAACAATCATTAAATGTCTTTTAAAAAGTTGACTTATAAGATGGCTTATAACTAAAACTAATTCTTTACGTTCAAATATTCCTTGTGCATAGAAAGAATTAAGAAAACTATTATTATGTAAACTACTACTCAAATTATTATTATTTTTCCTATTATTGCGGACCATTACCATCAATTTGCGCCAACACCCTAGTAGCTTCTTATCCAAATGCATACTCTACAAGGATACACAACACATAGGTAAGGCTCATTAGAGTGTCCTTTTAAGATGGACTAAATTTGAAGATAAGCCGAAAAGAAGGAAAGCAGTTACTTGCAACAAAATTAGGGAAACTAATCTTTTGTTGAAAAGAATTCCCTCTGAAACATAAAGTTGAAGCTGATACACTGACTGTAGAATATTTTCGATGGAGCTAACATGGAGGCATGAAATACAAGCTAATTAAATAAAAAAATATGGCATGATCTTTAATTTAAAAAAATTAAGAGAACAAAAATATTTTTCTTATGTATAGGTTATTCATATTTTCCATTTAAATAATTTCAATTCACACTTTAATTTTTATTCCAAATGTAACCTCTCTACATATGCTGTGAAGTAGATATACAAGTAAGAAAAAAATAGACTATCGTGTTTAAGGAAAAAAAAAATAAAAAAATACTAGTATATGCATACCAGACAAGAGGATTACATATTTGCAACCAATAATTTATTTTATATTAGAATGGCAACGAGATTAGCTACAGCTATATAAAATAACACTTGAACGTGTGACAAGAACAAGATCTATCCCCTTATTTATGAGGGAAGCTCCCCACATAGAGCTTTAACTCAAAAATGGTATTGACAAAATTAGAGTGCACCTAGCATACTGAATTGAGTCCATGCCTCCTGCATTGTAAAAAATGGACAAAGTAAGTCTCTATTTTAAATAAGTTTCAAAAAGATGAAAAAAAAAACTTTTATAGATTAAAATTAAATTATATACAAATAAAAAAAAATTGTTTTAGAAGAAACTAAATCGATGATAACCGCATTAATCAATTGCATCCTAAATTGTTAGTTGGAATCTTAAAGAGGATGGGAGAACAGGTGTTCGGCTTAAATAGGAGTTGAAGGGAGTGGCTACCAGTTGAGATTTGTTAGAATAGGGTGGTAAATCAATTGCTCTCGGTTATAAGGAAAACCCCCAGGAAACAGAACTTTCTCCTTGTTATGTAATTTCTTTAGTTCTGTTCATTTTTCTGTGAACATATATTATATTTGTTTTACAAACAGTTATTAAAATATGTAGACAACATACCCTAAAAAGAACGTGAAGAAAATACCAATAAGTCATTGGCCAGAGTAAAAGTAGACTTAGGATCTATTAGAATTTTTTTCACATATTTTTAGGAAAAAAATAAAAAATTTAAATTTAAATTTAAATTTCCATATACTAAATTTAGTTTATACATCAAATAAAAATCCAAAGAAGTTGTATGAGAACAAACTAATTTTTTTTTCTGTTTATTTTTCTCTTGTAGAAATATTTATGGAGAAACTTGTCAAAATATACTTTTAACTTTTTGAAACTAGATTTCGGGGGTTTAATTATTGTGAATGGAAAAAATATTATTAAATCTTAAACTAGTTTAATTACATATCTTATTTAACAAAAAGTTGGTTTTTGCAATTCCAGTTCAGGGTTATATTTGTTGCTTGTGAAATAATTAAGATGTCCTATTCTAAAAACCTAATAGGATAGGAAACTTTGTGCTATTCTCTCACCAACTGGAACTGCACTCGACAGAAGGGAACTTTTAGGATAGAAATCATCAAGCTAAAAAGCTCATACCAGAACTTCAGTGAATTTGTACCAAAATAAAGTAATTCAGTAAGTATAAAAAATGTTCAGACAAGTGTTGGATAGCATACTTAACCCATGTTAAATATGTAAATAGCTGTCAATAAAAATTAGAGATGCGTTACAACAATTTTATAGTTTGATTTATGCCTATGTTTTTATGACTAATCCTATGTGAAAGAAATACAACTCGTGTGAACATACAACTTACAACATTTAGATATATTTCTTCTTCTATAAAAAGGAATTATGCGAGACCAATTTTAAGGAATTTAGACATAGATCCTGAAAGAGATAGAATGATTGTAATGCTAATGAATTACCACATGTTACCTGTAAAATTTCGAAAATTTTTTCTGCAATATATTTTTGGTCTAAAGTAGCACCCTTTTGCTGCAACTTATCGGGATGCAGACAGAGTAAAGCTCTTTGATAAGATCTTTTCACTGCGTTCCCTTCAATTATATCAACAAGAGGCACAGGCTTCCATCCACTCTCGGTCCAAAGTACCTTTATGAATGATGGATGTCAATTTAGTAAGAGTTAGTACTTATAATGGAGGATAATCAAATAACAATTAAAATTGATGTTTAGTATGATTAAACACAGAATTTTACTGAAATTACAGCAGGAACGTCATCCCAGATTTGAGAAACTCTCAAAAGAGAATCAACTTGTCCTACCTGCTTAATACATAACTGCTACAGAACTATCCTGAATATTCAGACACGTAAGTCCTATATAAGTAGATAACTATCCACAAGATTAAATGCCTAACTATTACAACCATTCCTCACAATACATACATCATTTTCACGTAACAGATTTTTACATCTGTCCCCTTTAGAGTATTCCATCAAAGTATGTCCCCTCTAGAGTATTCCATCGAAGTAGGTGGATAACAGACTCTCGTCTCATTTACGTTAAAAGAACTAACCTCTTACTATGATTTGAAGTCATGGTAAACAAGCTTCATCTTTTATTTGACAAAACGAAGAAAAAGATAAAGTGAGAGAAGAATAGTAAGGAGTAATTTTAGTTTTTCTTACATATTGTAATGTCGATAGCAGGGATCGTATGTTTCCTTCCTTCCCTTTAGACCACTGTTTTATCTTCTTGTCAATCATCTACATTGTATAAAGATATATACTTAATATAACTGTTCTATAACCATAAAACAAACAAATCTAGGTAAGTAATAATTACTTGGATTTCTTTATTTTCCTGGTTTTGTAAGTCCTCCTCACCCTCAACTTGGGCCAATACTTGTATCTGCAAAACCCAATATAAAAGCTTATCAACATATGCCGCAAAAATTTTATACTCACGAAAGGAACTTATTTAACTTTGTAATGAAATACCATGAAACTCCCATGGAAGGACTCGTCTTTATCTCCGATAACTTCAAATGATATATCAGGAATTGCTGCTAACATAATCAAGTTGTTTCATCACATAATTTAATCATCAAGTATTCAGCCCAAATCATATCTACAGAGTTTAAAAGCTGATAAAAGATAGCTGAAAAATAACTAAGGTTTTTCACTTGCTATGAAAAGCTCTAATAGGATTTTTTTAAATAATTGGCACTATAATATTCATTGATTCGGTAAATTGTTTCCCTAGCACCGTAACAACATGAAATCCATTCACATCTTGGACGTAGACGATACAGTAAAGAAAACTTACTAGAGTACGGATTTAACACACAATTTAGAAAAAATAGATTAAGAAATAAAGAATGACCACATAAAATTTTATATAAAATCTACTGCATACTGCTTGTCATGTTATTATATTTTCCTATTGTTAGATGTAGGTCACATACATATTGTCGGTAAGTTTACCATATTCTTGTTACCATTCTACGAATAAAGAGGAGAGGAGTAAGCACAATTCGATCTCTTCCCAATTAAATCAATTCTAAGCAGTACCTGGTTCTGATATATCCTCTCGATGAGACAAATTATTAGCAGATATGTTGGTGGTCTCTATGCCAGAGTTCTCCTTCTTGGATTGTTCAGGCCCACTTTCCACCTGGTAGAGTTGAAAGAAATATTAAAGAGCTTTGCTGTTGTGAAACCAGATTTATACATGAGCTTTATCACTAAAGCATATTCAAACAACTCATGTCCTTTTAACAAAGTGAATTTACTCTTCCAGTCACTTCTCAAGCTGTGACAACACTTACTTCATTCTTTGTCCTTAAAGCCTCTCTCTGCTTGTATGTAGAACCCGGAGGTCGACATTTGGAGTCAACTTTTGGTTTGGTTACAGTTTCTTGGTTGAAAATTCGAGTGAATTCTTTGACCTTTCCTTTAACTAGGCCTTTCCCCATATTCTCACCTAAGCTTACTGAACCCTGGGAAGTCGCTTTGCTATGTCCTACATCCATCAAGGAAACTATCTTTTCTTCTTGTTTAATGGGATTCACGGTAACTTCAAAAACAGCAGACAGTTTTTTTGTGGTTTTCATCCTGTTTTCTCCTTTCTCCCTTGTTATCATCTGAACATTATCTGACATATGAAATGAAGAACAATATCACAGACTGTTAGGGTAGTAATATGTGTGTAAACATACATACATGTACATATGTAGAGAGAGAATGGCTTCACCTTGTTTCTTATCATTTTCCTTGAACAGAAACTGTAATGGTTTGGACTCAAGCTTCTGGGTTTCCCTTACTGCCCCAGTTTCTCCAGAGAAGCCGTTCTTGCCTGTAGAACGAGTACTTGATTCTACTGCTCTAGAGTTACGCGAGATAGAACTAGCGGGAACATCTATGGTAACAGTTTGAGGGTTGCATGATGTATCTGACTGAGCCTTGGCAGAAACTATTTGTTCTACAATCTGGTTTGAATCTGCTCCATTTTCATTGGTTGTGAAAGTAGTTGACACATCTTGTCTATTATTCATGACAGATGAACCATTGTATGCTATAGGATTTTGTGTGGTAATCTCACTGACCATCCATTCTTTAGCACTTGAGCTTCTCTCAAGTTTAACCTTATCCTTATCCTTAGCCCTTGAGGCTCTCTCTGTCCTAATAGGCATCACCATTGGCACACCTGTACTTGCCCATTTGTATATTGAGAAATGGAATTGACCATTACTAGCACTAGGTGAAACCTCCCTAATAGATATGTCCTGTTTCATGATGCTTCCTTTGTCTGCTTTATCAGATGTGCTCGAGTTTGAAAACTCCTGTGATAGAAGACTTTGTCGGTAAGGTTTTAAATCCTTTTTCAACTCCTTTCGCTGGGTTGAAAATCTGGATGAATGAGAATCTGAAAGGCCTAGTCCATTTGAAGCTACAATACCATCGTTGATGTTGTTACTCCTTGTGGGGGAACCAAAGGTTGGAAGGTCCACTCCATATGTCAATTTGGCTGGAAGGCTGGTCAGTTCAAATTGGTGGAGCAAGGATCAGCGGCGGATTGAAGATAAACAAGAAGAAATCATTAATGAATTGATTTGAAATTCGGAGCAACTAAATCATGAATCCCCATCGTGGGGGGTTAGTAGAGAGAAGTAGTTTACATTTTTAGGATAAGATAAGAAGTCATGCGGAGGGAAAGCGGACCTTTCTTTTATAGCTAAAATCTAAAATCGCACCATTTAGTAAATTATTTAACTTTGTATTCATGTTTAAAATAATTTGATTTGTTCATCAAACAACTAACATATTTTCAATTTTCCCCTTGATGTTAATCATATAAAATCTGTATCTACTATGTTCGTCCAATAGAATCGGTGGATAGAGGAAGACGGGAGTACATTAAAAATATATTGGTCAGATTGACTTGGTCTAACCCGTTAGATTAATAAAAAAATTCGAGAACCACGAAATAAAATTTGAGAACAAAATTAACAAAAGTATCAAAAAGTTTAGGAACGAAGTTATTAATATTATCGGAGTGAGTATATTGTATATTGTTGTTTTTTTTAATATACTGCTTTTAACATACATAATCATTTGATTGTTTTTAGACTAAAACATTTTTTTGTATTGTCATTTTGAGTAAGAACACAAATATACAAAAAATGAATTCCTTTTAACATTCATGATTTATACCATGTCATGTTTATGGGTTCAAAAGTGAAATGCTTATGTCTCTCTTTCTTTTTAACAGAACCGTTATATCTTATAAGACATACTTTAATCATTTTCAACACATAAAGTAGTTGAGAAACTTCTTATGAAAAAAATACATTAAATTATATTATTTTTTAAAGTTAATATTTATTTTAAATTAGATAAATATATTTTTAGTTTTTAAATTTGGATAATGTCTAATTTGGATTCTCAAAATTTAAATTTCTTTTTTAGTCTGCATTTTTTTTATTTGTTTTTTGTTCATGTAAAGATCAAATTGAAACTTATGAGTTTGTAAATGGGTCGGTATTTAACAGCCATGATTTAAATTTAAAAATATGATTCTGAATGTTTTTAACCGTTAGAATAAAATAAAATAAAATAAAAATTAAAGACTAATGGACTATTTGAATCAAAGGAACAATATGTTATAAAAAAAGGATGTACGAGAAAAGTATAAAAATTGAGATAATAAAAAAAAATATTTTCTACTTATTATATTAATAAATAAATAATAAAAATATCAAAATAATAAATAAATTTATTTAAAATCAATAAAATAATTTTATTTTTTATAATTTTTTATTTATTTTTCTCAATTCAAACAACATTTTCTAACATCTTTCTCTCTTTTTTTTTATTTCATTCACTCAAATAAGTTATATAAAATTTTAAAATATGATTTTAAATGTTTTTAACTGTGAGAATAAAATAATAAAAATAAAAAATAATTAAAAATAAAAATTAAAGTATAATTGACAATATTATAATTTTAAAAATTATAAATGGATTAAAAAATTAAAGATTTTCACACTACCTCCTTTATAGGATACATAATGTAACATTTTTCAAAATTAATATGGTTAGTGTAACTTTTAAAGAATGATTGTTGTAATATTTTTCAAACAATTAAACTTTGTTTGTAATAGTTAAAATTGGGAGATTTTCAATTGTTTTGTATACACACTCAACAATCATTCTATTAAAAACAATACTAATAAATTATTGGTATGAGCGACCCTAAATTAGATTCCTTTAAGCGCCTTGAATTGAGTTTTGTGATGAAAAAGTCTAAAGCTCAAAACTTTTTTTTTCAAGAAAATATACAATTAAGAATAAATAGATTATGAATTTCGCTACAATAAAAGTGAAAATCACTTAATGTTATCCATCAATAAAAAATTAAAGATAGTATTATTCGTCAACAATTATAATTTTGTTATTAAGTTAGAATTATTAATATTGTTGTATTTTATTTTAATATTATGATGATATTTATTTATAAATAAGGTATTTTATGATTATCAATATGTTTTTGGTTTTCGTGTTTGTCTCGAACTCTTCCAACATTTTGAGAATCCTAATCAAATAATTAAATAAATCTCTGTATTACAGAGAGGAAATAAATAAAGGTGTCACAATAAGTGAAAACATGGTTGATTAATTGAGAAGAAATATACAATACAGATAAAGATAAATTTGATGAAAAAAAGAAAATATAATAACGATAAAATTAATTAATTTATTACTATTATAAAATAAAACTTTATAATGAAAAAATACCGACCGATTATGTCTTGTACATAATTTTTATTTTTTTTTCGCATCTCTTATTCTTGATTTTTTATTTTTGATTTTTTCACATTTCGTCCGTTCCGGTATCTTTAATTGAGCTTCTTCACTCCTCACTTTCGTTTGCAACAGACATATCATAAAAGTATAGTGTGGAGTCCTATCTATGCTAGGGTTTAGGGAGTGGTTTTCTTGGTATCACGGAATTGTTGTCGTTATCCTTGTTTTTTACTATAAATAGAAGTCTAAGAGGATGGAAGAACAGTAGGTGACATGCATGTGACTAATCCAGATATGAACACAGAGACCAGAGTAAGAAATACTGACACATACGACCAAGAAGGATACAAACTTCAATTTCATTGGAAACTTTTATAGTTATCATTTTTTATATTTATAGTTAATTTTAATTTAGGGTGTAATTCCTGAGTGATATATTCGTAGATTACTTTCTTTAAACTTTTAGGCCTCTTCATTAATTAATAAATAAGTAGGTAAATAAATTGACCTATTGAATGTTTAAATGTTAGTAATTAATATATACTAATATTGTCATTTTTAATTAACAAATTTAAAAAACAGTTACAAGTAATAACATACACTTGTTAAAAGTGTTTTTAATATATAAAAAATAAAATTGAAAACAATGATGGTAAGAGGAGAAAAACCTGAATGGAATAGGGAGAGAGGCATCAAAGGGATCAGCCGCGGGAGGCAGAGGACTGGACACTCGAGAGAACGTGTAAGGGTCCCCAACGCGCTTCTTTGGCGTGGAACACACACTCGCCGACTCCTCCCCTCCGAATATGTCATCGAAGAAGTCGCTGTTTTTGTTCGCGTGACGCCTCCGGTTTCCACTATCCTCTCCAAACACCGGTTTCTCCCGCTCCGGCGGCCACCTACACCAACCTCTTTCCCCTTCCTCGTCGCTCCAATCCTTCAACTCGCTCAAACTCTGCCGCGCTTCGTTTATCGATGACCGCCGCGGCGGGCCTCCAAACACATCGTTGAAATCAACCTCCAAGTTGGAATTGCTCGACGACGACCTCCGAATCAGAGAATTATTACCATTCTCAATATTATTATTACTATAACCTAAAAGAACGCTCTCTCTTTGAGAAGAATTGAATCTCTCCATAAAATAACGATTCACAATTCAAACCTGGCGGGAAATTGTGGAAGTGAAAGTGCAGAGTGCGGAGGATTGTGTTTGTGAGATGGAAGGGAAATTTGGAAGAGGAAACGAGTTGGAGAAGAGGAGGAGAATGGCGTGTAGGCTAAGGGAAATTATTATAGAAATTGCGAAGCCACAAATTACGAGTGAATGCAGATTGGCTGCGAAAATTTCTAACGGATAAATCTAAAGTGGTGATGGCGATAAGCAACGTTCTGTACTCCATGTTTTGGATTTAGCATAATTTTGTGTGATACTAATTAAATACACTCTCTAAAAACTAAACTATGATGACTACTACTCTTACTCTATCAAGACCCGATACTACCCTTTCATTGCTATCTACTTTTGTCTTTTCCTTTCTGATTTCCAAATTTTCCAAACGTCCACCTAAACATGATAAATAATTATTAACTATATAATAATTACATTTAAAATAATTTTAATCAATTAACGATATAAAAACTATTATATTACTTGCCAGATCAATGACTACTATTTAACATTTAAACAAATGAAACATTAGTGGAAGATGGTGACACGTTGTAAGGGTCCCCTCGTACGGATAATGAGCAGCGAAAGCAGACAAGAAAAAGGAATCATAATTACCCTTGCGGAGTCTTGGGCTTTTCTAAACCATGTTTTTGCATTGCCTTTAGAAACAAAATTTAAATTCAGAGGAGCTATGTGAAGAGAATATGTAACTGATTTCGTCTTTTTTTTTTTTTTTTTGGCAATATCAGCATATGTTGCAGAAGGACGAAAAGGTGCACACAAAGAGACAGAGAATGCACGTTCCTCGTAGTGTCTTCAAGCACTGCCCCACTGTAACGTAATGGATTCAAACATTTGCATATGCATTTTGATTCGTGATTTGTTGTTGAGACTTGAGAAGGGTGTTTGTTTGCTGGTCTCTATCCGAATTTAATCATGCGTCTAATTATAATTTCCATCCAATTAATAGTTGTAATTTCAATATATTTTTATAAATTTGACATTATTTTTCCATTATAAACATATGTCTACACACACTTTGTCTTCCATCTGTTAACTCATCTCCAATAAAGATCCGTGATTTGGACAATTAACTGAAGTTCATTTATATATGTGACCTATTATTCTTTTTAATTTAATTATTTTCACATGCACTCAATTCTCCAATTTAGTATCTTCCATTAGATTCATAAATGGTTTTAAACAAAAAAAAAAACTGTTAATTTCATCAGTATTTAATTAAAACATAACAACCATGATTTCCGTTTCTGTTGAAGTAACTCCCAATGAGACATCTTAATTAGAACCCATTGCCTAATAGAAAGCACTTAAAATGATGGTGCTTGGTGGATTCTTACTTTGCCTTTGTAGCTACTTTTTGGGCTGTAACATGGTGCCTCCTGAGTATGTTCTTATGGTGCAAAAACAATCCCTGCTATTTCGTTTGATCACAGTTAGGCAACATGTGCTTTTGATAGGTCTTTAAACTGGATTTGGGTTACTGTTATGATTGACTAGGCTTAAGTTGGAAGAGCAAGGATAGGGAGAGAAATCAATCATATGTGAGGGTCATATTTTTGGTCAAAACTCAAAAGCATATAGATGACTAGGGTCTTCTTATTCTCAAAGACTTTTTAATATTGGATAAAATAAGTTGAAATTATGTAATTATTATTTTATGATAGAATTTTTACGTTTAATTTGTGTGTCGACCATTAAAGACTTTTTGTCCTAAGCTAACTATGGGACTTTAGTCTTTCAAGTCATGGTAATTGTTTGTGATTGTCTACTCCTTAATGAGAATTAGTTGAATGTGAAGTTTTGTTGAAAAAATATGAAACGTTAAACGAAATACAAGAATAAATTATCACTAAAGTCCTCATTAGAGTATGATAATAAGTTTACTCTTGTGGTTTGTTGATGATTTAGTAATAGAAATTTGAGTTTTATTCTGTCGAATTCCCAACACAAAAATGCACACAAAATATTCATTATTTTTTTTATCAGAAATTGCTTACTTTTCTCTTTAGAATGAATTGTCTATTTTGAAGAACACTAACATTTTCACAAATTCTTTTTTATCCAAACACAAATAGTAATTCATCATGATTTTTGTTAACATTTTTTTAAATCTATTTCAAATTGCATCGGATTAACCAGTACTACTTAAATTTAATTGGAAAAACAATTTTCATCTGAACTTTTTTTTTTTCAAATTTCATTCTTCCAAATCTCAAATACTCAAATAGAAATTATCGTATCTATCAATTTGTTTAGCGGTGTATACTGAGATACAACATGTTTATGTTGTGTATCGTAAACGACACCCGAAAAGTTTTTATTTTTTAAAAACTATTGCTACAATTTTTTTTTCTTCATCCTTAACAACATTTTAGCAATATATAATAATAATAATAATAATAATAATAATGATTAATAATAAAATTTATTTTATATATTCAAACAAATAAAAGTGACATCGTTGCCTATCTATCATTTATGCACTTAAAATATCAAGTATTAAATAAAAATAACATTTTTGAATTAAAATATTATTGAAAGTAATACAATAAGAAAAATGTATTATTAATTCGTTCATACCTACATACATATATATAATATTATTAATTCCTTTATTCAAACTCAATATAATAATACTATATATCATTAAAAACTAAAATGATAGTTTATTCTTTCTATTTTTCTTATCAAAACATTTTTCTTAAAAACACCGTCGTAGGTCTTAAATGACTTCTCCGCTTGCACCAACAATGTCTGTCTGGCAAAGACTATTAAAATATAATGAAAAAAATGAATTGTTGATTTGGTTGGTTGGAACTTGTCTGATCTTGATAATTCTGGGAGACAAGTTTGAAAGTTGCAATGCATTATTTTGCTAATTCGTACAAATGCAGAAGCAGGACCCGCTGCTGCTGCACAAATTGACTGTCACCACCGTCACCTTATCCATTCCCATGCATTTAATATGATCCATCCCAAAATATTTCAACATGAAATGAAACCTAGTCTCACTTCACACTTGTTTCAAGTTTCTTTTCTTACAAATATTATTTAAACAAGATCATGTGTTGTACAAGATATTTAACAAAGTTACCTTTAATTTGCTAATTGATTTGGGGTAAGTGTCTTCCTGCAATAAAACTCACTAGCTTGATAGTCACTAGAGATGTTTGTGGGATAAATTAAACTAAATTTTTTAATTTAATTTGGATACTTTAATGTTCTTTTTTAGTGATAAGAAACTATTTTTTATTCATTGAAGTTTTTACACAATTTAATTCAACTATTTTAAATTTACTACAGCCTTTGGGTTTGTAGGCAGGTTAATATTATTTGGTTTACACATAAATATTCCGTAATCCCAAACGAACGCAATTCATGTTCACCCTTATTTCCAACTTATCAAACGCGTCTTAGCATTTAATGTCATTAATTGAATAATATATCAATTTATTTCTGAAAAAACAAAAAGTCAAATTGGTTAAGGTTCTTTCTGTGCAAACATGGTATTTCACGTATCGTGCGGTGATAGTAGGATTAGGGACAACAGTTCTCAAACTCAGACATAAAATCTGTTTGAATGCAAACACGTACAAAAAGTTCCGCGTGCTGCTACAGTTTCGAAGAGGCACGAGTCCATGGTAACTTGTGGACTATGCTGATTGTGACTGTTTAGCCATGATATGAAATAGGACGAAACACAGGATGATCAACATGGTGGTTAATGGTTCGACAAATTAACAACCAAAAATTGTAAACTATTTTATATTGCCAGAACATAATATTTTTAATTTATGAGAATAATTTAACTTTTTATTCTAAAAAAATTAATTACAAAATAGGACCGCATTTTTATTTCCGATTCCAATTTAATTAAAGGTCTCCAATTGTAAGATATGCTTTAGTCATGGTAAAACTCAACATGGGAAAATGAAATAACAAAAATAAAACTACAGTGGCCAACTGGCCGTATAATCATCTTGGTGAAAGCTTAAGCACAGTTGTTATAGAAAAGAAAAAGTGAGAAGACATTTATACATAAAAATATTGAAAAGGTAGAGATTCCAATACATTATACATGTAACTTTATCCTATCGTTTTCTGATTAGCAACAGAGTTGGCTGATAAACCCGTCACAAAAATTCCGGGTGCAGCCAAAAGACTGAACCGTCGTTTTCTTGCGAAGATGCACCTAATTAAGGGTGTGCTTATTTTCCGTTCCAGAAAACAAATGCACTCTAAGCAGTTCTTCCCTGTTTTCTACTGATGAACTCCTCCATCACCGGGTGAATCAAAGTTCCCTCCGAAAGAGGTGAGCAAAGCAGAGAGTCCACCCCTGCTTGCTCCGCCACCAATGCCAAGACCGAGAAGATCACGGGTCATGGGCTGGCCCACAAATGGGATAGAAGGGTCCATCATCACATCTGTCACACTTCCACTCCCACCGTGAAGCCCAAGCCCAAGGTTGTCCACCACAGGCTGATTCTCTTGCTTTACTTGCCCGTTCCATTGTGCTGCTGTGGTTGCTTTGATGTTAAAATCCTCGTCTTTCCCGAAGGATGATGATGATGATGTTGTTGCTAAGCCTAAGCCACGAAGAAGGGAAGCATTGGATGCACCCATTTGAGCTGCTTTTTGGAGTAATGCAGTGGCGGATAGTGCAGGTTGAGGAGATGTTGTGAAGTGTGGGGAGTCATTGTTGGAGAGATAGAGCGGTGAGGAGAGGGAGAGGGATGTGGGTTCTATCAGATTAGAGATGGCATTGGGGTTGTCCGAGCGAGCCAAGTTTGACATGAGGTTGAAGAATGAGGAAGTTGACGGTGACTGTGAATGAGATTGTGACTGAGTTGTTGTTGTTGTGGACGGTGCCAACACACTTGCAAAAACAGTGGTGCAAGCAGTGGCACTTGAAGGGGCGCTGCTTGTCACCAAGCGCGTTGCGTTTGGAGACATGGGTGACAGCTTTGTTGGGTTTTCTGGAATTTCTAGTGCCAATATGACAAAAAAAAAAAGTTAAACAAAGGTAAAAAGTTGTGGACACAAAACGAGGAAAAGTAATTAAAACAAAAGTAGAAAAATTGTTAAACTAACCAAAAACCGAGTTAAAACTTAGAAAGAAAAGAAAAGTAAGCTTTTTAGTTTTTAAATGATTATATAATTATACTGTAAGAGAGTTAAAAAGCTCGAAATTTAATATGCATGGAGCAAAAAGTGAAGCAATTATAGAGGTCTTTCCTGTTATTCTCAGCTTCAACTTCAAATCCAGTTTCTCGTTTAGAACATGCTTGATTTCTAGCATACTTAAAAATAATTATGTTTTGTAACGAAATAAAATTAATTTTAATAGGAAATTTTTGAAACAACTATATTTTTAAACCTCGAATTACATCATTAGTTATTAAGCAATTATAAGAAATTTAGAAGAAATATAATCATACATATATGCCATCCCTATCTTCTCAGCAGATCTATCCTACCGACCTTCTGCTGGGATTGGCACTACTAAGGACAGCTAGACTTGCCCATTTTTTCAACACTTAGAACAAAACAAAAAATGACAAAAAAAAAAAAAAAACTGCATCGGTACGAGACAAAAAACACATCCTCCAAATTCAAATCATGCCTGTGTCATGCTTATAACTTATCAGCTTCGTTATCATATATATATATATATATATATATATATATATATATATATATATATATATATATATATATATATATATATATATATATATATATATATTTATCTTAAACTCTTGCTAATTAAAAAGTTGACGAAAGTCTGAAAACGTTTCTGAAAGTTCACGCAGGTTACACCTACGAAAAATAAGAAACGAAATACGTTGCAGCACAACTACGTACCTGAGCTCTGAATGGACAAGGTTGGAGACACCACAGACGCAGAAGGAGTAAGTGGAGGCGCAGGGGGCGAAGAAGCCGCGTCAACGTCGCTAGTGCTACCATTCTGGGTCTGGGTCTGGGCCTGGGCTTGGGCTTGGACCTGAGTCCTGGCGCTCTCTTGCGCTAACACATCGCAAAATGCTCTGTGCGTGATGAAACTGTCCCTCCTTCAAGAAGATACGTATTACTGTTAGTGACATTACATTGGAAAAGATAAAAATAAATATTAAAAAGAAGATAAATATTTTGATTTTGGTTTCGATTATGATTTTGATTACCTAGAGAACAAGGTGCCGCAGTCGCATCGGTACTCTCTGGTGCCACAAGTTTTCATGTGAGCTTTCCAATCCGACTGTACGGCGTATTTCTTCGAGCAGCGTTCGCATTTCCACTTTTTCTCGCCGTGTTTTCTGCAGAAGTGCTTTTTGATGCCGGTGAGGTCGCCGAGCGCCCTGGCGGGGTTGTGGTGGACACACGAAGGCTCGGGGCACACGTACGCTTTCTTCCGCGGTTCCTTGCTCCCTCGCTGCCGCAGCTTCCACGGCAAGTTGTGCCCGCGCCGGTGAAGTTGCAGGTTCTGATCGCGTTGAAACCCTTTGTTACAGATCTCGCAAACGAAACGGTTCGTCGCCAACAGTGTCTTCGGTGACAAAGCAATCACTTCAGCATCTGGATCTGAAAAAAAAAACGCCGAAGCCAAATAAAGAATATTCATAAAGTCACTAAAAAAAAATGGAATATATTCTTCTTATACGTAAGACATAAAAATTATGGACAAATAAATTCGAAGTAAATGAATAAGTATAAATATACCTGGCATTCCAGGAAGGCTTCGTTTCTTTTTTGGAGGTGAAAGAGGTTGAGGTGGTGGTTCGATTTCTGACGCTGCCGAACGTGCCAATGGTGAAAGACTCTGAGGTTCCGTCATGGTTGTTTTCTTTACTGTCGTGAACTGAACTACTCTCTCTTCTTAATTATATTTCCCCCTTTTGTAGGACTTAATTGTTTCGTTCCCAAAGATAAGTTTTTGTTTCGGTTTCGGAGAAATGAAACGGTTTGTTGTACTTTGTAGAGTGAAAGAAGGAAGCTGTCCCTTTCACCAATGAAACGGCGATTCAACGTTCTCGGCCGGTGTGTACGACGGTCCTCTTAGGCGGCGCGGTGGAGGAAGAGGAGAGAGAGAGAGGGAGAAATCATTTGAAACGAGGATGATATGTCATATGTATTGGAAAACACTAACCAGGCTGAAGCGGCAGTAGCTAACCATGGTTAAATGGCGAGGGAGACAGAACTGCTCAGAAGGTTTTTTTTTTAGAAAACAAAAACAAAATCTCTAGCTACTGAACTTACTTTATTAGTAATGACTGAATTAATAATATTTTAACTAGAAATTACGTTAAAAATACGTAAAAAATTAGGATATAACGTAGTGTTGATAATATTTTTAGTTTAAAAATAGAAAGAGAGGATATAACGTGGGCGCCAAGTTTTCCGTGGGAAATAAACAATGCGAATCCCGCCGTACACGTGTTACAAGAAGCGGTTTCATAACCTTTGTCGGGAGCAAAACCTTGAAGCGGTGGTTGTCGTGTAGTCCAGAGAGTAACCTATGGAGCAGACAAATATTTTATTTACTTTTCATTTAATCTTTGTGATAAATTGTGTCTTGACTTGACTCTCTTCTCAACAAGCATATAAATCTCTCTCTAACTGCCTCATGTTTAAAATATATTCCTTTAAACTTTATTAATTAATTAATTAATTAATTAATTAATTTCGATGATTTATTGGTTAATTTTATCCTCCATGGTCCACGTGTAGCTGTAGAATGAAAGGAGAAGTACCTGACTAAGTGGTATACAGAGTTGCACACCGTAGAAACGATTTTGGCTATTTTTCGATTGGCTTTTGTGGCTTTCACACTTCACTCGTTTGGTTTTCATGACACCATGATGATTGTCAATTCCTATCCAATATTGTGTCATCAATAGTTCGCGTAATAATTGATAAATGACAAATATTTCCAACACTTTCCTTTGCTATAATTGCATGCTACAAATTCTTCCATTATTTTTCACAAAAAAAATTATATCTATCACCCATATGATTGTTTCATAACCCAAATAATTATTCGACAATCGAAATAATACTACATTGTCTTATAGTTGTTTGGATCGTTAATTAATGGGACATTTATTTTCAAAATATTTTAAAAAAAAAAAGCAAAATACTACGTAACGTGGAGAAAACAACCTTCTTAGACCAATGTAAATTCTACAAAATTTTGTACAACCTGGGTTTTCTTATGTTATTATGTAAACTAAGAGTGTTTAAAAATAAAAATACCATAAAATGACACGCTGCGTATGTAACATTAAAATTTCACGAGTGAAGAGCATGGAAGTCACATGCTAAGATTTTGAAAATTAAGTAAGTTTTGTGTAAAGTTTAATAATAAAAGTAACGATAATAATAATAGCAATGAGTGTCGTATTAAATGCATGTTGGTTATATTTTATTTTTATGCATAAAAAGTAATGATAATGAGTCACTGACAACACAATGATAAGAATAAAATTAAAAACGTAAAGTTAAAAAATTTTAAAACTATTTTTTCATTAAAAATAATCCTAGATGGAATAAGAATATAAATTGATTATGGAATATGTAAATTTTGAAGGCCAATCAATTCCTTATTTCTTCAAAGATGCCATGATGGGGATTATAAAGGTGAAGGGCATTCTGGTCTTCTCACAAGTATACGTACAATTAAGCTTTTCTGGCTTGCATTGCACTTCAACACACACACCATTTTCGAATTAAATATTTTCTCAGGAACAGTCAACACAATGCTCCACTTTCTGACGACGCTGAAATTAATAGATTAAAATAATTTGTATTTTGAAAACACAAATTCATATGTAAAACATTAATTTGTTTTAATAAAACAAATGTTATTTTATAAAAAGATTACATGCTTAGCATCGTTATAAAATCCAGACAAAATGAATATATTTAAGATAATTAAATTTATTTTTAAAATATTGTTGCATTCATAACAATTTTAATATTTTGAGAAACTAAAAGCTATAATTTTAAACATATTTGTTACTAAATAAAATTAAAAATGTACTCAAAACACGGTTTCTTTGTTAAAGCCGAAATAAAAAACATGACTCACTGCATCACATAATGTTTTGATATTTATCCGTTTTCATAAAGTTTTCAGAATTTTATGAGAAAAATGTAAAAACACCAAATAAGTAGCATAAGGGATAAGAATATAAGATCAGGTTATTAGGAATGGGATGGGAAAACATATCCAACACGCTTCAAAATTCAAATGGATTTTAGGATAAGTTCAACGTTTTTACTTTTTTTTTTTGTAAATAAATATTATTTTTGTAAATGGTCTTTGTGTGTAAAGTTTTATTTTTAGTAATATCCTCCTAATTTTGTTTTCCAACACCGACATTTTTTCCGCTGTATTGCAAATATTAGTTCATTAAATAAGATTAAATTTATTGCAAAAGGATAGTTATAATTTTTTACCTTTCAGAAAAAAAAAACAGCAAGAATGTATAAATACATATTTCAAGGTGTGTAAGACTAAGACTTACATTATAAGTGTGAAAGAAAAAACAAGAGAGGAGAATTTATATATATATATATATATATATATATATATATATATATATATATATATATATATATATTTTTTTGTGTGTGTGTGTGTGTGTGGTGAGAGTGACATAAAATTAAAGGAAATTAATATTTAATTGAAAATTAATATTTATATAATTATAAATTATTTTTAGATTATTATAATATTTAATTTTATCAAATAATATTTTTTATTATTTTTTATAAGAAAAAATAAAAATATTATTTTTCTTTATCATTTTTATTGTTATTAAATAAAAAATTTATTACTTTCGACTGATTTTTCTATGTTTATATTTTTTTACTTTAATTTCTTTTAATAAACGGACCAAACCTTAATCTTCCTTAGTAAACAAGTTAGATAATTATGATTATTTTGTATTTTAAAAAAAATAATATTTAAAAATAAGCTTGAACATAGGAACACTTTTTAAAAGCTTCTTATATTTATTATCTGCTAATTCAGTACCTTAATGTGGTTAGAAGAGTTTATAAATATAAAAATAAAATTAGTGAGTCTTAAAGTTTAAAATGACATCTGATTATTAATTTTTATTTTTAACAATTTAGAACTCTGAGAGTTGGGGCAATCTTTATGAGTTTAATTTCTAAATTCTCATATATTTTAGTATAAAAATATTTGGCCTATCAAATAATTAAAATTGATTATGTGTATAATTTTGAAGGTGAATTATGTTGTAAAATAAAATAGGTGTTAAAAAGAAAAGAAGAAACGTGGTAATGATGAGGAGAGGGGGGCATTGGGAGTTTGGAGAAATGGATGAAATGAGAAAAGGGTTGAATTGAAGAGAAGAGCAGCCAAAAAGATAATCAAAGTCCAAATCATTACAAAATTTTCTTTTGAAATTATTATGCAAACTGCAAGCAAGCATAGGGTCCCCAAACCCACCACACCTTACAGCTGTGTCTCATCATCCCATCAACTCTCTCTCTCTCTCTTATTGAATTATATTGGTAAAATATACTATATAGTATTACATTATTAGTAAATTTATATAAAATATAGTTGCATTGCTTCCATCATTGAATTCAGACTATAATTGAGTCAACCTAGTTATTTTTTCTTCTCCCTCTGTATAAAAGAGTTTTTTTCCTCGGCTGCATAAACGAGTACTCTTTTAAAATGTATTTATTAAGATCTGATTTGTTAACATATTTATTTTTACCAGAAAAATATATCAACAAACGATAACATACCATTCAGATAAGATGGTAAAACAAATTATGCTTGGTCCAAGGTAACCGACAATATAGCGAGATAAATTAGTATTAAATTAAAAAATTATATAAAACTTTATTAAATAAATAAATATAATGTAATTTTTATTTAAATATTTTAATATAAAAAATAAAAATTTAATAAATTTTGACTGTTATATTCATATATTTATTATTATATAAATTTTATGTTAATTTAAATATTTTAAAATATAATTTATTAAAATAATATATCAATTTATATTAATTTAAAAAATATATATATATATATATATATATTAAATGGGTGATAATGATAATTTTATTATTAAATTTATTAAAATATTTAATTTAAAAATAATAAAATATAAATATGATGAGTCTTTTGTTGGATTGGCTAAAACTGTAGTCAACTATGAATATAACGAGCAAGTATGTCATGTCCCGCTTTTGACCTACCAAAGAGAGAACGGACTTACCTATTTTACCATTCTACTATTTACTAATAAATAATAACTTATTTTTTAAAATAAAATACTAAAATATTATAAGTACGATTATCTTAATAAACATAAAATGCGTAACTTGTTAATATATTTTTTAAGCAATAATAATTACAAAATTTATCTTTCAAAATGTAAGATTTTCCTTTTTACCAAACACGCCTCCGTTATATTTTTCTTAAGAAAATTTTAACAAGATGAAAATTCGTGTTTTTAAAATTTTATGAGATATTTAATCAAAGTTACTCTTTATTAAAAAAGAACCCACATATAATTTATATAAAATGGAAATTCTGACAGTAAGAATATAAAAAATATATTTATAATTTTTTCCCTATCTTTAACTCAACTCCCACCCTCCACAAAAGATGTACTTCAATAGAAGGCAATCAATTTATACCGATTCTTTCTCCCCTGCTATATATTTAAAGAAGTACTACATATCATCACTTTAATAAAATCATAGTTAGAATATATATAAAAAAGATGATATAAATTTACTCTAATCTCTAGCGCTATAGCCACCCTGCATAAAGATCTAGCTGGAAGGCAATTAATTTTGTACTCTCTTCCGTCCAACCCCCACACATCCAACTTTACAAGATATTAACGTCGTATGCACCAAAAATAGACAAACTTTATATAGGTGAAGATTGCTAATAACCTGCCCTTCAATATTTGTACTCTGTTATTGATGAAATCTACGTACTATGCTCATCTAATAACAAGTATATTATTTATTAGTATTTCTCTTAATAGTTCAACTAGTTTACAGTATTAATTACTACTTCTCGCGTATCAAGCATCTTTAAGTAGCAAGTCAACGAAAATATACGATCCTCACACTGCAGCATTAACTGTAGTAGATTATGATCCTATGTACGCTTAAGAGGCATAATATGAACAACAGATTTCTCATCTAAGTACGTTTCAGATGTTAAATATGTATATATCACTATCACATTTTGTATCTACTAGTTCAAATGTGCAGTAGGAGTTGGATATTCCAAGGATCTCACTTTGTCAATTGTCGCATCTTAGAAAGTTAGATGCTGAGGCATGAACTTTTCAGCTATCGACAAATGAACCACTCAACCAAGCAGGATCCGACTTACACAATTCATGAACGGCAGGCATTAAATATTTGCCCCCTCATTGCATCAATTGGCATGTGCTCAAATGTGTAACGCTCAGGACCAAAGTAAACTCCTGTCCTCTCCAAAAGTGCAATACTTTCATCCCTACCGTATCTTGAAGCATACAGTCTGAGGTACTCGATGTCCTAAAAGTCAAGGAAAACGGAATCTAAGATCAGAATGCAAAAGAGAAAAAAACTTGCAACTCATGCCAGCACATGGCACGAATATAGATATTCAGGCAAGAAACAGAGATGGGAAAGCCACATAAGGAAGGAGGCTGGACATTTCTTCAAAATATGTTGAGAACAACTAAGAGAAGACAATGTTTTTACCTGCAAGCCATTAAGTATGCGCTCTAGTCTAAGAGAAGCCACTGGCTGATGAGAAGTTGAGAACACCTCACCAGGATAGTATAGAACTCCATCTCCAGGGGGAAGACCATGCCTGAACTTTATCTGTGTTCAAAACATTATTTTGATTGTCAGAAAATAGTCAAATTATGAATGCAGTATAACAAGTTCTAACAGTTCGAATTTTTTAGCAGATAGCATAAACAAGCTATACAATCACCTCTGCGCTGGCTACGGTTGCCTTCTCATAGCAGTTGGCCCCCCAGTACAAAAATCCTGTGCCACCCTCTTTCCACACACGCCACATGACGGCTCGGTGTTGTGTGCCTCGCATTCCTAGATGCCAATTTGGATGAGGATCTGACGGTCCCATACAGACATATGTCCACCATTCCTGTAGCAAAAACCACCTGCCCCTAATGAGCAAATAAGAGTATATGTGTACCAGCATAACATTAATATGCATCGCTTGTTATTCTTCTGGCTTAGGATATTCCATTACGCTCTCGGAATCTTCTCTAAGAGCATTACTTGGTAAATATTCAGTTCAACGGACAACCTATTTCAGCAATAAGTACACGCATTAATAATGATTTACCAATCCATTGCTGATGAATATCAACCTCTATAGCTAAAAAGTGTTTGTCAGAGGAAAAATGTTGGAATCCAATCGATGTAATCATGCTGATTGTTAAGAATCAAAGAAAATGTGACTTCAAACTCAATTAAATAACGCAAATCCTCCCAGACTTTGGTACACCTAATTTGTCTGAGCTACTAAGTAAATAAAAACATATTGAAATAGTTGATAAATCAATATTCTATTTTATTTAGAGTATAGTAGAAATTATCTCTCGGAACTATTTTTCAGTTAATATTTCTTGGCTTTCATCTTTCATATGATCTTGCGATTTGTTTACTAGTTTACTTGTACTATTTCTCAGTTTGCTCGTTTTCTAATATTTTGTGAATGGTTTCTCTCCTTATTCAGTTAGGATTATTCGTAAATAAGGATGAGTTTAAGGGGGTAGGGAAAGAACGAAGAAGAAGGAGAGAGAAATCAGATAGAACTTGAGTTGCTATTGCAAAAAGAGGATCAGGAGATAGGAAGGGAAATAGTACAAAAACACAAAGTGAAGTTGAATAAAAACGGAGATATGTTCAGAATAAGAAGACAAGTGCACAACATAACATAACACAATCAAATATACCATTATACAATTCCCCTCATTTTCTCTTCTACCTCGCCGGTCCGCCAATATGCTACCATGGCCATCTAGCTTGTTATTCTAATACCTTTTACTCCATAAGATCAGATTTAAGTTCATGTTATTGGTTTATTTAAATAAATCATTAAACTTAAGTCACTTTATTTAAAATATTTTCAAATGAATTAAAACCAAATATTTTAAAATAGTAATAAGAAAGTCAAAACTAAGTGCGCCAAAATTCGTTGATTACGTATAGGTATACATTACATATTAATTACAACAACTTAGATAACTACTTGGGATATATCAGTATTTTCTCTTTGGATAATGAGTAACTTGCACTATTTAAAACAATAATTTAGGGTGCTATTAGTGTCCATTTTGGATCCTCTTCCTTTTTGGTTATCATCCTTTCAACTTTTAACACATGATTTAAAGAATCATATATCTTTGATTTCCGCATTGCACTTGGGAATATAGAGTAAGAGTCCGTTTTTGTCGAGTTAAAATATTCATATTTTTCCACTTCTTTCAAAGATTTCTCATAACTAAATAATAACTATAAACAATCTCCAACAAGCTTGATTTTTTGTCATTAAACTTTGTAATTTCTATGTTAAAAAGGTAAAACAAATATTTTTGTTATTTACACTTTGTACATTTAATTAAAGATAATTATTTTAGAACTACCTTCTTCATATGAAGCTAATAACTTTATACGTGACCGACTCCTGGATTGAAAATATGGTTTAGAAAACACCAGTTTTTGCAATGTTTTATCCAAATAAATAAACTTTGGTGTCAATTCCCTTTCCTTTAATTTCTTTTCAAGCTTTTCCGCTCACTACAGGCACCTGACATCTTTCACAATTATTTATACATCACAAATATACAATTAAAATGGGAGAATACTAGATGCATTGAACACAGGTGTATATGTACACGTGAGTGAGAGGTATAGGTCTATCCTGTAGTGCATATGAAAGCCGATGAGTCCCTTGAATAAGGCAGCCTGAGCCTTGGTTTTAACAATTAATACGCTGAAATTTTTTGAAGGAAATAGTCTTGGAAGCCGGTCAAGGTCATAATAATAAGTACTGTATATAAGAATCTATCCTAAAACGTTGATGCTAGTGCTGTTTTCAAAACCCAGATCATGGAAGACACGACAGGGAAAAAGACCATGAGGAACATAGAGCTGGGCCTCCTAATAAACAGGTAGACTTAGGCCACTATTATGAAAAAAATATACCCAACAAGAGTTCTTACTTATTTTTATGAGATTTTATTCAACCACCAGCATTGATGAGGATTGATAAATATCAACCACTTTTCAGCCGAAATTTAGTGCATAAACCAAATAACAACTTCGGAAAAACAATGAAATTATAATATTACCTCACCATTCTCTGGTTGTAATTCAGCAATAATATCCTTAACCAGATCCTCCCGATTGCCCAGAACCCATTCACTGCAACACATTCAATTACTTAGCATGCTTAACAATATTACGTACATGGTAAAAATGATTTTCTTCCAAGGGCACAAAAACGAGCCTGAGAAATAAACCCATCAAGGTATCCAAAAAATAACACTACAGTTCAGTAACCTCGCTGAAACTCAACTCTTCATGCATATGGAAATGAATTGATCCACCTAACAAAACTTCCAAATATGAAGGTGGACAATGTAAAATGTACCAGGGTCATCAGTCCCGTGAAAGCACAATACCTCTCACCCAAACAACAAAACACAATCAATTTTCACAACAAAGTCCTTTAACAAATAGTAGTAATCTGTTTATTACTGTGGGAAATCAAATAGTATTTTAGGAAAGAATAAATCAGGAAATTTGTATATTTCCTTGTAATCTGTACAGATTTGAATAATTAAAAACAATCCCATAAATCAAGGGATCCTAGCATAAAATAGAGTTATTATATTTCCTAAAATAGCTTAGGTCTCCTGTATATATCTTATATCATCTTTTTGTATTGATATAATAAAAAATCATATTTCAGTTAATCTATTTTTCCAGATGGTATCAGAGCTTCCGATCTAGGAAGCTATGTCTGCGCGCGATAAACCCTAAGACGACAGCCTACATTGCTGCTGCATATTTCTTAACCCTAAGACGGCAGCCTAAGCTGGCAGCCTAAGACGACAGCCTGCATTGCTGCTGCATATTTCTTAACCCTAAGACGGCAGCCTGCATTGCTGCTGCATTTTTCTTAACCCTAAGACGGCAGCCTGCATTGCTGCTGCATATTTCTTAACCCTAAGACGGCAGCCTGCATTGCTGCTGCATTTTTCTTAACCCTAAGACGGCAGCCTGCATTGCTGCTGCATTTTTCTTAACCCTAAGACGGCAGCCTACATTGCTGCTGCATTTTTCTTAATCCTAAGACGGCAGCCTGCATTGCTGCTGCATTTTTCTTAACCCTAAGACGGCAGCCTGCATTGCTGCTGCATTTTTCTTAACCCTAAGACGGCAGCCTGCATTACTGCTGCATTTTTCTTAATCCTAAGACGACAGCCTGCATTGCTGTTGCATCACACCTCCTTGCTATGATGTCAAGGGAAGAGGAAGTTGTGAATCCAAACCCAGAAACAGGGAATACCCAATCCCAGCAATCTGGAGTACTGCAGAATATTCATTTTGCATATAGACTAAATGGAAGAAATTATTTGAAGTGGGCCCAACTTGTTCGTACAGTGTTGAAGGGAAAGGGGAAGTTAAGTCACCTGATGGAGTTTGGACCTAAGCAGGAGGATCCCAAGTTTACTACATGAGATGAAGAAGATTCAATGATCATGGCGTGGCTGTGGAATTCAATGATTCCAGATATCAGCGACACCTGCATGTTCCTTAATTCGGCAAAAGATATTTGGGATGCTGTAGAGCAAATCTACTCTAAAGCCAAAGATGCTGCTCAAGTATATGAAGTAAAGGTGAAAACTTTGGCAACAAAACAAGGGAACAAGACTGCTACAGAATATGCCAATCAGCTGAAATCATTGTGGATGGAGCTAGACCATTATAGAGTCATAAAAGCCAAATGTACTGAAGATTCAACACTTCTCAAGGAGTATATCGAACAAGAAAAAGTTTATGATTTCCTTGTTGGTTTGAATCCTGAATTTGATCAAGTTAGGATTCAAATATTGGGGAAGAAAAAGGTACCATGCCTCAATGAAGTGGTGGCTATTGGGAGAAGTGAAGAAAGTAGAAGAGGTCTCATGTTAGAGAGTCCAGCAGTAGAGAACTCAAGACTGGACCATAAAGGAGATCGACTTTGGCCATGGTAACCGAACGGAAGAAAGGATCAAGCAAATGTGGAGAATAAAGGTGATGGTCTCCGGTGTGCCTACTCGCAATAAACCTCGTCATACCCGAGAGAAGTGTTGGAAGTTACATGGGAAGCCTTTAAACCGAGATCGAGAAGGGGGACACAAAGGAGGCTCCTCAAGGAAAGGAGGACAAGTTTATGTTATGTGAGTTGCTATGGCTTAAAATCATCTTAGAAGACTTGAGGATAAATTGGGAAGAACCTATGAAGCTCTATTGTGATAATAAGTCAAGCAATCAGTATAGCCCACAACCCGAGTGCAAGCATGATAGAACAAAGCATATTGAAGTAGACAGACACTTCATCAAAGAAAAGCTTGATAGTGGCTTGATATGCACTCCATATGTGTCCTCTCAAGACCAAATTGCGGACATTCTTACCAAGGGACTGGGCTGCCATAATTTTGAGAAGATTGTATCCAAGCTGGGAATGGAAAACATCTATTCACCAGCTTGAGGGGGAGTGTGGGAAATCAAATAGTATTTTAGGAAAGAATAAATTAGGAAATTTGTATATTTCCTTGTAATCTGTCATGATTTGAATAATTAGAAACAATCCCATAAATCAAGGGATCCTAGCATAAAATAGAGTTATTATATTTCCTAAAATAGCTTAGGTCTCCTGTATATATCTTATATCATCTTTTTGTATTGATATAATAAAAAATCATATTTCAGTTAATCTATTTTTCCAGAATTATTAGAGAACATTTTAGTGTCATTCTATCCATGAAGCACCAATATTTCAATTTATTTCATGTATCTGTGTATTCGATATCCATACTCTAGGATACTCCACTGTTATGTGTCGATAAAGTATCAAAATTTATGAAAAACCAATACTTTGATTTGTTTCATGTATCCTATACTCATACTTTTTTCACCAATATGTGTTGGTGCAGTGCCTACACTTTTGTAATGCATTTATATTCAATAAAACTACAAGAAACATACTGTACCTAATATAGAAACACCAAAACATTGCCTCCTTATAAATCAAAGATGAAAATTGTTCTCTTAATAATTTATTTTTAAAAGTAATGAAATTGAGAGTGTTATTCCTATATCTAAAGGATAGAAATTAATTTATGATGATAATGATTTATAACTTTTTATTTCAACAATGTCTAAAAAATGTGTTTTTAATTTTGCTTTGCACTACTGCAGTTACATATTTATTATATTCTATGAATTTTTATACATTTTTAAACATGTATCTTGCTCATACCATATTCTGTTTTTTTTAGAATAACCATATCACCGTATCAGTATACTTGACTACAAAAATAAGATCCTCAAAATTGCTACACCAAGAAAATCCCACAAATTGAGATTTAAAAAATTACTTCACCATAAACAGAGTCTCACTACATAGGTAAATTTCAGGAACCATAACCAAATATTTCAGGAAGTAAGGACAGAAAAATGTATTAAAATATCAATATCAATAACAATTCTGGATCACAAGTGTAGAATGTGTCTAGAACATTGTTTACGTCCTTATGTCCTAAAGTAGGTCAAAAACCAAATAATAAAATCAACACAGGACAATCCCCAAAAAAGCACAAACACTTAAAAACAGTATACCAAAATATATGTCAATACCAAGAGTAACTTGAAGAATTAAAAAGCAAAAAGATAACTTCCAATATGTCTTTTGGATAGCCTTGGTCAAAAATAGGCAAATCTAGAAAACGGTAAATATAGAGCAATACCTTGTACAATAAATTTGATTATGTGGACGCAAAAAACTCGGAACTTTAACAAAAGCATCAAATGGAGTAGGTGCAAGAGGAGCATCGTTTGGTCCTTCAAAAATCAAGCATCATAGATTAAGTTATTTCATGAAAAAGAAAAATCAACTGCAGAATTCAAAATGAACCAACTAGGGGGAGAAAGCTGAGATGCAGTTGGAATTAACAGTCATCAAATAATATATGAATTAATTGTGAAGTGTGTCCCACAATCATCAGAAACATGCAGCAAAAGCAATAATCAACAAAGAAAATCTGTGATTGGAATCATATAAACACACAGATTGTTTTGTATTTTCCCAGGTCATAGTCACAACACTTTTATGAAATACTGTCAAGTTTAATCTGAACAAAGTCAGAAATTGTCAACCAAGATTGTGTATAGAGCTAAAATATTAACTCCAAGAATGTGGCAGTAAACAAATTATACCATTCTACCTAAAATCTAACAAGGTTAAATTTGCCATAAATAAGAATATATGGTATTTCTTAATTTAGTAATATAGGAACAAACAAAGATTGGAAATGTTCAGCAAAAAGAAACTGTATGTAAATCATTTCCGCAGTAAAACTATTCTTAGATCCAATAAATGTATAGACCCATGGATGATACCAGTTCCAACTATTCAAATTTAAGGTATTAACACATACCACAATAGTACGTAGTTAAGATACGAGCATCTGGAGCATAAGCATGAATCTCACTGGCCATATTGCGGACGGAATCATATTGTTCCAAGTTCAGTGGCTGGAAAAAAATATGAAAGCAATATAGCTTATCAGGATCATAGTATGCTGTACCTGGTACATAGTTATACTAACCAAACTGCAAAAATTTAATGATGTTACTAAAAAATTATTTGACAGAAAAGCATGAAAACTATTAACCAACGACTACTGCAAGAGTCACTTGCACGATTTTTTGTGTTTTTTAAGCAGCACTATCCAATCAAGAGATAGAACAAAGGTAGTTCTAAACTAAGATTCCATCCTAGGAAGAATTTTATATTATTGTAAATGATAGCGCACATGTCTATACCTCATCCCACAAGTAAAAGTAAGCTTTTCTCCAGTGAGTCTTGGTTCTCAATATCTCAACTTGTTTCTGCAAGTAATCCTTCCCCGCATCAATACTGTGGCACATCAACAGGTGGGTTGAATCTTATCAGTTTTCATCGCAAATATACCTGATAGAAGCCAATGGAGACAACTGACTGTATACCCGGAGATTACTTGTTTATATGGTACAGCATATGCTGCCAACCGTGGATCAGAAAAATATTCATCTGACTTCGGATGTTCCGCTACAATGGCAAGAAGAGGGAAGTTTGAGCAATGCCATATTCATTCTTTTTTTGCAATTGATTCTATCAAACTAATTACCCAAAAAAATACCTGGCCATGGAGATGTGTATGTCAAAACACGCATACCATCAGCCCACTTACAAAAATATGGGCTGATTCTATATTGAAGAAGCCATTTGAAATGTTGATCCAATGCCTCATACCACTCAGCTGTCCCTTGTTGAACGCCAAAGCGATCCTCAATTACAGTATCAGATATCTAGTGTAAAGTAAAGGTAAAAAAAAAAGTTTGCAGCAAATAAACATTCCTAATTCCTAATTTTACAAAGATACAGATCCAAAAGTGTAAAATGACAACTAGGAGGCCCTAATTGAACAAAATGCAGTAATATCTATTGTAAAACTTAAATTAGTCGTTTGGTATTCCTAGAATAATATTAATGATTTTAGGCATGAGTGACATAACCAAGAAATATGGGTTGTATTTAATAGGTATTATGATTTACTCTGGGCATTTGAAAAGGCAAACATTTTACCTATAAATACTTGTAACAACTCATTTGAAATCGTAGCAGAAGAAACATTGAGAGATTAAAAGAAAACAGAGTGCTGCCAACTTTTACTTTCTGCCTACTTGATGCCAACAAATTGGCATCAGAGCTTGTGTGTGTGAGGTGAGCGTGAGAGAACCTACCAAGCCTCAAGAGAGAACGCCGCGGTGTGCACTGACTGAGAGAGAGAGAGAGGAGCGACCGAGAGTTTTGTGAGGTGTGTGAGTTGAGTGCAAACACTTGAGAGAAATGACAGGTCTAACCAATGACATCCCGCTATCCAAGTTGGCGAAAGACGCCAATTATGACAACTGGAAGGTACAAATGAAGGCCCTTATCGGCTCCCAAGATAACTGGGATGTGGTCGAGACTGGATATGAGGAACCGGCAAACACAGATGGGTATTCAAATGCCCAGTTGAGCGCGTTGAAGGCCGTTCGAAATAAAGACAAGACGACTCTGTATCTGTTATACTGAGCCGTCGACGAATCCGACTTTGAGAAGATAGCCAACGCAAAATCTTCCAAAGTATCATGGGATACATTCGAAAAAACAAACAAAGGAGATGAACGAGTGAAGCAAGTTCGACTTCAAGCCATAGGGGCGAGCTAGAAAACATGAAGATGAAAGAGTTTGAAAGCGTATCCAAGTTCATTACTCGGGTGGAGACCGTGGTGAACAAGCTGAATCGGAATGGTAAGAGTCTTTCATCAAACTGAGTTGTTGAAAAGATTTTGTGGTCATTGACGGATGATTTCGAGAATATCGTGTGCACAATAGAGGAGTCGAAGGATCTATCAACGCTCACCCTTGAAGAGCTTGTTGGGTCCCTGGAAACACATGAGCAAAGAAGGAAAAATAAGAAGAGGGAGTCCCTAGAACAGGCTCTCAAGGCAAAGGCGATAATAAAAGAGGAGAAGATGCTCTATACTCAGAGTACCAAAGACCGAGGAAAAGGCAGAGGTCAAGGTGGTAGAGAAAGAGGAGGACGAGGAAATGAGCAAGTCGGCCAACAAAACTGACGTGACCGAGGTCAGGCTCGGGGTGGCCGGACAAACACAAATAATGTTGAATGCTATAACAGTGGAAAGTATGGACATATTGCTAAGGATTGTTACTCGGTAAAATGCTAGAACTGTGGAAAGCTGGGTCATATTTCCAAAGATTGTAGGTCCGAGAAGAAAAATGAGGAACTATCAAACTTCCTTGCCGAGGAAGAAGATGAAGGATTGTTGATGGTGACAAACATTTCAAAAACTGAGGGCAAACCAAACTGTTCTAATAACTCGGTTTGGTACTTGGACACCGACGCATGTAACCACATGTGTGGTGACGAACGCTTATTCAAAATACTTTCAAAGGTGGAGTCTGGATTCGTTTCTTTCAGCGATGCTTCGAAAGTAGCTGTCAAAGGCCGAGGAACAATCTAGTATCAACAGATAAATGAGCAAATCGGAGATATCAGAGATATATACTACATACCTGATCTCAAAAACAACATACTGAGCATGTGACAGTTAATGGAGAAGGGGTACTCTGTTCTGATGAAGGACCGAGAAATACAACTGAAGGATAAATTCGGGAGGCTCATTGCTCTGGTAGAAATGAAGAAAAATCGCATGTACAAACTTGTGCTGAAAATAGTTCAAGATAAATACATGCAATTTATATGGAGGATGAAGCCATGAAGTGGCATTTTCGATTCGGTCATCTTCACTTTGGTGGGTTGACCGAGCTGGTAAAAAAGATGGTGCTCGGATTGCCTAAAATGGAATTTGAAAAAAGGTTCTATGAAGAATGTATGATCGAAAAGCAAGCGAGGACTTCTTTCCCAAGGAGTTTTGAGTACCGAGCAAAGGAGCAACTCGAACTAATCCATACCAATTTGTGTGGGCCAATAACTCCAAAATCTTTTAGTGGTAAGAGATACTTCGTCTCTTTCATTGATTTCTCGAGAAAAAATGTGGGTTTATTTTTTGAAGGAGAAGTCAGAAGTATTTGAAACTTTCAAGAAACTCAAAGTGATGGTAGAGAAAGAAACAAGCAAAGCCATCAAAGCAGTCCGATCTAACAGAGGAGGTGAGTTCACTTCTGCTGAGTTTAATAAATACTGTGAGGAACATGGGATCAAGTGTTTCTTGACTACCCCATATTCTCCGCAGCAAAACTGTGTAGCGGAACAAAAGAACCAAACCATTCTCGATATGGTTCGATCTATGTTGAAATGGAAGATTATGTCGAAGAAGTTTTTAGGCAGAGGCAGTGCGCAGTCTATGTGCAAAATAGATATCCACATGTAAAGCTAGGTGAGAAGACACCTCAAGAGATCTGGAGTGGTATGAAGCCGAGTGTCTCTCATCTGAAGGTGTTCGGTAGCGTGGCCTATAGGCAAGTACCAAGTCAGCACAGGACAAAATTAGAAGATCGGAGCAAGAAATACATAATTATTGGGTATGATGAAAAATCTAAAGCATATAAATTGTTTGATCCTGTCAACAATAAAGTGGTGGTAAGCCGAGATGTTCACGTGAAGAAAACAAAGCAATGGTGCTGGAGTAACCCGGCCGAAGAAGAAACTAGCTCAGAAATTGTTGTGCCTTCAACAACAACAACCACCGAGTCCTCAGATGAAGAAATAGAGCCACAACAGCCCAGGATGAGAAGTCTGCAGGAAATATACAAAACTACAAATGAAGTTCATGTTGTATATCTTTTGGCTGACTTTGAAGACTTGTGTTTTGAGAAAGCTGTCCAAGATAAGAAGTGGAGAACGGTCATGGATGAGGAGATTGGAGTGATTGAACGCAACAAAACTTGGAAGTTGACTGACCTTTCTGAAGGAGCTTTACCCATTGGAGTAAAATGGGTGTACAAAAGGAAGATGAATGTTGAGGAAGAGGTTGAGCGTTATAAGGCTCGACTTGTGGTGAAGGGTTATAGACAAAAGGAGGGAATCGACTATGATAAAGTATTTGCTCCTGTCACGAGAATGGAGTCAATATGACTTCTGATCTCATTAGCTGCTCAGAACCAATGACAAATTCTACATATGGATGTGAAGTCGGTCTTTCTAAATGGAGTGTTGAAGGAAGAGGTGTACGTCGAGCAACCACTCGGGTACATGAAGAGAGGGGATGAGAAGAAGGTGCTGAGATTGAGAAAAACCCTTTATGGGCTAAAACAGGCTCCTTGTGCCTAGAATGAGAGAATTGACGGGTATTTCAAGAAAAATGGGTATGAACAATGTCCATACGAACATGCCTTGAACACAAAGAAATCAGAAAAGAATATGATGGTGGTCACTCTCTATGTCGACGACCTCATATTCACCGGAAGTAATGCGAAGCTGATTAAGGAGTTCAAGGAGGTAATGAAAAAAGAGTTTGAGATGACAGACTTAGGCTTGATGAAATATTTTCTTGGCCTAGAAGTGAAGCAACTGGAGGAAGGGATTTTTATATCCCAAGAGAGGTACACGCTTGAAATTTTAAAAAAGTTTAAAATGGAGGACTGCAACCCGATTTCTACTCCAATGGAACTGGGTACTAAACTATCAAAGTTTGATGAAGGAGAACGAGCTGATTATGGGAGATATCGAAGCTTAATCGGAAGTCTGAGTACCTTACAAGCAGGAGACCCGACCTAATGCTGAGTGTTGGGATAACGAGCAGATACATGAAGAATCCAAGCTACACACATTGGAAGACCTTGAAGAGAATTCTGAGATATGTTCGAGGAACCCTATCATTTGGTCTTTTCTATTCAAAATCGAATGACTATCGACTAGTGGGTTACTCAAATAGTGATTGGTGTGATGATGTTGATGACCGGAAAAATACTTCGGATTATGTATTCCTACTCGGGAAAACAACTTTTACTTGGTTGTCAAAGAAGCAACCCATTGTAACTCTGTTGACCTGCGAGGCCTAGTATGTGGCGGCCTTTTGGAGTGTGTATGCAGTTTGGCTTTCAAATCTACTAAGGCATCTCGGAATGATCCGAGACGAAAGGACTGTAATCCGAGTTGATAACAAGTCGGCGATCGAGTTGGCAAAGAACCTATTTAATCACGGAAGGAGCAAGCACATCGACGTCCGATTTCATTTCATCCGAGAACAAGTCAGAGAAGAAAAGGTCGAGCTAGAGCATGTTGAAAGTTGAGCTCAAGCAGCAGACGTATTCACCAAGCCACTGCCAACTACACAGTAAGGGGAAGATTTGTTGTAAAACTTAAATTAGTCGTTTGGTATTCCTAAAATAGTATTAATGGTTTTAAGCATGAGTAGCATAACCAAGAAATATGAATTGTATTTAATAGGTATCATGATTTACTTTTGACATTTGAAGAGACAAACATTTTGCCCATAAATACTTGTAACAACTCATTTGAAATCGTAGCAGGAGAAACATTGAGAGATTAAAAGAAAACAGAGTGCTACCAATTTTTACTTTCTGCCTACTTGTTGCCAACAATATCATGCTTTAGTCATGGAGTTTGTTTAAAGAGACTAAGTCTTAGGCATTTTAGCATTTAATGATCCAACTGAGACAATACAATTGCCAGTTACATTTTCTACAAACTGTAGAGATAAATTATTATTACATTAGAAGGGGAAATATCTTGGCAAATAATCCTCACTATTCGTTATTAATTTTGTTCTCAATTACTGTATCATTTCTTTATCATAAATAATAATAATAATACTCGTGTATATGACCCTAAACATTACCAAAAAATATATCAAATAAACTGAATTTAGATCTGTGGAATTTTATGGGTAGAGGATACACCAAATACGGCAGGGAGTGAAGGAGTTTCAGGAAGTACAAATTCCCAAACGGTCAGATTTAACTTCACCCTTAGAGAGAGACTTGAGATGGCATCCTCATCCATTATGTCTACTGGTCCATTATCTGAAATGAATTCAGAAAATGATGGAGACAGAAGAATCCTTCTTAAAGATGTAGTCGCAGATTTCACCCTCTCAACCTAAACAACATATGCTTACATAAAAAAACCCATAATAACATTAAGGTCAAGAAGAGTATCAAAATGAGGAACAGTGATCTAAAAACAAAACCCACCACTTCATCTAATGGTTTTCCATCAATTGGCTCAACAACATCAAGACATCCCTTTAGGTCCCTATACAATTGATGTTTCTCAACCTTGCTTAGACTTAGCAAATGAGATCTGTGCAGTGGGAAAAGTTGACAAAGTCGGTAAACAGGAGTTGCAAAATTATGTGTACAGAAGTAAAAGATTGTTAACAGGCTCACTCTGCATCTGCTTTTATGGCAGTAATGAGAATCTCTCCTTCATATTGTCCTGGTGGTTGAGAACTTGGAACATCAATAGATATCCAAAGAGCAGTAGTCTCCCTAAAGAAGCAACAGAATGCCAAAAACAGCGAAAACTGAAAATTAGTCAACCATCCGGCAATTTTTTTCACACAGCCCTAGAGCTCAAGGAGAACATAAATCAGACAAGTACCCAGGAAATAGGTTTATTTGACTGACTGGAAGCTGAACAGGAACAAGAGCATCAGGTACACCTAGAATGGGCACCACGCGCCGCAACAGCAGAGACTGTCCAACAATCAGTCTGCCAAAACTGATGTTAGCATAAAATGGAAGTAAATCATGAATTTGTTCCATACAATATGAAAAACTCCAACCTGTCTCCGGATATGGAACATAGGTCATTGCACTGAATCTGCACGGTCCCTGCAGCACTAGAACCACCCCATGAAACCTTTGGTCGGATAGCTATTTGCACACTCTCCCTCTCATTTCTAGCTGCCAGCAGGTTTATCTACGAGATAAAGCCAAAATCTCTAATATCAGCAGAAAAATAACAAATGTATCAGGATTTATAATTTCTTTAAGTCCAACATGATTCTACAACTTTTTTATGCATAAAACTCCAACCAAAAATTTAAGGTAATGAAATTTTGTGTTCCAAAAGTGAAAGTCATATGTGCATCTCATAAGCAATATTCAAGCCATATCCCCAAGTTCTCAGAATTTAAAATTGGCATGCCAAACTCATGCATTAATTAACCAAATAATACCAAACCATTTTGAGGCATACATCAAGTGCTGTCAAGCGTGTAATTGAGCAACTATGAAGGCCAGAGTCAATTTACAAGTGGATAACACCCTTGAAAAAATGTGAAATAAAAACATTACAATTATTGTGCAGTTACTATTCATAAACAATAAACACTAGGTCATGCTAACAGAATACATGTAATTGTGTATACATTGCATCTAACGGATTATTAAAATAAAGCACTAAGATTTTACTAAAAGATGACAAGGAATATAAGCCTCCACAATGATATACAACAAAAATACTAACAGGCTCCAAATGTCTGGGCATATCTTGAGGTCCAACATTTGCTGTGTTTGGCATGCACCATACATGCACTAAATCCCTAGTTGAAATTTCTGTGGGGTCAACTGGTCCCTTGACATTCAAACCATGTGTACCGCCATCATTCCACCCATAAGCTGTACCGCCTCCAGCAACACCTTCAACCGGTGGCACAACCACATCTTGAGAATTCCCTGCCAGATGCATCAACCAGTCAAATTGTAAACCTCAACACGTGTTCACGAAAGATCAATGTACTCCCCAACTTTTTGTTTTCAAAAACAGAAAAGTTCCACAATCCACTGGACCCATTCCTCAAAAGGTCAAAATAATAAAAAATTTCAAATATATCTATTTTTTAGACTCTTTCAATAATTATCTCACTGAACCAGGCGAAGCACATCAACTAGCCCATTGACACAAGATACATTATGAAACTCATTAAATGCGTATGGATGTGAGTCTATTGCAGCCTTTTATTCAAAAGCTTCAATAGCTAGTGTTAGGGGATGATGGTCAAAGTTCCAAACAAGCCATAAGATGTTTTTGCAGAGTTCTACCGACACCCGATCCAGATCAAAATTTGTAGAGAAATAAACAATAAAAGGGGAAACAAAAACAAATACAATGAAAAAAAAAGGTTGCACATTAACAAAACTTTCAAACCTCTCACAGAATTCAAGCACAGCTCCTCACTCACTCACATCACATAAATGCAGTTCAAGTTATGTTTTAACAAAGTAATTTCAAACATCGCAACACAGTTAAATTTCGAATAATCTTGCGCATCATGTAGATTCTTCATACACAAGCCCTCTGAAACCTCATTTTACACAGCTACCGACTTAGCAACCGCCATAGATCGGTTAGGTCTCTAAGGCCACAACAAATTAAGAAACATAATCCATAACTAAATCAAAAGCAACCCGCGGCTATTGTAAGCACAGCGCACCGAAACTTCGAATCCGTGTGATTATGCCCAAATTAAAGCGTAGGAAACGAAAGATTTTTTTTTTTTTAGATTCGAATTGTGAACATGAAAAGGATTGGCAAAACGAAGAAACTGTTAATTGCGAGTGAAAGAGAGGAAGCGGTATGCACGAAAGTGAGAGAAAGGAGTTTGAGAACGAACCGGAGTTGTCCATGATGGATCGATGGAGAGTGTTCCGATGCTACGGTGAGTAATGATCGCGTTTTGTTTGAGAGTAGCCAAGATTTTTCTCTTTGTAGGCAATTCAGAGAAACCGGAAGGAAGTGAATAGTAACTACTTCAGGTAAACTTCACATTTTATTTATCAATGGAAAAAAAAAATTACTCCATTTCAACTCTTCCTTCTTTTCACTTTATTCTCTCTCTTTTTTTCCTTATTCTGCTACATCTATCATATCTATTATTATTTTTTCTATATTTTTCACTTTCTTTTCTTCTCTCTCATCTCATCCCAAAATAGACAAAATGGTTGCAATTTCTCTTTACCAATACCTCTACTACATTAAAGATTTAATATCAATAACTTATTGTTTTTAATTAATTGAAATTTTAATGTGCAATAAAAACTATTAGAAATCATTATTAAAGTTATTGAAGTAAAATTTTAATTTCAAGTAAAAGCAACGTTGAGTCAACTAATATATAAAAATAGTAGCTTTTTTATTCAGGGATTTTTTGAAGAGAAGTAATGGTCGCGGTTAAGAGTTAGATTTCAATCTTGTGTGAGAAAATATTTGTTAATCTTTTAAATAGATTTTCAGTATTTTGAAGAAATAATTTTAACTTTGTATAGTTCAAAGAAATTAATAATAAAATATTCCACTTTGAGATAGACTATAATACAACAGAAATCTGTGGTAGATTACAATGGAAAGAGAGAAACAAAGAAAAACTAGGCAAAACAAAAAAACATGTGTAAAAAAAGTATAATCACTTTAAGTAAACAGTATATTTGAATTTTTTTTAAAGATTTATTTAAATTTTAAAAATTGAGTGTTTCTCATTTTATTGGCAATCAATATTAAGTTATAATACTAATAATAAATATTTGGAAAACAAAATAAAAAATGATTAAATTTGAAGACATAATTCTAATATCAAATTACTAATTTCAAAAATTAATTTTACAACGAAATATATTTTGAAAACCAACCCTGTTAATTTAGTCTTATTCTTTCTTTAACTTGCCCAGTTCAACCTTTGACGCCCATTTGTTTTATTTCAAGTTCCAACCTCCAGCCAGGTGTTGTTGGGTTGGGAATTTTGCATGGTTGCAATGTGCAGTGTCTTCAAAGCATGTGAGATCATAAAATTATTTCATTTAAAACTATATTGGCCTTCTTAAATTATCAATCAATTAGACTTATACTTTCTCATGCCTGTTACAGAATTCACCTATACCTTATTTTATTACATTCATAAACTTATTTAATTAAATCAAAATTATTTATTTGAGAAATTTATTTCGTTAATTTATAATATTTCTCAAACACTTTCAACCACCATTTCAATTTACAATTTGTACTTGTCGTCATCTTTTGTTTTCATCGTCTACATTTTAACAATATTTTCATTTGTTCTCTTTTTTTTATATTTAATATTTTAATATATATCATTTAAAGTTTATTACGGAAATCACATTATGTATTTCAATTTTTTACTAAAACGTCGAGTCTTTAATTTAAAAAAAAATATTTAACATTAATACATAGATAACAATTTCTTAATAATATATTCACGTTAAAGAATATACAAGTACATCCTTTTTATGTTATTGACTTTTCAATTATTTATCTGAGATAGATTACATAGTTAAATTAAGATAAAAATAACAATATTATTGAAAAGATAAACTTCTAAATAAACAAATAAATGAAATAAAATTTTCTTTAAAGAGTAATAAATAAGTCAAATATATTTTTATACAATAATTTTAATAAACATTTTATTTAATATAATTAATTTTTTATTATTTTAATATATTATTACTTATTTTGTAAATTTTTAATCATTAATATTTAAATAATTTTTAATTTCATTTCAAATGATATATTTATAAATGTAAGTTATATGTGAACAAAATTTATAATATATTGTTAATTGAGACGAAATTTCACATCTTCAATCATAAACATCTTTAACTAATCATCATTTTTATGAAATAATTTTGTTACTATTAAATTCATAAATACTAATATATATATATATATAACACATCTAACTTTGTTTTTAAAATCAACAATTTAGCTTAAATATATTAAATACAAATATTTATAATAATTAATTTATGAAAAACATATTAAAAAATTAAAAGAATTCTATAGGCAGAAGAAAAAAAACAATGTTACTTGATTCTTACTTCAGGTATGCTGAAATCATCTTTTTTCAATTATTTCAGGGATCGAAATAGAATAAATAGATCATAAATGATGGTTAAAAGTTTAATCATACGAACATGACGGATATTTCCATCAAACTGTCGCCTACACCTTGGTTGGCTTCTTCACTAACTTGAATGCATCAAATATTGATTCCTTTGGTTGAACTTTGGCATTCTGGAAACTGTGCTCTGCATGATGTGAAGACTTCCTTAATATATCAAAAAGCGATACATTTGACTCTTTAGATGCAGAATTCGAGGTAGTATTTCTGTTCTGTGTATTTCTTTGGAACTTTGCAGAAGCCGGCTTTGGTGGTTGACTCTCCCTTGGAATCTGTTAAAGTTCATCAGGAAAGAAACTGTTATGAAAAAAAACTGTAGCGCGGATAGGATGCCTAGAGAAAGAGAGAGAAACGTAAGCAGGAAACAAGGAAAAAGAGAAATACAGACAATTGGAATCCAATAGCAAAAATCAAAGTTCACGTTAAGATTAGAAGAGAATGTACGATGAATTCTAGTGTATCTCTCAAATACAGTTTACAACAATTATTTACAAGGGTTGATAACTAAGGTCGTAACTTTTATAAGTTAGCCGAGTTATTACAGAAACACATCATCCACATTGGCAAATTGACAAAGAAGCAAGCACACAAAATCGGGTAAACCCATATTTAAGGACAATTAAAAACAACGTTCTTTTGAATAACTTTCTACAAACTGTCAAAAATAAAAATTATAAACAAAACAATTTATGCATTAAAGATGTCATTAATTTCTCCAAAATTTTACTATTGACATAAACTAATTTTGATTCATAGGAAAAATTATTTTACTTTTCTCTGAGGTAATTACAAAATTATTTAGTTTTTCTCTTTAAGGTAATTTTGACAGCAACAATGTTAAAAAAAACGCGTTTTACTCTAAAAGTATTTCAAACCAAATCTCTGCAGTCTAAAGAAATGGCAACAATTTTTCAAGAAGCACAGAAAGGTTTATGGCATTTTTTGTTTCAGATAGTCCTTACCACATCTGAAGAATCCTCTGACATCACATATGAACTCCTGCTGTTGCTGTCATCTCGCCCAAATACAAATGATCGGACCTTGCATGGTCCCTGCTTTCGAGAAGTGGGCATAAAACGATCTGAAGCCCGGCCGACAAAAGATGACTGCAATATTTACAACACAATAAAAAAACTAGGAAATAGCACCTATTATATAGCTGAAGATAATCAAAACGCATTTTTGTGATTCACGTATATCGTTGAAAATGTTCACAAAATAGAGTATCATGGCTATCTTTATTTAGAATTTTGCAGGATAAATGAGCGTTTAATAAGTAAAATAGCTTCATTGTTCCAACATTTAACAATCTAAACTAATCAACCTTTGATGATATTTGTATGTTCTGTCCAATGGTCGGCATAGCAAAGATGGCTGCAGCATAAATTAATGACAGAAACCATTAGTATTCTCACAACCTAAAAGCATTATTGATATAAAAAGCATAGGTTTTCCTCACTGCAATGTGGTAAAAGTGAAAATTTTAAGTCTTACAAGTAGATCTCCCTTTTCTCTTGGGATCGGGCACATTTAATTTCTTTATGAGACTGAAAACACCCCTGGTACTTTCGTCCTCGGCTGGTGAATATAATGTAGCTCTCTCTTCCTGCTTGTACATTACGAGAATTAGATCAATTCCTATTTGATAACATGTATATCAGTATACGCATAGATGCAAATGCAATGAACATCAATGAAATAGTGCTACTAAACTTTAGCAGACAATTATAACAGAGATAATAAACTGCAGTACACATTCATTACGGTTGCTTAAACTGAGAACTCACAGTTTTATAATAGAGGCATTGTCTAGCTAGCTTCTCCTCAGTTTCTTCATCAGATGATACATACTTATCATCTTTATCTGAAAACATTTGTGGTATCATCTGCTTCATCTTTTTCAAAGTGGCCTTCAAAGATTCTGCTTGAGCAGTGTATTCTTCAGCTTCAGAATCTTCATCATCGTCATTTTTAGTTTCACTTTCTCTGCTTTCCTCATCTTCCTCTACAAGTGATGGTGTTCCTTTCAATTTTGAACCACAATTAAGTTTCTGGAGCAGATTATCCACTCCAGCTGTATCCTGTTGCCGAAGCCACTGTTGGTGGAGCTGGTCACGCTTTTCTCTGTCATTTGGTTTTTCATCATATTGAGTTGCAATAATGTCATTAAGTTCTTCAATATCATCATCTTCCTCTTCACCTTCATTGTCTTGAAAACGCTGTAGGTCATGATCACTGTCATCTTCCTCTTCTGCTTCTTCATCAACAAAAGCCCTAACAGGGTCACCATTTGGTAGTAAAGTCAAGTGAACCGATCCATGTACATGTGGATCTACATTCTCCTTGTCATTTTCCTCCTCATCAGAAGATCTGGAAAAAGGAATTGTCAATTTATTTTTCAATTTGTGGAACAAAGTGAGGCAAAAGTAACCAGTAACCAGTTCCTTACCATTTAAAAATTTAAAGGCCATGTTTCGTGAAATATAAGAATCCACATATCATCATTACATATCAATTAGCAGCTTTTACGTCATAACAAGAGTTTGCAAACATAAAAACACCACTTCATTGCAATTTGACTCATTACTGTATACGTGTTTTTTAAGTTTTAAACAAAGGTAACAGCCAAATAGTTAACTTCATCTCAAATAAGAATGCTAGTTTCATAGTGGTATTGGTAACATAGTCACAAGTGGTAATTATAGGCGATGGAGTATTGAAATTTAATGTAATGAATTCTGTGTTAACAAATATATCAAAAAAGCAAGAAAAATTAAAAATACTTACACAGCATCATCATCATCATCATCATGAAGGACAGAATCAAGTTTCAAGTTCATTGAAAGCATTGGTGGGGCAAAAACTTGTTCCGAAGGATTGCTAAACTTCTCATTTACAGCCTCTTCCTTAATACCACTTCTTTCAGAATCAGAGAAGAGTTCCTGGAAATCGAAGACAAACAAGCAATAAGTACACAACACCTACAGATAACGGCCAGCATCTTACCAAACAGACTGATAAAACACCTGTGTTTCTCCAATTGGAGCTCGAAATGTATGTTCAGACTCCAAACCCACTGCCTGAAACTCAGTACAGGCAATGATTTAGAAATGTTTCAAAACTAAAACAAAATAATTGGAAAAAAAAAAAAAAAAAACTAGTATGGCAGATACACAAACCTCACTACCAAATACGTCAACAAAATTAACACAATCCATTTTCCGCTATTGTTAACCGAAGAAAATTTCTTATGGCATTTATCACAACGGAACATTGTCTCCCAATATAGTGCATAAATTGACTCACCGTGGGAGAAGGAATGCTTTCAGAGCTTGGATTATCTTTAGAATCATTAGATTCACCAATATTTAACGTGTCAGAGGCACTATTTGTGGCTGCAGGGCATGTGGCTGCCATGTCTTTCGGTTCAGCCTTTTCTACATTATCAGGTATCTCCTCATCCACCATGATATCGTCATTATCTTCAAAAGAAGCACTAGATCTACAAACCAGACAAACATGAATGTGTTTTCTAAGGTAAAAAGATGCTTGTTAAGCAAAATCTTTATGCAAATCCACCTACTTTAAAATCTCCAATTTCCTCTGCCGAATCTTATCCAATATCGAAGAAATTGGCTTCTGAACCAGAGGAGCAGGTTTGAAAGTCGCGTCTCTAGTTTCTATTCAAATCATGTTGAACCATTGGGGTTAGTAGAAAATCGAATCAACACTAGATAGAAAACTTATTAGAGGTTAAAGATCAAACCTCGAAGAAGCCTTTGAGACTCGGCTCGAAGCTGTTTCATAGTTTCTCGCCTTTCCTATTAGATCACAATATCCACAGATTAGTAAATCCCAAACCAAACGCATCACTATTCAAAATTATTTAACAGAATACGCATATGCAGGTTATCCACCTTCTCGGCCTTTCTCTTATTGGTGGCAGATTCTTTAAGTTTCTTTTCACTTCCATCACCGCCGTCGATTCTCTTCTTTTTATTCTCCGGCAAGTCATTTGAACTACGTCGTTTCCTCTCTACTTCGTCGGTATTCAAAACCCTAACCTTATCGCTGGCCTTCAGATCCCTGACCTCATCACTGTTCTTCGGATCATTAACCTCTTGACTCTCCCCATCAACTTTTTTGTGTTCCTCAATTACAAAATCAAAATCCAGAACCCTCTTCGCGCCCAAACCATCGTCGTTGACGGTTACGCCTATCGGAGAGTCGGGTTGAGGGTTTGGGCTTGGGCTTGGGACCTGAGATTCAGGTTCGGGCCCAGATTCTCCGTTTGACACCGTGAATTGTTCTTCGCCGTTTCCCGATTCAGAAAAAACGGTGGGAGAGGAAAGAGAGTGAGAAGGTTCGGGAACCCTAGTTGCTTTCTTCAAACGCCTAAGCTTCCGTTCGTGGACAGGAGATGGAGGCAATAGCTCAACGTCGTCGTCGCTCTCCATGGATGATTCTGAATTGAGATTTTGGGTTTGGATGAATCGCGACCTTCTCTTGCAGGGTTATAACCTAATGAAATGGCGGGAAATATTTTCGAAATTTTGGGAAAAGGCGCCAAGAGAAATCGCTTTTGTAACTTTTTTTTAACTTATCGTTAAATTATTAAATGTGTCTAAACTATTTACAAAATCTTTAAAATTGTTTGTGAAGTAAACTTTTAAAACAAATAAATTTTTAATTTTTATTCTAATAAAAAAAATTATACATATACCAATATTATAAACAGTTATTAAATAGAAAAACGTTATATATTTTTTATGAAAATAATATGAGGAGTCGTAACAATTTTCAAAATAATAGAATCAACTTATAATTATAATCCGATTCAAATAATTTACCATAAAATCAATTATTCTCTCTTAAAAAAATTATATTAATTGAAAACAAGCATAAATTAGCCTTCTTACACTATATACAATAATCTTCAAATTAATTTATATAAATCACTTTTTTTAATTTGCTATGTAAAATTTGACACACATAGAAATAATAATAAAAAAAAGATTTTTTGATAATTTATTTACGAACATCTTCCTATTAATATTTTTAAAATATTATTTTTTTATTAATTAATATAGAGAAAAATGAAGTAAAATAAATAAATAATAATATAAAAATTTAAAAATGATTTGTTGAATTGATGATTTGGTCTGGTATCAAAATATCAATACTCTTAGCACAAACATACATTCATTATTGTTTTCAATATTTTTTTATTACATCATATCTTCCACTCACACTCATCTATCTCTATAGTGTGTATGAATAATCTTAAAACACAACAAATCAAACATCCCAGGATTCGGTGATTCACGTACAAAGTAAACTAAAACAAAGCACAATTTACTTTCCTGTCAGTTTTAACGTCCGTAGGGAGATTTTTCATGGACGTAGGGTTCCAAACAAACATTTGTTGCCAAATCTCCATGAAAGCTCTAACAATGATTGCATGATAACTTCGCGAGTTCAAAGCCAAGAAACACTGCAAAAGCTGTTCAAGGTCTTCCGCCTCGGACATCTCCATCTCCGTTATCATCTCCATCATCGATTTCTTGAAGTCTTCGTAAGGATCCTTCGACTTCTTCACCACCGCAAAGCTCTCCCTCACCTTCCCCTCCACATTGCTCCGCGTCACCGTCGTCGACATCTTCTTCACCTTCCCCGTCGTTTCCGCTCCTCTTCGATTCTCCGAAGAGCTCCGAAACCTCACGCTCTGAGCCTTCTTCACGCTGCTCGTCTTCCTTCTATGCCTACTGTTACTCAAATCGTTCACGTCGTCGTGACAAATCTCGTCGGAGAAACTTGTCAAGCAAGAAATCAAAGTCTCGCTTTCCTCTTCCTCGAGGTTGTCGATTAGAAAATCGCTTCGCCTCAACGGAACTCTCGACGTGTTTTTCCGGCCTCTGGATTTCACTTTCTTCGGATTCTCCTTGTCACGGCACATTTTGCACCCCTGCGCAATTGACGACTTTATCTTTGACGGTGACGGAGAAGGAAGGTTGGGATAACCTGTGTCACGGGCGTTGTGGTTAACGGGAGAGAGACGGTATATGGCAGGAACGGGGTTTCCAGGTAAAGAAGAAAGGTCTTTTGAGCGACATATTTGAAACAAAGGGATATTGAATTTCAATTTGAATCGTTTGGCCATGGTGTGGTAATAGTTGGTAACTAAAGAAGATGGCACATATTAAACACTTTAGGGTTAAAGTTAAGAATATATTTATAATAAAGAGAAAGGCCGGCATTTATGTAAGGAGAGTAATATCAAGGACAAAAAAAATAGTGGGACCAAAATTTTGATCGTGAGAATATGATGATTTCTGACTTAATCCAAATGAGAGTGCGTGTGGTTCGTACTGGAAAGGGTCGTGGAGTTGGAATTCCTTCAGTGTGCTAGCTGTTTGAAAATGGCTGAGTTAGGGTCCAGTTACGCAATGAAGACACGCACATAATTGCAAGAATCTCACGTTCGTAGAAGCAAGGGATTAGCATCGTGCTACAGATTAAATTAAACACTTAATGTCGACAATTGAAAACTCAGTATGCAAAATGTTATGCGAAAGGCGTTGGTAGGTGGTGTAATCAACGCCGAACAGCCACTGAATTTAACATTTAAAATGAATTTATATGTCTCAGTCTCTAAAGAAGTTAGATGAAAAAATTTAGACCCTTGAATTCATGGAGATTTAATTCAATTTTTTTTTGCATATAAAATATTAATGAAAAATTATCCAAATCTGACTTAAATGTCCTCAAATAATTGTTTTTCTCCAATGTCGATGGAAATCAACGTGTGTCCAGCAATAGATTGACGCGTTCAACAGAGCATATCCCCCAACCGCAAAAGAATGATCCATCCCTGTCCCCTCTATCTTATCAAACCATTTTTTAAAAGTTAAACCACACTTGCATTTCGACGTACTGAGATGGCCTTATAGTTGCACCACAGCTCCCACCAGAAATGCACAATGGGACAAGAGAGAGTCGTTAACCAGATGGATCGAACCTATCGTACTTCATACGTGCACAAATGGACAACCATTTCCAAACAACATTCAAATTTCATGCCTTCCCACATTCTTCCCTATTTTGACTCAGCCCACACCTGTTTGCGTCCTGAAAAGATACATTATTACATTATCATAAACATCGATTCATTCAAACACGTTATGTATTAGTTTTTCTTTTCTTTTCTTTCAAAAACATGTTGACAGAAATGCTTCATAAATTACAAACATACATCAACTAATTTTTTAAAACAATCATTTGAAAATGAAAAGGAAAGTATTTATCTTGATATGTTCCCACACCCAACTGCTACTCACTTCCAAACAAGTGGAAAATCCACCTGACTTAACCTTTGGCGTTTGCACTGCGCGATCTTATCCATATATTTGTATTTAAATATTCCTTTTATAGTTTATCTTTTATCAATTCAACAAATCAATAATAATACGGTTGGCTTTGTTAGATTTTAAACTTCACCTCGACTTTACACTTGGTTTGATTGAAAATTCATAATAAATTTGTGCTTTTTTCAGTGCGACTACCACCCGTCACTTTAGGATGATAATCCATATCAGAGTGTTCACCAAATAAAAAATATAATAATAATAAATTAATATTCTATCTCTTTAATTCATTTTCACTTCAAATTATATTTTTTATTCAGATAAAAACCCAACAATATTTTCTTATCGTCAAGGTTATTAAAATTAAGTATTGATCTATAACAAATAATTTGATCTACTATATATAAAAAACATTCAATACGAAAAAAATTTCGTTGTTAAAATTTAATAAATATATTCAAATTATTATATTTCATCTGATATTTTTAAAAATATTTTTTTCATTCTGTTTAAAAAATATATAAAATATTATATAGTTTCTAGTTTAAAGTTTAACTAAAATCGTTTAAGTAAATCATTTAAGGGAATAATTTTCATTTTATTACTAATTTGTATAATTCAAGTTTTATTATAGTTTTATAATTTTTAATTTGTTAAATTCAATAAGCACATGAAAATAAAAGTGGTAATAGAGAACTTTTCTTCATTGGTGAGAATAGAATAATAGATATTGAACTATATGATATGAGACAGCATAGGAAATGAAAGTCTTATTATTTGTGTTATATGTATGTATATAAAAGGTCTATACAAAAAATCATTATCATCTATCATCATAATTATAATAATAATAATTACTATTAGCATCATTTATCTTTTATTAAGAGGATATTCAATTGTTACCAAGAGTTACTTAAAATTAAAATTAAATATTTTATTAGGGGTCTTACAGTTGAGTTGATTAAAAATGATTAGAATTGTGTATCTAAACAATTTTTAAGCAATTTAGAGAATCATAATAAAATATTCACTTATATTCCTAAACAACTTTAGTTAAAAACTTCATTTTTGGAGATGTCTAATACTTATTAAATATTAAATACTTGACCATTGATTTTAGGAGGTCAAATAATATATTATTAATAAATATAAAAGAGTAAAAAAAGATGAAAATGTAAGAAGGTAAAATTGTAAATATATAAATAAATATATTAAATTATCATTAAGTTTGAGGAGACAAAATTATAAATTATATAAAAATTAAAATAATAAAAAAATAAAATTATAAATATACAAGTAAATATATTAAAAGATCTAATAATAACTAAAACTATAAATTACATAGAGTTTTTAAGAGGGATCACGTCTCCCTCGCCTCCCAAAAAATCCGTCACTAGTTATCATCCGCTTTTAATTAACCTGATGTATTTTATTAGTACCTATTATTATCCGCTATTGTTGTTATTATGTTTTCTTTTCCTCCACCACACTGTCATTTTGTTGTTATAAATAATTTAATTATTACTATAATATTGGTATGACATAATTACTATCATTATTATAATATAATAAACTTAAATTAAAACATTAAAAAAACAAATTTAACTTTTTTAAATTTAAAGCCTATATTTCCATATTATTTAAAATTTAAAACATTATTTTTATCTCGAATCATATTAAATTTGTAGTACTTTTCGTATTATTTAAAAATTAAAAATTGTGTACCAGGAAAAATGGTAAAATAATAATAATATAAAGAAAGAAGAGTCATGCCCTTTCCGTGAATGCTAAATTTCCGTAGAAAAAAAAAAAAAAAAAAAAAAAAAGATGAAGAAGAAAGGAAATGTATATATATGTGTATATATATATATATATATATATATATATAGGCGCCAAAGGCATAGAGTTCGCACGTACCTACCCCTACGGGCATGGAACGGCTAGGAAAGAAAACAGTGTTTTGGTTTCAGGATAAACAATTCCATACACCACCCAAAATCAATCATTTGCTCCTCTCAGCAAATTAACCCAAAGCCTTTCCTGGCAAAGGGGTACCCTTAGCCAGGAGGAGGAAGGGTCCTGAGTTTGCTAGATCTCAAAATGAATTAAGGATTCTTTTCCTTTTTTCTTGATCTTTATTCATACATATAATATACATCGATCTCCCTTCTAATTTGAGCCTCGTTAATATAAATTAATTCCTCCCAAATAAAACCATGAGGAAGTTGTGTCCTAATTTTGACAAGGAAGATGGGTTGGAGACCGTCCTTGAGGTGCCAATTCCTGAGGAGATGTTGGCCAGCATGGGCACCAATGGCTTCAATCGGTGGCAGAACCTCCGAACTCTAATGAATGCTCAATTTGTTGACAAGACATTGTTGAACAATGAATTTTTGGTGCTGCTTAAGCTCGTTGGTGCTCCGCTTCTCCCTATTCAAATTTCATCAGAACATACTTTGACTCGCCCCCTCAAAGATTGTTCCATTGTAAGCCCTAATCACCAATTATATCTATTCAATTTGTGTGGTATTTTGCATTACAACAAGTACCCAATATTTAATTTGTGATGCACTTTGTTCATATATTAATGAATGGAATGGGGATGGATTCATGCATGCAGCAAGACTCGACCGCTAAGTATATAGTTCAGCAGTACGTGGCAGCGACGGGAGGAGTGGCTGCATTGAATTCGTTGGAAAGTATATATGCAATGGGACGAGTGAGAATATGTAGTGGGTCGGAGATTCAGGAAGGTGAATTTGAAGCAAGAGGGAAACCTGAATTGGGAGGGTTTGTGTTATGGCAGAAGAATCCAGATTCGTGGTGCTTGGAATTGGTTGTTTCCGGTTACAAGGTCAGTGCAGGTTGTGACGGTAAGATAGCTTGGAACAGCTCTTCTTCGCAACCCTTTCATGCAAACAAAGCCCCTGCTAGACCCCTTCGTCGTCTTTTCCAGGTAATGTAATATATCCATATTCTTAACATTTGAGATAAGTAACTGTTTAGTTTTATTTTGATATTTTTTTTTTTTTTTTCATGGGATGAGACTCATATCATGTGTTATTATTATTACTGTTAGGGACTGGACCCAAGGTGCACAGCAAACTTGTTCCTAGAGGCAGAATGTGTGGGAGAGGAAACCATCAACAACGAGGTTTGTTTCATGCTCAAGTTCCAAACGGAACAACAAATTCTCCAAGCACAGAGCACGTCCAACACTGAGATTGTGATGCACACCATAATGGGGTACTTTAGCCAACGCACGGGGCTGCTGGTGAAATTCGAGGACACCAAGTTGGTGAAGATGAAGGCCATGAAAGGCAAAGAGACCGTGTTCTGGGAAACTACGATTGAGTCCTTGATAGAAGATTATAGATACATAGATGGCATTAACATAGCCCACGGTGGGACCACAATGGCGAAGCTTTATAGGTACGGTGAGGGGCAAAATCACAAACGTATGATTGAGGAAAGGTGGACGATTGAAGAGGTTGATTTTAATATTGTTGGGTTGTCCATGGATTGCTTTCTCCCTCCCTCTGATGGAGAGAGAGAACAACAGGATGGTGCAGAGAATGCAGTGGGAATGGGATAGGATTTTCCTCTCCTCTCCTCCACTCTAGGGACTGTAAATACTACAGCATAGACCACTATCTTGCACTTGGAAGTGATTCATTTTTTTTAACCGGGAACTTTTGGGTGAGGATAAAATGCAATTCGTTTGGAAAATCTTCGGTTCTATTCTCAGTTTTTGTTTAGAAATTGTAATTTGATAGCTGAATTCAGGATTTCTGTTTAGCCGAAGAACCAACGGGTCATTTATTCGGATCCAAGAGGCAGAGTTTATAAATAGCAATTATGAATATATAATCTCAATCTGACTTAAACATATATGTCTAAAACTGTCTAAGAGAACAGTTTAATACCAATGAGACCAAAGTATACGCTATTTATTCTGCAAAGATGAAATACAAAAAACAAAAACAATTTGGGAAATTTTGAGAAAGATAAACAATTGTAAATTGTGAATTCTAGTAATTAGTCAGTTTTTCTTGTGAATTGTGACCATACTGCTGCTTACATGGATGAAGTTTGCATGTTCTTCGCAATAACATTTACCCCAGTTTTCTCTGTTTGTAGATTTATCCTATAACATTTACCACGAGGACAATTGCAGGTCTAGATTTCACTATGATGATTTCGGTTCAATTAATGTTAATTTCCTGAGAAAAGAAATTATATGTTCTGCTATGGAATGATTTTGCAGTGATTTTGAATGGTGAGGGTAAATATAATTTGGACGCAAGTTTTGATGAAGTGGAGCGGGATCCTGTGGAATGATATTTGCATTGTAACTTTGAGGTGTGTGGTAGAGCAACACAATGGGTTGCAATAAATGTGGACTTAATGAATAATCAAACCATTATAGGGATCACCTTATTATCATCTATAGTAAATTTTTTATTCTTGTTTTCTTTATTCTTGTTTTCTTTATTATGTTTTCTTAATAAAGTATGAAATTTATAAATCAATTGTTGGATCTTGTAATATTATCTTGATGATCATGCTTTTAATATAATATGTTAATTGATTACTAAAATAAATTTGTTTTATAAAAAATGAATATTTTTAAAATTATTTGAAATTTTGTATATTTAATATACTTAATACGATTTTAAATGGCCAAGATTTTAAAAATATAATTTGTTTCAACATAATATAATTAAATAAATCTAATGGTGACTTTTTAGTAAACTTTTATAATAATAATCTGAAAAATACACTAATGGTGACTTTCTAAGCAAAATATAATAATCAAAATTGAATTATAAAATTTGCTATACATGATTATTGAATTAATATCAAATATTCAACGCGGTAATGAGAATCATTTAAAGCATTAGATCTCAGAAAAGTGATTTTTTTCCCTCTACTGTGAAGCATTATAGTTTTAGAAGGATATATGTAGTTTTATTTATTTTTCTATAACATAATATAATGAACCAAGGATTCCTTTTTCCAGTGGAAATAGACCTTCCTTCTACTAAATATAATATACTATATGGTCAAATGGTGAAGAGAAGATATGAAGAAAGAAAGTGAATTTTCACCGCCACCACCAACACCACCCTTGATCCCAATTGCCCAATCCACTAGGTCAGGCCACCAACCTCTTCCCACTATACGACTTTGCTATCTGCAATCAACACCTTCCCCACCAAGACCCACTTCGTTTTTGTGCCAAAGCCACTACAATTTCCAAACAAATATGAAGTAGAATCTACCCACCATACCTTCAACCAAAAGAAAGAGCATGACAAAGAGAGGGAACCAATGCCATGACGCTGATTCTGGAAACGCCAAGCGTAAGAGGCACTTGCTGTTTTGGGTCTTGGCAGCGGTTATCCTCGTAGCTCTATGCTCCATCTTCGCTGCCTCCATCACCCTCAAATGGTCCTCAACCAACAACCTTGATTTCGATTCTACCATTCTTGAAGATCTCGATGTGCTCGTGCGTACACAACAAAACACAATTTCTGTCCTCTACTGCAACTGTAAAACAAAAAATCACAAGATCACATTGCCTTTCATTTGAGGAACTAATTTTGTTATATTCCTTACTAATTTTTGTACGACTCGTAAAGTGCTATTAATTTTTGCTGTTTAACTGAAACACTAAAACGATGGAAAAAAAATCTGAGATCATAAACTATATAGTAAATTATGGTTTAACTTATTTGAGTTTTTGGTTTGGTTGGAAAATAGGAGGTGGAGGAGAGAGAGAAGGTGGTGAGAGAGATGTGGGACGTGTACAGTCGCAGTCACGCAAACGCCGTTGGATTACCAAAGTTTTGGGAAGAAGCCTTTGAAGCAGCTTACGAGGAATTGGTGAGTGATGTTGGTGGAGTCCGAGACGGTGCCGTTTCAGAGATTGCCAAGATGTCTCTGCGATCTCTTCCTCGTCAATTCAACCCGGTCAGCTCAAACTCAAACCAACACTTTGTCTTGACAAATTCCGTGCACACATACATATTGCTTCTTTTGCTTCCATGTATTGTACTAAATATCACTGTTTTATTTTTCAACTTCCTTTTCTTTCTCGTTACTATTCCTTCTCAAACTCTTGTAATTTACGCAATTTTATAACTTATCTTAGATCCTATTAAAACATTGGATACCAAGGATGTATTAAAAATAAATAAGTTTCGTATTGATAAGCTATACGACCAAATAATAATCTATAATTAGATAGATACCTCATCTTATCATCTGTTTTTGTAGTTTGAGTTACTATTTAATAAATCTTTTATACAAATTGCTCAATTATTGAGAGAAAAATAATGTTTTTACTTCTCATGATTGGCAAGTACAGAGCATCACAGGATGGAGAAAGGAGGAATAGGAGAGTGACGAATAACTAGGAGCGGTCTCAATCAGTGAGAAGAGGAGCGCGTAGGATCAGCCAGCATTCCGAAGTACTCCTTTTTATCTAAACCCTTTTATTCAATCTTGGCTCCCAAATCAATGATAAATATGTTCGTTGTAATCGGGATTGAAAACAAGATACTTTCGTAGTTCTTGATAGAATCATACTTTTATATATATTGCATTATTAGGATTGAGAAGAGTAGGTAGATGTTTCTCTAAGATTAAATATGTTTTTTACTCTTGTATTACTTTATAAAATTTGATTTTTATCTATCTATTAAAAATAATAATAAATTAGTATTCAAATTTAAAAAGATTTAATAACTTTTGTTAAAAAAGTTATTACTAAATGTTAAATTTAAGTTTTAGTATAAAAATATTTAAAATCACATAATTTGAAAATTGAAAAGCTAAATTCATCAATTTTAAAATATAATATCAAATAAATTTGGAAAAAAATGGATAAAATCATTTTTTCATCGCATTTGTATTGTGATGCATTCAGACCTAAACTTTCTCATGGTACTTTAGTCGTCATTTATGCGGGGATAGGTACAACTCTAAATCCGAGAGGGGAAGTAGATGAGAAAGCTCTGCATTAAAAAAATGGGGAAATTGCCAAAAGATTTTGGATGGAAAAATTCATTTTTTTGTTATTAGTCATTCAAGAACAATTTTAATAGAAAATATAAGCTTAACCACTGAACACGGTATAAACATGTCCATTCTATTGCCAATATGGAACAGAAAAATACAAAGATATTTGATGAAGATTTTCTATGTATTTGCGGAAGATTTTCCATAACGTTGCGTCTTGGTTTCGGAAAATTTCAACGCCCTGCCAACGTCACAGCCGAAATCAATTTATCTAGCAATCACCAAAGCAAATTCTCAATTGAAACATTTTCTATATGCACTATGAACGATCAAACACGACTCAAATAACTTTTTACTAGAACTATATTTATCAACCATTGTATGCCCCATAACAATAATGTAAGTTTGAGCAAATGTGATTCCATCCATTACTCCAAACACACGTGCTAAATTAATTACTGAAATTGGAACCATAGAAAACTAATTTTAAACTGACTGTAGTCCTATATTGAATTACTATTAAAACATACATGTTTAAATCAAACTTCTTAGAAGATAACAAATGAAACTGAATAGCTAAAAGACAATATATAATTAAGCATTCGAAATATAATCACGAAATAGAAACAGAAGACTTTTCCAATCACGCACTTACATGGTCTGCCTCTTGAATAAATTAGCTTGTTTACAAAAGATAGTATTGAATTGAGTTAAGGCTGACAAGCATATGTTTGTCAGCACGACCTTTCAAACGTCAAAATTTTCTACATTAGGATGACAAAATTGCCTGAGCAGATCCAATTGATGCTGCTACAGTTGGTATTAAAAAAGCTAAAAAATACAAAAATCATTTACAAAATACAAACTACGGCCAAAACATATTTACACGTTCCGTAGTAAACTGTGTTAATATTAGTCATCCAGCGTCTGGATCTCACCCATCATGATGCGGTTACTCACGACATTGAATCCAAGAACTGCAGAGCTGACTTTTTTTCCTTTCTTACCTTTCTTCTTTCCACCTTTTGCGAAGGATCCGTCAGTGTAGCCTGTATCTTGCACAACTGTATTTTCAGATCCAACATCTTTCTGATCATTCCGAGTTTGAAAAGCTATTTCCAAAACATCTGATGGTAGCAAGTCCATGTAATTGAGGAATTTATCAATGAATTCATGATCAGGGTCATATGATCCCAGGTTTTCTGTGAGAATCATCTCTGCTTCAGATCTGGACTGCTTCAAGCAAAACTCAAGGAAACTTGTATCTGCCACCCAAAGTGAAATAATATTAAATAGAAATTCAAGATAATATAACCACCCAATGCCTGATTACCTTCAGACAAGCATTCATTTGTTCTTTGGGGACAATAATCATTTGGTGAATTAGATTCCTCAGTTAGCATTCTTAAATCAATCTACTAAATCTCAATTAATGCATCAAAACATAGCATGGAAAACAAATCTGAAATCATATATACCTTTTGTCCCAATAAGCCTGACACATTCATTCTCACACCAGACTCTGAAGTCCATGGCTTCTGAAATTAAAAAAGGAAAAATTTAACTCATTATATATAATCTACTATCAATATCCCAATCAAAAGGAGTAGAGCTACAGGGGCTAAATTAGATAAAATTGTCAAGCAAGTAAAAATTGAAATTTAAAAGTTCTAAAGTAAAGAATGAACAAATAAATGTCTTTACCAGAATTCTTAGTCATGGCATCCTTTTTAAGTTTTAGCAGTGACTGAGAAAAGGCAGGTGATAATGATAGAGATCGCTCAACTGGTTTGCCACTCCCAGATTTTTGTCGACTCAGTAATCCAGGTGAATTACCTTTCATGGGGACATTTTTAGAAACCCAACTTCCCTGGCTAGCAATCTGAGAGAAACATGATCTGCTTACAAAGAAAATGATAATCAACTTATCCATCAAAACAGGATTATCAAGCAAACAACAAGTCGGCCACCTACTGTTGCATAAGTTAATTGGAAATGCAACAACTGTTCTAATATAAATATAGTACTATTTAGTTAAATCAGCCTTAATTGGGACGCTAGGTGTCCCAAATCTTAAATCAGCCTTAATTATGAATCATCACCATGTTTTTTATACTGTTTAGTTCTACTACTATTTAAAGTCCTGAGGTCACCAAGTGTTGATTTAATGCTAAAAACTGACATTTCATTGTCCAGTTACAAAAGGTTTCCCTATCTTACACCCCACAGGAGCCTCGCTAGCTGGTTGTGATGTAGAAATGTATAATTAACAGATATCAAAACTAACAATGTCCGTAAATAAGTATTATATAAAGTAAGATTGATCAAGCCAATGTATTAATGAGTAGAAACCATAGGCACAATGAAGAGACAGAGGTCATACTGTTTATTTTCTTGCTTAGATTGTTCAACTGGATCCCAAAACGATTCATCATCCCCTCTATATTTTGACAGAGAAGCTTGAGAGTTTATCAGGCTAGAAGGTACAGTTTTTGATGGAGATGAAGTTGAAATTGGCCATGAAGAACTGCTACTCCGAGCAACTTGGGCAGGCTGTGATTTCTGAGGGATAGGCATTTGGTTTGGGAGAACTGCACCGGACTTCCTCTCCTGCTCCTTTTGAATGTCCCTTAATGATGTCGGTTTAGGAATCCTACCAGAATCAGCAGTCCACGCTGGTGGAGGAGATGGGCTTGTTGGCTCTCCTTTCCAAAGAACAAAATCTCCCAGAGAGGGTCCTGAAGGGATAGAAGGCAGTTGTTCTTTCTCAAGCGGAGCAGAAGGGGAGCTTTTTACCTTTTCAATGTGACTTGAACTAATGGGCATTTCGCTAGAAGCAACAGGAATTGAAACCTTAGCCCCTGAACCCTTCAACCTTGCAGATTTTTTCCTGCTTCTTTTTGTGTCTTTAGCTTCAATGAAGTCTCCTTCATCTATTGGTTTCGATTGAGAATGAACAGCTATATTTTGTGAGGGGATCATACTGTCTGGAACCATGCCATCTCTTTCACTAGATTTTGGTACATCTTCTACCATTAGATCATGTAATGGGCTTTTCTTGGTTTTACTATACTGAGATTTTTCAGATTTAGCCAGATATTCAGTATTATCTGCTTCTCTGTGACTATCATTACACAAGTTCATAGAGTCTGGATTGGCCACAACTCCAACCGAGGGACTTGTTGAACTCATGGAAATGACAGGTGTAGCAACCTCAGACACCAGCACTTCTTTATGTGCCTTTTTTTGTTCTTCCAGTTGAATTTCTAAGAGAGATTTTGCTTTGAAACCTGGAGCAGGTTTCCATGCTCTCCCTGAAGGTAATTCAGTATTCTGGGTGGGAACAAAACTCACTTCCTTCAACTCATTCCCAACACATGTTTCAGTGATACTTCCTGAAGTATTAGTAGGGACACCATTAACTTCTTGATGATCATTAGCAGTTGTAGATTGTTTACCCTTACCACTTGTTTGTTGCAGATATGTCTCATGGACTGGTTCACCCTTGGTGGTTTCTCCCAAAAAAATTTCACTATAATTTGGCTTCTCAGTTTCTGATCTCTTTGACTGGTGTGAAGTAACATTTTTTGGAAATCCCTTTGCCTGCTCAGAAGACTGAGATTTTGAAGATTTTTGCTTCTTTGTTTTCTTCTCAGTAGTCTTTTTGGGTTCCAGTGCTTCAACACTTCTCACGTCTACCACAGAGGGCTCAATATTTGAGCTCTCTCTTCCACACTGCTGCTCTACAAGACTATCTGATTTAATCTCCACATTTATACTCAGTTGACTAGATAGTGGTAACTCAGTACCACAAGATCCAGCTGAAGACACAGGAACAACAGGTGTAACATGCTGTAATGGTTGAGAATTCTCACCAGACTCAGAAGTTACACTCACATGAGTATCATCAGCTGGATAAGTTTTGTCTGGCATCTGCTCCATGATTTTAGCAGTATAGTGAGAAAAAGGAAGGGGTTTATGGGCAATTTCGGGTTCCTCTTTAACTATGTTATGTGCATTTGATGCTTCCAATGTTTCATTCTGGTGTTTGTCATTAATTTGCTCAGGAAGTGTAGCACTCCAGCTTTTTTGAGGACCAATGTTCTCAAATAATTGGTCAGGGAGATTGGCAGAAGATTCACTGTTTATATTATCGCTAGTGTCCTGATTGCTTAATTGCAGAGGTAAATCCAAAGAATTAGTAGTAAGCTCACCATGCACACTGGTAATTGGTGTCTGAGAACTCATGGAAAAAATGTCTTTTGGTGGTTGAATTTCAGAAACATTCACATGCAAATTCCCCACTGGTATTCCACCTCCCTGCACCTGTTGATAAGATAAATCACCAAGGCGCTGGTGAGTCTGATGATCCTGCAGCACTTGAGATAGCAGTTGCTGTTGTTGGTGCAATATCAGTTGTTGCTCCTCATGTTGCTGTTGCTGCTTTAGTAATAGAAGTTTATCTAACAAAGTTGGTTGTGAAGAAGCAGTTGCCTGAGAATGCAACAGCAGCAAGTGTTGCTGCTGCAACATATTCAACATGTGGGGATCTTGGGATAAACCAGAAGAAAGCAATTTCTCTGCTGTCAAAATACTAGACGGAATATCTGAAGTTTGAGCAGTTAAGTTATTCAAGGGCAACTGGTTCGGTGTTTGTAGTCTTTGTTGTTGAATTCCAAATGGCATTTGAACATAATTTTGATCATGATGAAAGTCAATCTTATTCTGAAGGGGATTCAATCCACCTTGCAAATGAAAATTTGGCCATCCAGCAATACCACTATTTAAGCCTGTGGACGACCTGTCAGACAATCCTTGGATTATTGAGTTCAATTCAGAATTTTGGGGCTGAAGCTGACGAGGATTGTCACTAAAAGAAGACAAGATATTTGAATGCAGTGGTGCATTTGGAAAATTTTCTGATTTTGGCAGAAGGGGTGCAGGTGCTGCATCCCTCCCTGACCAGTATGGATAAGGATGAGTTGACAAGGATCTTTGCTGTTCAATTGCCATCTTCTTGGCCAGTAAGTAAAGGTTGTTTCCACTATTTGATGAGCCCAAATTACCAGAATTATTACTGAGAAACCCTTGCAAACCTAAAAGTACATATAATAATTAGATCAAACTATCTCAAAACATAATCAATACAGTATATATAAAAGATATTAGGAAGAGGAACGATAATATGTGTGCGTTTATATTTAGAAATAAAATAAACAAAACAAAAATATAACATCATTAACCTTCCGATAATGTGAAACAATCAAGTGGGGAACTGCTCTTGCTACCAGACATGAGTGACTCTAAAAACCTATTTTCAGCTTCTGTGCCAGAACTCCTATGCATAGAATCATTTCTCAGCCTCTCCACCTCACTTAAACCAGTATGCATGTTCCCAAAGGTACTGGAGTTTTGCCGACCAAGTGCCTCTGTAGAGTCGTGTTTTGCTGCAGAAAATCCAGGTGGTGGCTGTGCCTTAGCTCGTAAATGGGGCATGGCATCACCAAGTTGCAACCATGGTGAGTCAGATGCTGCATTTTCCAGACGAACAGGTAAATCTATACCAAAGTAACCAGCCTCAAACCAACTAATAATATCAATTCCTTTAAACGGGCCCTGAATGTGACCCTGAGGATCTTTATATAGGAGTGATAACTCCTCTGGACAAGTTTGTTGAACTCTCCTGGATTCAAATTCATTGTCCAAAATGCCAGATAGCTGCCTTTTAATGGGATCTCCACAAGATTGCCACTTAGCCGCATCTCTGGTTTCAGATAAATAATCCAAATTACGGTCCCACTGAGCATGAGTATCTTTTGTCTGGTGTGACCAGCTCATATCTGGGTTTCTTGATTTAATATCACAGGGCACATCTCTGCTTTCATGCACAACTGTGCCAGCATGACCTAGTGGTGTCTCACACCATGTAGCATCAGGATGAACAGAATTACTTTCTTCAATGGTTGATTCTCTGTTACTAGGCACCTCATCAACCATTCTGTAAGAACCATTATCTTCAACTCTATCTGTAAAGATAAAGTATAAGAAAAACTCCTAGAGACAGAAAAATCCATCCTTCCTAGATGTTTAATATAGCAAAAATATAGTGCATTTAAATTGGGAACAAATTAGTCTAGTTACACATGAAAGCTGAAATCAAGAAGTGTACATAGACAATCTGTAATATTTGAAGAGGTATATAAAAGCAAGAACCACTAATCAAGAGATAGTCTAACCATGCCAACATATAACCCATTAATTTTTATATTAAAAACAAAAATTTACAGACTCCAAAACGTTCACACTAAAACTACAAGACAATAAAGATCACATTCAAAATCCAGAAAGAAACAAAACCTGCATCATGAATGCCGTATGTTGGTAATAAAAATATCAAAATCCCAAGATTTCATTCAGTTTGACATTAACAATCTACATTCCTCAACCACTTCAATGATCTCTTAAGGTCCTTATTGTTTTCATTATATTATTATTATTATTATTATATAGCTAGAAATGTGCTGTTGCTTTTAATTTTGAGAAATTTGTGGAACTACTTTCAAATGGTCAGAAACTCCCTGCCAAAACAATCAGATTCTAAAGGAAGCTAATGTCCTTCAACACTATTGTAATCTTATATTTCTAATGTACCTTGGAAAGGAGCATTTACAAGCTTGGTCTAGTTACACATGAAAGCTGAAATCAAGAAGTGTACATAGACAATCTGTAATATTTGAAGAGGTATATAAAAGCAAGAACCACTAATCAAGAGATAGTCTAACCATGCCAACATATAACCCATTAATTTTTATATTAAAAACAAAAATTTACAGACTCCAAAACGTTCACACTAAAACTACAAGACAATAAAGATCACATTCAAAATCCAGAAAGAAACAAAACCTGCATCATGAATGCCGTATGTTGGTAATAAAAATATCAAAATCCCAAGATTTCATTCAGTTTGACATTAACAATCTACATTCCTCAACCACTTCAATGATCTCTTAAGGTCCTTATTGTTTTCATTATATTATTATTATTATTATTATATAGCTAGAAATGTGCTGTTGCTTTTAATTTTGAGAAATTTGTGGAACTACTTTCAAATGGTCAGAAACTCCCTGCCAAAACAATCAGATTCTAAAGGAAGCTAATGTCCTTCAACACTATTGTAATCTTATATTTCTAATGTACCTTGGAAAGGAGCATTTACAAGCTTGGTTCGTCTTGAATGTGTAAATTCTGTTGAGTTCCGTCCATCTTTTGGCACCTGAGGTGCACTGCTACTAATTATTTCCCCTTTGTCAATATCATTTAATACAGACTGTTCAAACAGAAAAAGCATTCTAATAAACCACTAGAGATGACAGTGACATCCAGAATAATATATACAGTGACAGCAATTACCTGTTCCTCAGAATTTGGAGCACAAAAACCTAGAGGCTCCAATGGTTCATCCTGTGTAATAGAAGGTACCTGCTCAAATTCTACTAGTTTTCTATTTCTATGCATATCAGCAACTCTGTACACATCAAGTAAATTTGTCCTGCTATATCTAAAGGAACGAGCTTCTACATGCTCACTTTCAACTTTATCCAATAAAGTTCCAGGGTATTGAGAATCCATATATGTGTTATTAATGGAGTTACTGCCAGAGCCAAACCGTGCGCGCCCAAAAGCAATGACTGGTGGGGTATCCTCCCCAGTGGCCCACCCGTATGACAATGGTTTAGACTCTACTTGTTTGTTTGGCATCATATTTTGATGCTGGGTAGGCTCTACCCTTCCACGACTTTGTGAGAAGTTAGGTCTCCATGGCCGATAATGATCCCCTTCCTTTTCATCCTTAACAAGATTGGAAATGTTAGACAATCGCTTGCCAACATCCAGATCCCCTTCTTTACCAGGGTCACTCCATTTTTCACGAAGACCTTCTGGCTCCTTTACATCAGGTCCCCAGCGTGTGTTCCACTTACTTTCACGCCGCTGTTCAAAGTTTGTATCTTTGTTGCCTAAATCATTCCATCTATCAGATGAGCCACGACGTGTTTCTCCAAAGTGCCTTGTCGATGGATTTTCACTCCACCGATCCATTCTCCGAGTGTCAGTTAGGTCTTTGTCTCCATTCCTCCAACTATCCTTGTGTAAAGAGGACTTAGTATCTCTCTCTTCATCACGCCAACGGTCACGGCGTCCACTTTCAGAGTCAAGCATGGATGGCCGAAAGACATCCTTTCGCTTATGGCCATCATTCACATCCTCTCCATTTCCAGACATTTTAACCATCTCTGAGCGATTGCCATTTCGTGGAGTTGAGATCACATGGTTTTCCTGGGTAATGTAAAATAGAGAAGAGATGCGGCTTTAAAACAATTATAGACTATTTATGATTCATATATACACAAAAAATCTGATTTGCAAATAAACATTTTACAGAAATGCAAACAGACAAAAAATACAAAAACCAGTAGAAACTGATCATTACACACACCACAGTTCCTATTGCAGGTTTACTCTCCCCAGACTTTGGCAGAAGCCACTGTGGTGAAAGTGGAATAGGATTGTCAGTGCCATGGAAATCTGCAAAAAAAAAAATGTTTACTAAAAAAGAATTGAAAATTTTAACAGTTCAGCAATTGGCATAAGCAATTAAATGTTTTTTATCATGTTGATAATTAAATAGACAGAAAGCACAACATACAGGCAGACCAAGAAAAAATGAAGACAAGCAAGAGATGTTTGCCCAAAAAGAAATTAATATACATGCATAGTTGATTTTTTTCGCAAGAAGAAGCTAATAGAATAGATATTATATGAAAATATTGAATATATGAAAAGAAATCAGTCCTTTCTAAGTGTTTTTCGTATGCAATTCTGATTGAAAGGACAAATCCATCACACATTTGATTATGTTGATCACAGTAATAGTTGTTGCTTATTCTAAAAAAGAAATTGAGAACGTATAATGGGGAAGGGGAAGTGGGGACAAATATACAAAAATTTGCAAACAAAAACACAATGAATCGAAAATCAGTGTCAGAAATTATAAATAGATGGATGCAACTTCTAACTCATATTTTATTAAATGGCCAGTATTCCATTATCAACTCCCATGGAAAAGGGAAACTCTACAATAAAACCAAATCCAATAAAATCACAAGGCAATGCTGTACTTGACCCATGTTCGAGCCCAAGTTCAAACAGAAGCTACAAATAGTACATTCTATGACTATTGAGAGAAAAAATATGGTGAGACTTGCGTTTATAATGTATCACCAAACACACAAAGTAGTGTTACCTATCTTGGTAAAAATCACTTACAGTTACAGTAAACAAAAATATATAATTTTCCAATTTCAAAAATCATCAACCAAAGCTTCCCCTGAAAAAAAAAAGCATTTCAAAATGCATCCACGTCGTTCAAAAATCTAAACTTCCACTTCTCAAGTTCAGGAAAAAAAAATCTGAACTAAACGACAAAAACCACTGGAACAGACGAATAATTAGGTCCGATTTTTTCACTGTTTTCAAAATTTAAAGAAATTAATACAGAAGGATTAAGAAATAAGAAAATGCAAAGCAATTCATCAATGTAATCCCCGAACTAAAAATTGATCAAAAGAGGAAACCACTCGGGCCACGAAGCCAAACCCTGAACTAAAACAGATGCGGTGGAACGTCTATAGGGTTTAGAAGTATCGGATATTAGAGGACAAAGAAAAGGACCTTTGGAGATCTGAAAAGGAGGTGCAGCAGAGATGTGGTGGAGGCGAGTGGCGGAGATGCGGTCAGCCATGGATGATCGGCGAGGGAAAAATTCTCCGAGGATTGCAATTGAACCAACGGTGCGTGAAGGTGAGTGAGGAAACCGAAACCGGGGGCGAGAGAGGTGAATATAGGTTAAGCGTCGAAGGGATGATAAATGCTGGGGTGCACGTTAGGACACTACCACCCAAAGGCTCACGTTAGCACAGATACCCTTTGGGGGATTCAGTTCTTCACTTGTGATGCTGGAAAATAAATGCTTACGCGCATAGTGCAACGCGTGATGTTCACTTGATTATCCTTGCAAAACGTGTTAATCACGCTGACATATGAACATCAAATATTTGTGCTTAGCTTCTATATTTTCTAGTTTATGTGTCCTTTACTGTCGGAAAAGTCCATTCCTTGATTTTTTTTTTTTCACATTTGTTTTTTTATTGATGATGTTTTTTTAATTAATCCTTTATATATATATATATATATATATATATATATATATATATATATATATATATAAAGTTTTGTACGCATGAAAAAATAAACTGTATAGTTTTTTATTATTAAGTTCCATTTGAAATATAAAACCTTATGTGTATTGTAGAAATCATGAGACAATTTAATTATTTATTTAATAAATTTTTTAATTCACACCATCTCACTACCTAGTATAAGAAGGAACAAGAGTTAGGACAAATGATGGAACAGTTAAGACAATGTGAATAAACAATCAAATTGTGCCATTTTTATAACCTATCTTTATCCTTATTACTTTGTCTAATAAAACTTATAATTATGAAATAATTTTTTATGAGTAAAACTAATTTAATATAAATTTGTTTAATGACACTAAAAGACTATCAAAATATATTTTTTAAATTATTTATTTTTGTATACATGTTAAAAAAATACTTTAATTAATAAAACAGTATTTTAGTAGGAATTAAAATTAAGAAAAATTAATAATTCAATAATATTAAATTACTTTAAAATGTTCAATAACAATAAAGTAGAAAAATAAAATATAAATATTAAAATGATGGGGGGATTTATTGTTATTGACAGAATAAAATTCAACAAAATCAAATGACAAATCAATTCAAAGTTATGTTTTTAAAAACACAAAAGATAAATACAATCCACCAGAAAATGGATGAGGAGATCTGACTAAAGAAAACCATATTTATAAAATAAGAATACTATACAAAATTAGTTTTTTTCTTTTAGAGATAAATAGTATAAGTAAAAATATTAATGTACAATAATTTAAAATTTTATACGTGTAAAAATTAGTTTTTTGTTTTAGAAAAAAGGGCATGATCTATGCATAAATAATTAGTATTCATAGTCTTGGGCAAAAAAAAATAATTATTCAAGCCAATTAGGAGTTAATATAAATTTTTTACCAAAAAAATAAAGTTAATGTAAAGTTATGTTTCAGAAAATAAATTAAACACAAAAATACAAGTTATGGAATCTATCACAAGCCTTGGAACAACAAAACTCTCTGCTTAAGTTATGTTAGAGACACAAATCTACTTTGAAAAAAAAAATTAGTTGATAAAAATAAGTTGATGTTATTTAGAAAGATAGACCGGAAGTAATTCTGGAATTGATGAAACTCATTGTACTTATTATCAAATTTCACTTGTCTTTTTGTCTCTTTTCTCATTGTTTATCAACATATAATATTTCATTTATATATTCTTTTTGTATATTTTTATTTCGTCCATCCAAAAACTCTCTTCTCTATCAAACAAGAAAAAAAAGAGTTTGAATTTAAGTTAAGAATTTTATTTTCTGTCTATTAGCTTTTCTTTTCTATCTCAAATTCATAATCTCTTATGTTATCATCTAGAGTATTCGAAGAAAGCTAAACACTTTTGATACATTTTTTTGATTTGAAGATACTGAGATATTAAATGTTTGATTTTTAATTTAATATATTTTTCCATTAACCTTTCTTTTCTTTTATTCAAATATTGAATCTGGGAGTGTTTTATCGTTCATATCTAATTTATATTATTTATTACTGTGTGATGTTTTCTTGAATTATATTGTTTTAAAATATATTTTTTATTTCGTGTTTTAATTGAACTAACCTCATTTTTTGTCTTTATTTCAGTTTTGTTAATGTTGCTAATAAGCTGGTGATGGTGATTTGCTTCATAGTGCAATCTTATTTATTTAACCTTTAACATGTATATAGTAGTGAATCAAGTATAAGATAATCAAGAACTTTATAGAATTGAATGGCATTAATAACTTTAATGATGAAAGGAAAAAAAAAACTGTAATCCGAATACTTGTGGAAAAAGAAAATGAGAGATGTTCAACATTATTTATTTATTTTTATCTTAATGATAATGAGACAGAAGAGATACTTATAGAGTAAATGTGTAACGATGAAACTCGAATTTAAACTAATCAACCTCCTTAATCACCAAGTGAATTTACTTTTCCTTTGACGACATCACCTTTTTCATATTGAACCCGTCAAGGCATCGAAAAGTTTGATAAAACAAATTAATTTCACGTGACAAATTGACTCACATCAACGCATATGACACAACAGATGATGTTGGAGTTTTCATCTCAGATACAAAATCAGATTCAATTCAATCCAACATGTTTTTTAGTGGATTAAGAGCAGGTTGAATAAAACAAGTTTCACCCATTTAACATCTCTATTCTGTGTTAAATAACATTTTAAGGAAAGGATGGGAAGACACCAAGCATCCGGCCTTCAGGCACTAAACCAATCCCATTATTTTAGCAACTTTGTTTCAACAACCATTTTATTGCACTAACCATTCTCTTCCACCATGTTCTCGTATGATCCACGACCTACCAAATCAATCTACTTTCAATAAGCCATAATACTACCACCCTTATCCTCGGAAAACCACCGTTCTGTCGTTTAGACCTACCACATTCAAACCCAAATCAGATTTACCACATCCACATTCTTCACCACTCAAGACCCGATCTCCATGTCCTTTTAAAAAGTGGGCAAACTCTAGTCTGCACAAAGATGTTGTGGGCAATAGCAAAACCAAGGTGTGGCCTAGCAAGCCGTACATGGAGGTGGACAATCGAACAAAAAATTTGTTGCATTGTGGTTTGCGATTTGTGCCAAGGAAAAACATGCAAAAAGGGTCGCATATTAAGATGTAGTGCTTGTGTGCAAGTTTTACTTAAGTGTAGGTCAATGGCTATGGAGGGAAAAAGTGGTCTAAGGGTATGGAAAACGAAGGAGATTGAATTTTGGCAGATGACGTTGAATCCTTCTTAAAAGATGACGTTGAATCCTTCTTAAAAAGACAAGGGAGGATAAGGTTCTAGAGAAGGGAAAAATAGTGAAAAGGGTAAATGGATAAATTTACAATTCTTGTTTTAAAAAAATTGTTTCTTCAACCTTTAAGGTTCAAACCAAGAGTAAGAAACCTAATAGAAATTCCAATCAGCCCACCAGATAAAAAAATAGGTTCTGCAACCTTAGAGGTCCAAACTCGGAGTAGAAGCCAAGTAGAAATTCCACTGACCACACCAGAGAACACGAACATAGGGCCATCAGGTCTTAGAATTCTAGCCTTTTAGAAGTTAAAAGGTTCAAAATTATGATCAATATGTAGGCCTAACGGCATATTGTTAAGTCACCCCCGGTACATATAGTATAAAAATAGAATGATGATAAACCATGTTCATCTTGGCTCCTGAGCTCAAAATGCCTGACTATCTATCAAACCAAGCCGTGTCTACAGCAAATCAACAACGCAGTAGATAAGCTCAAAACGAAGAATTAGAAACAAAACATTTTTCACTTTTCAGCATAATACAACGCCAAGGACGATTAATTATCGTCAAAACATGTTAAAAAAAACAGTGAAGATATCAAAATCATGTCAGTCGGCAATCTCCAAACAAAATTTAGAATCCAAAATGCTTTTCACTTTTCAGCAGGAGATAACTCAACAGAAAGAAAAAGATAACCAAGTATCGTGCTAAACAAGTTAAAAAGTCAGTGCGGATAACAAAGCTCGCGTTTACGATGCTGTATATACAGCATATATGACATTCACCAGATCATCTTCTTTATTAATTTAGTACCAATTTAACAGTCGGCAAAAAGTTGATTAAATCTTCGGTAAAGCAGTTGGCAGATCCGCTGGGATATCTGAACTTCCCTGCCACATGAAAATACAAGTTTTGCTCTTAATTGTACTGGCAATCTATATAGATCAAACGAGTAACAAGTGATTTCAGTTTTTTTTTTTTTTTTCATTCAAACAGGTGATTTTAGTAATCTACTACTGTTAAGTACTGCTGATTGTAACTATTCTGTTCTGGATCTAGAGTCCCTGGATCAGTGATCAAAATTATGATTCTCGCTTTGCGGGATTCATGATGATAAATCATAATTTTGTATGAAATTTTTGGAATGACACACTTAGGAAAGAATGGAGATCGGTTCACACGACCACTGCACAATGATGGTGATATCATTCTAATCTAAGGGTTTGCAAATATTATCAGCCAAAAACATTTCATATAACAGACGTTTTAAATGTAGATCGCCATACATGGCAGTGGAGTTAGTTTCTCTGTCAATCACGTGGATGATTGAGACACTACAAGGAGTTGTTCAGAAAAGTTGGTTATGAATAAAAAAAATATTATTTTAATGTGCATCTTACATGAGTGATTTGAAATGAGAAAAAATTGTTTATATAAATAACTTGTTTTAATTTTAAACAATTTATACTTTTAGACCTTCGTTAAAATAATAATTTTTTTTTCTTAAAGAACTCTTGTAAATAGGCTGTATCAGCTTTTTCAGGAAAAAATATTTTAAATATGGGTTTTTCAACTGTGTGCTTTACCAGTAGATGAGAAGAAAACATTAAATTAAATACATTCTGTTAAATGCTTTAAAGTGAAATTACTAAATGACCTCGTGTTTTTGATAATACTTTTATTTTCCTAAAGAAAAAATTTTCATCTGGACTTCTTATCTAGAGGAGCTAGATGAGTCAGTCCACCCAATTGCACTAACTTGGTTCGGGCTTCGGGCTTCGGGCTCAACTTTCCAGGGCTAGAAACAAGCCTTTTTTATTCAGGCCATAGAATAGAGGCCTATCCTAGCCTCAACCTACATTTTACATTTAAATAGGCCGGACTAGCCTGCACAAATAGAAGCTCAATTGGGTTGGACAAATATACCTAGAATTTATTCAGGCCTATTATTTAAAGCCCTAGTCCATTCTTTCTATGGGCTCAGTGGAGCAGGCCCTGTCGGGCCAACTCATTTTGCCACCTCTTATCAGGTGTTTTACAATCATAATAGGAAAACACTTTAAATATAAATATAGTACCCTTTTTCCTTCCTTTTCAAGTAGGATAAAGGGATTTGCATACCTGAAGATATCTTGTCAACATTGTTGATGTACTGAAATTAAAGCCCTGAACTGGTTCTCCTTTAGTTCGAGACGCATTAAGTTGCTTCCTGACTTGAGTAGCCAGTGACTGCATTATCATTAAATATGATGAGAATAGACCTAGAAATGAAGAGGAAAAGAAAACTACAACTGAAATTGCATATGTATTTCTCAGATAGGAGTAGGAAGTCTGTTAGAATTTCTTAGATAGAAACACAACGAAACACAACTTCTCTAAACCATACCTTTCCCAGCTCGACTCCCCACTGATCAAAAGAATTGATTCCCCAAATGAAACCCTCTACAGCAATTCTGTGTTCATAGATTGCCAATAACTGAGGAACAAAGAGCACCAAGAAATTAGGACCAATGAAGTAATTTGCATAGTTCCTCATGCAAGAAAACATGCACCGACTTTTTGAAGATTGATCACGACAGGCAATCAAAAGTTGACAAATTAGTTCTCATATCATGAGAAAAGGTAAGAGATCAACTTATGTAGAATATACAACTCCATCATGGAATGGAAGATGCCCATATGGCACCTTTATATTGTATCAAGAACTGAAAACAAAAGGTGAAGCAATGAAGAAAATAATAAACACAAGGTAAAATTAATGAAAAATATTTGCCAAACAGATAGCTTTTGGTGTAGTTGTTCTGATACTGGGCTCATCTGTCAAGATATTATGAAAACATCAATGAAGGAATAGACAATAAAGAATAAAAACTTAAAATACTACCTTCAACCCTTACAAAGTGAATGCTTATTTCTCATGATAAATCTCCAGTGTGCGCCTAGTTTGGAATATGCCAAATAGTTTTCGAGTGAAAAAATAAACTAAATGTTTGTCCATATTTCAAAAATATGAATATTCAAAATATGTTGTGCATAACTCTTATCAGTCATAGCTACCTAATTTTCCTCCTGAACATGCTCAATAAAATAAGTAACTGACATAACAAAACACCAACAGGAATGAACCATTTTTCTCTAATTACTAATCACAACCTTGCGGAATTCATACCTGCCCAATATTGTAAGCATTCAATGATGGAAGTAGTAGGCTGAGGGAAGGCCGATTGCCGCCGAATGTCTGTAGATTGTTTTAGAGAAAAAATTGAGCATGCTAGTGACTAAGTATTCAACTATTAAATATGCAAGTTGCATTGAAGAAGGAATATCACCTTGTGAGGAATAAGGTGTGGGGAAACATTCTCCTTTTGCAGCTGCTCTTCTGTCTACAAGATTTTGATTAATGGTCATATTCCTTATGATAAATCAGGAGAAGATTACTGTAAAATCTAGTCCACAAAATGGAAAAGAAATAGCTATTTCTACAAGTTCAGTGCTGTCCAAACCTGCATATCAGTTATCGTCGAGTTGGTAGCATTGAAACAAATTTTATTGCTTATTACTTATATCCTTATTTACTTATATCTGATATATAATTTAGAAGAATAGGGTAAAGGACAAATACCTTCCCATATGCAAGGGCATCAGGCTGAGCAAAAAAGTTGGACATAAGCTCATCATGGTTACTCACTACTTCACCTGGTTAAAATTGCATTGCTAAAGTATTATCAGTGCACTGACTTAAAAAAAGTAAACTAACATGATCAAACTTGATAATGCTAATTCGTACCCTTACCTTTCAGAAAGACAGGTTGCTGACTTTTCACAACTCCAATAAAATCACAAGGAATTACACGCCCCTAAAAGTAAGAAGATGCAAATTTCTCAATAAATAGCATAGTTCCTAAATATTCATATTTTCGTATGGTTATAAAAGTATTAAATCAAAGGAAGCAAAAAAAAATCGCACAAGAGGTAACAAGAAGAAAATAAGATTCTAAACTGGTAAAGAAAAGCATAAAATTTAGGTCAGCTATGGAGAAATTAAGGAAAGCTGATAGGAATGTTTCACTTGAAAAATTAATGTAGAAGAAACGGGCTCTGGGACTTTCAGTAACCTAGAGAAACATTAATGGAAGATAACCATTATATCAGAGCATATTTGTGCTCGTATTGATTTGAAGGACAAAGGAAGGATGAAACTACACATGCAATTTCTTCCTGATTTTATTATGCCCATGGCCAAATCTCTAATTTGACCCAAGGATTAGCATTCAAAACAAGTAAAAACTGAAATTGAAATATCAACCACAACATTCAATTGCAGACATTATTTCAGTAGAATGTGTTTTAAATCAAAATTAATTTTCAGCATGATAGTAATGTCGGCTTTTGACGTTATCAAGTATACCTTTATTAATACCTTTAGACGAGTAGCATTTTCAAGTCAAAATTTTCAAAAAAGTTTAATAAATCTTTTACCGTACTATATAGTACTTAGTAAATCACCTGATGTATGAGCTGATAAAAGCTATGCTGACCATTAGTTCCTGGCTCACCAAAATCAATCTCGCCAGCCTCAAATGGTAGAGGAACACCATCAATTGAAACACCCTTGCCATTACTCTCCATGCTAACCTAAAGCAAAAGAATGATAAAAATACTACAAGACAAAAAAGTAAGATAGCATTAAAATAATTTTCAAGCACAATGCTGCAACAAACTTGCCTGTTGAATGTGGGGGGCCAACTTCTCCAGAGCTTGACTATAAGGCAAGATGGCCTGTAAGAGTACCAAAAGTTTAATTTTTTGAACAAGTCCGGTTAAGAACAACAAAACCTATGAAATATTTCTGAAGGGAATAGGCCAAATAAGTACTCACTCTGGCAGGATATCCAAGAAATGAAACATTCCATATGCTCAACAAACCCAGAAGCACCTGGAGTACTCATGAAATAAAATTGAGCATCTCATCATGTAGTTGAAAAGGGTACAAGACATCTTAAATACAAGAAAACATAAGGACCCAGAACCAAGGGATCTAAAAAATTACAGTGAACCAGATTCCTACTCATTCCCCCCAGTTTCATCTCTTCTTCAAAAAGAAAAAAGGAATATTGTAAGAGAAAAAAGATCATAAGCTGAATTGGTAATGCTCCAAAGAGTGAAAGAAGAAAGGGGAAAATTAAAGGAAATAAAAGCTGAAAGGAGCTTCATGTGATACAGAATATTTAGTTTTACAATTATAGAATATAAATTTATCTCGTCTGGGATTCCCTCACCATACTGGAAGGATGGCCAGTATGCAGTATCACAATAATTAAAACATATGCTTAAACAAGTAGAGATCCACATGTAAAATAAAGCTTAAAAGTACAAAAGATTAGCAAAGGGGCACTTACAGGTATATTGCTTTCAAATGGCTGTGAATAGAAATGTTGATCAATGCTTGAAGCCCCCTTTAAGAACCTTTAAGAAAGAAAAAGACCATCATAAAGAAAAGATACAAGTATATATTTCTTAGTCTCTTACCAAAAGAATATTAAAAGCTTAGTTGTATTTTACAACCAGTGCCAATACTATGCAGAACATAATTGAAATCTAAATACATACAAATGGAGACCTAACTACATTATATCTCATTCTGAGCAGTCATGATTATCAAAAGAATTCTTATCAATATCATTCTTGTAATCTGTGAAGTTGATTATTTCCTTAAAGGAAGAAGGTGAAGCATAATAAAGGCACAATAAGTTATACGATTTCTAGGAACATTCTCCTCTAAAAGACGTAGTGCCTTCAGATTAGAATTATACTAACAAATGAAGGACATACTTCTCTACTGCCGAGAAACCGTATTGTAGAGATAATGGCAAAACTCCAACAGCACTACAAACTGCAAGCCGTATTCAGATCATCATAACCAAATCTGTTGTAAACTTCAACTATTCTTTAACAGTTTAAGAAGACGGAGAGATAGATGAAACATTACTCACCACTATATCGCCCACCAACCCAATCCCAAAATGCAAATGTGTTGTTAGGATCAATACCAAACTTTTCCACAAGCTGCATCATAAATGAAAGAAAAATAGCTAGATATACAGCCATAATTATAAATAGAAAATACATGCTTCATTATTTTTTCTCTTATTAAAGAAAAAATGCACTATTTTTTTTAAATAATACCAAAGAAATTATAACTTTGAGAACTTCACCCTTCTGTAATCTGTCCTTATGACAGCTTTATTATTCAATTATTATGTTATTGACCTTTGGTATAGTTAAATCCACCAATGATTCACAGTTAAGCATAATGTTTTAATAGCACATGTGCGGGCAAATAATGCACACAGTTAAGGAGCTAAGAAAGCAAGGCTGATAAATGTATCAAGGCAACAGTAGTGATCAATCAAAAGAACACATGATTCAAGAAAGAAACAAAGAATTAGACATTGAAAAATATTTAATCAGATAGTTCCATAAAAGGAAAATATGGCAATACCATGAGATTTGTGCTAACAGCAACCATATGCTTTGCAACTGCAGTGGGCCTGCAAGTAATGATATCACGAGATAGCCTTCAATTCTTTATCAAAGTCTATTCTGAATATTGTCCACTCTCTATCCTTTGAATAATCGGTGAACATATTTAGAGGGTGGGGGCAGGGGGTGGGGTGTAACTTACAATAAGTAAGGAAACTACTGAACGCCCAACCAATGTTTAAACTATTATACTTTAACAAAAATCTCTTAATGCGGCACTTACCCAAGTGCAGATGAAATCCATTCTCTGAGAGTTCGAGCATTTAGCATGGTTTCAGCTGTTGTAAAAGTCTTTGAAACGACCACAACTGCGATTGTTACAAATAATAGTAAAACATATAAGATAAGCCTCCATATCTATTTATTTATCTATTTAACTATCCATAGATTCATCTGTTATACAATCATTTACCAAGTGTTGTTTCAGGATTTAATCCTGTGATATTTCTAGCAACGTCAATAGGATCAACATTTGCAAGACTGCAGATAGATTCAAATAGAAGGTGAGATTGGTTTTAAGGAAAGCGTATAGCCAGCTTCTACATATGTAAATAAAGCAAATATCATACAGTTGCATTCAACTAATCCTTGCAATCGCACTCTTTAAACTTCTCTGACATCAGATACTTACAAGCGCAGCTGACGACCCCTTGCAGATTCAATAGCTTCAGGGTCTGCAAGATGAAAGATATATGAACATATATTCAATAATTTTACTTGTTATCAACTATGGACTGTGATTATGAGGAATACAACTTGTGTGCGTGCACAAGCACATGTATTATATGTCAACACAAATGAAAGGCAAATAATGGTGGAATTGCTATTAAAGAAATTAGCAATAGTCAAGCAACCTGTTTGAAGTGCCGTGTGTACAAACAGTGGACCCAAGAAGCTTCCCCCAATACCAATAGCAACAACGTCCTTCAAAGCCTTCCCTGTAGCACCAACCTTTTAAAAAAAGGGTTAGTAGTTAATACCCTTTAATTCAAATGAATCAAATGGTCACAAACACATCCCTGTAGAATACTGGGGTGGCACATTACCCAAGAGCCATTGCGAACCCGCTCAGAGAACTCCTGGATCTTGTCAAGAACTTTCCAAACTTCTGGTACAACATTTTTCCCATCACTTTGTATGACAGCATCCCTTGAAGCCCGAAGGGCGACGTGAAGTACTGACCTGTTTTCCGTGCTGTTTATCTGAAAGTGAATCCAACATTTTCCAAGAATGAAAAAAAAAAAAAAAGTAAATAGTTTATGTACTAAAAGTGTAAAAGTCAAATCACAAGCCCCTCTATGATAAGTTTACTAACTTTTACAATCACGGTTGTAACACCGATAGTCTTTGATTGGTCGATATTGATTAGTTTTACACTTGCCATGCATACATAGTATTAAACCCAAAATTAACACAAGCTAATAATGGCGTGAGTGTATTTATGTTGTAGACTGCTAAACTTTGTTAACTTTGAAGACAAAGACTCACATGTTCCCCGCTGTACATGCGGTTAATCTTTTCTTTGAGCGATGCAGCCTACAAAAAATTAACACCAGAATCAATAATCAGAATTTGCGAAAGTCCTTTCCGTGTGTTTACCGATTGATACGAAATTCAAGCACGAACAAGAAACTACTAACCTCGGCCAATTCAAATAGCTTCTGGATAGTTCCGGAAGTGGCTTGTTGCCTCGAATAGTCCAACAGAATGTCATCGAACTCACTACATAACATGCAAAATTTTGAAATATAATTTCATCTCATGACAAATAGGAAATGAAGTTCAGAATTTCCCTGTTTTGGACTTAGGAACGGAGTGTGAATAACGTAAATGATATATTTTTTGCTTACACGAGCATGGACTGGCACCGCTTATCATCGGTCAATAGATCGCGAAGATGCGTCTTCTTGATGTCCTCCACATGCACCTGTTCAAAGATGCGAATCGTTTAATGGTAATTTCTGATTGACGGTGAGAACTAATAACAATAACGTTGATTAATTAAACTTCGTTAAGTTACCTTCAGGTCCTTCCATGGCTGTGTATCGGAGATGAGACCGGAGGATGCCATAAGCGCGAAGAGGGAGAGAGAGAGTGACTGTGTGAGTGAGTGAATGAATGAACTCGAGACTCGCTTTCTGCGTTGGATGGAAGTCGGAGGAGCTTCTTGGAAACTTTATTAATTTGGTTCATCTCAGGGAGTGCCAAGTGTTACACGTTGACGGAACAAAAGGAAAGAGAACAACTATTTCATATAATAATTTCTTATAAATAATTACACGCAAAGAATTTTAAATAATTATAACGCCATTAAGAATTTTTCAATAAAAAATTACTTTAACTTTTAATTTATAATTATTATTTTTAAGATTGATACTCATAAAAAATACTGAGTAACTATATTACAATATTAACTTGTTTCACGACACTTGTTAATAAAGAACAAACATTTAATAGAATTAAGTATTCGACAAAAAAATTGATGATGTATGATTTTACGTGTTTTTTAATATGTTTATCGTTTACTTCTTTTTAATTATTGTGTGTTAATTTGAGATTTTATTTAAATATTTTTATTATTTTGAAATACCAGAGATTTTGAGTTTTTTCAATGTAATTTAAAATTTCTTATTTAATAATTTTGTCTTATATTCAGTAGGGCTCATGCGAATTTCATTTTATATAAAAAAATATATATGGTAAAAAAAATGTGCAAAAGAGGATATTAAGCTCTATAGGACTAAAATTTAGATCTAGATAGTTCATCATATATTTTTTCATTCTCAGTTATTGTATAATGACCAATACATAATTAAAATTCATTGATGAACTACAGACAACACAAGATTTGATGTACAGGTTTTAAACAAGTTCATTCCACGACTAATGCATAATTTAATTAATACAAAAGTAAACTTTCACGTGATACAAAAGTCTTTGTTAGGTTGCATGAAAAAAAGAATTATAATTTATTAAGTATGTCCACGTGACATTTTCTAGACTAAAAATAGGGAGTGAAAAGAAAATTAAAGAATAAAAATATTGATTGAATTAAATGAAAGAAAATAAAAATGAGCTAAAATTTGATTACGATAAGTTTTTAGAGTTATTTTATTATGTAATTTTAAAGTTTTTTTAATATTATATTATATTAATTTAAATAATATGATTACGAGAAGAATATGTTAAAATTAACTTATTATTTATTCGCTAACTCATAAACATGTCACAATCAATATTTAACTTTTAATTATTATTTTTCAATAACAGTTTGAAACATATTAGAATGTTAATATACTAATATTATATTTACTATGATGTTGGTGTAATAATAATGATTTGAATTATACTAATGTTGTTGTAACAATAATGGTTTAAATTATTATAATGTTATATTTATTATAATTTGAAAAAAATTAATAGAATTTTGTATTGTTATATGTCAAACTTCTATTTTAATTCTTTATATATAAAAGCTGAACTCCAAAAAATAAATTATCCATTTAAGCGCTTCAATCTTAATGGTTCTATTATTTTTTAGGGTATTGTAATAACAAACACAGAGATTATGATGATGAAATGTTATTTTGACGTGGAAAATCTTGCTATAGAATTATGATGAAAAGGGTATTGAACTATAACCATGAGGAATTCTCCACATTAATGGTTCAGGACTATTTGAAATCTGGTTTTTGGGATCAGAATGTGATGACAACAGAGCCAGATTCGCATGAATTTGTCCAAATTTGTAGCTTGGAAAAACGTAATCAGAAAAAGAGGAATAGGGAAATTAATTGTTATAATAATAGATTTTGCAAAAGTCAAATCTTAAGAAACAACACTTTCATAAAATGACCTAAACAGAATTAAGGGAATACTTCTACTTCAGAAATATAATGTAAAATCATTTGTGTATCTTTAACTCTTTACTTAAGCTATTGAGATAATTGGTGATGACAAAAAACTTCACCAAAGAAATATAATCTAGAAATTCATTATTGTCACTTTCACTCTTTTAATAAAAAAATTTAATTTTATGGTAATGTATGTGAACATGTGAATCATGACACTTCAAGTTTAGAAGGCTGAAAAAGTAGAAATATAAGATGACATCAGTGTTCTTATGGTTTAAACTTTTGTAATAGTTCATAATATTTAGAGGTACAAATCAAGGGTTCAAATGAAAAAAAGAAAAGAGATTTGAAATAAAAGAAATGAGAGGAAAAGAAAATATAATAAAAGGTAAAATTATTTATATTAGAAAAGATGGTAGTTGATTTTTTATATAATAATTATATTATCTTTGTATCCAAATAAAATATTAATTTGGTTGAATTTAACATGATCAATTATGTGAGTATAGGTTAAATTAAATGCATAGTGTAATGTCTTATGGCTATGAAGGACAACTTGAAAAAAAATAAAAAAATAAAAAGGCAAACTTTGACTCCATATATTTGAGGAGAGAACTATCAGCTTCTTTTGATCTATATTTTTCTTTCTTTGAAATCAAAACATTTGTCTTGAATCAAATTGAACAACCTTTAAAAAAATAAAAATCGCATATTTCATTTATTCAACATATGGTGATAGTGTAAAAAAATGATAAAATTATTTATTTGGAAGCAAAAACACATGCAAGAGATGTGTAGAATATCATTAACCATGATTCTAAAATTATGGAATCAAATTTTTTAAAATACCTAATTTTTAATATTATTTTTTTCTGAGGTAAAAACCGAAAAAAATCATTCTATTTGTCTACTAAATTAACACAAAGAGGGGAAAAAATATTTGTTATAATTATTTTAATCCATACTCTACTTTCATCTATCAACATTAAATATAATGTATACGTGTACTGTTATTAAAACAATTCACTGATTGAACTGACTTTCAATTTTTTTACTAAAATGAACTAAGTTATATTAAAGACCTTAGTTTTTTATATTTAAATTTTCACTACTAATTAAATAACATATAAATATATTTTGATTTTTTGTTAATATTAAACACACAAATTTGATAAATTTATCAATTGATATATGCTTGAAATGAATTTTGATAAAATTGATTGTAGAATAATTATTTTGGAATGATTGATTGTTAAAAAATAATTGTATTTAAGTATGACATTTTAAAATGAGTTTAGGAGAATAAATTAATGTAATTTTTAAAATAAAAACTACTTTTGAAGTATAAATAAATTAATTTTTGTGAAATATACAATTAAATCAAATTTTGTTTGGCGAAGGAAGTTAAATATTCTAATCAAATTAAAATGAATTTGAATAGTCAGATATATGATAGTGAAAAATAGGAAGATTAGCTGTAAAAAATGTGTTTATTAGAGTACTGGGAGTTACTACGCTTAAATTAAATATTATTTATTTGAAATAATTTTTTAGAAGAATTTGATATAATATATGGAAAATTTAAAAAACATTTATAATTATTTTAACAAATATTTTAAAAAATAAAATAAATTAAAGAAAGAAAGAAGAAAGGGAAAATTTTTGTTTTAATTTATTAAAATAAAATTACTTGTTTACAAACTATGTAACATAATAATTTTTTTTTTTTTTGAAAAACGAGAATGAGTTAATATTGAATGACTTAGAATAATTTCGACGCTGTTGTTTTGAATGCCACCCGTAGTACAGAGTAACAAACGCGTACGTGTTTAATCATGTTGTCCTGTGTATTCCGTACTACGATTCCAGTGGCCAGAAAATAAGTACTGTTCCTTTCCTTTTACCAATCAACTTATTGTTAGTTTTGGAAATTTGCTTAATTGAGAAGAAAAAAAAAAGAAAGAGTAGAAATTAGATTAATTTGCTAGTATATATATATATATATATATATATATATATTTCCGTTATAAACTACAATATAAGTTATTTCGTAAAATAAATAAAAATACAATCATACGGTCAAATAAATTTTGAAAAACTGAAATAATAATTTTTACAGTAGATTAGAGATATAAAAATTAGTATTCAATATTTTGAAGAGTGGATTTTATTTTTATAGTTTATTTACATCTGATATATAAAACTAAAAACCTATTTATTTATTTTTTTATTAGAATTTATGAGAAAGTACTATATATCTCGGTCTATCCTAAATTGTTGATGTGAAAAGAAAAAAATATCCTAAATTGTTAACCCAAACAAATTACTCATTAATAGGGCGGGACCGGGAATGTTGACCCGGTACCTAGCTTTACCCGAAGCAACAATAGTTCACACACGAAATCATCAAGAAATGAACGGTCGAAAATGAGAAATGGAAGCAGAAACAACAAAAAACGGATACACCGGAACACAACCCAAGCCATGAACCGAACCAGAGGATTAAAAAGGTGAGGACGCGAAACCCGGGAAGCGACACAAGTGGTCAGACTGCAACACTGAGTCTGAGTAGTACAATACACCAAACCCTACCCCACTTCCCATTTTCACACCACATTAACCCTAACCCTAACCATTTGGTCCACGCCCTTAACCATGGTTACTAACTGCTCCATTCCTCCGGTTAGTTTATGGACTCGCTACTACTCGCTCAGTCAAACATCGTCACCACCACCACCACCTTATTTTTAACCCTCCTCTATTCACTGTCTCACTTCTTACTATCAACACGTGCAATTCTTTATTATTAATTGCAGAAAAAAATAAACTATATGTGTTCTGGAACGGCACAAGAGGGAAGATGAATCAAACAGCTCTTGAGTTTTTCTCAGTTGTTTATTTATTCCTTTCAATGAAGGACTCTGGTTATTAATTTTTTATTTCACTATAAGTTCAGAAGGGTGCTTGTTTGTTTCTATAATAATGTTTTCAGAATCTGGATTGTGGTCAAAGATGTATCATTACAGTTGCTTTTAACATATTGAGATAAAGAGAAGAAGGTTGATTCTGCTTTGCATTAGAAAGAAGCAGGAATCAGAAGATTTTGGTTGTGTGGGTTGTGTTCCACTAGGTTTAGTGATCTTTGAAAAATGATGATCTAGAAAATTATCAGATATTATTATTGGAAACAGAGTGGTTGGTTGGAGTTGTTGTTGTTATAATTATTTGAAATTTTGATAGAGAAGTATTTATGGGGAAAAAGAAACGACAAAAAACAAAGGAACTTTCGGTAGCGATAGCCGAGGCTTCATCCAAAGAAGGTGATACGGAGCATCAACATCCTCAGCCTCCTCGAAAAAGAGGGAGACCTCGTAAGGTTGTTGTTGTGGAAATGGAAAGCGAGGGACAAAATCTGGAACCGGAACCTTCTGCAGCAACGAAGAAAGAAGAAGAACAACAACATGGGAGGCCACAAGAGGAGTTAACATCAGCATCGGTAACATGCACGATGATAGTTACAAAAGAAGAGGGTGTGTTCGAAGGGATTCAACTCCCAAAAGGGGAACCCTCGAGAAGCAGAGCCAGACGCAAAAGCAAACCCAGAAAAAGCACTTGAAAAATATTCCTTTTTTATTATTATTATTTATGATTTACCTCCCTTTTTTCTTCTCCAGAACTAAGTAATAGAAAGAGATTCCTTGGGCAATCGGAATGAATAGGGAGAAAGAAATATTTGTTGGGTTGGGTTCTTGGCTTGTAATCTTTTCTAAGGATTAAGATGGAAAACGCAAGCATCCAAAGAACTTTTTCTTCAGATTCTAAAGCTTATCTAATCCTGAGCTAATAGAATTATATGGACGAGAGCTTCAATACAATGTTTCATTCGCATGCAGGAAAAAACAGTTTAGATAGAGCTTAATTCATTGTAAAAGTTTTGCTGTATGGATGTATTGCTTAAACTATGTGTTCAATGTGATTCTGTGAATTAATATGATAATCATATCAATGTGTTTCTTGATCTCCCAGAACTTGCTTTTTATGCTCTTTTGATCTGCAATATCCACATATACTATTATAATCTATTGCCATCAGTTTCAATATAACTCTTGGATTTAAATCTTCTTGGATTGTTACTAAATATAGCTTCATTGTTTCTTGCTTAATATTTTATGCAAGACAAATAACAAAAAGGGAGATGAATAAGTTTACACGCTGTTTCTGTAAAAAAATTTTCCTTGGTCTATTTTTATGGTACTAAACACCTTTTTACTATCAACAATTTTTAATTTTTAATTTTTATCTTACTATATATTTTGTTGTACGGATAAAATGTATGGTGAGTGTATGATTTGTAAGAGTGTACATGTACTGGGAACGCGGGGAGAGACAGAAAAGTTGGGGGCAAACGGGGATGATACTTTATTAGGGAACAGAAAAATGCCTATTCTCGTACATGTGAAGATTAATTTAGTATCACAAAATTAATATACATACAAATGTAACCTAATAAATGAAAACTTTTATTATTACGTAAGAAATTATAATGATGAATCTGAGAACTAAATTGTATTTAAATACTAAATTTTTTTTTTTCAAATTGCTCAAATCAGTAACTTTTTTAAGTTGTGATATATACAGAAATCACATTCTATTTAAAATATGAGTTAGTCACTTTTTTATTATTTGACTCAATTATATGAATCACTATTTTATTAATAGAAGTTGAGACATGCTCAAACCTCTTTATTTTCTTTGATCATTCATCATGTTTTTTTTTTATTCTTTTACATGATTCGTAATAGAATTTCATGGAAGAAAAAGATGAATTTAACTTTATATGAAATGATTATATTATCTTAATTCAAGTTTTATTTCTTCTGTGTTTGATGTTTTTTTTTTGGTTTAATCACCCGAGTTAAATGTAGACTCTCTAGAAAGAAAAACGATCATTGGTTGAAAATTGAAGAAAATCATACTAATCACAAAAGATTATAAGAATATGATGGGGTAATTAGGAGATTATTTGAATTCTAGTATTTAAAATTTTAATTTGTAAAATAAGACACTCAAATTACATATACTATAAAATTAGTGAGAGTTATGATAGTCTTAGTTGAGTTATCTTTTCTAATATGAAATTGTTTAATGGGTCTACATTTTAAGTCAAAGAAGGGAGTTGGGTATTAAAGAATTGGATAATCTAATCTAATGGAGTGAATTGACTCTTTATTCAAGGTGTAAACTTTGAATAGAAAGATTTTAGTTCGCATAAAAAATAGAAAAAAAAAGTGGAATGATTGATTTCAACCTAATTCTTATCATCAATATTTTTTTTCTTTTTCAAATTTGGTGTGAATACAATTTACTTTTGTCCTGGTGTTTTGGTGCTTAACAAATAAATTTTTATCGTTGATTCTTCATTTTCTTTATACAACAAAATCCATAAATTTTAGTTGAATTAAATTTTAAAAGATTATTGAAAATATTAATTTGTTATGTTTTTAGCTGAATTAAATTTACATAGTCATTTTTTGTAATGATAAAGAATCTAAGTGCAATACTATAATGCTACATAAATTGTTGTCTCAACCTGTCTAATCTAAAAAAGTTCAAACAAAACACTCTAATAAACTCATTTTAATACTTTTTATCAGTTAATTGTTTTTATTAAAACTTAAAATGATTAAATCTCAATTTTTTAGTTAACAAATCTCATCTCACTGCTAATTGCATTACTCACAAAATTCTTAATTACTGCACATTTGTACAAAATAATACAAACACATAACCTCATTAGGATATCATACAACTGGAATATCCAAACATTAAAATATCTTATACATAGTTAGCAAGCAGTCGATAAACTCACGAAAATGAGACAGAATAAAACATGAAAACTCTGTTTCATGTTTAGTACATTTAAAAAATAAACAGAATTGGATGTGATATTAGAAAGTGATAGATTTGGACTCCACTTTCATTAAGAGTGAAAAAAAAAAAAAAAAATCCATTCTGTTTTGTCTGGCGAGGCACATGCTACCATAGTGCTCCTTTCTCTATATTAAATTATTAACATAATATCATACAAGGAAATTTTACAAGAAATTATATACTACACGCACAAACCTATGTCATTCTCTTATTCTATATGAACTATTGATTCCTTAGTGACTCACTTTCAGAGATTAGATCGATTGTGGTAGGTGAGCCAGTTGCAGAAGTAGCTGTAGAAATTGAATTAGATGGTGTGTGTCCTTGAACTGCTTGAGAAGGTTGCAACAGATTTGCATCAGGGGCCTTCTCCTTTGAAGCATTCATGTTAACTTTTATCCTGCATTTTCCATAACTCAATTTAATATGCTTCTTACAATAAGCTAACAATGATCTATTGCTGCACTAAACCAAATACCAAGGAGAAGTCATGTCAGCTTGCAACGAAGTGATCTAACAAAACTGGTGTGCTTCAGATGACAATTAAGAGAGATCAATTGAGAGCTTACTTGTTATGGATATTGACATATTCATCAGTTTCATCTAATATCTCCTCCTGAAATACACAAAGATTTAATGAGGTGGATCTACACATACAGCTAATTTTAAAAGGCAATAGAAGCAAAACTGCAACTTGTATTTTGTGTTTCATAACAATAGTATATATATATATATATAGAGAGAGAGAGAGAGAGAGAGAAGCTGTAAAAGCTCTAGCAACAAAACAACCCATTCTAACAGTTTGAAACATCTAAATGTAACAGGGAAGTAGTCCTGCAGAATTCAAATCAAGTAGTTCTTTCTTCAATAACTGACTATAAATATAGCAATTAATCATCTATACTGAATGTAAATTACGAAGGAACATTGGATTGTGAAATTGTCCAATGGAAGCAATAGCAAATGGTGAATATAGGAATGAAAAAGCCAAAGACAGTTCACCATCATGTCAGTGACAGCTAGAATTGCACCATCAGTACTAAAAAGAGTATCAAAACTTACACAGGACTAACTTATTTGGAGCACAAACTACTAATTCTTAGTGCACTAAAGCATCTAACCTGAAGAAGCTCTTCGATGACATCCTCCATCGTAATAACACCAACAACCACTTCATTGGGTGGAAATACTGGCAGGGGCGAATTATCAAGGTCCAGGATGCAATATGAACAACCTCTATGTCGCTTTTTAAAAGCAGGAGTTACTGGTGGACTTTTCTTTGCTTGTTGAGCACCATCAACCTTGGTAACAGTCATCAAAGTATCGCCTGACTCCAATTTAGAACCTACATATGCAGCAACAGTAAGACATAAAAAGATGGTCACCAAGAGTTTCACTGAGTAGGTCAACCACAAAGGATCATAATACTAAACAACTTAATTGAGTATGCATCTAAATATACAGGTAGTAAACCACAAACGTGTGAAGTAAAACCACATGGTGCAGAAAATGAACTTCACAGACGGAAACACAAATTGATACAAATGGCCATTTCTGGGTACAAAAGCTTCATAAAATAATCAGTAACGTCAGCAGACAGGAGGATCGATCATACTTTCAAGGGACCTAAAGAACAAATTAGAATATCTGCTTTGTAAGTTCAACAAATTGCAAACCAGACATAATATTTCGACAGCACGCACTCTACCTTTAGCCGAGGGTGCATTGTCTCCCTTATTCTTACAGTTGTCCCTGAGATCATGTTGCTCCCCATCTTTAACCTTTTTGGGGGCCTCGTTTTTACCGTTTAGATCCCTATACACCACTGCAATATGACTATGACCCTTCTGAAATTCGTTCAGTATATCATAGAGAGGCATGTTCTCTGAAACACTGCAGGATGAAGAAATAATGACTACATTGTAACGCCAAGCATATCAACCACCCATACGCATATAAGATCTAGTTCATATGTAAGGACAATGTATCTCATCTCACGTATGAAAAAGGATTACCGAGGAATTTTTCTGATGACCATTTTTCTTAGAGGAACTGCAGCCTTTGAATCAACCATAAAGAGATTTTTCACCTGCGCATACAAGTGAACAAAACATTAACTAACAAAGAATGAGTGACATAATAGTGAATACCGGATACGCTCAGGCTAGTGTTGTTTTTATCGTCGAGCGACATAATAGTGGATAGAAAGTGCTGAGTTCCTCTTTTTTAGTATTTATCGCTTAGCGAGTCTATTTTATTTCGGAATGATTTGATAGTATGTTCTATTATATATAAATTATACCCGTCTCACAATACCAGATCCACGATCTATTACTACGTATATCATAAACACAATAACCATGATCTGGATCGCATAGAAGACCTCACTCAAGCTTGACATCAATCCTCATAAACTTTTTCCTTCATTTGGTCCTAATACTTCTGCGTAAATATCAGATTTATATAGTTTTCATGCATTTCATCCGAACAACCATAATATTGTTCGCATATTGTAACCATTTGATGTAGCCAAACGCACCAACTCATAAACCAAGAGAAAGAGATTTGAAACTTGACTTAAAAATTTTCACCACAATATCAAGTAATCCAATAACAGAACATAAATTAAGGACATTATCACTGAAACTAACCATCTACAATTTTGTGCATCTATTCACAAAAATATGAAACTGAAGAAAATTAGAAAACTTACCAGAACAAGTCCAATAATATTAGTTTTCTCTCCTGCGTAAACCGGAACTCTGCTATGACCAATTGTCATTATTGAATTCAGTGTCTCCCTTCAGTGCAAACACAGACAGGGTTAGAACAAAAGAAGACATAAGAATAGTGGAGAGAACGCTAAAGATTCACAAACCCACAAATTTAGAGTTGCATCCAGATCAAGGGAAAATGCCTTTGATATGGGAGTCATGGCATCTTTTGCAGTCTTCTCTGTCAATTCAAGTGCCCCAGTAATGATGGTTGTCTCGTCATGAGTTAAATCTCCTCCTTTACCGGCCTAGAAGAGAAAACAATTATATATCCATGTTACATCAGAGCACGAAACAGTGTAATACTTAAATAACTGGGAAATTATTATTATAAATTTAAAACCCACATCAAAATATTACAGAAGCACATCTTAAAGCATTCAAGTGAATATAAAGGAAATAGTTATATAAATCCTCTGGAACTTGGATCTCCAAATCTCTAATTATATATATTAAACGCACCTCATTTCCATGAAAATTCACAAAAGTCTTGAGCTCTGCCCTCTTCAAAAGGGCAGCATGTCCTTTACCCAGCATCCAATCAAGAACCTGAAAACATTACAGTCACCATCAGAATTTTCTTTCAATGTAAGAATCATACAGTTTTGATGATGTCCAAGCAAATCCCCTTTCAGAGATATTCTGTCCACGACACAACCACGTAGTAAATACGGCAACCTCTCATAACAATATTCAAATTTTAAACCTTGGCTCTAGTGTGAAATAGCGTGTTTGGTTTCCCATTTCAGATGTGTTTTTCAGAAACTAAAAATTACGGCTTTCACGACCCAAATACGATTCCCCATTCCCAACTCCTCACATCCAAACATGCCCTTCAACACGGTATGGAAGACTAACAGCTTGCAGTTGTAGCAATCCATAAGAATACCTTGCTGATTGGATAAGAAACCGGGTAGAAAACAAGAAGAAGAACACGAACAAGTGGAGCCAGCGTCGCTCCAACCGTCAATCCATATCTCGTGCAAATTGCTTGCGGCAATATCTGCACCAAGCAGGGAACAAGGAACCTCACTCAACAAAACAGTCCAAGTTCGATTATTCATATGACACGAGTCAATAATTACCTCTCCAAACAAGAGGATGAGAGTGACCGAAATCAAGATTGCAGCAGCAGGATGCACCAGCGCATCAAGAAAAATGGGAAGAGTCTAAAAATAGAAACATTAAAATTAAAAATTTATCATAATGAAAGGTTAATTAAGTCACTTCATTAACAACACCTCCATGGCTAAGGAGTTTCCAATTAGAAGCGTGCAAAGCAGAAGATGCTGGTTTTTAACCACTGGATAAATTTTCGCTGAAAAAAAGAAGAAGAAGAAGAAAAAACGATTACTAAGTAGGAGTCAACTAAATTAGAACTGTTGGAAGGAGGAAAAGGGGAAGGTACGAACAAGCATGGATTCGATCCTGAGGGCGACCAGATTTCATGAGAACTTCGAGGTCGACGAGTCCGAGGGACATGAGTCCGAGAGTGAGACCAGCCATTAGGCCCGCGAAACAAACCAATCCTACGATCACCAACACGTACAGTGAGAACTTTGTTCCGCAGCAGGGTATCTCCGCCGCCATCTCTCGTTGATGATACTTACACTACAAAGAAACCACTGCACGGCAAAAGTTGTCGTTGTTCTCTTATTTGAAGGTCAGAGATTAGGCGATGCTAATGTTATCAGCTTTTTCCTTCCAATTTTGCGGTTTGGGATTTGTTGCGTTTCTTCTTACATCACAATAATGTATGTATGTGTCTACATGGTGTAAAATAATAATCAATAGTAATAGTGATGAAAATACCTAATTCCATTTTTTTATGGTTACAGTGCTAGTTGACTGGTTTTCCTATTTCAGATGCTGACTCGTACACTTTTTCTCCTGCATTTATAGAAAAAAAAAAGAAAAAAAATGTTGTTTGGAACACCTCCTGTTAAGAACTTAATTAATTAATTAATAATAATAATAATAGATTATTACGAGAGTCACCAAATTTATTATGAAACATATAGGTATCAGTATATTTCACAAACACATGCAATCTTCATGCCTCTAAGTCACATGACATGATTCTAATTGTTTTTCCTCAAACTTTTCCATAAAAAGGATCCTAGACAGCAAGCTAGGTTCTCCCTAAAAAAAAGAATCCTAGTCAAAACTCACTTAGAAATCACTACCTCATTGAAATAAGAACACAGGTTATCAATTCATATCAAGACTCTTTCAAAGGTCATGCATATGGGGTCCTCAAATTCAATTCTTAACAATTTTTAAGGTAGTGTTTAATTATTGGATAAGTATAATTCTTTTTTTTATATTGTCATAAAATAATTTCTTACCCTGAAAAAGAAATGTAAACTTTATCTTTTGTAATTAAGCAAAAGAAGAAAATTACAAGACAATAAAATATTAATATTTTTCTGAGTTATGAACATTTTACAGGTATAGCAGTTTATACTGTAACCTGGAATAATATTCCTTTCAAGTGGATTCGTTGGATACGTATTTCTTGGCTTCTGCGTCATCGTTGTTACATTAAATATTTGAATGAGATGGAAAGACGGTTTTGCTTATCTGTTTTGTCCATTTCTCATATTTTGTCTGCTTGGAGTTATTTGAGAGAGTGAAAAAGAGAAAGTGGAAAAAGAGAGATTTGAAGAGAAATGGAGATGAAATTAAAATTGTTTGGATGAATGGAAAGTGAAAAGAAAGTTTATGAGAAATTGTGAATGATTTGATTGATACTGAGATATAAAAATTATAATTTTAATTGATTATTTAAGAAAATTACTATTTTACCCTTTGTATAAAATAAGGTTCAAATGATTATAAATATAATTTTTTAATTAATTATCCATATTTTAACATTGATTATATAGTTAAAAGAAAAAACAAATTTAAAAGTGTTTGTAATTGGAAACAAATTTACAAAATTCACTTTTTTTATATTACTATAATATAAAATATATATTCCACAATGTAACTTATTTTCATTTATATATATATTATAGAAATGAAAATAAATTATATTTTAGAATATATAATTTTGATAGAAAATTATATATATATATATATATATATATATATATCGAAAATATAATTTATATTAATTACTATAATATAAAATATATATTCCACAATATAACTTATTTTCATTTGTATATATATTATAGAAATGAAAATAAATTATATTTTAAAATATATAATTTTGATAGAAAATTATATATATATATATATATATCTAAAATATAATTTATATTAATTACTATAAAAAATATATATTTCACAATATAACTTATTTTCATTTGTATATATATTATAGAAATGAAAATAAATTATATTTTAAAAGATATAAACTTTCAATTGATCGATTACTTTGCCAAAATGATCGATCACTTTTTCAATTCCTCGAGACTTTAGATAGCGGTTAACCTGGTACCACTATCATATGTTCACATCATGTAGCGGTTCTAGATTAACCGCTATCTAAAGGCTCAGAATTTGAATTTATTTTGATGTATAATTATATTTACATATATATATATATATATACATATTCTAAAATATAATTTATATTAATTACTATAATATAAAATATATATTCCACAATATAACTTATTTTCATTTATATATATATTATAGAAATGAAAATAAATTATATTTTAGAATATATAATTTTGATAGAAAATTATATATATATATATTCTAAAATATAATTTATATTAATTACTATAATATAAAATATATATTCCACAATATAACTTATTTTCATTTGTATATATATTATAGAAATGAAAATAAATTATATTTTAGAAGATATAATTTTGCAAATGATCGATCACTTTTCCAAAATGATCGATCACTTTTTCAAATCCTCCAGACTTTAGATAGCGGTTAACTTGGAGCCGCTATCATATGTTCACATCGATAAGCGGTTCAAGGTTAACCGCTATCTAAAGGCTCTATAATTATATGATCGATTACTTTTCCAAAATGATCGATCATATTTTCAAATACTCGAGACTTTAGATAGCGGTTCACCGTGAGCAGCTATCATATTTTGATATTTAAGAGCGGTTAAGTTATTAACCGCTCTTACAAGAATTATTTGAATATATTTTGATGTAAAATTATATTTATATATATATATATATTGTAAAATATTATTTATATTAATTAATATAATATAAATATATATTCCACAATATAACTTATTTTCATTTATATATTATAGAAATGAAAATAAATTATATTTTAGAATATATAATTTTGATGTAAAATTATATTTATATATATATATATATATACAAGTTATTAAAAATTATATAAATAAATTATAATTTTGACATATTAAATAAATTATTTGACTAATAATTAAATAATTATAAAATATAAAATAATAATTAATATTGACTAATAATAACAAATAATTATGAAAACTAATAATATAATTGTAAATTATTATTTTAAATCAATATAAAAACTTTAAATTAATTATATATATATATATATATATATATTGCATAAATTAGAGGAGGCGTCCATTCCATGCATCTGTGTGTTCACATGCAGGAGGTGGAGAAGGGTAAATAAGTCAATTTTCATTTGATGATGTGTCTTTCTCTGCCTATCCTCTCAAATCCTCTTTGTTTAACAGGGTGAGCTTTCCTCCCCTCTCCCTCAAATCAGCGACTTGCATATGCTTCTCATATCGATTGCAACAAACGAATAACATCCCGCTTTTCTATCCTTTGAAACAGTAAATCACTTGCAACAAACACAAGCTAAACCAAATTAAAAAAAAATGATAATTATTTGAAAATCCGAATAACGAATTCCCAATTCAAAATAATATTCCATAATATTATAACTATTATTTTGAGTTTTCCAAAGATTCACGAATTAGGGTGGAGATTCACGATTTTTTTTATTTTTTTTTTGACAATTGTGTAAACGAATCTTTATTATTAAAAACAAACTTTAAATTATACATTCATTTTCATTAAATTTACTATTCATAAGCTTGAAAATAAAGAAGAAGAAAAAAGTTTGTAAGGGGGTTAGATGAGTGAGAATATTCATTGATTCTATACCACAAAAGAAGCCAAGTGACACTAAACACCGATACAAGTTGGCTTGACTGAAAATGAAGGTTGTATTGCATCAAGAACTTGACTGTGGACATAACTTTGCCCTCTTTAATGGTGTCTTGAGAAGGATTTTTTTTTTTTTAATTACATTTTAAAAACAAACTGAAATATATCACCCAAACAAACAAGCAAGAATGGTAAATGTCGTGCCGAATATTGGCCTATTAACACATGAAGACGTGACCTTCTGGTTCAACGAAGTAATTGCTTGCACCGTCCTAGGCAATAGGTATCATAGGAAGGAAAAAAAAAAATGGTAGCTAGTAATTTGTATGCTGTTAAGAGTTTATTTGAAGGTTATGTGAATGAAAAAAGTATTTATTAAAAAGAAACCATTCTCTTGAAAAAAAAAACTAGTATATCAATAGTAAAGGTATCATCATAATTAAAGTATTAATTAATTTATTTATTAAAAGATAAATGTGACAAAATAGATTAGATTCTACTGGCAATCCGTCTAAAAAATAATTAGTGGTTTTAATCTACTAATTTTTTTGATCCATCTTATTCAGATCATCAATTTGACGGATAAAAAATGAAAGAGAGAAAACAAATTAACTCGTTGTAAGTTTTAAAAGAATATTTATATATTATAATAAAAATAAAAAGATAATAAATAAAAATATTATATATTTTTTATTATATTATTAAAATATTTAAATATATCATAATATTATAATTAAAATTAAAATTATTAACTGTAATTAATTATTTTGACATATAAATACAATTATTTATTTATTTAATAAAAAATTATAACTTATTCGTATAATTAATATATATAAATTTATATAAAAAAATTATTAACAAGGACACCAATCTACCGAAACGGGTTGAGATTTATAATACGTCTTATGATTGTTAATCCGTTCGTCTCTGCTTTTGGCGGGTTAATTTTGTCATCACCAGGTATAAAATAATAAAAAAATTGAAAATGATTAAATAAGAAATAGGAAAAAAGTGAGATTAATAATTTATAAGCATGCATTCAAAGTGGAGTGAATAGTTGTTTTGTTGTTATCCAAGTTGAGGAAGGGCACATCCACCAGTGGTAACTTTTAGTGGGAACCACAGAATGTGACTTTTGAGCTTGAAAAATGACAAGGAAGAGAGGGAAAGGGTCGGGTTATGCAGTTGTGGTAGTCGTGGACTGCATTGTTACCTTGCCTTTCACTAAGGCAAGAAGGTGGATATAATTTGGGCATCCCTGATTGTGTGTGGTTCTCTTTTCCTTATCCCAACCTCAAATCTTTAAACTCCTCTATATATAAATAACATGCATTATCTTCTTCAGAAACTCCTCTTAATCCCTTATTTTGTGTAACACACAACCATGTCAGATAAAGTAAATGGGTTACCCGAGGACCAAGCATGGCAAGAGCTGAAGCTTCCAGAATTGCTGAACAGTGATGCTGTTAGAGAAATTCATGCAACTATTGAGAAGGAATGGGATTTTCTTCAAAGGTCAGCTTGCCAAACTGCTGCGGGAAGGGCTCTGTGGAAGCATGCCATCCAGGATCCATTGGCTGATTTACTGGCAGGGGAGACTTACTTGAGAAACCTCCACGAAAAGATCAAGAAAGACCGTCTCAACAATGCTCGTGAAATTTCTGGAGTCATTCTTGCTGTTCGAACCCTTTGGTTTGATTCTAGGCTAGAAGATGCCCTTAATTCCCCAAGTGGCAGAGAAGCTCAGGTTGTTCTCCTTGGTGCAGGTTTGTCCACACTCAACCACATCCATTTAATTTTGTCTAAACAGCTTTCATATTTTTTTTAAGTAATTAATATTGGTAATTATGCAATTATGTTGGTAAAACGTGGCTGTGCGATTTTGTTGCCTCTCAGAGAATAATAAAATTAGGCTAAAACTTGAGGAGGTTTGGGTGAATTACTTACGCCTTCAAGATCACGTTACAAGATATTTAAAGGCTACCACCTTCTTCATTCTGACAAACCAATTCTTGTTATCTTCACTAACCACGGTCTATTTAACCATCTGCTGAACATAATCAATGGCATCACAATCTTTTCCAGATAAATTACTTGGCAATGTAAATTCCTCAGAATAAGGTTGTTAACTATCCGTGACTAGAGCATTGCTAGTTCTACATATTCGAAATTTTCCTGGACAAAAATTATATATTGATAAAGTTGGAATTTTAATGTAGGAATGGACACGAGAGCATATCGTTTGAGTTGCTTAAAGGACAGTGATGTGTATGAGGTGGACTTTTCAGAAGTGTTGGATGTAAAAACCACTATTTTACAAGCGGCTGAGGACTCTGCATACGAGTCGCAGCATATTATGTCCAAAGCCAAATCCTTAACAAGAGTAGCAGCCGACATAAGAGAAAGTGACTGGATGGAAAAGCTTGAGATTGCAGGATACATGGCTCAAAAGAGCACTGTTTGGATTCTAGAAGGTATCCTCTACTACCTCACCCAATCTCAAGCCATGCAAGTGCTGAGAATTTTAGCAAACAAATGCGCCTTAACCCACACAGTCCTCTTAGCAGACTTCATGAATAAGCCATCAACCACTCTATCCAATTCTGCCTTCCAATTTTACAGCGATTGGCCAGACCATCTCTTGCCATCCATAGGGTTCACTCATGTAAAACTTTCACAAATTGGAGACCCAGATGCTCATTTTGGTCTCCTAAGTGATCCATTGAATCTCTTCAACAAGCTCCGCAGCTTGCCCAGATCGTTACAAACCAATCCAGACGATGGAAAGCCATGCTGCCGATTGTACTTGGTGGAAGCTTCTGGTTCACCTGATCAAAACCATTCATTTAATGGCCCAACCACCCATGCCTGATGATACACCCAAATCACATCTTCTCGTAATCTTCTCTAGATGCACCCTCATTAATTGTATTGTACAATTAGCACATGGAAAGTAGGTATAGCATTTTAATTTGCAAATTCCACCAGCAATTGTTGGCCCATATATGTCCCTCGTATTATTTATATTCTACACCGTCGGCGAAGTGCCGGACGGTCAAATAGCATAAATAACCTCAGGACCTATGGAAGAATTAAATTTTCTTCCGCGCGTAAAATGATGAAACTAATGCTGGTAAATAATTAATGCATTTATCAATATTCATAATTAGTATTACTATTTAACAGATACACCCTTCGCCACCCAGTCATCACTCCAGCCCCAAATCAAATCAAAATCGCTTTGTTTAACTAACAATTCCTTACTAAAGTCCACTTCTCACTCTATAATACTGAAACAACAAATAAAGAATATTCAGAGCAATTTTGTTTTTTTAAACAAAAAATTAACAGTCATTTTAATTTAAGATTCAATTCTTATATTTTATTCAAATTATTTCAACGTGTGATTTTTTAGTATTATAAAAAAAGCAATGCCTATTAAACTTAAATATGTTGTGATATGACTTGATTATAAATAAATAAATAAAAATAAACTCTAAACGAAATTCACGCTCAAAAATTAGACTTTGACAATCGATTTCATATAAATATCCAATAAATCACTCTTAAATGATTTTTTTATTATTATTATTATCTATATAATATGTAACAATATATATAAAAAATATCATTTATAATTATTGGTATTACAAAAAAATAATATAATTTGTATTTATATATCTTATTTTGTTACCTCTCTTAATAATGCGTGCTTCTCAATTTTTCTTTTAAATATAAAATAATAAATAGAAATAATAAAAATATCATTTTTCCATTCTATAATTTATTAAATTTTCTCTTTTCTTGAAATTATCTAACATATATTTGTCTCTAACAATTTGTAATTTCAAAAATGAATATTTATACTTTAAAATTAATATATATATATATATATATATATAGATATATTAAAATTTAATAAATTAAAATAAAAAACATAATAAAATTATAATCACACAGACGCATGCATATATTTCAGATAGTATTAATAAAAAAATTGTTAATTATTTTTTCTTTTTTTGGTCGTTTATACATAGTTATTCAAAGAGATAAGGGAAGTAGATGTCCAGTCTTGATTTGGCAGTTTCCAAGATGGGAGTGGGCAGTTGTCCCGCAAAGAAAAACATGTATTACTTTTCTCCCATTCACAATTTGGAACACAAATCTTCAGCAATCAAAACCTCCTGCTCATTGAAACAGAAGTCTCTTTCAACAAAGCAGATACATATTTTTGTATTTTGAAGGAGAGTATAATCAGAAGATACAAGCTGGCCAGAAAACATCAAAAGAAAAAGAAATAACTTGACAGATTCCAGACAGCATCGACAAAAATGTACCACCTAAATTAGGTACCAATACAAAAAGATAGCATCGATTCACAACAAATACTTCCAGCTAAAATCGCTAAATACCATTTAAAATATTGTTGACAAATTTAGAATCCAAATTAGACCAGCAATAACCGTTCCTGTATCGTATTCATTTATTTGATCCCCTTTGTTGCCAACAGGGCATTTCCCATACAGTTCCAAACAAAAAGGGAAACAGTCATATAATTTAAGGAAAATGTAAAACGCAAATATTTTTTTGGCGGATTTTAAGTCATTTCAGAATATACAAGCATTTACCTTTACTTAAGAAATTACAAAAGTTTATTACATATTCAGTATGTCAATTATGAACACATCCCGTAATATAAAAAAGGATAAAGCTATAGAGCATGCGGGTTTCCTGCACGAAAAGATTCAGAGGACAGAATGCATTGAAAAAGAGTATCATATGCGTATTGACAGAGTGCTTACAGATTTTAGATTGATAGAGCTAATAAGAATTTTAAGTACGACAAAAGCATATTTTGATATTATCCGCAGTCAGCAAACCCGGTGATAACGGAAAATTGGTTATTACACCAACAAACTCCCTGAGAAACAATTGAAAGTATTAGCAAAGGCATAAGCCCAAAACCTAGTTCAAACAGCATCGTGGGCAACAGTTTATAGTGAAAACAAGATTCAGGTCTATTTATTAATGAAATTATACACTAAAATTCGTTTTGAAAGTGCAATCTGTTATTAAAGTTTAAAACTGTAGATACTGGTATAGATAGCATCTAAAAATATTTTAAAAAAAAAATCATAGAAAGTAGGCACTTGGCATAATGATGATGTCCTGAATTCAGAGAATATAGACAGAAGAACATACTTGCGTGATTTTTTTTAATGACCAACCTTCCACATCAAAATTTAGGATAGGCTATTCTTTACAGTTAGGTTTCAACTTTCAAGGCAATCCATGATTCCCTGTTCGAATTTGTCAAGATCGGACATGGTATCTGATACAGCATCAGCTATCTTTTTTCTGGGGAAAAAAGAAGGATGTTAGAGACAACCCATTGATAAGATAACCAGGTAATAAGCACCCGAATAATAAATACGAGCATCACAAACTAAAACAAGTAATAATAACTTCAACGGATAAAACTTGATGTCTTTAATACTTTAAAAGAGTAAAAACAAAATGGAAACCAAGACAGGCAACAAAATCCTGAGGAAAAACATATATACATATCGAAACAGTTTTATAAACAAGCAGTTAAAGAGAGGCAGTAAAATCAAGTCAAAGAAAATTTGGATGAAGCTCCCTTTCAATCAAAATGCAAGAACATCTTATTTGAATTGCAAAAACAGATGTATAAATCTTGCTAAAGATCCACGATAAATCGAACCTAGGTATGGCCGATTCCAGCAGCTTGACTACTGCTTTTCAGAAACTAAGCATTAGCCAAACACATTTCCTGGTTCTCCTCATTTTTGTACACCAAGTCAATAAAAAATTATAAGTTCATGACAAGTCACAAAAGCTCGGGTACTCCTCTCATTCGTCAATTGATCTTAAGTGCAGTTAGGCATAACATGTAACAAAGTAAAGTGAAGATTATTCGTTGGTAGTCAATACTAATATCTTTGGGGTGGGGCTGCAATGGACTAGGTTCAATTCTTTCACAAATAGCATAGAGAATTTTCTTCCAAAAAAAGTCTTCCTAGAAGATATTTCTGTAAGCAACAGCAGAGATACCTATCCGATGCAAGTTGAATGTTGGTTTCGCTTGCCAGCCCTCTGATAATAGTGAAAGATCTGCATAGTAAGAAGCAATGTGGCAAACAAACATTCACTATTAGATGTAATAAAATTAGATAGATGAGCAGCATCATGGGTTTTGATCTCAAAGGAGTATTACAGGGAAGGAAAAAATGAGCGTGGATAACAATGCTTCAGGCGAAAGACAGAACAGAAACTTAGGAATTTGCTATCAACTGTCAAGGACTAACTCTACTGAAAACTCATGAATAACTTCGTTAGATTTTTATCATACCCCATCCTGAGCGTATTCACTAAAGAAAAGGCTCACTCTTACCAAGTGGTAAGCTTCAATTTTATTAAAATAAATTGGAGAGACAAGGATGAAACTATTGAAACACCTGGTCTTAGAGGTTCTGATATCATCATACCATACGAAACCTCATGAAGACACAAGGAAAAACTTATTCTCCTAAAACCTTGAGCTAATAGGTGAAGGTTCGTGAATGTCTTTATTATATTTCTATCTGTTATCAAGACACAAGGAAACCTCACGAATAATATTCATATCTGAAAGTAGAAATCTATCCCCATTTACGCGAAGCAGGTTCTTTTGTAAGCATGATAAAACTAGATTTCCCAGTAAATAATCCTCTAAAAATTTTTTAATCCACTTAAACCTGCATAGGAAATAAATCATTATATGACTGCATTGCACTTCAAACTGCAAAAAAAAATATCAATAGAGCAGCCTGGACACCTATACTAAACAAGAAATACATTAATAATCTTCCCAAAGTGGAGCCAAAAATAGTTCTATTGGGGATCAGTCAATTTCTTGAGATTTAAGAACTATTCAAGTTCAAATATAACATTTGCTTGTACATGTGTAGTAGACATACAGTCTTTTCACAGAGGAAGCTTCCTACAACTTTTTGTCATTAGGAAACAATAGGACCCAGAAAATTAAATAATAATGACTATTAAAAAGAGAAATTGAGAGTCAGAAGTTGGTGCAGTAGGCTACAGCACACCGATGCTGGAAATTGGATACCTTGTTAGATTATCTAGCAAAGCTTCGGCTTTCAACTTTACAGGATCCTTATTTCCGAGCAACGAAGCTGCATTCTTCACAATCAATCGAAATGTGCACACCTGCGCATAAAAAAAGACAGTGGAGACTAATTATGTCTCTATCCATATGATTCTTTCTAGCATGTTTTTTTGGGGTCCAAAGAGAAGAATGGGGAAGGATGGAAATAATGTTGGTGGGAGAAGAAATAATTTTAAAAATGGTGAGACCCACTGTATTATTCTTCACCTTTATTCGTCACCTACTGCTACTCATCTCTCTCCTATCAATTTTTATTTCTAAATTCAATCAAACCGCCTTCAATTTCTTCTTTAGTTCTCATCTATTTTTTCTACTCTACGAACTTATTTTCATCCTGCCTATTTCTTTCCTCTCTAACAAACAAAACATAAAAATCCCCTTTTAACTGCCTAAAATCCTGCTATAAGAAATGTCGTGTGTTGAGTAAGAAATCTATCACTAGGGCTGTTAAAAAAAATCCCACTTTAGTTAATAAACAAAATAACAAAAAAAAAAAAATCATCTACCAAACCACAAGTTTTACTTTCTCATCGTAAACGAGGAAAAAAGTGTAAAGGAAAGTAAAAATATCATTGATAGTGTATACAAGTCAAATTATTATGATTTAATATATATATATATATATATATATATATATATATATTTATGACATCATTCAATCAGAATTTTCCATGTATCGAAAATTATTTCATCTTATAACTTGTTATTTTAAAGGGAATACCAAACTTCATATATAGTAGCTATTCGTGATTGGATAAATATATTATGGCAAAAATGTGGTTTTAGTGTCTGTTTTTTTTTTTCGTTGTCAATTTTGATTTTGTTCACTAAAATTGATAAATTAGTCCGCTAACTTTGGAAAATAAGTGAAAATTATGAGGGATAGTTTCTCAAATAAAAATTAAGGAACAAAACTAAGTTTGAAAAAAAAAATCACGTATATTATTTATTTTACACACAGTGATCGGTATTTTGAATTTGAAAACATTTTGATAATTGACACTCAATTACAATTGTCGATTACTATTTTTTTATTATGCCATCCAAACCCTAATTAGTGAAACATGCGAGACTTTGAAATTATGCAAGGCATTAGAGGGCGAACACAAACCTCTACTCCGCTCTTGGCTTGGAAAGTGACGAAAGAATTTCGGTCCTGCGGTACGCAATCCCTAGCAGCAGATATAAATAGCTGCTGAATCTTCTCTAAATCCTCATCCGTATATGTAGCGTCAGTGTTCGCTGCAAAAGGACCGAATCGAAATCTAGTCAAGATAAGAAGCAATGTAAGCGAGAAGAGGGGGAAAAAGCATACTGAGCGTGAGATAGGCAGAGCGAAGGATTTGGCGGGAGGCATCGACGGGGGCCAATAGGAACTTGGAGGCCTTCCGTTTTTGCTCTTTCAGCCAATTTTTCGGTCCTGCTGCGCAACGATTGCAGGAATTAGGGTTTTCGTTAATGCGACGTGAAGCAGATAATGTAGCAGGGAAGTAGAATAAGAGAGGTGCGTACAGATGCCAATGTCAATGGCGGAGGCAGGTGGAGAGAGCGCGAGGAAGGATAGCAGAGCTATCTCTCTGCGAGAGAGAATCGAGAAAGGGGAAGGGGGAACGGTGCATTTTGGAGGGAGTGAAGAGCGCGCGGTGACGGTGGATAGAAATATGGCTGAGAAAGAAGAAATGGGAGAAACTAGAATGGGCAACGGCATTGCAAATGTTTTCTTTTGGTCACTACTTTTCCTTTGCTCTTGGGATTCTTTATTCTTTCATACTCTACACATTTTCCACACCAATATACAAGGAGAAAATAATATAATCCTTTGATGGATTGTAACACACATTTCATTTTCTAATCCATTTTGAAGATTTTTTTTTTAAATAGATTTTAATGCTTGTGATTGGTTTTAATTTTGATAGAATTTCTTTTATTTTTAAATATTTAACATTTTCTAACAGTTTTCTAATTACAGATAATTTACTGTCATAAAAAAATTGTTAATTGATCACAATAATAAAAAGTTATTAAATTAAGAAAATTATATTATTTTTAGGTGTAAGATGCAATTGAATATATGTTTACTATTTGATACACATTATTACATATATTATTTTATTGAATAGTTTACTTAAAATATTATACTTTAATTGAAAATTTATTTACACTCTTATAATTTATTTTCTATACATTATTTTTTATACTATAATTTAAAATAGTCGTGAAATATTTTGTTATTAAACATTCTTTACGTTAAATAGTAAACAATTATAAAAGAAAATTACATGTAATTATCTTTCTTCAAATATTAATTTATAAATAGTATAAAAGTTATTTGTTTGTGGTGTAGTTAGAAAAGAAAATAAACTATACGTATTTATTTTATTTATAGAAATAAAAAATATAATACTTAATTAAATTACTTACATATTTAAAATAATTTTATTAATTTTATGTAAAATATTTTTTATTATCTTAATTATATCAATTATTATTTTTAAATAATAATAGAAATAGGATAGAAATTTGGAAATGCCAACCAATTTCCCAAAAGTAAAATAAAAACAAAGCCTAATATTTCCTATTTGAGAACTAAAATAACATGTGTATTGTAAATGATAAAATTAAATTGAAAACACAATAAAAGTATTTCTTAACGACAATAAACTTAAATATGAACCGTTATTAAAGGAAAAAATCGAATTGGTTTAGTGTTGGTGTGGATTTGCATAATGCATCCCTCAGTCCACTTCACTCTTGTATCTATCTGGACTTTAAATTAATATAAATTTTTAAATATGGAATTTTTCATAAATATGAATTTTTTAATCAAATTACATAAAATATGACATTTTTTGCATTTTTTTATTTTTGTATTCATATTTTACTATTTTATATTTCTTAATCTCTTTGATTAATTCAACCTATTCCTTTTCTTTTTCACTTAGATATTTTCTTAATTTTCTTCAAAAATATATTTTATTCGAACCTCTTCCATCAACAACTCATAAAATTATTTTTTTATTTATTTTTAAATATTATGTTTGGATCATTTAATACAATTTTATTTATAACTTTTTTATTAAATTTTTTTATATCATTTTTAAATTTTTTTTATTATATATTGATTTTAATAAATTTATTTTTATTTAATTTTATATTAATTAAATAATTATTTTAATAATTAACCATTTTCATTGATTAATAATTTAAATTTTATTAATTTATACTAATTTAATAAAAAAAATTATTATAATTAGATATTTTATATTTATTAACATCTTAAAATAATAAACCTAAAATTAATTAATTTTAAACAAATAATAATATTTATATTTATACAAAGAAAAAATATCAAATATTTGTTTATGTATATATGTTTTGTATAAATACAAACTATGAAAAAAAATTTGAATAATGTTAATTTTAAAATATAAAATTATAAATATTTAATTATGTTATTTAATTATAATTTTTTAAAAATATCTTAACAAAAAAAATATTGTGTGAAGTACTTTATTAATATTAAGCTCTGATCTCATGTGAGTGTTTATCACTTATGAAAAATCTACTTCATCAATTATAATCATACTAATGTTCAATTATTTTAATTATCATTTTTCTTTATATTTATGCTTGGATTGAGTTGGAGATTCGATGAGGTAAATATGACCTTATTTAAGTTGATTTGTGGAATTATTTGAATTTAGAAAAAAAAAACAGTGAATTTGAAAAGATTTATGGTAACTAATATGATTCAAGATAAGATAATTGAATAATAATATTTTGAGCGTAATGATCAAATTATCCTTATAGATAAATTAAGTAGAAATTAAAAAAATGATATAACATCATTGGACGGAACTACTTCTAAACGTAGATATGTCATTACTTATGCAAAAGAATCTTTGCAACTTTAATTCATGTTAACCACTATTTGGATGAGATTATTTATATAAATTTATTTCACTTTTACTATAAATACATGTCTTCTTTTCCTCTGTCAATTAATTTCTCCTTACTTAAGATCCATACCAAAATCAATACAAATCAACCAAAATTTATAGATATAAACAAGATAATATTACTATAAATACTCACTCACAAATTTACATAAAAAGTAAATATAGTAAACAAAACATAAATTCATCCATTTTCACTCTCTCATCTTCATCTTTTAATCTAAATATAGACTACAAGTTTCTTTATTTCAACCTTTTTTTTAACAGAAAATTATGAATTACAATTATTGAGTGTTGAGACAAGGTTAATAATAGGAAGAGGAAGGGTTTCTTTATGTATAATTTTTAAAGATAATTGAGTTTTTAAAAATTTAAACTTTAATATTTATATTTGTATTCACATTTTGTTATTATTAAATCAATACTTTTTAAACTTTTATTTTGACTTTTTATTATTATTAATAATGATATATTATTCTGTCCAAAATTACTTTTAAATTAAAAATAACAAGTATTTTTTAATTTTATTTTAAAAATTTGTAATCTAATTTTTAATAACTGAAAAATAAAATTAAATCAACTAAACGTGAGTGTTGAAATTACTTAAGCAATAAAATTTGAATTAGTGATTCAACCCTAAACCTAAAAAAAATCGCGGACATACAATTTTTGACACTTTATATATTTTAAAAAAATTTAATCTGGTTTTTATTATTGATTTAATTAATTTTTTTATATGTCATTATTTATGTGTATTATATATAAATTAAAACTGTCAATATCTATTTATTAACAAGTTTAGTACCATATATATTGTTATATTATGAAAACAATAGATTTGATTGAATATTTTATTGATAAAAATATATTTAACAAAATAAATAAATAATAAAATTACAAAATAGTTGAACCCTTTTTATTTTAAGTCCAACAAATAAAATATTCTACAATTTTAATCTTTATAATATGTATAATTTCTTAATTTTAGTTTTTTTTTATGATGTTATATATTACACAACACTTTTGCATGATTAAGAATATCGAATTAATATATTATTATCTGTTGTTACCATTACATTTAAAATTATATATATATATATATATATATATATATCAATAAAATAATTAATTTATTTAAAAAAAATACTCTTTGTAAAATATAAACCTATGTTACAATCTCCCATTTAGACAAACAACCTCTTCAGGTATGATATTTTTATTTTATACGTGACGTGCAATGCAGAAATACTGTTTCAAGGGACTTGTTTCTTTACTTTTTTTTTTTTGAAAAAATAGTTTTCATTTGTTTAATTTTAGAAAATAAAAACTTGTTTTATAATAGTTTTTAATTTTTTTTATTTAATTTTAAAAACAAAAAAAACTAATATTTTTTAAATTTTGATTTTCATTAATATTAAATGTTTTATCAATAATAACCTTTTTTATGACAATAAAAATATTTTCTTTTATTTTATGAATTATTCTCTTTTATTTCAAATAATTTTTTAAATAAAATTATTCAAAAATTTTATAACTTATTTTAAAAAATATATTTTTTAAATTAACCTCTAAAATTATTTAAAAAAAAATCATATATTGAAGAGTTTGGGTCATTATTTTTATTTTATTTTAATCTCGTACATTTTTTAAATAAAAAAAAAACTCATGCAGACATGGTATCAGATCACCTGAAATAATAATGACTTCATTCTTCAAGAAACACATAAATAATTAATAATTATTACATATAAAAAAAGCGTTGATTAAGTTTACTTTATTAAATAATATTTTGTTAAGAATTACAAAAACAAATTTAAAAAGAAATTAAAAAACAAACTGTCCCTTAAACAGTAGAGAAAAGTTATGATTTTCCATGTTTTAGGAAGGAAAACTTATTATAAAATATAATTTATTATTAATTTGTATAAGAGTTTTTTTTTTAATTTATTTACATAATACACATTCTTTAAACTTAAACATGTTTTTAATTTATGTAAAATCAAATCAGTTCCGATTTCATGATTTGACTTATCGAAGTACAAGCTTTCTAACAAGTTTGGTGTGATTCCATTGTTTTATCTAATTAAAACAAAGTCTTAGGATCTTAAGTTTTAATTTGTTTTATTAGTGGTTATTGGAGAATATATGAAAAATGTAATATGGATCATTTTAAAATTTTATAATCAGTTGTTAGCATTAAGGTAGTGATGAAATTGATAGATCCCGTGGCATTCACGTGGGGATAAAGCTTGTGGTGTTAAATTTACGGATGGAAGGAAACAAAAAAAAAATCGAAAGAAAGAAAAGAAAGGTTGAGAAAAAAAAGGATAGCATCATTATCAGCTGATTCCGATCCTGTTCGGAGTATTGACTAACTATTGAGTATGGAACTGGAAACCAAGCCAACCAAAACAAATTGTGGCCGGGCGCTACTTATCCACGCCAGGGCCAGAAATCAGCAGAAATTTACAAAAACAAACAACCCTCAGCACCAGCGCGTTCCCTCCTTTTTCCTCCACGTGGCACACCATCCATCTTCTCGATTCTCTCTCCCTCCTTTATTTTACTTCCTCTAAACACTAACATAAAATTAAACACCTCGCATTCCCCAACCCAATTTTTCTTTCGGTTTTGGCTTGTGTTGCTATTATTCGTCAGAGAAAAAGGAAAAGGAACTATAGATAGATAGATAGGTTGTGATAAAATAGTACTATGGTTAGGAAAGGGGAATTAATTCTTTCCCCAACACCAATTGATTATTACTATTATCTAATCCAAATTCCAGGGTAGGAATAATGCGTCTCCGAGACATGCTAATTTGGCAAGAGTGGTAAATGCTGGTGAAACTGCATTTCCATTTCTAATTCGAATTCCTTGTGGCATTCGCGTTTGCGCCTTAGACGCTAACTCTGCACTGCCTGCAGCATCTGATTCTCTCCCATTCGCTCCCTCCATCATGTCCACGCCTATTTAATATTATGCACGATGCTAATTCTCAAGAGGCACCTCACCTTTTCTCTCTCCAATTTCTCTCCTCAACTCGCACCTCTTTTGTCTCCTCGCCTTCGCTTCGCTTCTGGAATCTGCACCAAACGCCCTCACTCCGGCGCCAACGCTACGTCACCAGGTTCGTCCCTTTCTTCTTTCCTTTTCCCTGCTCTTCTCCGCTGTTTTTTTTTTCTTATTTATTTCTCCTCAATAGGTTTTCTTGTGCTCTAAGCTTTTTGAATTCAACAAAACTTAGATAGAACTCCTTTCGAATTGTTCCATAATTGAAATGAAATGGACATGCAATCTATTTACATTTATTGTAAACCTTGATTAATGAGATGAAACTATAATTTTATTAGTCCTTTTGAATTCTCCTGTGCTGTTGACTTGCATACTGGTTAAGCATTTCGTTTGTTGTGGATCATAGAGTTAGTAGCTATAGCATTAGATGATGTGAAATATGGATTAGAGCGGAATATTAGATACTACTAGCATCTTAGAGGATTACTCTTCTTAATTTGGAAGTTAAATTTATAGGTGTTTCTCGGAGCCTAGCTTGGGGAATTCCTAGAGTTGGAAAATAGCCTCGTGCATTGTACCTACGCTATAATTCTTTCACAAATCACAATCAAGGTAAGATATCAGAGTTATTTTTTCAGGGAAGGGATTATAGTTCTTTTGCACGCTTCTTCAAATAGTTTTTAAACAGATGGTATTTAGAAAGTCATGGAACTCATTCTGCCAAGCTATTTTTTCTGAAAATAGGTAGCGCTATAGTTTCATATCAATTACGTGATTTTTAAGTGTACGAAAAGTGTTTCCTGACCATTTTCATTTTATTATTCTCTATCTTGGATTCAATCTATCAGGAGGAGTTAATCCGATGCATGCTCGATATTCAATGGACGGAAACCATGAAATTGGTGTACATGATTTAGGATTGGTGGATTTGCCTGGCAGTGATGGCAGCGAACAGCCACACATATGGTCATCTCCTGAACATGGATTTAAAACTGAAATAGGCAAGCAGATATTCTGTAATCGGTCACTGAATATGAAGAACATCGTTGCTGTGGGATTTGACATGGATTATACTCTGGCACAGTACAAGCCTGAAACTTTTGAATCTCTTGCTTATCAAGGCACAATTAAAAAGCTGGTTTATGATTTGGGATACCCTCGTGAGGTAATTTGTTTTGTTTTTCACGCATTAATCACGGTGTAAGCGTTGGTGTCATATCTGTTTTTTATGTAGTTTACTAACTCAATTCCGGTTGAATTTGTTAAAAGTGTTTTATTCTTTGGAGGTATAATAACACTTACATTCTGTTGTCTATGGCTAAAATTCCTTTTCTATTCTGCAGTTACTAAATTGGTCTTTTAACTGGAAGTACATGGTCAGGGGCTTGGTTCTTGACAAAAAAAGAGGCAACATATTGAAGGTGTAGACTGGATAAATGTTTTCTCGTCACCAATTTCACAACTGAAATAATATATTAGTATATTGCATTAACTTTTTATCTTTATTTTTTTTCATTTTTTCTTTTTGATTGTTGGATGTATTCAGATGGATCGTCACAAGTATGTGAAAGTAGCCTATCATGGATTTAGAGAGTTGTCAAAAGAAGATAAAGTTGGAACCTATGGAAATACTTTAATACGAGATTCTTTCGATGAACCGGATTATGCTCTAATTGATACTCTCTTTTCACTTGCGGAAGCCTACTTGTTTGCTCAACTGGTTGATTTCAAGGATTACAATCCTGGCAAGATTCAAGAGGGTGTCGAGTGAGACTTATTCTTTCTTGCATAAATTTAAATTTTGAGATGTTTAAATGCCTTTTGTTTTTATACCTACTATATACTAGGACTTAAGGCAATTTTTGTTCATTCAAACTTGAGGCAATCTTTGATAGTTTTTTGGCTTCTTCATGTGTATGGGTATACTTACAAAACACTATCATAACATTTGACTTCAGTTGCATAACGTACTGAAGCATAAAAGTTTAAAGTGGCTTGCTGCCAATGGAACAATAATCTTACCTTACTACCAAGTATGCAGGTGAAAGAAAAGAGTAGTTCTATAATTAATAGAAGGCCATTAACCTCTTTCTTCCATTAAAATATTGGAAATTCATAATTGTGGGCTAGCCCTGGTGCAACGGTAAACTTGTATCTTGGTGACTGATTGGTGATAGTTTCAAACACAAAACAATCTCTTTACATGTGCAAGAGTAAGATTGCGTACAATGACTCTCTTCTGTACCTTTGCATAGAGAGGAAAACAACAGTTGAGTACCCTTTTTTATTGGAAATTTATAATTAGGCTTAACAGAGTAATGGATAAGCTTTCTGTCTATTTGTTTGGAAACTATCAAACAGCCAGTAAATAGCTACTTGTGAGCACACCATGATACATTTATCATTTACATGTTGTCCTTCAAGCTATGCTCGCATGTACAAAGATGTTCGAGCTGCAGTTGACTTGTGCCACCGTGATGGAACATTGAAGCAAATGGTTGCTAAAGAACCAAAAAGGTATGGATATAAAGTTGCTAACTTATCAAGTGAGAAATGGACAAACAACTATAATGCTAGCAATGAGATAAGAGACTTATTCTGTACTAACTGTATCTGTCTAAAGTTGTGTTCTTTAAATTCATATGCTGCCAATGAATTGTTAATAAAGTTATTGACTTTTTTCATTTTTCTGTTGAACTTGATCCATCAGGTATATTAATGAAGACTCCTCAATAGTGCCCATGCTTGAAATGCTCAGAGACTCTGGTCGTGCCACATTTTTAGTGACAAATAGGTAGTTATGATTTTACCTAGACAGTGTTAACAGTTATCAGTTATGATATAACATTTAATTTATGTTTAAAGACATTGTAGCATTTTTTTTTTAAACTACCGCATAGTGCCAAGGGGAAAGTCATGTGCAGTGATACTTACTGGAAAAAGTAGTAGAGTACTTTGAGTTTCCTTGTGTTGCAAGATTATATGAAAAGGATTGAAAAGTGTTTTAAAATATGCTGAATTGATTTGATAGAAAATATTTAATAGAGTTTTTCAAAAACACTAGTTGGTTTCCTTCTCTGGAAATTTTAACATTTTTTCACTTTCACATGTGATTTGTAGTTTATGGGACTATACAAACATTGTCATGAATTTCCTCTGTGGATCCAGCACGGCAAATGGCAGTAACAGTTTTTTCTGGCTTCAATACTTTGATGTTGTTATCACTGGCAGGCAATGTTCTTCTTCTATCACACGTACTTTATTATATATATGTTTGGCATATTATTCTCCATTGGTGTGCATTTCCCCCTATATTATAATTCTTTGATTTGCATACTGTACAAATGATGTTTGAAGTAGTCAGGGACCTTGTTGATTTTACTTTTGTCCTTGTGCTGTTAATTGAATAGCATTTGGGATTTGTTTTCTCCAGACTATACTATGTCTTCCTCTCGTTTGTTGACACATAATGCATCACTGATTTTATAAACTGGCTAAATATCCAATTTAAACACCATGCTTTTGCAATGTTTTTAATAGGAAAAGTTAACTTTTCGGTTCCTTACAGTATTCAAATATATTGAAATTTGTAGATTTCCATGCTAACCTGTTCAAGTCCACTATCCTACAGTGCAAAGCCAGGTTTTTTTCATGAAGAAAATCGTGCCAACCTATTTGAGGTCGTTCCTGAGACCGGAATGCTTCTCAATACAGATAATGGCTCCCCTATGCCCCAGGTTAGCTCAATTGCACATCATTTTATTCATTTGTCAGATCATGTATAATTTTTTTTTATCTTTTTATTCAAAGGTGGGTAATATCTCAGCAAGGTTATTTATAGAAGCAAAGAATCATGCTTGTCCAGTTTTCCAGGTATAATGTTTATATGTTTATGTAAACAATTTAAGTTAATGTTATTTTTAATACTGGGTCTTTATTTAATAAATGTTTTGACAATCAGCATTATGTACTAACTGTCAATATCTGTTGTAGGGAGGCAATGTTGCTCATCTGCATAAACTGCTTTCCATTGAATCTAGTTCGCAGGTATTATTTTGTTGTCATGACTATACATATTTTTAGCATACACAAATAGTAGTAAGTTGCATCATGGTTTTCTGGTTAAGTAGCTGATTATTTAAAGTATTTGCTGATTTATGATTCAGGTACTTGTAGAATGTCACATAACTGAAGCTTCCTGTAAAAACTTAATTGCTTTATATGCAGGTTCTCTACGTTGGGGATCATATTTATGGAGATATATTACGCAGCAAAAAGGTTCTTGGTATATCCATCAATCCTTTTAACTATTCTGTTAAAGATTTTCCATTTTTAATCAATCTACCTGTAATTTTGGAGATAAATGTGGTTATGTTTGTAGGAGGGGAAATAATAATGACTGGTATTGTAATTGAGAAAGTGGACATTGTTGACGTGTAGATGCCCAATGTTTACTCCTACTTACGATGTTCACTTTTATTTGTGGATCCTACTTTAAGTTATTTAAATTTGATTTTGATGCGATGTGTTCAATGAGCAGGTTGGAGAACAATGCTTGTAGTCCCAGAACTTGAGAAGGAAGTTAAACTCCTCTGGGAATCTAGGGATACCCGCAAGGTGATTATTATTGTTATTATTATTATTATTACTTTTGTTTATGGTTAATTTTTTTTATATTAATGCTTTACTTCGTAAAAATTAAACGAGGATTGCATTTGCGGACATGAAATTTGCATCTAGGAAGATTTTTACATGAAGAGTCTTGTGCAGGAACTTCAATTCTTGAGGAGTGAGCGTGACCGCATCGAGGATGAAATACATCATTTGAAGTGGACTCTCAAGTAAGTATAACTCAAGTTATAAAATGATATTTTGACAATCCTAAAACATACAACTTTCAAAAATAATCCACTTTTAACATTATTTTTTTCATTTTAATTTTTTTACTATTATTATATTAATATATTAGAGTTATTTTTACATGCAGTTGTCAATATATCATGGTCCTATCCCATATAGGTCTTTCCTTATTGTTGGTTTATTTTCTTAGAGAGTGGTGCACTTTCTTTAAGATGAAGAATGACTCATATACACCCAATTTTTCTAAACACCCCCATCAACCTCTAATTTGTTTCTCTTTATCTCTCCTCCCATCACATCATAACTATTATAAAATGAGAAATGATATTTTAAGAACCAAAAATCATACTCGTTGTTGTAAGAGTTATATGCATTTTGAATGTGAAAATATCATTTCTGTTATAAATTTTATATTTTATTTTCTCTCAAGGTATCACGTGGTTGTTTTTTACTTCTACCAATGTTAATGTATTATTTTTCTTTTCAGATTCAAAAATCCAGACGCTGATTTCAAGCAGAAGTTATTATCAGAACTTGGTACATTGGAGGTTTGACCCGTACGACCATTCCCATTCCATGAATGGAAGTTCAATTTCATATATTTAATGAGCGTCTTTTTCTTTGGCAGCTTGAAAGGGAGAGAGTGAGATTAAGTCATCAAGAAGCTCAGAGAAAATTACATCAAAGGGTAGAATGTTCTCCTATATTGTTTTTCCTTATCTTTAGAGTTCCCTTTCTTTCTATTAGTTTGTTCGGAACAACTGCAATATATCGAATTTAATCAGTATATACACAACGTTATCGTTTGCAATAAATCATTGCAGTTTCACGAGCCATGGGGACAGCTTATGAAAACTGGTTATCAGAATTCTCGCTTTGCTCATCAGGTAAAATGTGACTTTCTTTGGTGGTTTGTTTTTCCTTCTTCAATCTCATTGAATGAGGATTCTTCTGATGAACTCGTGTGATATGCATGGTGCAGGTTGAGAGATTTGCTTGCCTGTATACTAGCCAAGTATCTAACCTCGGCTTGTATTCTCCAGACAAGTATTACAGACCTAGTGAAGATTTCATGCAGCATGAATTTGGCATTGTGGCTTATGAGACACCAGACGTTTAAGATAAGGAATTTGGGGTAGTTTTGAGTTTGAAAACCGAATTCTGCTCTGCCCCGTGTTCAGTATCCTGGTTTCCATCTCCCTTCTGTCTCTTGGTCATAGCTCTCAAAGTGCTTCATGCCATTACAAACGTCTACTACACGGGTAAAGAAAAAAATATACCACATTTTACTGTTGTATATTGTTTCGTTGTTTCGTCAGGCGCTCAACCAAAGTAATTGGTGCCGCTACGCAGTGGAATTACACATTTACACCAATATATTTTCACCATTTTTTTTTGGCTGAATTGAGTATCATAATTTTTTTTTATGAATTGAGTTTCATAATTTTCTTTTATGAATTGAGTTACATCATTTAATATAAAATGATTTATTTAATTTTTATAGTTGAACATCTTTTTTCCCTGTTTTCTTCCCACTAAGCTTGTTAAAAACGACGTGAGTATAAGCATGATGATGAATCGAATGTTTATGTTCCAATTTGAGTTCAAAATGATACTTTACAATACATATGTTCTTACTATATTTCTCAAAGTAAATGGTTGATAGAATCTTCTGTAGTTTAGAATGTAAGCTCATGCTTAGGGAGCAAAAAGGTTGTGTATTTCAAAGATTTGAGTGGAACCTGTAATGTTTATATCGAGACTTTCAAAGCATTGTGCATTATGTTGAATAATGGGAAAAAGTAGACAATAACAAAAGGACTCTGTTTCCTCGTTACTCTTACCATCTTATAAAGTCTTTTAAATCGTAAATATAAAATTAGTTATTTTCTTACATTTTATGGTTGCCAAGCAATTCTGACCGCTAAATCATATTAACTTCATTTTAAATACAAGGAAAAACCGAAGTTTATTACGTCAATCAGTGGAAAGAGTAATATTTTACTTAACGAAAATTTACTTAATATATTTATGATTTATAAGAACGACGGAGTCTCGACAACACCTACAATCACAGCATACAATAACAAATGCCCTAAATAAGCTATCACAAGACAAATTGTTGGATGAAAATAATCACAAACCATTTTATTATCAAATGAATATGGCATATATGGAGGTAAGAATAAAAAGAATATACAAAAAATGCATATTTTTTAATAATTGTTATTTTCTTTGGACTCTTTCCTCTATTCTTAACGTAATTATCGTAAATGTTAAAATATTTGGATATATAAGGAATTTTAGAAAAGGAAAGTGAAAAAATTGTTCATAAATTAAAATTAATTTATACGTAATTTATTTACCGAAACTATTTCATTTTGACTTCCCTAAATAGTTATTTTAAAATTATGTCGTATACATTAATTTTATCTTAGGTAAACTATTTTTTTCTAAGTGTTTCGGAAAAGGGGTTTTCAAGATACCCTCTGAAGTTAGAATTATTTGCCTACGAGTGCCAATGAGAAGTGACAATGAGAATATTTATGTATCATTACTTTAGAATATTTTACAAGAATAATATAACAAAATTTAATGTGAACATTGTCTCATCTATATCTTTTCAGTTTGATTTCTCATTTCCGCTCTATCCTTTATCAATTTGATTGGGCAAATTCATGCACACGTACTCGTCACATATACAACACAAAGTTAATAAAAATATCATTCTTGTCAATTGCACAGGTTTGGATTACATAATCAGATGGAACAATATATATATATATATATATATATATATATATATATATATATATATATATATATGTATGTATATATATATATATATGTATGTATATATATATATATATGTATGTATATATATATATATATATATATATATATATATATATATATATATATATATATATATAATGACATCCAACAACAAAATAAGTGCTAGAATAATAGAATTTATCTCATCTCATATAACTGAATCTTTTATCGAGAAATTTCTGATGTCAAACTATCATCTCAGACCGGAATACAACAGGCTGGCAGAATTAGACCCCATGCATGTCTATACCTTACGTGATTTGAAGTTACAAAAAGGTGCTTAGATCCGTTTTTGCAGAAAGTAGAAAAATAAAAACAGAGTAAATTAAGAAAATTATTTAAGCAACAAACCATAGTTGATAGCTCGAAGGCATATTCTATCATGATATGTATGGGTATAAAGATATCTGAAAGCTTCTCTGCTTGCTGCGGAACATTTATACGCTTTTCTGCTTATTTTCCTTTGTCGGAGATTATTCAATTTGGTTGTTCCTCACGTTTTGAGTTGATTTACATCTCGAATAAAAGCAATTTGATCAATGATTTTATTTACATATACATATGATTTGATTCCACAGCTCACAAAATTGGAATTGGTTTTTGTGTTGTTTTTATTATTAATTGATTCTGTATACAAGTAAAATTTATTCAAATTCAAATCAGTTTGATTTGCTTTACGTTTCAAAACTTCGTATTTTACTATATTACACGAGTCTAAGTAATAATAACAATAATTAGATTCTAATTAGATAAAAATAAATCAGTTCATCTCCAACGTATTCCATGAATTAAATTATGTCTGTAGATATACCCATATACATGCTATAAGAACATGTTCAAACACTAAATATATTTTATTGAATAGTTTTAATTATTTAAAAAATTAAATGCTAAATAATTCTGGTTAATATTTGTCTCTTTTTATTAACTTCTTAAATTGTATGTTGTTACTGGACCCAGCTCATTTTTATAAAATCTACCCATTATCTTAGCCCTCAAGGCTCAACCCTGTAATATGAACACCAAGTTTTTTACAACAACATGTTTATATACTTATTCACGTACACTTGAATTTTCCTTTTCTTTCCAAGACACCATCACTTTCACTTGTATTGAGTCCTTTTTTAACAACGGGATATATTATTATTGCTGACTTGAGCCAAGTTCTCTAATGCTTATTATAAACGGCACCACTTTCTAAAAACATAAAGATTGATATTTGCATGAATATGATGTAAATTTTAATCAAATCAAATTAAATTCAGCTTGGTGCAAACGTTAACGTTATCAAACACAGCATATATCAGAAAGTTAATGGGTCAGTGTGGAATTTTTCTTTCACTTTATGGCTTCTCTTATCGATCAATAATTTATTCCTCCAAAAACTTTGTGACTGCGAAAAGAATTGATTGAAACTTCTTTGGAGTAGCAATGCGGGTGTAACATCTATAATAAGACGACCAAGGGTATATATTCAGAATATATATGGACGTATTCAACTAGTGAAGAAGGGACCTCACACGAACTAGTTGTAAAGAAAGAACAACTGAAGAATGCCCTAGTGATTTGTTTATAGTGGAAAATAAACATGCATGGTTGATAAGGATTCCAAGTTTATGCAACTGATATCTCTCAGGATATATCCTCTTCCTCCTATGTGTCCAACTTGAAGGGTCTGTTTCAACAAATGATCACTACTGCAAATAAGCATATGGAAATGTGAAGCATGAATTCAAGATAGCAGACAACAGTCTCTTCCATATATGGTTGCATTATTTTCTCAATAACTTTGTGTATCAGATATGTATAAACTAATTTTAACTTGAGAAGTTTTTTCTTTCTTCTTATTTTTCTGTTATAAGAGTCTTTCTAGGAAAGTTCTTCCATGTCTTTTATCTTCTTATATTTTCATCTAATCAAGAAATACTGTAAAAAAATAACTATATATGGTCCCTTCTTGTCATGCTTACATGATTTGAAAGCACTATATATTCTTAGTTGTCACGGACTCACGAGAAGGTGGAATAATGAACACTGTGTTTTAGCATTAGAGGTAGAAGGTAACGAATAAACTGTGGAAACTTTTAGCCTCTAGTTAATACGTATTTGTCTTGGTGCTAATTATGTCTGTAGAATACTATTAGCACAGAAAATAGTACGCTAAACGAATGTGATGTGATTTAATTACTCTAGTTTGACTAATGAATATGTGTTTTTTGCTGTCTCCGAATTAGATCCATTGTCTATGTAAAAGAACTATCCTAGCTGCGAAAATTTAGAGGGTGTCCCTTTGACTAAACCTTTCAAAGCATCTAGCTTTTGGAATCCAAGCATGGATACCAATCTGTGGTTGGCTTGAAATGAATGCAGTGGCCCCCAATGCCAACTTGAATGGGTAGTGGAGAGATCTAAAGCTTCTGAAACAGAAAGCGAAGCTCTTGAGAGATAAATTCGGGTCAGGGATATGCGTGGATGATAAGGATTCTGAATGTATCAGCATCACCTCACCCCTTGCTATGGATCAAATAAAGCACAAATGTTTCTGGTGGAGCTCTCTTCTGTTTTGTTATTTTGACAAGCAATGTCAATAATCATATATACCATTTCAACAAACAACTAGTCATAAATCTTAAAGTTAATCTTCACTGATGAACATTGTTTGTCTCCATGGATGAAATTCAGCCACCAATTTAAGTTATATGAGTGGTACTATATTTTGTTCTACCATGCTTGTGAAGAGAAGTGCAAAAAAGCATATCCATCCTTTTTTGTTTTCTGTCTTGTCGCTTTCATTTAATGTAAAATAAACCATTTATTACCCAGGCACTTTCGGTTGCTCAACTTGTAAGATTAGATTTGAGATTACATTATGTTAATGCAAAACAGATGGAAAGTGTCCTATGTCTAATCTCTCAGATTCACTTTCCTTACCCTTCTAAGTTCTAACCTTTATTTACTTATTTTCCCCACGACAAGATTAACTTTAAGATAACGCCAACATGCAGCTAGCTTTTTCCCTGTTTTTTTCTTTTTTGCTTCAATTTTTAAACCAAAAATAGCCACGAGACCATTGTGCCTCTGCAATATAACTTCTCAGAACAAGTTATCCGTTCACAAACTATCATTAAACATCTATAACAGAAGAAAATTATTGGCACCATAGAAGTGACATGATAATACTATAAGTACATTATGCTGATATAGGTAAAATTGTATGTGCATAAACCAAAATACCCAATAAGGTGCAACAAGTAGTGTGACATTACCTTATATAGCTTAAAATTTGAAGGGGCAAAGCAATTTAGCCACTTTGGTTGTTTGACCACAAGCTAATAAGAAGAGCAGAAACGTCTCATGGAAGCTGAAGTCTCTACCAACTTGACTGTTAAGTTTGTTTTATGTTGTTATTGTAAGCTTGAATAATACACTTAACCTGAACACAATTTAGTGATGTACAAGATGAAAATGAAGTGCTTTGTGAAGCACACATATAGCTGAAAAGATAAAAAAAGCACTTTTGTTGGTTTTTTGTATGATATATAGCTCTTAACGTGAAATTTTCTACACTACAGCTGATTATGGACTACAATTTGTTGGACCCACCTGTCCTCTATACCCTGCAAGTTTAGATATCCAAAGACGTTCAGGCCATCACAAATCATATGCAGCTCGCACCGATTTTTCTCTCTTACTTGTTCTAAAGTCTTTCAAAAAGTTACCAAAATCTAATACAATCTGCTAAAGACATATAAAAGCATGTCTGTACAGCAATATAGAAACTCACTTTATGTACCAAATTTGAATGGTCTGAGGAACAAACAAACTGAATGTGGAGTGATTCGTAATGCAATAATTTATAATTCTTCTTTTTCTTAAAGCAATACAATATATGTTCAAGAAGTACATTTTTAATTTGAATGTACAAAATCAATTTTATATTTATTATGCTTCACAAATTTTTATAATTACATGTACGTTATCTTATATATTTTTTGAATAAATGTATCATCATACAAAACAGATGTATTTGTATCAAACCTTGGTTAAAATACAACTTATTCAAGTAAGTGCTCAAATTTCAAATGATACCTATTTTTTTATTATAAGCTGAATGATAGCTTAAGTTATAGGTTGCTTGATTAAATAATATTCTATAAAAAAAAACTTATTAAAGCATGTGATTTTTGGGTAACCATTAGAGCATATGATGACGTCGACATTAGTTGCAAACAGTGCCTGAAAAATGTTTAAAAAAAGAATATTTTATATATTAATTAATAGGTAGAATTATTTACAGAACTCACAAAATTTATAACATTTATTATAATAAGGTTAACACTGAATTAAATTTTAGTGTAAAATATTTTAATATATATTTGACCCATAAAATAAAATTAAACTATTCAATTAATAGATAGTAAATGTGGTAACTTTTATTCAAACTACAATATCAAGATCAAGTAACAGCAGTCAAATATTGACTGTCATGAATTTCAGGGATTCAAGAAACTGGTTTAACAGACATTTCTTTCGTGGGGTGGGAAGCTCAAAACTTTCTGCAACCGACAAATCATGTCCCTAATGCGTAAAAAAAAAAAAAAAAAAAAACGGAAAAAGTTATAACTAATAAGCGTTTATTTGGATGTTGGATGAGAAAAATCATAAATCATGTTCCTGTTGACTTGGTCGTTTTCAAACGTGCCAGAGATGTAAGTTTTCTCTGCATAATTGTTTTGCCAAATGTAAGGTGGTGCCAGTTTGTGTCTGTCTCAAATACTAGATTAGTTTAGTTTATTAGATCCATGGTTTAAGGCAATATATTCATGCCGGGACAAATTTCAGTAACGGAGTCATGCATGTGATGTGACAAGGAATTCACAAGAATGAGTTAATTCACAGGAGACAACACCTTTATTGGTTAAGGCAAAATCTGCGTTATGTTTGCTTCTTAGAGGTTAATTAAACTTCACGTTGATTAAAAAAAACATGCAAAATCAAAAGTTAACGAAAACCACATCCGGGTCTAGGAATTATAGAATCTGTCCCACGGTTTTGTTCCGAAAACAACGGTTAGCATGAGCATCAAGTACACATCACAACCTCCAACTCACACACTTTCTATACCCCCACTAGTATATAAAGGGCACCAATGTTAGTCCCCTTAACAAATCACCATAGCTCTGTTGTAAACTCTCTGTGAGTGTTGCTTGGTACACTGACAATGGCCTCAAGCCAGAGTTGGACACCGAAGCAGAACAAAAGATTTGAGAATGCTCTTGCGATCTTCGACAAGGACACCCCAGATAGGTGGCACAACCTGGCCAGGGCCGTCGGAGGAAAATCTGTGGAAGATGTGAAAAGGCATTATGAGAAGCTGGTGGAAGACGTGAAGCAGATTGAGGAAGGCCATGTGCCCCTTCCCAATTATCGAAGTGTTGCAGCTATGGGGAGCAGCATCAGAGGTTATGGTTACATTGATGAAGAAAACAGGTTATTATTTATTCAACCATTGTTTAGTTTTTACATTTACTTTTCACATATTGGTCCAATGCAGGATTGTGCCAAAACTATTAGATATAGATACTGTCATGTTTGATTGTTGTTATTGCTGTTTCTTTCTGGACTGTGATTGTGTTTATCATAATGCAGGATGAAGATTCTGAGTCTCCATTGAAGGTTGATTTACCAATATAGTACTATGAAATATTGTATTTACTCTTTGTTTTTTTAGTTTATTTTCTCTTTCTATATATATAAGCTATCAGTGCCATGTATTTCTGTTTTTACTGATGTAAAGATGAAATTGTCCTAAAGAAGGACAACTCATTTATACTCATTGGATATGATAATTTTTTTTTGTTTTTCTCATATATTTTCTGTTTATAAGGAATGACACACAGACTTGAAAACTGTTACGATTAATAAATTAAATTGAAAAGGTGACAAAACCAGATAGTTTTTGAAAGCTGAGACTCTTAATGGAATGGAGTGGTGTAGCTGTTTTTAATTCATAAACTCTTCCTATTTTAAAAAAACTCCAAAATTTAAAAAGTTCTATGACAAATTTAATAAAGTAAATTTTTGAACACTGTTTTTAAACTCTACATTTAAATACATATAAATAATTCCCTCTCAATATCAATATCACTTATTTTATACTTCATCTTAAATAGTTTATGTTAGCTAATGTTATAGTATCATCTCATTTTATTTAATCACAATATTACTTATTTATTCATTCATTCATATATATAACAAAATTTTGATTAATGTATGTCAGGATTGCATGTGAGATCAGAATTAAGATCAAAATCAGATAACTAAAAATTATTAATAATATAAACTTAAAAATATTATTACAAAAAGTCAATACCTTTAGGTCAATTTATATAATGATTGGATGGAAATGTAAAAATCATTTACCTCAATTCATTCAATAATTAGTAACCTTTGTAATTAATTGTAAAAGGACCTAAATTCAATTCATGAACACATCCTTGAAACACATTTAACAAGGTTTAAAGATAACTAATTGTCAAACTAAGAAACAATCTCAGTTAATCTAAAAAAACAGTCTAATGGTCAATTCAATATTTTAATCTTGGTTTTATGCATTATTTCATATTAAGCATATTTTGAACAATTTTAAAAAGGATGTTTTGAAGAATTCAAGAGGATTTTTTTTCTCAGAAATAAGTATTCCAATGTTATTTCATTTACTAATTTTTCTTTAAATTAAATTTTGTCAATCTAATATTTATATTACACATTCTCAAAAATACCACCTTTAGCAAGTTTCATAATTTAAAAACTAATTCATAAATTATCAAATAGATTTATTTTAACAACACGTAATATAATTTTTATAAACAAATATCAACTAAAAAGTATTTTCTCTAAAAAAATTAAAATATTAAATAATTACTTTATCTTAAACATCAAAATAAATATAACTAGATTTAACTATTACCTTTATATTTTGTAAATAATTATTAAATAGAGGACTTTTTTTTGTAAATAGTTATTAAATAGAAGAGTATCCAAGACTTAATTTCTGAATTAAAATCACACCAAGGTTAAATCATTTAAAATAACAGAATTTATTTCCTAATTTGAATTTTTTGACTTCAAAAAGACAAATGCTAAACAGAACTTGAGCACTTAAGTGACCTTTACATACTACAAGGTTCATATAATTTATTTATTTATTTTCAAAAAGTATAGGATATTATGAAAAATATAACTGCACATCTAAATTGTATCTTAACATTCATTTATATGGTCAGTGTGATGAGTATTTTAAGTTAAAGCATAACAAAGTTTCAATATTATGCAATGTTTTATTTTATATATTATATAAAATATTTAGTGTGGGAATGCAATTTAATATTTTGAGATATACTATATGGAATAAATACTAACTCTCTATTTTGTAGATATTTTTAAAAAAATATTACTTTTAATTAATTGACATATTTTTATCAAAAAATATTAAATATTTAAAATAAATCATATAAAAAATTTCTTAATTTGATTTTAAATAAAAATATTTATAATTTAAAAGTTCACTGAACTATTTTCACTTTAAATATAATAAAATTTTAAAATTTGTAAATTATTGATAATTTCATTTTTTTTAATTAACTTTCTTAAAAATATGCATTGGTTGAAAAAAAATCAATAGAAAGAATATCTTTTTAATATAATTTAGTTAAACAGGGATCAGAATCAATCATATTCATTACCCATCATAAAAGAAAAATGATAACTCAATCCAAAAAAATAAAAAATATCAACTCCAAAAACATCCCTAAAAGCAGCAAACACAGTATATATACCTTTAAAAGGGAACATTTTTTTAGAGTCTTCCTTTATAGAAAACGACTTGGCTAACGCCAATTAAATTTTACTGCTCCTTCTTCAATTAAGCCATTCAAATTGTTTCATTTATAAGAGGCTCTTATTTTGATTCTTCAAATCGCTTTCACAACATGCTCATCTTTTGCTTCTGCTTCCTATTTCTACCAAACACTTTTTTTCTTCCTCCTATTTTTCCTTTTTTATTATTGGGTACAATTATTAACAAGTTTTTTTTTTCTGCATAAAAATGTGAATTTCATTAAAATTATATTTCTATTTCAATTACATAATATAATAGCCGATTTATCATATCAGGTAGTAGGATTGGTTAATGATTAAAAAGATGATTTTTTTTATAATCAACTTAATTTCAAAATAGTGAGGCGCATTTAGAGAAATAGAGGTGGGAATAGCAGCAACTCTGAGGGATGGGCTTGTACAGAAATTCTAAAGAGCGCATCCATGGTGGACTGATTTGACGATGTTGGGCTTGTGATTTGGGCCAACAGAATGTAAAGGTCCACGTGCAGCACGCATTGCGAGGTAGCGTGTTTGAAAGAAAAGAGAAAACCCACCCCAAGGTAAGATCCAACGAGGAAGACCAAGAAGAAGAAGAAAAGCAGCGACACTGAGGAGAGAATGAAGAAAAAATGATTAGAAGCAGTTCGATTAAAGCAGAGTGAGTTCCACCCATCATCATCATCATCATCATCATCGTCACATTACGTTCACTCAACTTCAAACTCATTCAATTCATTCACTTTCCTCAATCTCCAATTCCACCTCACACTTATGGGCGAACACACCCTAGGTCAAGCACAATCCCTAATCGAACCGCAACCCCACCCCGCTACCTCCTCCTCTGCCGCCATCGTCGTACTCGGAGGCGCTCCGGCGGACCCTGAACTAAACAATGTCCTTCCACACACAAACTCTCCTGCCTCAAAAATCCCCCTCCGTCCCCGCAAGATCCGGAAGGTCTCCCCGGACCCCTCCACATCTGAATCCCAAACCGAAACTACCAAACCGGGCAAGAGCGGCGGCCGGAGCACCAAGCACGTTCCGCAGACGCGAGCCCTTGCTGCGGTGCCGCGCATAGTGGCGCGTTCACTCTCGTGCGAAGGCGAGGTGGAGATCGCGCTCCGATTCCTTCGCAACGCAGACCCTCTCCTCTCCCCTCTAATCGACATTCACCAGCCCCCAACCTTCGACAATTTCCACACTCCCTTCCTCGCATTAACGCGCAGCATCTTGTACCAGCAACTCGCGTACAAAGCAGGCACCTCCATCTACACGCGCTTCATAGCGCTCTGCGGTGGCGAAAACGGTGTTGTTCCGGAAACCGTACTCGCTTTGACTCCCCAACAGCTCCGCCAGATTGGGGTTTCGGGCCGGAAGGCGAGTTACCTTCACGATTTGGCGAGGAAGTACCAGAACGGGATACTCTCCGATTCGGCCATTGTGAACATGGATGATAAGTCCCTCTTCACTATGCTAACTATGGTCAATGGAATTGGCTCTTGGTCTGTTCACATGTTCATGATTTTCTCACTCCATAGACCCGATGTTCTCCCCATCAATGATTTGGGTGTGAGAAAAGGGGTTCAGCTTCTCTATAACCTCGAGGACTTGCCGCGGCCGTCGCAGATGGACCAATTGTGTGAGAAGTGGAGGCCTTATCGCTCTGTGGCTTCGTGGTATATGTGGAGATTTGTTGAAGCCAAAGGAACTCCTTCGAGTGCGGTGGCAGTAGCCACTGGTGCCGGCCTGCAGCAACAGCATCACCACCAGCACCAACAACATGAGCAGCAGCAGCAACAACAACAACATCCTCCACAGCCGCAGCTTGTGGACCCCATAAATAGTATGTTTAATCTCGGGTAAGACTTACTGATTCCGCAGCTTTTCCTATGTTATTATGCCTCGATTTGATCCCCTGGTAGATCTCTGTGTATATAAATGAAAGTGTTCGTATTTGGAATTTGCATTTTACCTGCGATGATTAATTTCCTTTTTTACTTTGATAGTTTGATTTAAAATTAAATGAATTGTTTATGAAAATGTGTTAGCAAAGGCTTACTTTCTCGAGATTGCACATGCTGCTGCTAGTGAGTAATAGTTATCTATATTGGGGATTAAATGTTATGCAATTGCTTGAGGGCTGTTAGGTCTTTGTCTTCTTTTTAGTAAATTGGAGGACATGACTCGGAAGAATGACCTGCTCGTGAAACAAGATATTGTAGTTTTGGAAATATTCACGCATGCACTGTTGTTATCCTCTCTAATTTATTGGGTCAGACGTCTTTTCTTCCCCTTAATTACACTTGTTGAGTAATTATTCTGGTAGAGATATGCACTTTCATCTTGTGAAAGCATGCTGCTGTATTCTTTCTTTCCCTAGATTAGGAAAAACCTTCATACCTCATGGTTAAATATCATGATTTTTGTGTGTTTTATGTTTGTTCATTTTCCATTAAGTTGACTGGCCGTTGAACATTATTACTCCTTGAGACATTTTTTGCTGCTGCTTTTTCTCTTTCTCCAAGCTAATTGGAAAAACAAAAGGAAAACCTTAAGCCTCTGTATCTTTACTTTGGTTCTTCATGGTTGATGAAAATTATTGTTTAATAAATTTGGTTTAATTGACTTTTGGTCTTCGAGTATCACAATTGTACGATTTTACTCCCTCAAGTTCCAATTGTGTCAATTGGATCCTCTAGATATGGTAATTGTGTGATTTTAATCCTTTCATTAATTGGAATTAGCTGATGTAACATTGATTTATGACATAACTAAGACTAAACTCACAATTTACACAATTACAACACGGGGAACTAAAATGTCACAATTGTAATTTCAGAAGGATCCACTTGACACAATTAAAAGCTAGGGGCTAAATCACACAATTGTGATACATGGGGGACCAAATGGACAATTAAGTAAAAAACTTTTTATGTGTCAATGCCTTTGGCATGTGATGCCATGTGAAAAATAGCTTTCTTTGTCTAATAAGGAAGAAACTTGGTGCCTTTTGTTTCTTAGTGATCTATGGTAATGGTAACATGATATATTACGTGGATTAACTTGTGTACTCTCTTTGTTTCTCTTGTTATCCAGTTCTGTATTCACAGTTTTATATATCTTTTAATATTATGATTAGATAATGATGAGGAAGTTGAAACCAAACAGTTTTTGATACCTTTTGATTTGAGAGAAAAAACTTGGATATCTCTGAAATTGTACAGAGTATATATAGGCTGTATGAGGGAGGAAACACTTGCTGCCATTTTCTTGCATTACTAGTATGTGGATGTGAAAATTGATGGAACAAAGAATCATATAGAAAAAGTATGGTATTACATTTAATTTAGGAAATAATGAAGCAAAGAAATTATAGTGAAAGGCATAATGTAACATCATAAAATTGAACTAGTACCACCAAAAGTGTGGTGATACTATAAGTAAAATTTGATTACCTAAACATGAAATAGTCACTGTATGATTGGTGGTGCTGGGATTGAAAGAATTGCTGTGTCAATTAAGCTATCTTCCCACCGAAATAAATGTTGAGAGGAGCTCATTGTTGCCTTGTTCACCTTGAAGGAAATGAGTCGACACTCCCCATTACACATGATAGATGATGGGTATGTACAGTTTAATATAGTAAAGGCTTGGAAGCTTCTAGGCTGAACTGTATACTACCATTGTATGGTTGCATGGGATGAAGAGATGCAAGGATCTTGATTTATCAATCAAACATAAAATTTTTAATGTATTTTTTTCGTTAGGCTTCAAATTGAATTGAAGTTAAGACTGGATCTTATGTTCCCGTAAATTGATTTTTTCTTTTAAAATAGATAAGGCAGTGAAAATAACTTGTGGTTACAACTTGAGAGGAGTTGATGCATAGGGGATGCCTTAGGCCTCTTGTTCAATTGTTTATTCATTGCTATTTGCAAGATGTTGATTTGAATTGAAAACAATTTGTCAATTATCCAAATCGCCCCCCTTAAGGCACCTTGGGGGATTATTTGGCGTCAGGAGAACTTTGCTTTGTTAGGTCGGTGTGGCCTTTTAGTAGTCGATGGGCTTGATGTAGTTGTACGTATGGCTCCCTATTTGCGTTCCTTAATCTGATGTGATCATTGGACCTTCAAGGTGGGTATATTTTTGGGTTTTTTGTCCGTTCTCATCATATTTTGGAAAATTATTTTCTGCCTGTTAATATTTAGTGTTTAGTTTGGTAGTCTGATAATTATATTGGAGTAATTACGTGTCTATTTAGTGGTTTTTTTTATGTGATCCATCGTCTGAAGCTAAATCTCAACTTGTAGCCAGTAGATTATCTTGTTTGTAAAAGTTGACTTTGGAATCATTGCTATGACATTATGAAGACAAAAAAATGACTTTATTTTTTTATATATCTCCTACGTAGATGTGTTATTTTTTAAAGTAATTTTTTGGGTATAAACTTATCTATGCCATATCTTGTCCGTTTGTTATGTATGATATGGTGTGATCGTATTGTAATGTACTTGATTGTGCTTCGTTGGTGCCAACTGTCAAGTATTTTCCTAAAATGTCATTGATGTATACTTTATAACGATTTGCAAAATTTAGTAATGTGAAGGAGAGGTATGTAAATTTGAAGGCACAGTACGTGTTTTTCACTTGGCTTCCTTTCTTTCTGTTCTCTCCAACTTGAAATGTGTAATTGTTTTATGTTATCTAATCTGATACTATAATGTAATTTTAACCGTCTCTCATCTCTCGGTTCTGTCATATTTGCTATAGGGCGGCCTGTGCTTGGGGGCAATGATGGCTATCGGAATTTGCATCAGGCTTCGTTAGCAGTTGCTCACACGTTAAGTTGCAGAGACATGACGTGAAATGTATTTAATGGATCTTAGTACTGAAACTTGGACATTGGGAGCATTGAAGAATTAGTGTATGATTGCCTTGTGTTCAATAAAACCAGTGCAAGATTAATAAAGGCCACTCCTTAATTTTGTTTTTATTTACGAGTAATTGTAGTTGTTGGAGGCCTATGTGAAGTGGTCAAGTCGTCATTTAGTAGTGGGACTAGACTGATTATAGGGCAGTGCTTTGTAGTTTTGGACCATGTGATGTAATTAATGTATGTATGGAGTCATTATCTTGCGCCCTGCTACTGGATGGGCCCATGCTTTAAGTATAATTCGTCTAATCTTCAAAAAGAGGGGGCTAATTCTTATCCCTTCTGCTAATAGGTTCTGAATTTAATAGATATGAGCAATAATGCAGTTTTCATCCGATGTTTTTATTGCTCAAGTCATGTGGTGATTAGTAGTAATCCGTTAATTTAGCAAGATTAATAAATGAAGTTAGGTTATTTAATCTAAATTGTATTTCAAAAACATCTGTACAAATTATTGGTTGAAGTGTTTGGTTATATTTAAAGATACTACTTGTAATGCATGAATTAATTTTTTTACCAAATTTGTTTTTCAAAATTAATTCAATACATGCATTTACATGTAATAATTTTGTGTTATGATCATTTACTTAATCAACTTCTTAATTAGGTAATTTAGTTTTACTTACTTTTTTGTTATACGAGGAGTGTACTAACGGTTTTTTATTAGTTGAAATTGTTTCAACGTTATGAATTTTTGTATATTCAATTTTAAATTAGAAGACAAATTATTAAATAAAAAATGAGAGATATCAAAATTTGTAAATTTTAATATATTTAAACCTACAGGTTGAAAAAAAATTGTATAAACTATTTCTAACATTCCCCTTATTATGTTTATCAGTTTCTATGATTATTTTTTCTTTATTCAAAGATATAAAAACAAAAAGAGTCCACGCATAATAAATTTGAATATTTATGAAGATAAAGTGAGAACACGTACGCTAGACATGTATACATACACTAGCAGACAGCTTGGGGGACAATCCGCCTATAATATAGAAACATTTTTTACAGGACGGCGAGGTAATCCCCGAACACCGAGACCCAACAATTACATAGCGACGATTTTTGCTATTTCAGCTGAGAGACAGTGGGATATTCTAACCGCATATCCCTTTATTCCTTCTTCCAGTTATCGTAATCACCCCATAGGGATATCAGCAAATGGATTATGCAGTTGATCAAATACTTAGGATAATACTTTTACTGTAACTATAAATATGCAAATCATCATGCTACTAGTTTTCGCAAGCAACACAAAAAACAAACTAAAATGCCATACGAGTACGAGAATTATGACCCTTCCTTCCCCGACCAACCTGTGGTTGACTTATACCTCCCTGTTTGGGCCAGGTTACCAGCTTTCCACTCCAAACCAGTCTTCATTTGGGCTCAAGACTTGCACACCACAACTCAACTTACCTACCAACAACTCAACGCCACCGTTCATCTCATCTCCTCACAGCTACAAGGTCCTATGCAAAGAGGTGACACTGTCCTGCTTCTGTGCTCTCCAGGACTTGACCTAGTTGAGCTCATATTCGGGTGTCAAAGAGCTGGTCTCTTGAGCGTCCCTATAGTCCCCCCTCACCCTTCTTTCTCTAAACAAAACTATCACCATCTCATAAGAGCCATTTCTCAGACCAAACCCAAAGCTGCCATAGCTCACTCTCACTACATATCAAGCATTCGACACTACCTCTCTTCACCCCACAACAACACCAAGCTTGCTCACATGCTACAAAATATCCACTGGATTTCCATTGACCAAGTCAAACAAGGTAAAGACACCGTTATTGTAAACGACCGTGATTCCCTAACATACAGTGGTTGCAAAGCAGATGAAGTTTATTTAGTTCAGTACACTTCTGGAGCCACCGGGATCCCGAAACCCGTGCTTGTCACAACTGGCTCAGCTGCTCACAACGTTCGAGCAGCGAGAAAAGCTTACGATCTTCATCCAAACAGCACAATCGTTTCGTGGCTGCCACAGTATCATGACTGTGGCCTCATGTTTCTGTTGCTGACCATTGTATCCGGTGCCACGTGTGTTCTCACGTCCCCAAACGCGTTCATCAAACGCCCCAGACTCTGGCTTGAACTCTTGTCCGAATTCAAGGCCACGTGCACTCCCGTTCCCTCGTTCACATTGCCACTTGTTATCAAGCGTGGAGGGATTCACCAAGGAGATTTACCCATCAACCTATCACCTTTGAAGAACCTCATAATCATCAACGAACCTATCTATAGAGACTCAGTGGAAGAATTCGTTCATACTTTTTCACCATTCGGGTTAAGCCCTTCTTCTATATCTCCTTCATACGGGTTAGCAGAGAATTGTACCTTTGTGTCCACTGCGTGGAGGAGCGGTCACAGTGACAATAACGGTGCTTTCTCAGATTTTCCAACTCACAACAAACTGTTACCGGTTGCAAGGCTCGGAAACGTGGAACAGGAAGACGTGGAAATCATTGTTGTAAATGAAGAAACGTTGGAGCCAGCTGAGGATGGTGTTGAAGGAGAAATTTGGGTTGCTTCGCCAAGCAATGCTTCTGGATACCTAGGCCACCCTAGCTTAACAAGAGAGGTATTTCATGGAAGACTAAGAAACATGGTCAGCAAGTGCTTTCTTCGAACTGGGGACAAAGGCATCGTGAAAGGAGAAAAGAGATATCTCTTTGTCACTGGTCGCTGTCAAGACGTCATGGAACTCCAAAACGGTCAGAAGGTTCACCCACATTACACAGAGACTGCGGCTTATAATAGTTGCTCCAAGTTACTCAGAGGAGGTTGCGTTGCAGCGTTTAAAGTTTCAGAAACGGTGGTGGTTGTGGCGGAGATGCAAAGGCTCAAAAAAGATGTGGATAGGGTTTTGTTGAAGAGGGTTTGTGAGGGAATTAAGGAAGGTGTATCGAAGAAGGAGAAGGTAGAGGTTGGATGGGTAGTTTTGGTCAAGAGTGAGTGTGTTCCGAAAACCACTTCTGGGAAATTGCAAAGACGTAAGTGTAAGAAGAAACTTCTTGCTGGGCAAATGGTGATTCTGATGGAGATACGGTTTGGAAAAGATGTTACTGTTTTCAAAAGAGCCCAAAATGTAAGAGATGAAGTTTGGGAAGAGATGGGTTATGTGAATAGTTCACTTTCATGTGCGGAAACTGGTAGCTCCCTAATTTCACGTCTGTGAGATAGAGCATAATATGGGTGTAACCTGAAAAGTGTTGATTCTGTGCATCAGCATATTTTCACTTCTGTATTCCTATCAATAAATATAAGAATAAAAAAGCTATTGGAGACCTATATACCTAGATAGATAAGAAACGAGAAGAGAAAAAAATATATTAGTAAATGTAACACTGTAAAATAGAGGTTTTGGTAAGGTGTATAGAGTGATAAAGTGTTCACATAACGTATTGCCAGTGTAAATGTAAATATATCTATTCTCTATCGTATCATTTTTTCTTTTGGACCATATCCTTAGGTGGATTTCCAATTGTGTTCTTCCATGTAAAATCTCAGTCCTTAAAGATGTTACCAGTGGCGAGAACTTTGCAGGAAAGGGGCTGCAAAAATATGACGATAGAAAGGACACTCCTACACCGAAAAAGAAAAAAGGAAGAGAGAAATATTGGTTATTAAGAAACATAATGTGATTAAAAAATAAAGAAAAATTATATGAATTTTAAAGAGTACATAATACATGATAGTGATAAAATATCATCACTCCTTCTTTCATTATATGTAGAAAACGAAATCTTTTCTTTGGATTTCTGCATTTCTTGGCAGCATCCCATTTTGGGGTTTTATATGTGTAGAGCAGAAAATTAATTACAATGATTCTACTTATACACTAGATAGACTCATAGTTCAAAATGTTCGGTCGAGTAAAAATGTAGGATTATGCATGCACGTACACTAGATACTGAACACTGATCTTTTTAACAATCAATATATCCATTATACAACTTCAAATATTAATGTAAAATTATAAACTATTGTTTAATAAATAATTCAAAATATTAATATAATATTATATATTATTATTTAATTAATAAAAGCAGTTGTTTGTGAGGTGGTGGCAACCTTATCAACCCAACATTTCCGATAGTCTCATTCACGTTATAAACTATGCAAATTATAACACTCCTACAACTTCGATACAAACAAAATTTCTCAAAAGAAATTAAATGAATGTGAAACGATAAATTACTTTCGTGATCAATTTCTTTGTTATCTTAGCCAATATTAGCATATTCGAATTTATTATCGACTTGAATATATCAAATTTGTTTATTTAAAAACTTTGATTCACTTCATCAAGGACACTAGTTTTTTTTTTTCCTCCACCTTACTCTTTCATTAATATAATAATAAAATAATAATAATAAAGTTGGGTCGTGAAAATATGATTTGTTTCATGCAGGAAGGGTATAAGGATAGAAATTAGGCACAATTTTACAAATTGATGTCCCAATAGGATGATGTGGGGGCATGGGCATATTTGTTGAAGGGTGAAAAAAAAAAATGACGGGTTTTTAATTACATCCCAACCAAAGTATCAGCATAGATATATCACACACCAATATACATAGTTTCTGTTGTGAAGGAAATACATATATAATTGTTTATGTCAATAAAAGTGAATCAGTGTGACGTGAAGTTGCAATCTCATGATTCATCTTATGAACCCCCTTCAGGTGCCCCTGTGGGAGCATTGGTGGGTGGTGAAGAGTGGGAATCATCAAATTCATCTTCATCATCTGGTTCCCCCGAAGGTGCATTTGTTGGTGCCCGTTCACCTCCCACAAAATCATCGAATTGAGGTGCTTCTACTGGCGCATTGGTTGGTGCTTCAGTAGATGCTTCCTCGGATGGTGCTCCTGCAGGTGAGAAAGAACCCTCTGGTGCTCCCGCAGGAGAAGAATCGACGTCGTCGTCATCATCAGGTAAAATATCTGGTGCTCCAACTGGAGAATCTGCTACTGTTCCTTGGTCTGAAATTCCCGCGTCGGCGTTTGTATTACTGATTCTCGCAACAGTAATTAACCACACAAAATTAGCTTTGAAACAAACCAAATTAAATTACTCACAAATTCAAGAATAATTATTTTGATTTCTTACTGGTCGGTGTCTAAAAAGTCAGCTAAGGATGCCCCTTCGCCTTCATCTTCAATCGGATTAGAATAAGAACGGTCGGCCCTTAGGGCTGCGCCGAAGTAATCCTCCATAGCCGCTTGGGCCGCGGTCCCACCAATAGCCTTCTGGGCCTGGTCCAATGTGTCCTGGGAGAACCCTCCCTGGTCCAACAGATCCTGCCAATCCTCCTGGCCCAAAACCGAAGGGAATGGCAGAGCCAACACCACCGAAAACACCAGAACTAACAATATCTTCGCCATTTTCCCCTTATTCCGTTACCCTGGAATCAAGGATTGCAGATACGCCTTGACAAGTTGTGAACCGAGGGTGGCAACAAAATGCAATTTTGATTTATTACTTTCCTCTCTTTTATACCCTTTTACCACCCGACTCTCACGTACTCATTTCTTATCTTTGGAAATTCACCTTTTTCCCTCTTCTGTCCCAACACTACGCATTTTCTTTCTCTCCGCAATTCCTTCGTCTCCGCAATTCCTACATCTATTGACTTATTCTTCTCTTGCATCAACCTACCCACTCTTTTTTTATCTCATCTTAATGCTCAAATGTTTATTTTTATTTGTTTCATGCTCCACCACTCTTTACATTATTCTCCAAGTTAAATATACTCTCAAATTATCTTACCACGAAAGACCCCAAACAAAATGGGTATAGAAAGCACCAACATTTTCTCAATAAAAAATAATCTTTTACCTTTAACCATCTTAAATTCCAACTCTACTAGAAAAATAATCTTCACCATTCATCTTTTCCAAATAATATATTATTAATAAATAATAAATAAATATAAAAAATAAAAAAGTCAAAAAATAAAATTATAAATATATATTTAAATATATTAAATAATTATTAAATACGAATAAAATAAAATTATAAATTATATAAAAAATTTGAAAAAAGATAGAGAAAATAAAATTATAAATATATTATATTTTTATTAAGTGTAGAAGATCAAAATTATAAAATTATAAATTAAATAAGAGTTATAAAATTTTGAAAGGATCGTACACATATCCCATTAGTATTTTAACTTGTAGTTAAGAAAATGCAATACCATGATAAAGAGGTGTTTGATCATTCAAAGCATTAAGTTGAACTTTAAAAAAAGCCACAAAAATACTTGTCCAAGATGATGCCAGCTTAAGTGTCAAACTTGTCACTACGTACAACTTCTAATATCTGGCAAATTTACATCACATGATATTCCTTACAAATTACAGTTGGGTGAATATAACGGGAAAAGAAACACACAGCAAGTGAGCACACTAACATAAATTGCACATGCCTTCGTCGAAACTAGCAACTCCACTGTTCTAAAGTGGTTGCTTCACCGCAGAGTCAGATTCCTCATTCGCCTGGTGAAGAAAACAACGAGCTTATATTCAGAATCAGAACAAATTCAGCCTTTTAAGATGTGTGTAAACAAGTAGACAACTAACTGCATGTGCCAGAAAACTACATCCAATGATTACAGGTGATTTGAGGAAAGGGCTAATATCCCCGAGGATAAAGATAAATGTCGATGCATGAATCAATGATTATTACCCAATACCATATCGACATGTTGATAATTATTAATAATATTTGCATCACGATGGACATTATCCAAACCAATAGATCTCAGGTGCATGTGACTTGGAACTTGAAGGATTAAATTTCACGTGCACTCTGTTTATAATAATAACATAAAAAATCACCGTTTCTTGGGTTGTTATTACAAATTTCACAGGGCATTCTGATCATTGTAATTGAAAGCTGTAGAACTTGAGAAGTGAGAACTATTTTAAAACCGGATGACTAATCAAATTGGCAATGCAGATGCTAAGGTTTTTCCCAAATCTAGAAGGTATATATCTTCCAAAACACCTCCTAACGAATTTTGGTGTTTGCAACAAGAGTGATTTCCTCCTCTAATACAAGTGGGGAATAATAGATGATAACACCAGAAATGGTTATGGAACTATGTACATATAATTTCCATTTTTTTTTCTTGAATAGGGTACATAACAGCATAAACACACATTCTAATAAGCTGATTGTTAGGAGGAGAAATTAACAGACTTGTGGTATGAAGAACTTAAAATCTTGAATATGTCAAGTACTGCATGTATGTTATCTACAAGATTAAGATTTTATGAAACAAGTGAAAGAAATCACGAGATACATTAGTCATTACCTTTGCTCATTGTCAATGTGTCTTCCGTTGATGCCAGCACCTCTGTACCTGGGTAGTGGGATTTGATCACGCTCTATTCGAATGACATCTTCCTTGAGGATCTCATAGTGCATTTTCACCTCTTCTACGGATTTTCCACCCACGGCGTTGGCTACATGTTGCCACCGATTTGGGTCGTCAGGGCCATGAACCGCAAGAGCATCCTCAAAACGTCTATTCTCTTCGCGTGTCCAACCCATCAATCGAGTACGATATATCTAAATACGTTATGAAGAGTGAAGTAAAAAGAGAAGAAGAAGAAGAAGAAGAAAACACAAAAAAGAAAGAGTTATTAGAAGATAGTGAGAGTGTAGGTGAGTTGAAGTGCCTCAACGTGGTTAAATAAGGGAGAGTGAAGTGGTGTGCAAGTTGGCGAATACTTTTTACGGATTCAACAAGATATGATTCCCTTCCCGGGCCTCACAAAATGGTTCCCAATCCCAGGTATGTGTAGCGGGGTCACTTACCCTTTCTCTAGACCATTTCATTTGGATTTGATCCCTTCACAGTTCTAAACCTATGATATGAGTCTATGTATCTGACCTTTAAGCCTGGTCCATTTCATTTCATGTTGGAGTACGTATTGAAATATCACTTCTTCAGATTTTTACAGGCTGGTGGTGGTGCCGGTGGGGATTAGATACTGATTCCCACTGCTACAGAGATATATATTCGATAACAATATATATGGAAAAGTAAGGCTAAGATATTCTGCCTCTTTCTAAGATAGATAGATAGATAGATAGATAGATAGATATAGAATAATAATCCTGTCACTTATTTTGCAACTTGTTCCATGTAATATACTTTCTCCATCACCCATTAATATAATTTACATTTGAAATCGAGAATAAATTGACCAGTGCTGTGGAGTGCGCATTGAAATGGCTTCAAAGCGTAATGAACGAGTTGATACAACTTGCATTAATTAGTGGCAGTGCTTTCTGATGATTTTATTTTGGATAAAAGAATTGGAATTGAAATTTACCTCATGATTTTCTTGTTTTAACTGGGACTACTTATTTAGTAGTCAGTGATAATCTGAAGTAAAGAATTTGCGTGGCTGAGAGGTGAAAGCCTTCTCTGTTTTTGAGCAGGGGTTTGCATTTGGCTCTGCCAACGCATAAACTCAGATTTATTTTTGTAGCTGTTTTCCAGTTCCAGAGCATGTGCTGCTTCTGTTCTGTCATTGCCTCGGTGGTAGAAAATCACACCAACCACAAAAATCATATGAAAATCAATCCAAAAAGCAACCATTTGCGAACATATACTTGATCATGACGGCAATTAAAACTATACCAATCGTAGTTATAACAATTTCTTGTAATGTATTTGAAATCTTGATTTTTGATTTTATTTGCTATTTTCAATAAGTACTCTCCTTTGCACAATGGCGTAAGGTTCGAACATATGTTCCATTTTTCTTTTTCCAAATTGAGTTTTACGTGATTTTCTTTATGACTTGTTTTATTTGAACTTCTGTTAGTTTAGTGATAAACCCAACAGATTAATTAATCCAATCAAATTTGGAAGAAAAGTAAGAAAGTATGGGAAAAATATTTAAAAGTAATTTGAATAACTTTTTAAATTTAAAAAACAGTTAAGTTTGGACTTCTCAAATAAATACAGACAATGCATCATACTCAAACTTGATCGTTAATCACTCAGTGTCTCTATATTAGTTAATCAATTGATCACACGTTTTAATTCAAATGGCAAAAATTGAAAACTTCAAAAGTAAGTAAGAATGGAGAAAAAAAAGTAAAAGCCGAACGCAAAAGGCCAAAATTCTACGCTGACACAGTCTGTTACCTCTGGTTTTTCTTTTTACAACTAGCAAATATGTTAAAAGTGTATTTTGCTATTCCTCCTCTTACAAATATGGCACGTAGTGCATGAATAGTAGCGCACAGAATCTGTTGGATGCCCATTGTTTCCGTTTTGGAGGTGATGAGATATGAGAGATGAAAGAAGTAGACAAACAAGACACTGTATATTTCAAATGACTCCTGCAGTTTTGGGATACTGCCCCATGCTGAAAGGGATTGCTCTCTGCACTAAAACAAAAATGCGTTTGACTTCACACCATCACGAATCTACATCTTTTAGACACTTCTAGTTTAAGAATCGTTATCTATCTTTCCATTGTAAAGTAAATAAAGCACAGAATACGGCAAGGACAGTGTAAATATATGTTTTCAGAATTTGTTTTTATGTCGGGCTCCTGTTATTATAAAGGTAACTGTTATCGGAAAGATAATAATACGTTTGTGAATCATATTGGTCCATACTTGGGTATTGTCATTTTCAACGTTAGTACGATTATTTTTCAATCAAGTGAGGCTTTTCCAGAGATCATCACATATTTTGTTCTCAAAAGACTTTTGGTATATTGAAAAAGGATGTTTACTGTTAATCTCGATTTGATGTAGTGATGCTCTAGAAAGTGATAAAAGATAATCAAATTCCAAGTATTATGAAACATAAAGGTGAATTAAGTTTTGATACATGAACTCTTTTGCTAATAGTATTCTCCTCTGATGTAGTCATTCAGTCTCTTCAATTCTCCACTTTGCTGCTCCGTCACTGCTCGCACCACATCTACAATGGAAATCATACCAACGATTTTCCCATCTATAACTGGAACGTGCCGGATCTGATTCTCTGCAAGGCAAGGGTGACATTTGATCCCTCAAGCTCTATGGCATAAGATTAGAAGAAGGAACACGTGATGCCAATGGGAGAATTACCCTTACCTATCATAATTTTCATTGCTTGAAGAATGTTGGTGTCAGAGGTCACCGTTATCAGGTTCTTCTGTTCACGAGTAACCTCATCATCATTCACAATGAAAATGTAGGAATAAGATATCAAACATGTTGGAAATGAGAGAGCATAAAATAACCTCATCAGTCATTATTTGACCAACTTGTGTGTATAAGGGAGATCTTCCTTGTGCAACTATTTTTTTTAAGCAGTCTGGTAGTTCATGCATGCATCCAACGGAGATTCGGTTCAGCTCAGAGTCACGAAGTGTTTAAATTTTGATTTGAAAATTGTGAAGAATTTTCTATCTTAACAAAAGGGTGTTAAAAAGGTATTGGAAGGAACCACATGTACCTCTTTCTGTGACTATCCCTGCTATATGCTGCCCCTCTGGCTTTAGTACCACCAATGATCCAATGTTATTATCAGCCATCTGAAACCTTGTACCATGTTAGTGAAGAACCATTCTTATGAAAGTTAAATTAGAGTGAATTTTTTTTAGCATATTGAAGTATCTTACGTTTTTCATTGCATTAATAACAACATCATCAGCTCGGCACCAAAGCCAGGAACCGATATTTTCTTGCCCTTTTGTCATTAGTACCTCTGACACCGTTACATTCTCCAATCCTATCTGCTGCGTGCGTGGAGAGGACGTGACACATCCAAAATTTGAACATATTTTGTTTAGGTTAGAGATTCCATTCCCTTTGAATTGTTGAAATATTGCACTCCTTGGAGGGTTTTGGCGAAGTCGCAGTATCCGGTACACTCCTAGCATTTGTTATTCTACTTCTGTTCATTCAACATAAAAATTAGTTCTGGCTAATGTATGGAGTGACATACAAAGTAACATTACTATTCACCCAAATGAAAAATGGCAACGAAGTACCTTTAGAAATACAAGTATCGATGGCTTTAAAGTTTTAATGCATCTCACTTTGGCTACTGAATTTAACTGCTTGTTTTATGCTTATTGAGAACTATTGGGAGGACTAGTGGTTTAATTTTAATCCATAAAAGACCTAACTCGAAACACTAAGTTCATTTCGTAAAAATGTTGGATGTTCTTCATTGCTGAGAAATTAAATAACAGAAGTTCAGGGTTTGTGTTTTTTCCCTCAAGTGTAGGATTCTACGTACCCTGATGTTGCTGCTACCAATAATTGGAATTGATTGGCCCTGCTTTAACAGTGGCGAAGGTATACGGAACTATTATCATCATTGGTATTTCATATAACCAGAAAAGTAGCTTGTATCTTGCATCGAATTCTTTTCTTAAAGGAGAAAATGAAGAAAGGAACTTTTTAGTTGCTTAAACTTGAAATTGCTGACCCTATTGGATCACGTTTTTCTCATTCTTCTGTTTAACTTCACAGACTTACGGATGATTATTTTAAGCTTAGTTCTATACATTCCATGGCAAACTCAAGGAAAGCAATTTGCTAACACGGGGATTAAGGACTAAAACCATTACCTCAACAAGCTTCAAAGAGGCCAAGAATATGATTGGAATTTCTTTCGTGAGAGGCTAAAGAAATCACTTTCGTACGGCACAAGATAAGAATGGTTTTCAGACGTTTGATTAAAACATTATTCTCCAAGTCTAAGCAAAGCACAAATAAAGAAGGTTCCAAGGAAATCGGTATGAAAAAGTTTGGGAATAAAAACTGGTTAGTTAGTCAAACCAAAATTCTAATGGAAGTCCTCCAATGCATCCAACGAATAAATTTTTGGTTCATTATATATACATAACCAGTACAATCTTGGGTTTTTCAGATCAACCAGAATAGAACACCTTGTATGTACTTCTGGTGAAAAGAAAAGAAAAAACTCATTTTGTTTTTGCAGCAGATATTAACCATATCCATCATCCATGCCACGTAAAAAAATGCAATGTGGTTTTAGGATCCCTTGGATCTCAGGTCCTTCCACCGAATCTCAGTCTCCTCCTCCAAAACAAAAATCGAAATCTATTTCCACTCATCGACCACCATTTCGTCCTCCAGGAATAGCCTCTACCCCACCACAGCCTCCCCCACCTCAGGTAACCCCAAAAACTAAACCTCAACAGGTGTCAAATTCTCTTCCATCGTCACACTCTCCAGTACCTGCGGTGACCATTGATTCCCCAGTGTCTTCTATCTTAGAATCCTCTTCAATTCCATCAAAGCCAAATGTCAAGGAATTGGAGTTGGATAGTACTCCGACTCAGAATTTCAATGCCCCTTTGGAAACACAAACCAAACCCCACCAGCCTAAATCCAATCCCAACCCCATAGAGAGAAAGATGATGTTTGCCACGTCGACTCCTAGCGGGAAAGACACCATCAAGGTTATGCCACCAGCTTCAACATCAGCACATCCAACGAACAGGAACGTTTCAACCATACCATTGTCCGACGAGGAAAATCCCAGCAAGGATGATGACATTTCAGCTCTCAACCCAACACTGAACATGGACGACAAAACAGTGAGCGTGGTAACTCTGGCTGGTGACAACAGAGGCGTGACAATGCACGTGGCGGGTTCTCAATCAACTAGGCCCAAACCAGAAGAGAAGAAGAGCACGTCCACGGAGAAAGATGAATCGGGTAAGACATACGTCAACAGTAACATTCAGAGCATCAACAATTCGATCATGTCGCATGGTACCATCAAAGGAAGAGACCCTGGTGTTCGTGTTATTCTCCCTCAACCTGATATAAAAGAACCGTGTTTGGAAAAACCCAAGGCTGAAGTGAGCATAAACCGGGTAGAGAGGGTGCCTTACGGGCCCGTGGTTCGAAGAAGATGTCTGAGGGGACTTCTTCTTGAACCGAGTGACTCTGAACCTGATAACCCTGACAAACCTCGTCGTCATGGTTGCAAGTTTAGATGTGGGGACACTTCAAATGATAAGGATTCTGCAAAGAAATAGGCAAAAACGGGTTCTTGTTCACATGAGACGTGATACCATTCCAGGATTTTTGTGTTGGAATTTCGTGTCTACAACATGCATTATTTGTGCTGTTATTTTTAATTGTACATTTGTTTATTGGGGTAACTTGCAATGATCATTCATACGGTCCTTAACAAGCTGTTTTTGTGTTAACTGTCAAAGCAGTGCTTTAAGATAAACCGAATTCTCAATACTCTATTACCGTGGTATTGGTAGTCTTAACACTGGTTTTTGTAATTGATGGGACTGTTCTTATTAAATTAAGATTGTCAAGTTGAAATTATTAAAAAGTAATTGTGCTAAAATTTTAATTAGAAGTCTTCACTATCCTATCTGTTAACCAGGCATGGAAAGTCTGTGTGCTGATAATTTTGGAGTGAAAGAAACACTCGCCGCCTTTCAAAACTCTGTGTGCTGCCTGAAACTAAGACCAAATATATTCATTTTCTTGTTCTATCCTCAAACTACAAGCGGTAATATTTGTCCTTAATTAGTAGGATCTTTCTCATCATTATTATCCTGACACTGACACATTTTTAACGATTATCACGAATAAAAATCTAGCCAAGAGATAAGAACAAAGCAGAGGAACAAGCAATTATCAGCTACATATATAGATTATAGAGCTTCGTTCATTACTAAGTTTGATAAGATAAAGAAAGAAATTCAGAAACAATGGGTTCTCTTATGGCAGGATGGCACTCTCCAACCTTGGATCCTGAATCAGGTACGAATAATAAGTACTATATTAGTACTATGTTATGTTATGCTTCACCTTATTCTTGAGTTGATATAATAATATACTTGATTTGTTAACGAGGGTTTTTATTTTTATTTTTATTTTTTTTTGCTGTTGTTGCAGCTACAAATGAGAGGAATCGATCGCTTACGAAAGAACAAATTGATGCTTACTGGAGCACAAAAGAGGAGACAGAGTCAGAACATCTCAAATCTATTTCTAAATTATCTGAGACTATTCAGGTTTGACTTTCAAATTAGCAACTCTACAAATTTCACCACTCAAAACTACTAATATATTTCTTTGTTTATTATGGATACTGAACAGACCCGCAAATTGGAGGATTCAGAGAATTCTCGTAGGTCAACTACCGTGACCTTGAACCGCATAGAGGAGTCCTTAGACAAAGATTTTGTCAAGAAAAATTGCTGGTACATTATATTGCATATCGTAATTGCCAAATTGGTCAATTTAATGTGAAAACTAGTAATATTTTGCAAATGGTTGGTTGAGTGCAGGTGGACTAAGAGCAGCTGGGCATTTCTGAATGAACCGCCAGTGATGGAAGCTTCTTCCAAAAACTATGCTTCACAGTTTCACGTAGCCAACTTGAGATCAACCAAGTTTACGACCGAAAATGGAATGAGTAGTTGATATGATCTTTCTCAAGTTATCATGCATATAGTATAGTTGGTATCTTTACCATAAGAACTGTATTTATGTTTTATCTGAAAAGGTCCCAACACAACACATTATACAAGAGAATATTTTGCTTCGTTCTTAAGTGTGACTGTTTATTTGTCTACATTCCTACTATTTGTAGCTTAAAAATTATTAACTCCTTTATGGTTCTTGTAAACTATTTTCCTGCAGTGGAAATGCACCTTCATTTAATAAATATTAATTATCTCAGCAAAATCTACTTATTAAAAACTTAGGATAATAGTACTATACTTATTGTCAAATATCCTTTAAATAAAACTGATATAATAATATGCATAATTTGATTTGAATTTCCTATAAAAAATAAAATTCAAATTGAACTGCCAAAGAGTTTTTTCTTTTTGTCCAGTTTAATTGATTTAGTTGGGTCTTGTACTCCTCGTATATATATAATTAGGGTTTTTGCTTTACTTGTGTTTTTATAATTATTAAATATAAATAATGGTTTTGATGTTTTAATTCATAAAATATTATATCATTTATATATTTATTATTTCTACTATTTTATTTATTATTTTATTCTTATTTGAATTAAAAATTAGTTTACTATATTATTATTTTAAGTTATATACATAAATCATTTTTTAAATTACATATTGATAAATATTATTAAATATTGATAAATATTATTAAATATTGATAAATATTATTAAACTAACAAATAATAAAGTACCAAATTAAGAAAGACCTGTATAAGTCAGTACTCCAATATAGATATGTTTTACTTTTGCACGTGAGAATTACTTTTTCAAATTTCAACATTTTCACTAAAAAAAATTATGATAAAAGTACAAACTATATCGTTCTATGAAGTTTACGTGTATAATAACTTAAGGAGTTATCCTTTTTACTAAAATATTTACCTTTTAGAGAAAAGTTTGAAATTTGAGTGTTTAAAAAAATAAGACCATGATCTCTACAAAAGTGTTTTCCTCTTCTAATTCAATTTTCTAACGTGTATACTAAAATAGTAGTGAGGATGTTTGATAATTAACAATTATTTTGAGATCCTTTAACTCTTTGAAATGTATTTTCTAAACTCATCTTTAGAATTAATTGAAAAACATTAAAACATACAAATGATTTGGCATTTTATGATTTACTACAAAAATATGAAATACATTTACAGTTGTCAATTAAAAACATAATTTCTCTCAATAATAAAGTATTGAAAAATTAATAAACACATTTATAATTAAATATAAATAATGGCATGTATGATAAATATGTATAAAAAATTCTTAAAATTGAATCAATACTTGTAGTGTGTGAAAAATATGTGATAGAGCTATGACGATATTTTATATATATAATTCTTTATTTTTTATTTTCTTATCCTTTCTTAAACACTCTGTTCAGCAAAATTTTACGAGTTCAAAGGGTAGAGGAAAAAATATTGGAAGAATTAAAACTACAGAAATGAATAGCAATTAATATTCTGAAAAACAAAAACTGTGACGATGTCGCTGGCGGCGTTGTTTTCTGAAGTCTGTGTGCTGCCTCAAACTAGTGTCAATTTTTTATATTTATGGTCAAAATTATAAGTGCGTGATTTTTGTCTTCAACGTATAAGATCATTTTCATCATCGTTATCACTTAAGACCCAAAATTTTTGGATGTGACACACTGGCAATGTTCATGGCAAATAAAAAAACCTGCCTAAGAGATAAGAACAAAACAGAGAAAAAAGTCGGAGCTTCGTCACTACAATAAACCACCACTTGTATATATAATACAGCTAATGCAACTTCGTTCACATCAAGAAATCATCGATTTCGAAAGGCATTGGAGAAGTGTGGCTTAGTTACTAAGTCTGTTGAGTTAGAGCAAGAAAATCAGCAACAATGGGTTCTCTTATGGCAGGATGGGACTCTCCAACACTGGATCCTCAATCGGGTACGCATAATACTATACCAGAATTGTGTTATGAAATACCTTCTTTGTTGAACTGAGATAATAAAACACGCGACTTCTAACCAGGGTTATTTTTCTTTTTACTGTTTCAGCTACAATAGAGAGGAATCGATCACTCACCAACGATGAAATTAATGCTTACTGGAGAGCGAAGAAAGAGACAGAGTTGGAACACCTCAGAGCTATTTCCAAATTATCTGACACTGTTAAGGTTTGGCTTTTAAATTAACATCTCCATCCACAAATTAAATTTCACCTCTGCAATATTCCCCTGATATATATTTTTATGTTTATTATGGATACTGGACAGGCTCACACATTCAAGGACGCAGAGAATTCTCACAAGTCCTTGACCGACATAAAGGTGTCCTTAGGCATGAATGTTGACAAAAAAAGTTTGGAGCAGCTTATGAACAAAAATTGCTGGTAAACTAAATTGCAGATTGTAATGGCAGAATTTATCAATTATTAATTAATCTGTTTGTTACGTGAAGCATATTTTGTTTGGTTGAGTGCAGGTGGACTAAGAGCAACTGGGCATTTCTGAATGAACCTCCAGTGATTGAAGCTTCTTCCAACAACTATGTTTCACAGTTTCACGTGGCTAACTTGGGATCATCCAAATTTAATTCACCAAATAAGATTAGTGCGTGATACAAGTCTTTCCTCATGTTACCCTCTTTTTATGTGTAATGTCTTCTATTTTGTCATATAAGAACCTTATTTCTGGTTTGTTTGAAAAGCGTTACACATGCACAGATTTTTAAAAGATAAAATTGAACTGGTTTGACTTTGTGGTTGAGGAAGTTCATGTACGATTTTATCTCTTTAAAATATGTAAACATTAGTTTTAGTTTCTTTGTTTTTAAAAATAAGCTATTTTAGTCCTTTAAACACTAGTTAATGACTTTTTCTTGTTTTTAAAAGTGTTATATAAACAATTTAGAGGATTAAAAGCAGTGTATTTCAAATTTTGAGACAAAATAAATATTATGGAACTGAAATTGATATATATATATATATATATATATATATATATATATATATATATATATATATATATATATATATATATATATATATATATATATATATATGTGTGTGTGTGTGTGAGAGGAAACAAACACTTTTATTCATTAAAAATATAACATCTTAAACTTGTTCACAACGTAATCCTACACCCTCATTAGGCATTCTTATACTCATTGGAAAATAGGTTTTAGATTTATTGTTGAAAGCTTTTCGAAATTAATTTTTTTAAATATTTCGAATTATTTTTAAAAAATCAGAATTAAATTTCTGAAAATATTCAGCTGAAAATATTTCTAGAAATTTTCTGAAAATATTCTGAAATATTTCTAGAAAGTTTCTGAATAAAATTAATATGAGATATTTAAGTCCATTAAAAAAATTCAAAAAAATTAATAAAAAATTTAGTTTTTAAAATTTAGTTATCTAAAAATTTTGAGAGATTAAAAACTTTATATTTTAAATTTTATAATCCAAAACTTATAAAAAATTATAATTTTTTATATTTTTAATTCAAAATATTTTAAAATATATTTCAATATCATTAGTTTCTACTAAGAGTCTTTTCAAATAAATATAGGGCTGCGTGGAGCAAAAATGTGCCCGAATCAACAAATAAAAAGGCCCAATAAACCTGCAGATCTGGACTTAGTTAAGGCCCAATACGATGTAAGCAACCCAGTGGGTCACCATTTTCTGGCCGACCTAGAGATTTTTTACCCAAGCACGATAATTTCATTAGATGTTGACGATAGGAGGTTCATCAATTGGATTAGATCGATTTAAAATAAAATAATTTATCTGATCTAATTATTTTTTTAATTCATCATTTACTTGATTTTGTTCGTTCGTAATTGTAATCTGGCAGTTTAGATGGAATTGGGAAAATACTAAAAAAAATGATAAAGTATAATAAATAAATATAATACAACATACTTCATTTTCATATCATTATATAACTCATAATAATGTAAGTTTTTAAATATGTAAAATTGAAAAAATTAAAAAACTTTATAATTATATGTATGCATCTTAATTCCAATAGTTAGTTAAAAAATTGTTTAATTGAAAATATTTTTCATAAACAAGTGTGAGTTCAATGGTAATTTTACAAATGTACCATAAATAAACTACAAACCTAAATAGTTATATATCTATGAATAAAACTGCGTAATACGTATAAGTTCATTTTTTAAATCAAATCCAAAAACTAATCTCCAGAGTTTTTTCAGTTTCCAAATTTGTGTTTTGTTACGGATTTAGATTATATTTTTGTTTATTAATTTGGATCAATTTATGACATTTATAATTAACATGTGTTATTTACTCATAAATATCTTGTTATATACTTCTCTGTTATAATTTTAATATAATCATTAATTTTAAATATTATCAATTAATAGAAATACACGCTCATGTTGTGTGTCTGTATTATTTATTATTATTATTATTATTATTATTATTATTATTATTATTATTATTATTATTTGTAGTTATAATTTAAAATGATATATTTAAGATTATAAACAAAATGGAATAAATAAATGTTTAAAAAAAGAAAAATAATATAAAAATATAATTGAGGATATTTAAGAGAAGAGAAAAATGATATTTTTTTTATTAATTAATCATAATAAAAAATCTTATAATTATATGAGAAACCAAAATAATTATAAATAATTTTTTATATATTATTATGTGTTAAAAAAAATAAAATTGGGTCATGTATATATATGATACATATTTAAATGTGTTAGGGTCATTATTTATTAAGTCAAATAATAAAGTGATCTGACTAAATTAAAAAGGTTTGACTAAAGAAATATGTCATGAAAATAAAATTGTGTAGAGATCATAGAGTAATTTTTAATTTGATGAGGGGCCAAATTAAAAATAATAAAATTTAAGTAATTAACCTAATTTTGGTTATTTAAAGGATCATGGTCCCTTCTGGGAGCACACAGACAAAACGTAGTTACAGTCCCGTTCTTTTCTTTCTATCCCCATCAAGAAAGAAAATCAAGAGGGAAATACAGGTGCTCTTCAGGTGGAATACCATAAGATCAAATCAAAAGTGCTCTACAAAGGATATCGTCATTATGGTCAATTCAGGTACGCTTTCGCATTTAGTTTATAACATGTTTACAGTATGGGATTATAGATATATGTTTGATCATTAGAATGAATATCATATTCAATTACAGTTTAACCTAACAATTGGTATAAGAGTAACCCATACTTAATTCATGTTTGTATTTGGAAATTACATTTAAAAAAATTCAGATTCTGGCTAATTAAGAACCCTAATTGGAGAATAATCTCTAATTTTTGTAAACCCTAAATTTAAATTTGGGAGTAAATTCCCAAATTTTAAACCTAGTTTCGAATTTGGGGTAAATTCCCAAATCAGACGAGATAGGCGTCCTCACTCGCAAGGTACACACATTATCGTAGTTCTTAAGCAGATCCTCTACCATGGCTTTAGTCTTAGAGTAAAAGGAACCGGTGAAATTGGGAGTGTCCAGTTCTTTGAAGCCGATTCAAGATCCGAGAGGATGATTGGAATCGTACTCGAAGATGCAACCAGTGGCGTAGTTGAGGAAAATGGAGGCAGCTCTTGGAAACTCAAAAGATTATTCGCTGAAGCAATATCTAAAATTCGTAGATAAGTTGCAGATGAAAGCGAAGGAACTAAGTTCAGAAGTGGACTCATTTACCCCATCTGATGTAGAAAGGGTCTTGTGGAGGATGCGCTTGTTCACCTTCAGGTTGCACTTCAGGGCCGGCATCACGGGCACGATATCAGTGAGGACCAAGTCCGTTAGGCCCAATAGGAATAGGCCCATGCCCGCCACGCCGCAGCCCGTGCCCAGTTCCACAGCCCGTTTGCCTCCGAAGTCCAAGACGCGGGGGGGTTGTTGTCCGTTGGTGGGGCCCATCGCTCCGCGAATTTGACGAGGACGAGGGAGCAGGGCCACACGGAGGTTCCCACGTTATATCTATTTGCGTTGGTTACTTAAGTGAACTTCAGGATAAAGCAAGCATAAAACATATCTGTTTTGGAAGTGGGCCCACCGGCGCAATGATGGTCATAATTAAAAATAATAAATAAAGAGCATATGTTTAAACAAAATTACAGTGACTCAATTAGACTCTTATAAATTTTCCATCTTTAAAATTATAAATCTTTGGTTCTATTATATAAATAAAATATTAATTTGTTTGGTAGTTTAATATTTTTGTGAACAAATTGAGTCAAGAAGTTACCAAAGTAACCTCTCTTGAATTGGGTAGTTCATAAAAAATATTAAATGTTTGTGTTTGTGTATATTCATGCGAGTATTAGTCGGCCCAAAGGAAGATTAATATTTGACCGAATTACATACACACCTGTAATGATAAACATGTGATAATTATAAGGATTTGCTTTGTCGATGATAAATCAATCCAAAAGCTGGTTTGTTGTTGAACGTGCTTTATTGTCAATGTTTGATTATTACAACAAGATACCTCTAGCAGTTAATATTACTTGTCCAAAGACTTGATATTGATGGTGCATTGGGTGTCTTGAGATGGGTTAAACCATTATTTGAATATATATTTTATTTATAATTATTTATTTTTACAATGTGAGCATAATAAATTTATTTCTCTTGTTTTTAATTTAGCAACAATTGTTTCACGTATCCGCCAATTTAAATTATGTTTCGATCCTCAAAAGTATGTTTCCTATTTTGGTCTATTCTGAAGTCAATTTAGCGTCAGTACCTAGTAACACTTGGTGGTTAGACTCAGGTGCAACTACTAACATCAGTGTTTCTATGAAGGGTTGCCTAAGCTACCGGAAGCCAATTGATTCTGAAAGATGGATATATGTTGGAGATGGCAAATCGGTAGAGGTGGAAGCTATAGGGCATTTTAAATTGTTATTAAGTACTGGTTTTTATTTGGATTTGAAAGACACTTTTGTTGTGCCGTCATTTAGACGGAATTTGGTTTCAGTTTCTTATCTGGACAAATTAGGTTATTTGTGTTCATTTGGAAACAATAAGTTCAGTTTGTCTTTTAATTCAGATATTATTGGAACTGGTTCACTTTTGCCTTATGATAATCTGTATTTACTTGATAATGTGACCACCTATAATGAAACTCTTAATACAGAATCACGGGGTACTAAACGTAAAATTGATGATACTCACTCAGGAGCATTATGGCACAGGCGCTTAGGTCACATCTCTAAAAATAGAGTTGAACGACTTGTGTTAAATGGAATCTTAGAGCCCATTGACTTCACAAACTTTGGTGTTTGTGTTGAATGCATTAAGGGCAAACAGACCAAAGCGAAGAGATTAGGTGCATATAGAGCTACAGACGTCTTAGAGTTGATACATACGGACATTTGTGGATCATTTCCTACACCTTCATGGAATGGTCAACAATACTTTATATCATTCATAGACAATTACTCACGATATGCATACTTATTCCTTATACATGAAAAGTCACAATCTCTAGACGTGTTCAAAACATTTAAAGCTGAAGTTGAAAATCAACTCAATAAAAGAATTAAGTCTGTCAGATATGATCGTGGTGGTGAGTATTATGGCAGATTTGACAGGTCAGGTGAACAACGTCCAGGACCTTTTGTCAGGTACCTAGAGGAGTGTGGAATTGTCCCACAGTATACCATGCCGGGATCACCTAGCATGAATGGTGTAGCTGAAAGACGAAATCGAACTCTTAAAGATATGGTCAGGAGTATGATTTGTCATTCCACCTTACCAGAGTCACTCTGGAGAGAGGCACTAAAGACGGTAACTTATATTCTGAACAGAGTATCAACTAAAGCAGCAACCAAAACACCTTATGAGCTTTGGACTGGGCGACAACCTAGTCTGAAGTATTTTCATGTGTGGGGATGTCTAGCTGAGGCAAGGCCTTATAAGCCAAATGAAAAGAAATTGGACTCCCGAACAGTAAGTAGTTATTTTATTGGTTATGCTGAAAGATCCAGGGGATATAAATTTTATGATTCCACATTAAAGACAATTTTTGAGACGGGAACTGCTACGTTCTTTGAGGATATTGAGTTTGGGGGGAAGAATAAAATCAGGAACTTTGTCTTGGAGGAAGAATCGGTAACAATTTCAGAACCGATTCAAACAGTTACTTTTGATAAAATAAGTTTGGAACCTCCACAAGACATTGTTAATGAACCCCTTACTCAAGATGATTTGGTTGTTCATGAAGAACAAACTCAAGATCCTCAAGAACCTGTGCATCATGAGCCAATAACTTTGCGGAGATCCACTAGAGAAAGAAGAAGTGCTATTTCGGATGATTACATGGTATTTCTTCAGGAACATGAGGAAAACAATGGTATGATGGAAGATGACCCAATTAACTTCCGTCAAGCCATGCAAGGTTCTAACTCTGAAAAGTGGATTGAAGCAATGAAGGAGGAGTATAAGTCTATGCAAGACAATAAGGTTTGGGAACTTGTCCCATTACCAGAAGGTATGAGACCCATTGGTTGCAAGTGGATATTTAAGACCAAACGGGATTCTAAAGGTAATGTGGAAAGGTATAAGGCTCGTCTGGTAGCTAAGGGCTATACCCAAAAGGAAGGGATTGATTTTAAAGAGACTTTCTCTTCAGTTTCATCGAAAGACTCTTTTAGGACAATCATGACTCTTGTAGCACATTATGATTTGGAGCTTCATCAAATGGATGTCAAGACGACGTTTCTTAATGGCAACATTGATAAGACGATTTATATGGTACAACCAGAAAATTTTGTGCAGGGAGATTCAAAGAGTATGGTTTGCAAACTGACAAAATCCATTTATGGACTAAAACAAGCATCTCGTCAATGGTATTATAAATTTCATCAAGTAATTCTCTCATTTGGCTTCGAGATGAATATTGTTGATGATTGTGTATATCACAAGTTTAAGGAGAGTAAGTATATTTTCCTGATCTTGTATGTTGATGACATTCTACTTGCCACTAATGATATATGCATATTGCACGAAACCAAGAAATTTTTATCAAAGAAATTTGAAATGAAAGATCTTGGCTGCGTCTTTTGTATTAGGAATTCAGATACACCGAGATCGATGTCGGGGTATTTTAGGATTATCACAAAGGAGCTATATCGAAAAAATTCTTAAAAGGTTTGGCATGTATGAATGTAAATCCGGGGATACTCCAGTTGCTAAGGGAGACAAGTTTAGTCTCAATCAGTACCCAAAGGGAAATTTGGAAATTGAGGAAATGCAAAAGATTCCCTATGCATCAACTGTAGGGAGTTTGATGTATGCCCAAGTATGTACGCGTCCAGACATAGCATACATAGTTGGGGTTCTAGACAGATATTTAAGCAATCCAGGAATGGACCATTGGAAAGCAGCAAAAAGGGTCATAAGATATTTAAAGAGAACAAAAGATTACATGCTCACATACAAGAGGTCAGACCAGTTGGAGATCGCTGGGTTTTCTAACTCGGACTTTGCAGGATGTCAAGATAGTTTGAAATCCACTTCAGGTTACATTTTCATGTTAGCAGGTGGTGCGGTTTCTTGGCGCAGTGTCAAGCAAACCCTTATAGCTTCATCCACTATGGCAGCAGAATTTGTAGCATGCTATGAGGCGTCGAATCATGGAATATGACTGAGAAATTTTGTCACAGGGCTGCAAATTGTGAAAGGCATTGAAAAACCACTTAAGTTATATTGTGACAACAAATCAGCTGTATTGTATTCCAACAACAACAAAAGTTCGACTAAGTCAAAACACATCGACATTAAGTTCCTAGTTGTTAAGGAAAGAGTACAGAGTGGACAGATTTCCATAGAACATTTAGGGACAAACTCCATGATAGCAGATCCTCTAACTAAAGGACTTCCGTCCAAGGTCTTTCATGAGCATGTTGCTCACATGGGTGTTTTACAGTTTGAGGAATTTGTGGTTTAGTGGGAGTTAGTCATTTTCATATATTTTATGTTCTATGTTTAATTTTATATATGTATACATTGTTTTTGGACATATTTGGTTATCTATAGATATGCGGTTTTCTTGTTCATTCATTACACTTTGTACATTAAGGTTATTGTATCGATCTCGATAAATTAAAGTTTGGACCAGTTGAAAATAGACGTGTACAGATCACCTTCACGTAATTTTTCATGCTACACATTTCATGATGAATCAATGTCATTTGGTTATGTCAGGATGAGTAATCTTGTTGGTTTTAGTTGCGATGATGCAATGAAAAGCTGGTTTGGTTCTATATCCTGATATGATTAATGGATAGGACTTTTGGAATATGCTAAAGGAATATAATGACAATTTTGAGCTCATAAAGTCTAACACATTTGTGAGGTTGTAAAGACATATATATTTATGACCAGTGGGAGATTGTTAAAAAAAAAATAATAATTTGGGTCATGTATATATATGATACATATTTAAATGTGTTAGGGTCATTATTTATTAAGTCAAATAATAAAGTGATCTGACTAAATTAAAAAGGTTTGGCTAAAGACATATGTCATGAAAATAAAATTGTGTAGAGACCATAAAGTAATTTCTAATTTGATGAGGGGTCAAATTGAAAATACTAAAACTTAAGTAATTAACCTAATTTTGGTTATTTAAAGGGTCATGGTCCCCTTCTGGGAGCACACTGACAGAACGTAGTTACAGTCCCGTTCTTTTCTTTCTATCCCCATCAAGAAAGAAAATCAAGAGGGAAATACAGGTGCTCTTCAGGTGGAAGACCATAAGATCAAATCAAAAGTGTTCTACAAAGGATATCGTCATTATGACCAATTCAGGTACGCTTTCGCATTTAGTTTATAACATGTTTACAATATGGGATTATAGATATATGTTTGATCATTATAATGAATATCACATTCAATTACAGTTTAACCTAACATTATGTTCTGTATTAAATATAATTACAAATATTTGATAAAAATAATTAATATAATCTTAAATTTTATCAATATTTTTTTAAGTTAATTCATTTTGAATCAAATGAAGTATTGTTATCATGTATGAATGGGTTACTTTTTGGACCTGATAAAAAAATTTAACGAGCCTTTAAAAAAAAACTAATAGAAAATAATCTCAATAATAATATATAGAAAAATTACTTAAATAAAATTTTTATAAATTTTTTAATATACTAGTTTATTTTCCGAGACACAAAAGTATATCTAATATAATATAGTTTTTTTCTTAATTGTTTTTTTATTATTTCTCTTTTTATTTACTTCTTATTTTTTTCACTTTATTTTGTTATTCAATTAAAAATTGACAACATGAATATTTTATTATTATTAAAAAAATAAAATTAAATAATATATAAATATTATAATTTAATATATTATATTTAAAAAATATTATATTATAAATTTAAAATATTGTAAATATGATTATTATGTTATAATTATTAAAAAGTATTTATTTTTATGTATTTTTAATTATCTTTTTAAAACTATCTAATCTAACTAATTATCATAATTTAATATAATTATAATTAGATTAAATTATCAAATAAAAAATATATTTAATTTGTAAATGTTTGATATATTTTTAATTAGATGAGTAATTATTTATTATAATAAAATAATATTAAATTATTTATTTATATTATAGTAAATAAAATTATTTATTTATATTATAGTAAATAAAATTATTTATTATCAAAATAAATAAAATTATTTATTATTATTATAAATTTAAATCATTAGTTAATATTTTATTTAGTTTTAATATATTATTTTAAATATTTGTTTTAATATAATTTTATTAAATTTAATATCTTACTTTAATTAGGAAAAAAAACAATATACTTAAAATAAACAAAACAAGAAGTAAATAAAAAAGGAAAAATAAATAAACAAATTTATAAAAAAAAAGTAAAGAAAGATTATATATAAATAATAATAAATATATTTTAATAAATAAATGTATATAAGTTTTATTTAAGTAAAATTGCATGCATTTTATATTCAAGTAAAGTAATAAATATATGCAAGAAAGAGCATAAGCGGAAAAAAAAATCACAGTCACATTTTTAACAAATATACTTTTTATAGCTTTATTTAATAATAATTTAAAAATATTTTTATCATTATAAAATATATTATTTATGATTATTATAATAATAAAGTAAGTTGTAATATGTTATTTTTTTCTCAGAGAATGTTTATGTATAGGCTCCCTTATAAATATACGAGGAAAGTATTATATTATAAAAAATAATTGATTATAGAGGTATAATATAAATAATATTATAAATATATATTTATTTTATCTCTAACAAGGATAAAAGATTTTATCCATGTGGAGTCACTTTCTGGTCCTCACAACTTAAAATAACACCTTTTGTTCATCGTTCCATAAAATGGTCCACGTACACTTTTTTATATAAACTGTCCACATACATTGAACCTAAGAAAGTGTTTCCTTAATCCATAAAACTGTTAACAGTGTTTTCTTTCTAGAAGATGCTGGATCCCACACAACACAAAGTCAAATTGAAAGTTGAAAAACTAGTTGGGACTAAAAATTAAACATGTTCAAAATACGATTGTTTAAAATTTTTAAACCTATTATCTCCAATTTTCATTAGTTTAGAGTTCAGTTTTTTATATTTATTTTCTGATTTAAATTTCCGAAGCCCTCTTATCTTCATGCTAGATTTTTCAATCCTCATTCTTTATCACCCAATTTGTAAGAAAAATAAATCATTAATTTGTTAATTTAACTAATGTCATTTATCTTAAATATTCCTCAAAGTAACAAGTCTATATAAATGATTTTTCAAAATTAAGTTGAATTATTAAAAAAAAATATTTAATACATATTTTTAATATTTATAAATTATTTATATAATTTCTTTACTACTATCTAACATAGAAAATATTATGTTATGATGAAATTGGTGGTTTACTTACGGGGAAAAAAATGGTGAAATTGTTTTTTAAACTATTACAGTAATGAAACCAGAAGTCGCTTATATAAATCCAATAATTAACTTTATAACATGATTTGAAGTGAATAATTCCGTAAAAGGTTCGTTCAAACCATTTTTAAAGTTTATAAAACTATTTTATATTGTTTGATTATCTATTTTATATTCATGTATAATTAAATTTTTTTAAACTATATTATTTCACGAAAACCTTTTGGTTCGATTTTCTTTTCTTATACATCTCTGATTAAAAATCCCTGTGTTTTACATGGGAATGGGAAGGTTGAGAGCCAACAATTATGCAAATAAATGTATACAATTTTAAAATATAATAACTTTTTGTTTGACTTTGTTAAAATTATTTTCAAATTATCGCATAATATTTTTAACCTATACTTCAGATAACTCCTTATTCACTTACATCTACTTCCACCAAATTCGCACACTGTTCGATTTCTTTTGAATTAAAAATTAAAATTTAATGTCACGTACAAATTCCTACAAAATTTATGATAAGTGAAGAATTAGCGTATCCCATCGTTGTTTCTCATGCGAATAGTCAAATTCTTTCCTTTTCTTTTAGATACATTTATACTTGTAGTTTGGTTGAATGGTTGTTGGGTATACATATTAAAGAATTAAAATATAGAAACTAACAAAAATGTTTTTAGTGACTACAATTTGAAATGACATTTTTGTTAGTAAAGAAAAATGAAAGGTTATTTGTAATAATTATCATATATTGTTTATGGGAGTGATATCTTAAACAAAATCTCAATTTTGAATATAGTAGATAGAAGAAATGTTTTAAGTGGTTATGAAATATTGAAATGACAGGTCGCATCCACCAACTCCATGAACTAACTTTCTTTGTAATGTGGGGACTAAAACTCACCAACTCCTTTTGCCTTGAAACGAAGATTCCTTGGATTATCAATTACCCACTGAAGAATGAAGACAAGTTTAGTCATAATTTAGTTCAATGAAACATATACTTCAACAGTTTCTTTCCACGCGGAGGAAAATAAATATGAAGGAAAAGAAAAAGGAGTTTTTTTTTCATTTATTATTTAGACTGGTAAAAAATATACGAATACTTTTAGATATAAAAGTTTTAAAATATTTTTCATATTGAATTATTCATTTTAATATATGTTTTCTCATGAAAAGAGAAAAGGTTTAATTAAATTTTATCGTCTTCTTATTCTTAGCTCAATTAATTAATATTTTTCTCATTTTCTCTCTAATTTCTTTGTTTAATTTTCTCAAAGTAAGCAAATATCGCATAATTTTAAGTTCGTTTGACTTATTTTTAATACAAGATTTTCAGAAAGACTGGTATAATGTAAAACAAATATGACATATCCTATTGTTGACCCATCTACAGCATATTTGGAAAAGTTTTTCTCCCAATTTCAGTTTTTTTTTTAATGCAAAAAGGTAAATTATAAAATAAGTTAAATTTTAAAAATATTAATAAAATTTTGTAAAAAAAGTAGTGATATTTTGACAACCAAAAATTATACAACTCTTCAAACAACTCACTCTTAAAGTTGTTTATAAGAGTTGTACTTGTGAAAGTATCATTTTCCTTGTAAAAAGAGTAAAAAATAGTGTTAATATATTTTTAGTTCTTATAAAACCAGTAAATTTTAACTTCAACTTATGTATTTTTTTTATAAAGTTTAAAATCACTAATTTTACTTTTTATAAAATATGTCATTTTTAAGTTTAGTTTCAATCTGTTTTTTGATTTTCCAAAATTTTAATCGTTAGTTCAAATAAATTTAGTTCATAATATCATTTTAAATAAAAATAATATTTACTTTAATTTTATTTAAATATGTCATCGACAATATATACCAGTAGTAATTATTATTTTAAATAATTACTTGATATTTCAGTTTTGTATAAATCTTCGTAATTAGTGTCATTTATAAACATAAAAATAATAAATTTTATTTAAAAAAAATGAAATAAAAACTATGTAGACTAACATTAAAATTTACTTATCTTACTTTACAGAGATTACAAATATATTTAAGGTGAAAATTTTCCGTGAAAATAATTATTTGAATAATTTAAAAAAATTATAACTTATCATTAATTCTAACAAAAGATCAATCATTAAAGACTATAATTTTATCCTAGAATTCGGCAGAAGTGATTTTGGGATTACGAGTTGTATTTGAAAGAAAATTTTTAACTAGACTCCATCAACATCCATATTTAACATTAAAATATTATATTATTTTATTAATATCTTGATTTTAAAATAAAAAGAATAAAGAAAAATGGGTGTTGTTTGGGTTTGTGTTAAAACACTGGGTATTCATCGATGATAGTCCTTCCAAAAAAAAGGGTAATAACGTAATTGGGGTCTGTTGTTCCTTGCTATTAAACAAGCAGCGGGGCAAGGCACGTTGAATGAGAAGAGAAGGTGTAGAGCGAGAGTTAGAAGTGTGTAAATGGCTGAGAAAAGCAAGATCTTGATCATCGGAGGCACCGGATACATTGGTAAACATATTGTGGAAGCAAGCGGAAAGTCTGGGCATCCCACTTTTGCTCTGGTCAGGGAATCAACCATCTCTGACCCCGCCAAGGCCAAACTCATCGACCATTTTAAGTCTCTGGGCGTTAATCTGGTCCCTGTAAGATATTTCTTTCACTTCACATGTACGTTAGGCACGTGTACAGTCTATTATTTGTTTAATTAATTACGGTTTGAAATGGCACTGGCAGGGGGATCTGTACGATCATGAAACCTTGGTGAAAGCCATAAAGCAGGTAGATGTGGTCATATCCACGGTGGGTCACTTGCAACTTGCCGATCAGGTCAAGATCATCGCCGCTATCAAGGAGGCTGGCAACGTTAAGGTTCTCTCTCCCCTTCCATCACTTTTACCTTGTTGGTCTCCAGATCCCTTTTCTTTATATGCTTCTTTTCTTTCTTTCCTTTTAATGATTCCTTCTATAAGAACATATATTGGGGAATAATCCCTAATTATATAAAGTTGTTAGTTTTCAAGGGTAATTATTTTACAAGAGTGTTACATTAAAGTGGAATAAGCAAGCGTTGTTGAATTGGCAGAGGTTTTTCCCTTCTGAATTCGGGAACGATGTGGATCGTGTGCATGCCGTGGAGCCAGCAAAATCTGCATTCGCAATCAAAGTCCAAATTCGGCGAGCCATTGAAGCCGAAGGAATCCCATATACGTACGTTTCCAGCAACTACTTCGCTGGCTATTTTCTGCCCACGTTAGCTCAACCAGGAGTCTTCGCTCCTCCTCCACCCAAAGACAAAGTCATCATCTTTGGCGATGGAAATCCTAAAGGTAACGTTACGGAAATTCTATTATCACCAACAACATCCAATATTATTATTTTTTTAATTAACTGGCCCTAATTGATGTGTATATTTTTCTTGAATTCTTGCAGCAATTTTCAACAAGGAAGAGGACATTGGAACCTATACCATCAGAGCCGTGGATGACCCTAGGACATTGAACAAGATTCTCTACCTCAGACCCCCTCAGAACATTTACTCGTTCAACGAGCTTGTCGCCTTGTGGGAGAAGAAGATTGGCAAGACCCTCGAAAAAATTTATGTACCAGAGGAGAAGCTTCTCAAGGACATCGAAGGTGTGTTCAATATATATGTCACAAAATTTGATACAATTTAATAAGCTGAGTGTATATATCATATTGATATTGACATTTCTTTCTGTTACAGAGGCGCCTATACCAGTTAATGTGATATTATCAATCAACCACTCTGTGTTTGTGAAGGGTGACCACACTAACTTTGAGATTGAGCCTACTTTTGGGGTTGAGGCTTCTGAGTTGTACCCTGATGTCAAGTACACCACCGTGGAAGAATACCTTGGTCAGTTCGCTTGAGAATCAAAACAACAAAGATGCTGCATCATGTCATGCTCTTCTCATGGGATGATAATTAAATAACACTATCTGAGTTATTGATTTGGAGTTTGACCTCTGGCCTCTGCCACTTGTTGCTTCTATCTTGCTTTCTAAAACAGTTATTTATGTTGTATCACGTCTTACCCCCAGATCTAAAACGAGGGAGGAGAGTGGAAGATTGTGTTTTATGTCAAATGGTTGATCAGTCATGTCATCATGTATTTCGTACCTTTGATTACTACTTGAGTAGCTCAAAAATAATAAATACTTACCAGATGCCTGCGCTAACGACTGAGTTTCTGCCTCTGCTTTTGCTCTTTCTGTGTTTTACCTTCTTGTCCCTTCGAAGAAAGAAGGGATTCATCCACTGCTTTTGTTTTGTTGGAGTATCAGTAACAGAGTAATGCAAAACTAATACAGATAAGTGAACTTTCACATGTAAGATTATAAAAAAATTATAATTAAGGGAAAAAATTTTCAGTTTCTCTCTGAATATTGGGAAGAAAAATAATAATTGCACTCTCGTATCTCTCCTGCAAAATAGAAGAAATAGAATTAATCAAATGCCTTGTTTTTTTTGTCTCCATGCCTATTCACCAAACTTCCACGTAGGATCATTCGAAAAAGAGGTGGGGTAGATTATTATTATAAATAATGGGTGATAATTTGGGTGGATATCTAACAAATTTCAGGTCCATTAGTTTGAAGAAGGGGAATGATACATTACTATTATAAATATAGGGTAATATTTTTAATATGCTCATCACAACAATATTAGTCATGGGGGCTTAGAAAGAATATCCTCTAGTTTGAATAAAAGGAGTGATAGACTACTATTATGTATTGGAGACTTGAGTAGTTGTGTATCAAAAGAGGGTTTGTAATTTTTTTGTACAAAAATTGTACAACAATACTAGTCTTTAAGTGTATTGTGGACTTGAGTAATTGTGTGTCAAAAGAGTTTTGCAATTTTTTCGGTGCAAAAATTGTACAACAATACTAGTCTTTGAGTGTAGTGTATTAGGAACTTGGGTAGTTGTGTGTTAAGAGAGTGGTTGTGTGTCAAGAAAGAATTTACAATTTTTCAGTGTAGTTGTGTGTCAAGAGAGAGTTTACAATTTTTCAATGCAAAAATTGTATGAGAGGGAGAGTTTGTAATTTTGTCCTTGTAAAAATTGCAAGTTGAGAAATAAAAAGTTGTTGAGTGTATTAGTGAATGTAGGCAAGAAGTGTTGAATCAATTTCTGAGTTTATTTATCTATCTTTGTTTCTTTCGTTTGTGCTTCCACACATGAAGATTTCTTTTCTCATATAGTACCCAACATTTTTTTATGGTCACTTTTTGACTTTTTATTTTTCACAAAAATAATTTTATTATTCTACATATCAAACTCTCTTAAAAGCTATTTTTTGTGAGCTATCAAATATCTATGTACTTTGTTGATTTTACGTTGTTTTCCTTTTCTAACAGATTTCATGAGAATATCATAAACCCTAAATATCATAACATATAAAAAGTGAAAGTTGTTAATTCCAATATAAATTACATCGATACAAGAAAAATAAAGAACTAAGAAAAGAATAACCCAAAATAAGAGTAATGTTAATCTGTATAATAATATCTTATCAGTTAACTATTCTATGAACGAATATGCATATATATAGCAATATATAAGAAAAGTTAAAAAAAAAAAAAAGAATTAACTAACTTCTTGACTTAACTATTTACTAGCACCCATCCTCAAGTAAAAAATAATATATCAACAACATCAATTTGCTCTTTAAGACTTTTAAACCTTTCAAACTTCAAAATTTTTGTCAAAATGTCAGTAAGTTATATCTTAGACTTGTAATGCTCAACCTCCAATTTTCCATTTGAAACTTGCTCACTAATAAAGTGAAATATGGTTTCAATGTGCTTGTTTCTACCACGAGAGGCTAGATGCTAGACAAGATTTATTGTAGATTTGTTATCAATCAACAACTTCAATTTTCATGCTTGTTTAATCTTCAATTTCTTCATCAGTGAACTCATCTAAATTGCTTGACAAGCTACTTCAGAGGCAGCTATATACTTAGCCTCATAGAGAGAGTCATCACTGTTTCCTTTGTAGAGCTCCAAGAAATTGGTGTCTCTCCAAGGAAGGACATGTACTCAATTGTACTCTTTCTATTACTCTTGTCACCATGTCAATCAACATCAAAATACCTCATCAACACATCATCCTCTTTTGATAGCAAAATTCTCATATTTTCAGTCCATGTATCTAAGTATGCGCTTCACAACAAGAAGGTACGATACTTTTGGTTCTTGCATATATCTACTCACCAACCCAACACTGCAATTCAAATCTACTTTTTGTTCGGTATTGTGTATGATCAACCTTCTCTTCATCAGATTTTTTTCAAACTTCAATCCTACTTCTGTAGGTGTGTTGACAATATTACTTTATTGCATTCCAAATTTTTTTAGCCTATCATGAGCATCAACATAAAAACATATGATAATTTTTTCAACTCTACTGCTTTCTTCCATACGTTTACATAAACTCCATTTTCATACATACACTTAACAAAACCAATTTTGTCAAGAAAACCATCAATCTGCTTGTTCTTTGCTCTCAATGCTTGCTTAAGCTCATATAAAGCCTTTTTCAGCATATATATTTTATGCTCTTCACTCTTATGCCCAAACCTCCTAGGCTGCTACACATAAATCTCTTCTTCAAGAGAGTTATTCAGAAAAACTGATTTAACATCTAACTGGTGTAAGGACCAATTAGCATTTGTGGAAAGAACAACCAACAATCTGATAGTTTTGATCCTAGCAACAAGTGCATAGACTTCACCGAAGTCTATTCCAGCTCTTTGCAAGAAACATTTGGCTACAAGACTTGCTTTATATCTTATAACCTCATCCTTTGGCTTCTTGTCTGGTGTCAACTCAACAAGCTCCCAGGTCTGATTCCTTTCAACTGAATCAATCTCCTGTATAACTTTCCAGCAATGAACCTCTTTGGTTGCTTCTTTGAACATTGTCTCATACTTTGCAATGAGTGCAAAATGTACTAGATTTTTCTCTACTGACACAGTTAAGTCATTAAACACTTCATAAATCACGAAGATGAGATGAGAGTTGTGTAACTCTAGATGATCATCTCGCATCATGATCAACATGTCTGTTCTGTTCCACTAGATTTTCATCTTCAAATAACACTTTGAAAACATTTGAATTCTCTTTGGTAGCTGTTCATGTTCAGTTGGTTGACTCATTAACAAAGACATCCCTACTAATTGACACCTGTTTTGAGATGGAGCCAAATAGTTTATATCCACCTGTCACATGATAACCAACTAGAATTTGCAGTATGCTTTTATCATTAAGTTTATTCTCAGTTGCTCAGGCACATGCTTATAACACATTGATCTGAATATACTAACGTGTGTTACGTCAGGCTTGACACCTGTCCAAGCCTCTTCAAGTGTCATCATCTTCACCAGGTGTTTCAACCTACATTGGCTCACAAACATCAGAGTTCACCATACCAAGCTTCTTAGTTGCTTTGCTAGCCACAAATTTCTTGAACTTTGGTCTGACTTGCTTGTATTGAATGCATTTTCTATAAACTTTCTCTGAAATCACAACTGAGGGGAGTCTAGTAACTAGATTCTTATGAGTAAGCTTGTGCAAATGCTACAAATTCAGATGGTCAAACGTATTATGTCATAACCACTCACTCCTATTATATGTACTGACAAAACATTTATGCCTTTGTGTATTCATACTAACATGAAAAGTTCTGTTTTCAAAAAGATTTGTATGAACCATCAATTTATGGTTTTTGTCATATACACTCAAACCATTCTCCTTCATTTTTATGACAAATCCTTTATGCAAAAACTGTTTGAGACTCATCAAGTATGTCTTCAAACTTAGTACATACAACACATTATCAATGATGATTTCTCTATCATTATGATCCTTTAACACTACAACTCCAACTCTTTCTACATTGAGATTACTATTGTTAGTCAGCAAATATGATTTTGCCTTTGAGACACATCATTAATCTTGGTGAGTCAACCTCTCCTCCCAATCATATGCGTAGAGCACCCCGAATCAAGGTACCAAAAAGAGGTTTCTTTTGAATTTATATCACTAATTTTGGCCATCAGAATCTGAAGAAACTTCATCTTGAGCTAAATTAGCTTGGTTCTATAGTTTGTTCTTGACACCTTCACCATTCACGTGCAAAGTGGTCATACTTCTGACAGCTGTAGCACTTCACCTTCTTTTTGTCAAACTTTCATTATTTATCATCATTATAGTTGTTATGCTGCTTCTTGTGATCTTTCTTAAAAGTATCACTTGTTTTCTCATCTTTTTTTTGTATTGAACATTTCCTTTCCTTTTGAGGTGCTCTCTTTTCCCCTTCGGGGTGTTTTAACTTGAAGAGACTGCTCTTATTTATACCTCTTCTCATTAATCATAAACTCATGCACCTCAAGAGAATGCTACAAAGTTTCTACATTCATATCCTCCAAGTCTTTTGTTTCTTCAATTGTCACTACAACATTGATCAAATCTTTGCGACAATATTCTCAGAATCTTATCAATAACCTGTTGATCGATGATTGTGTCTCTGTAGACCCTCATTGCATTCACATGTTTTTGAACTTTATTAAAGTAATCAGCAATGGTTTCATTTTCATCCATGCTGAGAAACTCAAACTACCTCCTTAAGGTCTGCATCTTGACCTTTTTGTTCTTGTCTCCATCTCCATAAGTCTTCAGCAAAATCTTCCAACACTCTTTCGCTGTTGCAGTTTTGAAAATTTAGTTGAAGATCTTCGGTTTAACACCTTGGCAAATGAAAAATTTGGCCTTGTTGTCCAACTTTTGAAGACTCTTGAAGTTCTTCTTGGCTTCTTCTGTGGTCTTGTTTTCAGGGTCTTCAAGCTCACTCATCACCTCATCCACTACATCTTGAAATCCAAAGACAACTAACATCTTTATCTTCTAATCATCAAAGTCTTTTCCATCAAATACTGGTAGTACACTTTGAATGATACTCTCATTCTCAGCCATCTTGAATCTGTAAATTCAAGAATTTCACCAATCTTGATACCTTCAACTTGTTAGAAAAGTAGTTTTAAATCAAGAGGGGGGGTGAATTGATTTTTGAAAGTTTTTCGCAATACACAGATTATCTAATTCGAAAATTAAGATTACTTATCAATTCACAAATCACAAAGCAATCAAACAGTTTAAGTGCAGCAGCAGAAATTAAAGAGAGAAAGGTTAGGAAAGATTTCACCGGTAATTTTATACTTGGTTCACCCAATACCAGGGCTACGTCCGGACTCGAGCCAAATTCCAGTGGGTTCCACTAGAATAGATGTTTTACAGACTCACCCTCTTACACCTATTCTAACTCTCCACCAAGAACCAAATTCCGAGTTCTTGGAAACCTCTGCAACCAAATTCCAGCCACGAGAGAACCCAGTGCCCAAATTCCAGGCACCACACACAAGAACCAAATTCCAGCTCTTGCTTTAACCTTTCCACCAAGAACCAAATTCCAGTTCTTGGCAACTTTCTACAACAACTGCAGAAAACTTGTACCCAAATTCCAGGTACAAAACAAGTACAAATGAATGAATAGAAATTTAAAAGAAGAAACAAAGAAAGCTCAAACCGGATTACACCAATCCACAGTCAGTTTCTTCTTCAAAGAAATGCAAAGTGCCTCAAGAAAGATTTCAAAAGAAGTTCACAAAAACAGTTGTGTATCTTTCTTGAAAAATGCTAATAGTTGTTTGTATTGATTGCTTGAATTGTGTAAAAACTGATATTCAATCACTGTTTAAAAGTTTCAAGCAATTCTGTTTATAAAAGAGTATTTTCAAATCTGCTGCATTAATTAATCTGTTGAAAGTTTGTTTTAATCTGTTGAAATAGCCGTTATAATCTGTTAAAAGTCCTTTCAACCCATTAATGCATTCTTGATCTTTAACAGAAAATGTTTTAGTTGATACAACCATGTTTATATCAGTTAAAACGTTTTACAAACATTTTCTAAGTATAAAACAATCGATTGAATCACGTATTAATCGATTGATTTGTTTAAAAACCTTCTTATAAAACTTTCCAAGTTATTTTAACTGATATAAAGTCGTTTCAATCGATTGAAAATCTGCACATATATTTTCAAGTCATTTTAATCGATTGAAAGTTCGTTTTAATCGATTGAAAAGATTTTCTAAGTTATTTTAATCGATTGAAATGCGTTTTAATCGATTGAAATATGTCTGATCGGTCATAATTCAATTCTGATCGATCATAACCAACTCGATCGGTCATAATCTCATTCTGATCGATCATACTGACATCCAAAGTGATTTTAATCGATTGAAACGTGTTTTAATCGATTAAAATAATTCTAATCGCTCATATTTAAGATCTGATCGATTATATTGCATTCTGACCTATTACATTCGAATTCTAATCGGTCATAAAGAGTTTTAATCGATTAAAAGAAGTTTGTATCGATTAAAATATTGTAAAAACACTTTTTAAAACATTCTAAGTGTTTTAAATTGATTCTTTCAAACCTTTATCAGTTAATAACTTGTTTAAGAAAATTCTTTGCCAAAATGCTTTTGTTTTTTTATTTGTTTAAAACTATTTTTGAGGCATTTTGCAAATTGAGTGAAGAAGCTTTATGCAGTGGAAAAGGTAAAGTGGTTTTACCTAAGCTTTCGTTAAGACACACTAAGTCTTCAGCTCCTTTGTTCCGAGTGACTTGTTTGATCGCTGCAGAGTTGACCCTTGACTTTATCTTTGACTTCATCAAATCAATGAGATCTTTGCTAGGATCACTTTCAGTCTCCCCCTATTTGATGAAGACAAACACCATTTTGAAAAAAACAATCTCTGCAAAATAAGTCACTTGATAATGCAGTTAGGTGAGAAATATAAGAATGTAATAAAGTTTTGTTTCTCCTCCTTAAGGTCTGCATCTTGACCTTTTTGTTCTTGTCTCCATCTCCATAAGTCTTCAGCAAAATCTTCCAACACTCTTTCGCTGTTGCAGTTTTGAAAATTTAGTTGAAGATCTTCGGTTTAACACCTTGGCAAATGAAAAATTTGGCCTTGTTGTCCAACTTTTGAAGACTCTTGAAGTTCTTCTTGGCTTCTTCTGTGGTCTTGTTTTCAGGGTCTTCAAGCTCACTCATCACCTCATCCACTACATCTTGAAATCCAAAGACAACTAACATCTTTATCTTCTAATCATCAAAGTCTTTTCCATCAAATACTGGTAGTACACTTTGAATGATACTCTCATTCTCAGCCATCTTGAATCTGTAAATTCAAGAATTTCACCAATCTTGATACCTTCAACTCTTCTTTGATATTTTCAAGATTGTTTACTACTGAGGAGAATAACCACACACTTTACACATCAAAATTTACCCAAAAGCTAACAACAAATATAAGAAAGTCTTACTTTACTCACAAGATAAACCTTACTCTGATAATATATTAATTTCAATATAATAATATATTGATTTATCACACAAAAACAAGAAAATAATTTTTTTTTTAAATAATAGTAATATTAATTTGTATAATACCTTAACAACTAACTATTTTATGAATGAATATGCACATATACAATAATATATAGAATGTTTTTTAAAAGAAACAGAATTAACTAATTTTTCTACTTCACTAATAAAAGTCGCATTTGTTAAAGCAAAAATTTTAATTTATTTTTTAGAGCAAAACTGTATTTGTTTAACATGATTTCTTCTTCCTTTTTCCAATATCCTACTTGTAAGAACAGCAATAGTTTCATGTTTTGTAAATTAACTCGAATAATTATAAATCCTTCTAGAATATTTTCTTAGTAAATCTCTTCTATTTTGTATTATAAGAATTAAATTAGAAATATATGTAATAAGATATTAATATTACTCCACTAAAATAGTTAGTTGCCTTGCCTTAAAAATTAAAATATTTTGATTGTCTTGCTAAAGTCAACCAACTCGTATAATTAATCTTTTGGTTGCCTTGCGAAAGTGAATAAGTTAAATTTATTTATTTATTCTTAAAAACTAGTTATTGAAAATTCAGTCACGTATGTCTATCCTATGTTTCAAACTAAGCCTAGTCTTGTAATTCCATATGTGGTTGTAGGCTATTGCTGATATAGTAGTGATATTTTCACAATCGAAACTATACTAACTCTTCAAACAACTCACTTTTATTAATATAATAATCTATAAACTGATTTAATAAAAATAAAAATAAAATAAAACTATTATTATAATATTAAAACAGAGTTGTTTATAGGAGTTGTATAGATTTGGGTTGTCAAATATCATTTTCCTTGCTGATAAGGCTTTGTGCAATGCTGCGTCACAGTGACGTCAAAGTCCAATCTTCAACGGCGATGATGACATTGGAACCTATTACCGTTCAATAATATATAAGAGTAATTAACAGTTTGAAAAAAAAAGAAAAAATCATGTTACATGCTCAATGTTCCTTCGCTTTAGTTCTCTGAGGGAACATTAGAGGGGAGGAACATGTTGTTGACGAATAATTTTCAGGCAAATGAAGCCGAAGGAGATCATAGCAGTGAAATTGGGAAAATTGAGTAATGACCATACTGTGTCATTAAAGTACCAGACAAGCTTTGTTGTAGTAAGCATGAATTATGGTGACTTTGTTGTGTTAACATAACTGATACTTTTCTCTTTCATATTGTCAATAATCATAACATGGATGCTTAATCAGAAAGTGAAAGTGCCATCGATGGGTATGCAAGCTTAAGTATTAAGCTGAAGTTTAACAAACTTTTACAATTATGTATTGGAAACCGTATTTCTTTATTGGCCAGAGAAGGAAGATTTAATTCAGCAAGCAAAACGTGTAATGGTGTGCTCAATTGTGATCAAAGTACGAAACATTTGTGTTAGAAACTGGATAATCAATTTTTTATTTATGAAATTAACAGCATTAATCCGCGTAGGTACAGACTTTGTTGATTAAATTCTTCATTTTTATAAAATTAATACTAACGCTCATGATGATATGATAGACAATTCATCTCGTTTCTTAACTACATGCACAGAATTTCCATAACATCTAAAATTTGCAGTGGGATTACTTTGGTCTTTGGACCTGAATTTGCTCTTTGACTCTCTATCTCTTTTTATTTAACCTCAACAACGGAAAATGAATATATTCAACCCCAACCAATTTATAATCAATTCAGAATTATGGTATGAACATACGTAAATATTTACAATGTGATGAATCAATTCTGTTTCTCACCAACTTACGTTGTTGTTGGAACAATCTGAGATCCAAATCCTGTAAGCCAGACTGTGACCAAGTAATTGTATGTTTATCTGATATTTGTTAGTTTGACTTTAACGTGTATTCTGGGAGAAGAGAGGGTAAGCCCATCATCGGTTGTATTGTGTATAAGAGTATGATTATGATGTGAGTGTGACACAGTTGGAGTAACTCTGGTGCTAGTTGGTATTGGTTCTGGGGCTGGTTCTGGGGCCAGTTCAGCTTCAAACTTGGTTGGTGTCGGTGATGTTTTCCTGATATAATTCTGTGTGTGCCCAATCATTCTTCCTAGCTTCATTCCCTCAGTTGTATTTCCTGTAAATTTGATATAAACATTGAAGAGAGTGAGAGCAGCAAAATTACAGGCAAACTACTTAATTTGTACTATCACGTACGAGGAATTAGGAAAAATGGCAGTTACTTAAAGGGGCTTTACCATTTGAATCAAGGTCTGCCTTCGAATTCTCTGACAAGAGAATAAGCGTAGGAGTGATTATTGTAAGGAAAGCCCAGAAGACGAATATTGGAACTAGAGTTCTTTCAGTCATTTGTTGGGACAACTAGACCAATTTCATGCACCTCTAAGTATGGTTTACACCCCAAGAATATTTGTCTATCAGGAAGAAGAGGATAGGCGTTGAATACTATGGTTGTGCCTTCATGAAATTAGCTGGCCATGTTTAAACCAAATAGCCACCAAAACAATAGAATAAATGATTAATAGAAACTGAAAGTGATTGGATTTTAATTATTAGCATAAATTATGCGAGTTTGAACAACTAAACTTGTGATTTGTTTCGCGGTTGTTGGATGGTTGTTGTTATTATTACAGCAATTGATCTGTCTGGGTGTATAATATGTCAGAATCCCTGGTGGCTTGGTACAATTGGCACACAGATTCTAGTCATCTACCATTGTCGAGTTCTCACAATACTTTAATCTCCCACTCCTTCTCCTTCATCATTACTTTCCTAGTTCTAAATTATGATAGTATTTCTATAGAATTATACAATATTTTTATAATATTACTTTATTATTTATTCATTAAATCAACACTTTCTTTTAGTGTCCAATACAAAAGTAAAAATAAAATAAAAATCGTAAGTGTATGAGCCAGTTATTATTAAAAAGATTGTCATTAGAGTAAGCCGAATGGGATTTGTCATCCAGTTTCAGGTGACTATAAATAGGTGAAATGTAATTTGTATTCTTAATTCTTAATCTTTAAATACTGAAGATAAAATTCTAAGCATCACCATTAGTCTTTCTTTTCTTCAAAAATTTAAACCAAATTAGATAAGATTAAAACAATTTCTCTCTTTTTTTTTCTCTTCATCCTGACACCTGAAATACTGAGATTCATATTAACCTGGATTCTATAACCTTCAAAAGTCGTTCTACTCTACTGTGTAGTTCTATCCAAATTCAAAGAATTAATCACTAAATTTTCTTACAGAAGATTGAAAATAAATAATTACCAAAAAGAAAGTATTTGATACATTTTAATCAAATAAATTAAGGGAAAAACTGGGAAGAAACTTCCAAATTGCATTAAAGAAACATAAACACTACTTGTTGAGTAATATTCCTTATTTTCTCTGTTATAGGTGCCAATGTGGCTTCCCTGGACAAGACTGAATATTTTTTGAAATCATTATTTTCTAATTATCTCATGCACCTAGTGTAAATTGTATATCTACCAATTATCAAAATTTTGAAAACCCACAACCAAAAAGTAGGTCATCCTAGCCCAGCCCAGTTTAATCATGGGCGAGGCCCATTTTTGTTTGAGTGAGAAAACCCCAAAATGCCCTCTCCACGAAACAGGGATGTTATACTCTTTCATTTTGGTGCGGACTCAAGTGTATGAAACACTGAGCAGTTGCGGAAATGGGAACCCTTGGGAGAGCGATCTACAGCGTTGGTTTCTGGATTCGGGAGACTGGGCAGGCCATTGATCGTCTCGGTTCCCGCCTTCAGGGCGGTTACTTCTTCCAAGAGCAGCGTTTGTCTCTTTCCCCTTTTCATTTTCTTCTTTTCCATGCCCTAAATTTGTGCCATATTATAACCACATTACAATCTGTGATGACTGTTCATCATTCGTGAGTTATATTATTCTTTTCCACTTTAATTGTTCGCTACTTAGATTCGATGAGGCAGTAAGCAATCGAATTAATCGTCTTCCTTGATGTGTTCAGTGTCTAGGCATCGAACTCTGATGAACATATTTGACAAGGCTCCTGTTGTTGATAAGGATGTATTTGTTGCGCCAAGTGCCTCCGTCATTGGAGACGTCCAAGTTGGAAGAGGATCATCCATTTGGTATGGATGTGTCTTGAGAGGTAAGGTATTACCATTGGATCAATTAGGTGTGGCAACATTTCGATGCTTTTTTTTCTTCTCTGCTAATAAATGTATTCATGGAAATGCTTTATTTCTGTTATTTCTAAACAGATGTCAGGTTTTTCTGATCTTTTAATGTGAATTAAATGTGACATTTTTTGTTTTTTCTTCGCTGTTAATAAATGTGTTAATCTTGTGCGAAATTCGCTTTATGAATAGGCGATGTTAACAGCATCAGAGTTGGAAGTGGAACTAACATACAGGATAACTCTCTGGTGCATGTTGCAAAATCAAATTTAAGTGGGAAGGTGTTGCCTACAGTTATTGGGGATAATGTTACTGTAGGTGAGTAACATCTTTGTCACGATTAAGAATGGTTCTATGTTCGGTTCTTAATGGGAATTTATGTTATTTTTATATTTTTTACTGATCAGGTCATAGTGCTGTTATACATGGTTGTACGGTTGAGGACGAGGCTTTTGTTGGTATGGGTGCAATACTACTTGATGGTGTAGTTGTTGAGAAAAATGCCATGGTTGCTGCTGGAGCCCTTGTAAGACAGAATACAAGGATACCTTCAGGGGAGGTATGTCTATTTGTGTTTACTGTTGGCTACACCCATTAAATTAATGAGGATTAGTGTCTTTTTGTAGTCATGTTAGTCTTATTTTTTTGGGATTGATTCCATTATTAGTTAGCATACTGTACCACAGTCTAGGGAAGGAGGGTAAAGTATAATCAGGTGTTTATTTATCTGTGTTAGATTTTTATGAGGGATTGAATAGAACTAAACTTCTTAGCATTGTTATGTAAAAAATGTTACTCTGTCAACTGATTAGAAATCACCTTTGGTATGATTTTTGAAATTGTTATTGTTAAATTCAACATACTTACCTTACATGATGGTTTATTATTGGATGATAGTGTAAAAATCTTTTACGCTGTCACTTTATATACTAATTACTCTTATTATATTTTTTTGAAGTTTTTTGTTTTTCTTTTTAATTTAATCCATATGTTCAATGATATATTAGTGTCTATATGGTTATTGAAACATAAAGCTCTTGTTCTTTTCTTCAGTTTAAGACTAGATTTTGGGTAAATGATCAACTGAAAAAGAATTTAACGGCACCTTTAAAGTAAATTACATTTTAGAGCAATGGAAATGATAAGCGTTACTCCCTTAGAGCAATGATGACTGACGTTTATGTCTACTTATCTGCAAAGTCTCTATCTATTCATCTAGTCTAGACTTTAATTACCAACATGGAAAACGTGTCTAACACTCCCCTTATCTTGGATAGAACCTTCTCTCAAACAAGTGACAATAGTTTTCTATATGTTTAGTCCCCTAATGAAACATTGGATTAAAGTGAATATGAATACTGCTTAAGTTGTTTAATACAAATTCACAAGTAGTTGTAGCCTAGTCCTTAATTTTCCACAAGACAATATTTCCACTGGTATGCAATACCTTGTAGTAGATTATCTATTAGCTGGACACTCTACCCAATCTGCATCACAATTCCCAATAATGTGGATACTGTCTTTATCTTCGAATAGCAGTCCTTGTCCTAGAGTATATAATACCCAAGAAAAACACATCTGGTGGCTCTAGCAAGAACTTATATAATAATATTTAGGGATACTATTAACAAAAACAACTGGAGTAACATGAAGCATTGGCTCTTTAGGAAATAGAATAAGGAACTTTATCATCAAGAGTGCAGAAAGCACGCAGTTTACTATATTTCCATGAAGTAATAAAGTTCTAGCAATTTAAAAAAATGGCTATTTTTTTTGTTCTTCTGGCATTATATTTTGCTGAAGTTTATGAGTACAAGTAGATTGGTGGAATAGGTCAGATGAAACATATTCCTTTATATTGTCACTTCTACGAATTTTAATAAAAAAAGACAAATTTAAGTTTAATGAAGGAGAGAGTGGAAGTTGACCCATAAGTAATAACCTTTCATCCATTTGCAAGGGGTAACATGAGGAATTTTTTAGTTGACGTGATATATAATTCTAATTTAATATCCGATAAGGCTTAGATTTATAGCTTGCACCTGAAAAGCATAGGTTATTCTCAATTATGTAGACAAATGCCCTCAGGAGTGAAATTTTGGATTGGTTGGCCCAGTTGCAAGGCTGAAGCTATCTTAGATGGTGCTGACCTCTTTTTTTATTAAGTTTTTCGTGGGATGACAATCATTCTTTACATTTTTATCAGTTTTTGTCTGGGTTAGTAACTACCTTAATTTCTAAGGTTTGTTTGACTGTTTTTTCTCGCATGCATGTTTTTTGTGTTTTTTATTAGCTGTGAACATGTTTTTTGCAGATATGGGCAGGCAATCCTGCAAAGTTCTTGAGAAAACTCACTAATGAAGAGATAGCTTTCATCTCTCAGTCTGCCACCAATTACACAAACCTTGCACAAGTGCATGCAGCTGAAAATTCGAAATCCTTTGATGAAATTGAATTTGAGAAGGTGTTGAGAAAGAAGTTTGCACGTAAAGATGAGGAGTATGACTCTATGCTGGGTGTTGTTCGTGAGATTCCACCAGAACTTATTCTTCCCGATAATGTCTTACCTGATAAAGGAGAAAAATCTCTTAAAACAAAATGAGGTATTTTAAAATTAATGTCCTCAATTCCAATCTTGACATGACTTAAAGAGACTTTTCGTGTGATTTTGCAAATTCATGGAAGAGGGATTCTTTTTATTCCCAATAATACCAGACAATTTTCTGCGCTAGAATTATGTCCTTTTGGTTCTAGTAAGCAATGGTTTTATAATATTCCGACCTCTTCTGTAGTTAGTTTGGGAAAATGTCCCGTAGGATTATTGTATGCTGATCTTTATCATATTATGTATCCAATGAAAGTAATTCTACATTTTTTTCCTTTGATCATTATGTTTAAGACATTATTGTGGATTTTGAAATAAATGTGAGATTATGAAATTAATGGGAGTGCATGTAGTTAAACTATGAAACTTATTTATCCTTGTCCCATCAGAGTTTATCTTAAAATTACGAATTGTGACTTTAAGGCTAAGGTATTGTTTATCAAAACCAATGTTCAGCCAAAAACATGCTCATCGCCTGGTGATGAATCTACTCTCGTATCAGTGGGTTTTGCAAATAATAATTGAGATTTTTCTTTCTACATCTCTATTAAATTTTTGAAATGGTTTGTTTGGATGATAATTTTTATATTCTCGAAAGTCCATTTCCGAATTAATGGGAGATGTCTAAGAATTTTATAAAAGGAAGAAGAAACATTGGATTTGGAGGCAAAATTGCATCTATCATGTTTCTTTTTTACTGAATCATTTACTTTTCACATTATATTTATAATTTATTTATTAACTTGTAACTGAATTTCTATAAATTTTGATATTATAATCTTGAATGTTTTTAAAATCATCCAATTTTTTTTATATATCATGAACAAATATTTTTTTTTAAAACAAAAAAATATAATATAATATCTTTTAGAATTACTAATTATAGTATATTAAATGTATATAATATAATTTTTTTCATGTTTTTTACATTTGCACAATTTAAAATTAATATAAAATATTTTCTTTATCAATATATTTTATCACTATTTAATGTGATAAATATATAATTATAAAATACAATTAAATGTAAATATTATTTAAATAATGTGTTATAATTAAATACATATTATCATAAATATTTTAAAATTATGTGATTATGCATTTAAAAATAATCTAATTATTTAAATTCTTAGTTTATATGTTTTGTATTAAATAATTATCGGTTAAGAATAATGACTAAAACATTAATAAAATGATAAAGATTTTACAATAACAAAAATATCTGTAGAGACTAAAACTAAGATTGGATAATATTTTCAATATTTAAACTAACTATATTATATTAGCTTTAAATTACATTAGAATAGAAAAAAAAGTAATGATTATTTTTTAAATTAGATATAATTTTATTATATTCCCATTATGAATTTTAAAAATATAAAAAATTTACTATTTTATCTTGGCAGATAAAATTCATGTTTGTAATTAAATAAATATTTTATATTATTCAATACTATAATTACAAATTTTAATATATAAAAAATAATTTATTTGTTTTAAGTAAATTATAATTAATTATTAATAAAATTAAAAAATTATATTATCTTATTTATTCTAAATGATGAATTAATTATTGGATAAAATATGAAAATATTAACTTATGAATTAAAAAACCAATTTTGTTATTCCGAATTAGGGACGGGTCATAGCTGAGAAGAAAAAAATAGAGGAGAGAAGGGTTTACTTTTAATATCCAATAGGGACGCAAATCTGGTGGCGCATTCATGCATTAAGCAGTTGCAGTGGTGCTTGGACTGCACTTGCAGCGCATACACACACATAGATAGATCCATACAAACAAACTAGATTCACTCTCATACACACATTTACAATTAACAATTCATAACCAATAACCAACATTCAATATCAAATATCCAATATCCAATATCCAATGGGTGCCGAGCCCTTTTCCCAATCCCAATCCCAAACCCAAAACCATAACCATCACTTCCGCCACGCCCCCTTCGTTCTCGGTCTCCAGCCCTCCGCGCTCGTCGACAATGTCGCCACCGTCGATTGGTCTCTCCTCCGTCAAATTCCTGGCGAGCGCGGTGGCTCCGTTCCCGTTTGTTCTCTTTCTATTCCAATTCAATTATATTCATTAACGTGGTTAACTAACTGAATTAATTCCCAATCCATGTTTATTTGTAGGTTTGTATTCAAGAACTGGATAACATACTACGCGAAGTTAAATCCAACTCCCTCGATGCTCATTCTTCCATGCAAACTCTTGCTGGTGGCAGCGTTGCCAACACAATTCGCGGGCTCAGTAGCGGTTTTGGAATTTCAAGCGGAATTATTGGCGCCTACGGGGATGACGAACAAGGCCAGCTTTTTGTTAGCAACATGACCTTCAATGGCGTTGACCTCTCACGACTCCGCAAGAAGAAAGGATACACGGCACAGGTTTGCTCTTTCGTCACCTCATACGTACAAACTTACCTAGAGTAGATATTATTAGGGAAAAGTATATTTATGTTCCTCTAATTTTTTTTTTCAAATCTGGTTTTGTCACTTGAACATTAATGAATTCAACTCTCTGACTTTTGAAAATACTGGCAAAACATATTTGACTCGAATTATCATGTAGGGCAAATTATACTAACACTTCTCCAAACTTAAGAAAGAATTGAAGTTTTTCTTCACGTGATCTGCTAAGACAAACTTTGATTACACAGATTACCAGGATAATGTTTTCATTTCGATGAAAAAGTTACACAAATGTTCAAACAATACTTCAAAGATACAATAGCTAAGTTATGTCTCTGTAATTATGCATAATTCTCATTTTTTTTAAAATAATATGTTTCAAAAGAATTTATTTAAACAACTAACGAAACTAGTATAGTATTAGTACAGGAGTAAAAAGAAAGGGTATCAGAGGAATTTAAGGTAATCTCAAGAGTGATGGTGTAATTTATTCTATTATAAAGCATAACAAGTGAAATATATTAATGGGTTTTTTGTCTACCAGTGTGTTTGCTTGGTTGATGACTTGGGGAACCGTACAATGCGACCTTGTCTCTCAAATGCTGTCAAAGTTCAGGTAATTCAAATACCCTTTCTGGATTCTTGGACTGTAGGTTAGGGTGTCCTTTGTGAAGTTTTTTTGATTGATATATCCTCTCTTTTTCTTTTCTTTTTTCAAGGCACAAGAATTGATGAAGGAGGATTTCAAGGGCTCCAAGGTTTGATTTCTTTGACTTTTTTTTTAGTATCCTATTCTATGTATTTTTATATCATTATGTTTTTCTAATTGTCATGTGTTGACAGGAATTTAATTTAAAATAAGATTTAAGGGACTGAATGGTTTTTTCATGCTTACGCCGATTTCTTCTAACATTCTGAAAGCTTGCTCTTCTGTCCATTCTACTACATCTTTCACTAATAATACTGTATCATCTTAAGTTACTCTGTCAACTTAGTTGCTGATATATTTACATTTCAGTGGTTGGTGTTGAGATATGCAATACTCAACTTGGAAGTAATTCAAGCAGCAATTCATTTAGCCAAACAGGAAGGCCTTCTTGTTTCCTTGGATCTGGCCAGTTTTGAGGTATTTTAAATTTCTTCCGCTACTCAGAATTCTCCCTCCCCTCAAGTTCTTTACACTCGCACACAAAGGTTTGATGAAGGGAAAATTCTAACAATTGGGAAGTTTGTGATTAGAGTTTTCATGTCTAACATATCAACTAAAAAAGGATTGCTTTGATAAAACACAATCCTTAGTCGGTTATTCCACAGAAATAATTACTGAAATATTTGATTTCTTGTTGATATTTGCTACGTATAAGACTTTATATTTTTTTCTGCACAATCTCAAATATTAATGTTTGAAAGATCACATGATGACTACCATTATAAATAGGAATATGACAGATTCATCGTTAAGAAGTCTTCTGCATCGAATATTTAAATATTGTACTTCTTCTCACTCATGACCTCTTTATTTTGACAAGATGGTCAGGAACTTTAAATTACCGCTTCTAAAGCTACTGGAATCTGGGAACATAGACCTTTGCTTTGCCAATGAGGATGAGGCAGCTGAACTTCTAAGGTACTGTCATTTGGACTTGTCCCAGCTTTATTGAAAATAGAATTTATCATCAGTTTCTAAGTTATGGACGACTTTATTTTCATAATATGTATGTCATGTATTTTGTCTTGCAAATAAGTGATATCAATTTTTCTTTACCATTGATGACAGGGGCGAACAGAACGCTGATCCTGTAGCTGCTGTAGAATTTCTTTCGAAATACTGCCAATGGGCTGTAGTAACATTGGGCTCTAATGGGTGCATTGCTAAACATGGAAAGGAAGTATGTTAATTTTCTTTTTTCCTGTTACTCTCTGTGATATCTTCTGCTAGGCTCTTTTCCCAATTCTCTCTGTTTTCCTTTTTGGGGAATTGTTCAGTTGGCTCTGTTGTAAACCTTATGTTATTTGCCCCAGAACGCCATAATTAGCTAGACATTTGCGTAGTTTATTCACGTAGTACGAATTTGTTGCCTACCTTTTTTTACAATAAGTTTTTCAGATTGGTGAACCTTTCCTGTTAATCTTAAATGGTTTTACCCATATTTTTCTAATATGCTTAAACTTTGCATTCTACCCAACCAACCAACATGAATATATGTTGAACGTTGTATATATAAAGAGGGTGGGAGGTAGAAAAGCTTACAAACAGTAGGAGCATTAAGCACATTGTAGTCCAAAATCATAAGGGGGATAAGTTCAGTAGTTTTTACTTTCTTGTTGTTTGGTCCTTGTGTCAGCTAGGGTTCTTGAATAGATGTTGAAAAATTAAAGAGACATTAATAACTACATAAACTAAGCTTTTTAGATGTCACAGATAATACGTGTCCCGGCCATTGGGGAAACAAAGGCCACTGATGCTACAGGAGCAGGGGACCTTTTTGCAAGTGGATTTTTGTATGGAGTGATCAAGGGTTTGTCACTAGAAGAATGCTGCAAAGTAGGCGCATGCAGTGGTGGATCTGTCATCCGGTCTCTTGGTGGTGAGGTGACATTCGAGAATTGGCAATGGATGTACAAGCAGATGCAGATCAAGGGTCTTTCCATGCCTGCAGATGTGTGCATGCAAATGAATATAGCGAATAATTAATTTTGCCCCCTTTATTCACGTTGCCTTCTTGGTTTTTTTTTTAACACATTTTTGCCCCGTGGATCTTCCATCTATTGTCCTTTGTTATTTATTTACTGACAATTCAATTGACATCCACATAATTTATGGAAGCTAGATATTTTTCAGGGAAATTCAATCTGATTTGAGTCTTGAATGTACTTGAGCTTGGGGGCAAGCATGAACTGTATCTCCTTCCTAGTTTGATATTAACACCTAAGACGGTTTGAGTCTTGAATGTAATTGAGCCTGGGGGGCAATTATGAATTGTCTCTCTCCTGGTTTAATATACAAAGACATGGATACTTAATTTTCTGAGTTCTGATTACAAATTTCAATTGTCCATTGAGTTGGTGTCCAACTTGCTTACCTGTTTCTCAACCGTTGTTTTAATATTTTTAAAATATTTAGTTTTTGATTTCTGTGCGAGAGGTAACTGAGAAGAGAAAAAACTAACTCGTGGACAAGCAAAATATGAATTGATTTTTTTTTATTATAAAATTATTAAATGTTTTTTAAAATTATACATTAAAAAATATTAATATTTTATGATAAAATATTCTCAAGTAAAATTTTTATTATAAAACATATATAATAATAATGATAATAATAATTATTATTATTATATTTATAATTTTAATTTATCATAAATTTTAACATAAATAATAGAATCTTATAATTAAAAATTATAATCTAAACTTATTTTAATAAATAAAAAATATTGTAAATAAAACAATTAAACACATTTTTTAAAGACAATTATATATTTAATAATTAATTTTGAATGCATAATATTATGTTTAAAAATAGTAAATACTTTAATTTAATTCTTAAATTTTAATTCAAAATCCGAATTAGATTATGTAACTTAAAATGAAAAAACTCAATCCAAACCATATATGATTTTAAAAATATATATATAAAAAATAAATACAATTTTGATTTTTGATTGATTTACTATTTTGTTAGATATGATCCTACCAAATATGTAATGTTCAAATCGTGATTTATTATGTAGAATACTACGATTATTAAAAAAATTATAAATTTTAGCATTTTTAAATTAACCATAAATAATTTAGATTATGCCTTTAAAACCATTTTATAGTTTCTAACTAGTGACAAATTCTTTTCATAAAAGACTATTTAAATTCCCCACAATGACAATGAGATAAACTGAAAGATAAAAAAGTGAATATTATTTAAAAGAAAGAATAAAATGAATGGGAAAGAATTTTCATCGGTGCATAAAATGCAAGAAAATAAAAGTGAAAACATTAAAATATTTAATTAAAAGGAGTAAAAGAAACTCAATTTGGCTGTTATAAAAAATCTCAACATGCAAAAAATATTTTTTAATTTATAGCACAGAATAAATTTTCAATGTAAAATTTTTAAACAATAATTAATTGTACTTTATCGTAGACCTAGTGCACTCTTTCAATTCAAAGGAATTAAATCTCAAATAAAGAATGAAACTTTGTAATATAGAGCATAAGAGAACCATTTTTATAGTTTTACCTGTTTTTTAAGTGCTAATAATTAACACCGACGCAACTCAAAATTCCAAAGTTAATAGACCGAACATACTGCTGAAAGCCAAAAGTAACTGCTGCAACAAGTGTTGGGTAGCTAATATTTCTACTTGCCAAGTACATGAAGCATTATTGCATTCTGTGCATGCATTCGGTTCTCAGCCTGCGGAAACACTATTGAATTAGGAGCTTCAATAACTTCCTCAGTCACCTCTACCCCTCTTTCCGCTGGTAAGCAATGCATGAAAAATGCCTTTGAACCAGCCATTTCCATCAGCTCTTGGTTTACCTTCAAAACGCAATTGCCATCTCATGTCAACAGTAATAAAACCAAAAAAAAAAAACAATACAGCCCATTCTTAAACATCAGAGTTTTAAAACTTATCCATTCATTGAATCAGTGAAGGGAGTAATTCAAGATTGAATGCTTTAACCATAATTTTTAACTGATAAAGATGAAATAATATATTTTAATTTTAATGTAATATATTAAACAACATTAAACAAAAATAATAATTAAAAACAAAAATTAATATATTTAATATAACTGACATAATATTGATTTTTATTTTTTTTAAACAAGTTATATTAGTTACTCTCGGCTTTACCCAATTATGAAGTGGTTTAACCAGTGTTTTACATAGGTTCTTAACAGAACCAGTTTTTAAAGTTAAATGAGCTGGTAGATGTGCAGTTTCCAGTTTGACCAACTGGTCTGGTCTAATTCTGACAAATTCCAACATAACATAATGCTATGTCAAATTATAAAATCTTTATTTTTTAACTGAACCTATGAATTTAGCCCTAACCATTTGATAGGGTGACCGAAATAAAATAATGTAGGAAATATCATAAGTACCTGAAATCCTTTAAACACTTGGCGGCGGTATTCAGCTTCTTCCTTTTGCCCCATGCTGGCCCAGACATCTGAATACACAACATCAGCTCCTTTAACAGCTTCTTTGGGGTCATTAGTTATCTCAATCTTGCTGATTCCAGCTTTCCTTGCCTTCTCAACTGTTTTCGCATCAGGTTCAAATCCTTTGGGACACGCGCAAACAAAGTGAAATGGAACTACAGATGCCATCAGCAACCATGAGTGAACAATGTTATTTCCATCTCCGACGTAGACAACCTGACACGTGCATTGCAGAATTTAGTCAGACAACTATTCCCTTGCCAACGCCACCAGGAATTAGGAAGAAGCAAACTCCCCAAAACAAGCAACATAACCTGACCTTGGTACCTTCAAACCGACCAATGTGCTCAATCATAGTAAGGGCATCAGCCATTATCTGGCAGGGATGGTTGTAGTCCGTCAATCCATTGATGACTGGCACAGTTGAATATTTTGCAAGATCAAGTATGTCCTACAATTGTTTTTACAAAAAACAAAAAATGCCAATTTACTTATCAGAATGATTGATCATATATCTGGAGCAGATAAAAATTCTTCCCAGCCCAATCAAATCACAATGCCCACAAATGCAAAGCAACTTCTTTCATTATGGTAATGAGCTCTTTAAAAGTGTAAGAAACATGAAGGAAAAATGGAATGAATTGATTGCAAATTTTAATAAAAGATTTTACAATTTCTAAGTCCCTTAAGGAAGAGATACAGAATTATAGAGAAAATGGAAACTCCACGAAGTGAACAAAACCTTCTAATATTATTTGAGAATCCAAATTATAGTTATAACCCACAAAAAGATGTTAGTTAGAATCGTTAGCAAAAATAATCAAATGAGTCAGTAGATATATTGAGTACTTAAAACGTTTTACAATTAGTAAACTAAATTTATTTCTATAATCTACATTTTCTATAAAAAAGGACTCATGACCATAAGCTAGTCTATAAATAGATTCCCGGAAATAAAAAGGTGAAAATACTCCTGCTGGAAATTTTAATTCATCTCAAGGTCTTATGTTAGCATTACATGCAATCCAACATTATACGTTACCAATGGCACAGGACAAATAGTAGAGACAGATATCATGCTTCAGTAAACATCATACAAGTATCATAGCTGTATATCACTTATTTGCTCGTTCAAGTGATGAACCAGTGGCAGCATCTAGTAGGAAATTCTTGTCAACCACAAGCAATGGCAATGATCGTGGCAGGGATTTACAATTATGCTTTCTTTGCAATTTTATGCATGCACAAGAAATCTCATTGGAGATCAAGGATTAATAACATCATAAAACCACTGAATTAATTATTCTGTCCATAAAGTCAGCATAGACTGTTCTATAAATTTATCTAACAGCGATTGAGTACAAGGTATAGCTTTTCCTTACTTTTTCTTCCCCACCTGTTTAAGAATTGGGATTAACATACTTCACCGAATTAACGTTACTGACTTCATCAATCATGTTGGTCTTGAAATCAGGGGAATACTATGAACACACACACCCTGTCCCTAAGAAATACAGATGACTTCAATTCCACCACTTCATGCAGGTCCAGTTGAATATTTAACATGTGAATTTGGAAAAGGAAAAACTAACCACAGACAAAAGTAACTGCAGCCCAGTGACAAAATGAAACACAAGTAAATCACACTTATAAGACACCAGCATACCTGATGAGCAAAAACACGAGCCATAATGATGTCATTGTAGCGACACAGAACACGAGCAATGTCACGAGTCTCCTCTCGCTTGCCCATTTGGATATCATCAGGTCCTAAGTATGTAGCATGCCCACCTAAAAGTGTAAAGCCCGTCTCGAACGAAACCCTCGTTCTCATAGACGGTTTTGTAAATATCATCGCCATTGTCTTCCCCTCAAAAGGTCGGAAGGACCTGTCCCCCGACTTCAGCAACGCCTTCACCTCAATGGCCCGATCCAACATCTTCAAAATAGTGTCCTTACTAAAATCATCTATGTGAAGAAAATCTTTCAGCGCAACTTTCTCTGCAAAACAGAAGAATCGATGTGAGAAGTCAATAACCAGTTAGCGATTTATCAAAACCCCAAACAGATATTGAAAATCAATGTCAGTCATCAACATTTTCTTATAAACAACATGCAACACATCAACATTTCTTAAACCCTAATTCGATGCAATTTAAATGTGAAATAGGAAATAGATATTTGGTGGTTGCTAAGTGAAGATTGAGTGAGAATGTGAAAGCGATGAGAATTGGAAATGGAAAAGGAAGAGTAGAGTGGGCTTACGAGTGACAGCGGGAGAGGCGACGCACGATATTCGGCGCCGGAATGAAACGGAGGAGGCGGGGAAATGAGCGCGGCGTCGGAGATTGTGACCGGAGAGGTAGGATTTGTCTGAAGCGACGGTACCGTAACAGTGAGACGGGATCACAGCCATTTTCTGCTACCTCCTACGCCTACAATAAACTCTACTACTTCTCTTTACTTTCTTCTCTTCCTTATATATACCTAATTGTAACTATTTTTCCTTTACCAATACAATAAAGCAAAATTTCCATAAGAATGATGCAACAAGTTTCTCCATTATTCATACTTTAAAGAGAGAAAAAATATAAGAATTTTTATAAATTAACTTTTGTATAAGATCATTTTAAATTTTAAATATTTTCTTCTTTTTTTCTCTTCCTCGTATATATAAGTTTCTAAACTAGTTTCTCTAAACATGTCTATAATAATTTTCTTTAAAATTAAGGTTACTATAAAATGGTACATTCTAGTTTTCAAAATAAGAAATAATATTTTTTTAAAATTTTAATTTATATTTCTTTTATTTATTTTTTTAATATTGGATAACCCACCCTAAACTACAACAACGAAACTCACCAAAAACCACATCGAAAATCAGAGGCCATGGAGTTGAGGGAAGATGAATGCAGACACAACTCGGTGTTCTCATTTGAGAGACTGAGCAATTGAAGGTAAGAAAAAAGAAAAAATTGACGAAAGGTGAAAAAGGAGTGGAGCAAATTTCTTATTTTTTATTTTAATATTTACCACTTTGAGAATTGGAATATAATATAATAACTTAATGAGTAAATACTTATAAATGTTGCTAGAATGATTAATTTGAAGTTTTAATATATAAAAAATTAAATTTAGTAGTAGAACTTAAATTAATTAAAATAAAATCATCAAAACTAACTGTTATTTTTATTTTAAATAAGTTTATATATGTTATTATTAGAATGCAATTGACTCTTATATAAAATATAATTTAGTTCATTTATACAAGAATTAAATTATAACATGTAAGATTGTTTATTTATTTATTAATATTTAAAAATTATTTTTATTCTATACACGCACGATTTCTTATAGACAGAATGTTAATCAAACAAATAAGATAAATTTATAAAATTTAATTATTTTTTCAAATTTCTTATACAAGTGAGATATTTTAACAAATTACTTTGGTGAAAATTTTCATCCAATTATAAGATAAAAATAATAATAGAATTGAACTAAAAAAATATTAGTATTTATATAGTTCTTTTAAATAGGATTATCTTTAAAATAAACAAAATAAATAAAATAGTGAAAAAATTAGAATTAAAAGAAGAAAAAAAAACTAAAATGCGTAACATATATTGAAGAAGAATACAACTACACGAGTTTTTCGGGTCGAATTGAAAAGTAAAGAGAAACGATTAAAACTAATGTCTAAGGGGGCAAATAGGGATCATAATTGTCTTGATTCTCTATCTAACCAAAAGTTACAAAAACATCTCTATCTTGAAGCTTTATCGGATCAAAACTTTGTGTGTTTCTGAATTCAAAACTCCTCTTGTATGAAACCATTGGTCTTTCCAAAAGACCTGGTATTGATTATGGATACTCATTGGTGAGAGAAGGAAGTGTTTCATGGTACTGATTTGTCGAAATATCCTCCTTTGCTATCAATGAGTCATACAAGGGTGTTGACAAGTCATCCAATAGTGGCAACGATAATGATGTGTGATCCGGTGGTAGTGACCACGATGAGTATTGGTCATAAAGTGATGGATCATCAAATGATGGATCATCAAATGATGGAAATGATAAGTCATTCAATATTGAGTCATCAACTGTGGATGATGATGGTAATAGAGGTATTTCTGATACCGAACAAGGACCACTTGAACATAGAGGTATGTTTGATACCGAACAAGGGTCGCTTAAACATAGAGGCATTTCTGATACGGAAAATGGGTCAGTTGAACGTAGAGGTATTTCTGATCCCAAACAGGGACCACTTGGACGTAGAGGCATTTCTGATACGGAACAAGGTTCACTTGAACGTAGAGTCATTTCTGATACGGAACAAGGGTCACTTGAATGTAGAGGTATTTCTGATCCCAAACAAGGACCACTTGAACATAAAGGCATTTCTGATACCAAACCTTCATCAACCATGCAATGAGGGTCATATGCAACTTCATTAACCATGTAATTAGGTTGGTCACTTGAACATGCACCTCCATCAAACGTGTAAAAAGGGTGGTCTCTTGAACATGCACCTTCATCAAACGTGTAAAAAGGGTGGTGGTCACTTGAACATGCACCCTCATCAAACGTGTAAAAAGGGTGGTCAATTGAACATACACCTTCATCAAACGTGTAAAAAGGGTGGTCACTTGAACATGCCCCTTCATCAAACGTGTAAAAAGGGTGGCCACATGAACATGCACCTTCATCAAACGTGTAAAAAGGGTGGTCACTGCAGCTGGAACATGCACCTTCATCAAACGTGTCAAAAGGGTGGTCACTTGAACATGCACCTTCATCAAACGTGTAAGAAGGGTGGTGAGATGCACCTTCATCATCCATGCAATAACCCATGGAATAACCTTGAAACTGATTGTTGTAAGGTAGATATTGATTGCTGCAGTTATCAGTGTTAAGCTGACAACAACTCAAGTTCCCCTCAGTCTCAAAATAACTACAGACAATAATAAATATGTTTAGATATAAATATTTACATTTATCTAAAATAAAAAAAAATATTATAACTTACCCATTATGAAAATATGGTTGAGGCTGATTTTGACCGTTGGTATCGAAATTGTTGAATGTCAAATGTGGTACATTTGATGATGGACCTGCTTCTGAGTTATCGGAGGAGGGAGCGAAAGCTTCTACACTAGCTTCTGATTGTAGCTTATCTGAGTAGCATGATAAGCCCAATCGTTTTCTTTTCTTTATTCTTGTGTTCCAAAAATTCTTTATTTCATTGTCTGTTCGTCCAGTTAACTAAATCAACACATATAAAATCATAGCACTGTTAATATGAAATCTTTTGATAAGAATAGTAGAAGCAAAGGAACATTCAAACCTTCTCTGCTATCTTGGACCATTTATTTCCCCATAACGCATGTAACTCAATGACTTTACTTTGTTCTTCTTCGCTGAATGGACCTCTTCTCAAACCTGGTCTTAGATGATTTGTCCACCTTAAACGACAACTTTTCCCACAACGAGCCAGTCCTGTGTTTTTCTGGACTAAGTTCCAATTTCCTGTTCCATGTTTTGTCACATATGCTGCCAAAACTGCATCTTCTTCTGCTGTCCATTGCCCTTTCCTAAAATTATTTTCGTCTGGCTGATCATCACTATTATCTTTTTCACCTGAACACAAGGACAGTGTAGCTACAAAGTAGACATAGATCAGTGAAAAATACAATAATTAAGAACTTCTTGTAGAAAAAGTATTGCATTCTAAGAAATATTAAGAGGTTTGTTCTCATAAACTTTTATTATTATTATTATTTTGAAATGTCATAAATTTTAATTTATATGATAAGTAAAATAATATTTTTCTTTTTAAAATTATAATTATTACTTTAAAAAACGGATAGATTATTAAATCTACAAATTTAAATTAGATTTGTTAATATATCCATATTATTCTTACATCTTTTCTAATATGTATTATGCAAAATTCAAAAAACCAATACTTCGATTTCAATTTATTAATATAGAAATATAAAAACAAACCCATATTTTATACATATAGTGACTATAAATCATTCATCAAAAGCATTAAAAAAATTGTAAAATTCTCTTCAATAACTTAAACTACGGAATATTTAATTTGTAATATGGTTAAATTAGACACATCCAATAACTACAAGAATTCAACAGTATTTTTAATCTATATATACAAAATATTCTTTATACATCCATAAAACTTTTTTTTTCATAAAAACGTATTCTTCAAAAAATTTTGATAATTAAAATCAACTTTAGAGTAACTACGTATAGATAATTAATAAAAAAAAGTAAGTGACAATTGATAAACTCTTCTATTTTCTCTTTATATATTTTTTAGATCGAAAAATTTTAGATAGTTTAAAATAAAATTTATAATTAACTATATATATATATATATATATATATATATATATATTAACTAATTGAAATACAAAATTTTGAAAAAGTTGAATTAAAAAATGGCAAAAGATTTTTTAATAATATTAAAATATTTTTTTTAATTGATGGAGAGAAAATAAAATAAAATAGATAAATATTAATATAAAAAATCTAAAAGTGAGTTATTGAATGAATATTTTTATCCTTTCTATTATCAAAATTGTAAAAAGACAATAATATTCATTCAATAATTTATTTTTAAATTTTTATATTATTATTTATTTATTTTATTTCATTATCTCCATCAATAAAAAGAATAATATTTTAAAATTGCTGAGAAGATGATTGTAAATATTGGTTGTAAAGAAATATTTTCCCTTGAAAAAAATATATAAGTTCGGGGCAGTTTTACTTGAAACACTTGTTAGGTACATTCAAAAGTTTAAAATTATCACCTGGAACTTAAAAAAATGATTTATGTATATTTTTTCTTCTTAACCTACACAATTTTGATGACAGAAAAAATGACGTGAAAAATATCACTATAATAATATTATTTTAGTCAACTTGATATTCAACCTGACTATGTACAAAAAATCAAAACTAGTATAATTAACTCTTTGTTATTGTCAACAATGATGAAGTTGAAAGAGTTTCAATTCAAGAGTTATATTTGCAGAAGAATAAATGAAGTTGGCAATAGATGAAAAACACACAGTAGTTATTAATTACGTACCTCTATAAAGGAAAGGTATGGTTGTCAGGATCAGAAAGATGAGGAACATGTCGATATATGACCTAATTTGAAAAATATCCAACTTAACATGAGGAAGATGGTGTATTTAAATTGGTGACACCATTTTACAATTTATATGGTATTTTATGTTATCAATATACTATAAAAAGATAACAATGATAATAAAAAGATATATCAATCTTAATATGATAAGGATGATAATAACTGATATCAAATATCAATATTACAATAATATAATTAATCATAAATGAACAGGATAATCAAATTCAAATACAAGTGAACTAATTCTTCATTAAAAAAAAAAACTAGTATTTTAAATGATATAATAATATCGATACTTTATTTTTTTCATATAACATTTTTATAAAAGATAAATTGTTAAGTATTTTTTATATTTTTTTTAAATCATAATAATTTTATTACTTCATTTACCATTAAAATAAAATCTAACTGAATCATAAAAAATATATATAAATATATGTGTATGTAGTTTAATAAATTTGTTTGTTATTATTTAATTTGTACATACAATATATTTACAAGATAATTTTGGAAAGTTAAGATTTATTAAAAATATTAAACATATTGTGGGAATAGCCTATATATCAAGAAAGAACCACACCCTAAAAGAATGATAATTAAATTATCTACTTATATATTTTATTTATAACAGTAACAATTATACAATAACAGTAAGTCATTCATTTTATACACATTATAGGAAAAAAATATAAATCAATAAATTATTATTTTATATTATTAAAAGATAATATAAATAAAAACAAATTATTAACTAACATAATATATTTTATGAATATTTTAATAATATAATTTAAATTTATAATATATTTAATTAAAAATATTTTTTAACATTTTTATAAATTAGTTTTTTTCATAAAAAATCAATAATTATTATATAATAAGTTAAAAAATTGATTAAGCTATTAATGCAGAAAAAGAGTGATAATTACAAGGAAGTATTTGCTTTGGAAAATGTTAAAAAAAAAAGATAATCCTGGTAAAATAATTATATATATATATATATATATATATATATATATATATATATATATATATATATATATATATATATATGAAGTTTTATACTGTTATGAACTACAACGTGTGTTTAATAATTACAATTAAAAATATGATAATTAATTAATTAATAAGTATTTCTTATTGATATTACGTAGTTAATAATTTCTATAAACGGAATATGATGTTTTTTTTATTTCCACTAACTATATAAAGTGAAAAATAATATATAATTATTTTTTAATTATAGAGATAAAAATTACAATATAAAAACAATATATATCTTTCAAATAAATTTATATTGATTTTTTAATTAAAATGAATCAACAATATAAATAATATATATTCAAAAAAATTATTTAAATGTAGAATCTTTACTAATTTGTTTTTTTAAAATAGATTAGTTTATTGTTTATAAAATAATAATTTTTTTCTTTTTACTTTTATTCATTTGTTTTTTCTTCTCTTTTTTTATTCATTATTTGTTTTTTCTTTTTCTTCTCATCATCTTTCACTTATTCTTCTCATTAAATATATTATATTAAAATTCAATACAAAAAACAAAAAAATATTAATTATTTAAAATTATGACAATAATAAATAATTTTATTTATTATAATATTAAATAATTTTATTTATGATAACATAAATAATTAATTTAAAATTATTTAGTTATGATAAATAATTACTTAATAATATTAAATATTTATAAGTTAGAAATATTTTTATTTAATAATTTAATTCAATTGTAATGAAATTGAATTACGATGATATGTTTCATTTTTAAAAAATGTATAATTTTTTTAAATAAATATTTAAATTTTTATAATAATTATAATATATGACCAAAATAAAGTTATATACCTTCTTATTATTATAAGAAGAATATATATAGATATTATGTCCTGTAAATTTCGATATTCAGTATATTTAGAATTGAAAATACATGTAATCGGACTCATTTTTCATATATTTAGTATTAAATTCATTTTTTAGAATTTTAGAGTTTTTATTGAATTGATAAATAAGTTTAATTAGTCTAATTTCTTTTATACAATATTTATATCTATCACAAGATATATTTTGATAATTCAAAATAAACTAATTGGATGTTCCGGACTTATATAATATAATAATAAATCAATCAATAAATTAAATTATAGTGTTATTTTTAATTTAAATATTTTATTTTTAAAAATTAATTAAAAACATATTTTATCAAAATTTAATGTAGTTCTTTTTAAGAAAAGAGAAAGATGAATATTAAATAAAATAATAAAAAGTGAATGAAGAAAGATAAAAATAACTCCAAGTTTTTTATTATTGATAAATAAATTTATAAAAAATTATTTATTTTTTAATATATTATTTATGTGAAAAATCCTTAAATAATATGATAAAATATATAAAAATTAAAATATAAAGAATAAAATATACAATTAAACCAAAATTCTATGCTTAAATAGTCAATCTCCATAGTCCGGTAAGAATAACATTAAAAGAATGATCTTTCCAAAAAATAAAAAATAAAAACCCTGAAAGTGAAATTTGTTTCGCCTCAATCAAATCAGCTATAAATCCATTGATCATTATTTGCGGAAGGAAGTCCCCAATACCCTCTTTGGCCCAATCTCTGAAAGCGCGTCGGTGCCTTAACTTTTGCTTAAATTAAATTTATAAAAGGAAATAAGAACGACCAAAGTTTATGGACTCATCTGATGGGCCCCCAAAACGGAAACATGCCACGAGGTACTTCATACCAGATTCATGGAATCAATAAATAAATAAATAAATATATATATATATATATATATATATATATATATATATATATATATATATATATTCTGTTAACGATTGTTTTAACTGATAAAAAAATACACGTATTTTCATTTGATTTATGTATATTATTTTTTTCTAGATAATACTTTTCAAAAAATATAATTACATGAAGAAAGTCAGTAAAAACTGTTTTTTTTAATCGCTTCCTGTTTTTGAAAAAGATGCTTATTGTTAGATTATTAATTAACGCGTAAACATAACTTAGGATACATAATTTTAAACCGAAGAAAAAACTACGCGTGCATTTTGGTCTGTAACTTTATTCCTTTTCTCTTGGGCTGAGAAAGCATAAGGATTTTTATTTTTTATTTTTTTGTTATCTCCATTATAATCGCTTTTCTTGATACTTTATTCCTTGCGTTAGTTGGTCTTACATTACATTACACACCTTTGAATATGACATTCCGCAGGGTCAATAGAGAATTAGTTCAGTGAGGAAATTATGATCCCATATTTCGCTATTAATAATGCTGTTAAGAATATATGTATAATAATGATATCTTATGAATCAATTTAAATTGCACTAAATACGGATTATAACTAAATTTACATATTTATTAAATATCAAATATAAAAAATATGATTTTTGTAAATACCAATTCAGTATGAACTAATTAAAAAATATTGAACATGATTAGATGTAGTAAATACTCGTGATAATATCATAAACATGGTGTTTTTTTTTTTTTTGAAAAGGAAAGCTAATGTTGTCATTGTCACCTTTCAAATTTAAGCCGCAAATTGCGCCTTTTAATTGCACAATTGACTTTCATACTTTCTAATTTTGTAGAAACCCGATATATACAAAGTAGTATTAATCTATGGTGTAATTGATATTTTTAACTAGTTATTCTGAAATAAGAATTAATAATTTACTAAATACAAAGAATAATATAAATAGTTGTAAAATAACAAGTAGATGTAATTTAATAAGAATGATGATAATGTTAAATGATTTTATATTATTATTTTATTATTATTATTATTATTAATATGACTTTTAAATTATTTATAATTTTTTAAAAAGTTTAGTATTTATATTGTCTACCATTAAAAAAAATAAAAATAATATGTGTCAAGACTAAAATATATATATTTTTTAAATAAAAATTTAATAAGTAAAAAAAGCGACGTTTTCACAGGTCATAGCAAATAATTTTAACCACACATGTTGTGCTTTTCCAAGGGTTCTTCTTATGGGTCATCTGACCTTAATAAAGAAAAGAGAGTCGCATTATGTCCCGCATATGTGTACCGTAGTGACACTGACTCGTGAGGTTGTGGTGTTTCTTCCACTATTCACTAGGCCCACTCTCTCCCAGTCTCGTCTTGTTCGAGATCAACCACCACGTTTCCACAATCACAGTGTGTTGTTATGGTATTTCAAACCCCATTCAGTGATCCACAATATTCTAAATAAATATATAAATAACATAACCATACTAATATATATTACCTTACCCTACAATCAAGAACAGAATCTAGGCAATTTAAAAGCCCACATCGAGAAGGCAGGGAAAAGCGAAGTGAGAAGACACAGTGAGTGAAGTTGTGAGAATGATGGTGAAGAGTCGGTTGGTTTTGGTTTTCTTGGTTCTGTTTGTGACGGTGGAGCAGAGTAAGGTGCTCCAGGTAGAAGCAGATGATGGTGGGTTTGTGAAAGCAAGAGGAGTGCAGCTTACGCTGAATGGAAGCCCCTACTATGCTAATGGCTTCAATGCCTATTGGCTAATGTACATTGCTTCTGATCCTTCTCAGAGAAACAAAGTCTCCTCAGCCTTTCAACTGGCTTCACGTCATGGACTCAACATAGCCAGAACTTGGGCTTTCAGTGACGGTGGCTATAAGCCCCTACAATACTCTCCTGGATCCTACAATGAGCAAGTCTTCCAGGTTAGTCTCTCACTTTTCAATTTCATAACTTTGAATTATAGATCAAATTTATATTTCTTGCCAGTTTTGGGGTCATTTTTTTCTTTTAGGTAATAAAAATTGTTTTGTTATTAATTGTGGATTATATACAACAAAACTTCATGCTTGTAGTGGTAGTATAGGTGGAATGATATTTCCCATTTGTTAACTCTATTTTCTTGGATTGAAAATAAAAGGGATTGGATTTCGCAATAGCCGAAGCAAGAAAATATGGGATCAAGCTGGTTCTGAGTTTGGTGAATAACTATGAGAACATGGGTGGCAAGAAACAGTATGTAGAATGGGCAAGGAGTCAGGGACAGTCCATAAATTCTGAAGATGACTTCTTCACAAATCCTGTGGTGAAGGGATTCTACAAAAACCACATCAAGGTAAATGATTTATTTATTTATTTCGTTTTCCATATTTTCGTTAATGTTATCCTAGTTGATGGAACAAACTTCATCGAGATATGGTGTGTGAATTGAGATAGAAAGTTACGAGTTGGATAATAATTGGAGTTTTTTTGTGCGTGTTTTATAGGCTGTTCTTACAAGACGTAATAGCGTGACTGGAATTGCTTACAAAGACGATCCAACTATAATGGCTTGGGAACTAATGAATGAGATTCGGTGTCCTTCTGATCAATCAGGAAAAACGGTGCAGGTAAACCATTTTTCTGTTTATTTTATTTGATGCATTTATACCTGGTCAAGTAAAAATCAAAGGTAGGTAAGGAAGAATTAAAATAATACAAATTTAATAAAACCTGTTATCTGTCTCTCTCTCTTTATCTCATTTTCAATTTATCTTTATTATTATTTATGTGTTTCAAATAACTTTCTAATGGAATAAAAAAAAGGCAAGAATGCAAAGGCTCTAATCCTTCAAAGTTAGTCATTTAAAAATAAAAATAAATATTTTATTATAGATCATGAATTATTTAAAAGTAAAAAAAATAAAAATAAAAATATATTATTTTTTAAATATTTATATAAATAATTATGACCAAAATTTAAAAAATTCATCTATAGAATCATAATAAAATATTTAATTTTATTTTTGTAACCAACGCAGTTAATCACTTCCTTTGTAATAGCTTAATTCCGTTTTACAACTCTACTAAATTCTGTCTGTTGAAGTTCTTGCACACTGATTGCATATTGATAGAGTTAATTATTTGGTACTCTATTTTTTTTATGATAACACTTCGTATTTTTCGTTGTTTGAATCATTGTTAATGTCCAAACCATCTGCAATTATAGATATTGTGTGTACACATGTATCACTTGAAAAATTTGGAGAAATGTTATTTCATTTATAATTATCTTAAATTTATCGCTTACCTATTTTAAATTTTATTAATTAATATTTTAGTTATAAATGATTGTAATTAAATGTCTAAATATATGACTTAAAACTTGAATAACTATTTTTTTACAAGCTAAATTTGAACTTATACATGAGTAGTTAAACTATCAGGAACAGATATTTCTTCCACTTTACCTTTTTTCTTTGGAAATTCACCCTTTTGAACAAGAGAACCCATGTTTATGAGTCTTGCCGACACAGTAGATTTTTATTATGAAAACGATGGTAATTTTCTTTTGAAGATTGGAAGGGATAAATTAAATATCATATTTCACTTTTGACAGGCTTGGATTACTGAGATGGCATCTTACCTGAAATCCGTAGATGGAAACCACTTGCTGGAAGCAGGTTTGGAGGGTTTCTACGGCCAGTCAAAGCCACAGTCCAATCCAAACTTCAACGTAGGAACCGATTTCATTGCAAACAACCAAATCCCTGGCATTGATTTCGCAACAGTGCACTCCTACCCGGACCAATGGTTAGACTTTTTATTTCAATTCCTTCCTCATCACAAAGTCAGAATAGGATGCCACTTAAATAATCATAAGGTGTGCATTTAAAATGTAAATAATGAGGGTGAAAACAGTGATAACTCTTTTGAGAAGATTTCAACTTACTATATGGAAAATTCTGATTAGTTATGAGTTAAAAGTTTTCATTTTCATCATAAAGCTAAATGAGTTGTTTTCTTCGCACGACCAGGCTATCGAGTTCAGGATTTGAAGAGCAAATCTCATTCTTGGGCCGGTGGGTGGATGAGCACATCCAAGATGCACAGAACACTCTTCACAAGCCAGTTCTCTTTGCGGAGTTTGGTATTTCCACAAAAAACTTCGGTGGCAACCCATCACCCAGGGATCGGTTATTCAACACGGTATATTCTGCAATATACTCATCCGCAAGTAGTGGCGGTGCTGCCGTTGGTGGCTTGTTTTGGCAGCTTCTAACTCAAGGTATGGATTCTTTTCGAGATGGATACGAGGTGATCTTAGATGAAAGCCCCTCAACCGCTACTTTGATCGCTCAACAGTCTCAAAAACTAAACCGCATTCGCAAGATGTACGCCAGACTCAGAAACATTGAGAAGTGGAATAGGGCTAAGGAAATTAGAGGCTCACAATGGCATGTTGGTGCTAACGGTGGAAACTGAGTTTTATATAAATCTTCACTACCATATAATATATATAGTTATCTAGATAGAGAGTTAGCAACTTTGTAACTTATTTGTGTGAGGATTGATTTCAGAATGATAATCGTAGAGCGCAGAGTGACCTTTAATTTCAGTTAAAGTATTACACTTGCTGTGTCCTACCTACATTTGCTATATAAGGCATGAATATCATTTATTGAGATATATGGAAAGAAACTTTGTAATGTACAAGCAAGTGTTTATCAAGAGTCACGTCCGCGAGTGAACTATTCATGCCTAAACTATAAAGAGGCCTGCTGGATAATTGGAAGTGCTTCATATAACTGTTCCATCTTTAATTGTTGCATTTTTCAATGTAATCGTGATGCCAGACCGAATGTAGAATCCTTCCTTGGCCCTGTCAGCTTCTTGAACACCCTGAGAAATCAATGGATTTAAATCAATCAGTCTACATAATAATATTTATGTCTTTTGCAGAGGTTTCTGAAAGCAACGTTTTGAAACAGTACTTACATCTGTATTTGCGATGATCACATTTCTTCCTATTCTGGCATTCTTGTCGATTATGCAATTCCTTAAAGAATGTTGGGGTATGAAATTAGATGAAATCAAGAATGGATGCTTCAAATTGATGTTATATATTATGACATGTAAATTGGTAAGTATGGTTTGAACATTCTACAAAATAGATAGGAGAAAATTCTTTACGAGACTCAATCAATCACACCTGATCTTGGTATTTTCCCCAACACCAATTGGAACATTTCCTTGTGCCAGTAAAGATGCAATTTCAGATTCAGTCTGATAGTAGTCAGCACCCATCATCATAGTATCCTGGACAGCAAAATCCAAAAAGGAATAAAGCATATATCACTGTTGCTCCAAAATAGAAAGATAAAAAGGTGTCAACTCAAGGAGGTGAAATTATGTCAGCGATGCCATATAGATGTAATCTTGACAAAAAATGTTTGATCTGTTGTTTCCTCCTATGCACTCTACTATCTTTTAAGAAATGGTCAAAATTAGTTCCTCCAACTTGGTGTGCAAATGCAGTTTCTCCCACCCCCACCAATTTTTGGTAATACAGATTATTGTGCATTAGTCGAGTACAGCACAAATATAGAAAGGTACAAAATGTTTACCTGAAGCTCCACACCAGACTCTAAACGTGAGCGTACTCCAACAATAGAATGCTGAACGCGACAGTCCCTCAAGAAGCAACCGTGAGAAATAATTGCATCCACAATCTATGCAAACAGTACATCAACAACAGAAACCACTCAACAGTCATTTGCAGCAGATTCCAATTTCATAAAGCAACTTGGTAAAGCTGACTGTCATACCTTGCATTTTTCCATTTTAGTCGGTGGAAGGAATCTTGGGGAAGTGAAGAAAGGTGTCTTTGGATCATAAAATTCAAATTTAGGAGGCTGAAAGTAATACCACAAGTGATTACTGGATTACTACATTTTCCATTTTTAATGAAAACTTATTCAAGTGTAAAATCACTAATCAGTTCTCTTATTATCAGCAAAATTCTTAAGAATAAACAATTAAGGCCTCTAAATTTGAAAGGTTCCCAAATTCTGCAGCAATTTACAATCTTTTTCTAATCAGAAGGTTTTTTTTTTTTTGTTCTAAAATTAAAATATGATCACTTTCATTTCTAGAGTTTGTAATTGCTATCCACTGGCCTGCAGTTGAACTTCTTACCATGTAAAACCATCCAAATAGGCTGAATACCAAAAATAGTTCCTAGAGTGCTGTTAGAAATAACCAAAATTAAAAGACCACTAAAACAAACTTTGGTCCCTCATCTTATTTTTTAGTTTTTTTGGTCCTCCGAGGTGAATCTTTTTAAACTTAAGAGTCCAATCTAAAAAAAAAAAGGCGAGAGACCAAAAGTATATTTAGCTTAAAAGAAATTATGGGCTAGTTAAAGAAACCTGTTCTGTAAGGGCAAGGTTTGCATCAAAGAAGGACTTTATAGTTCCAATATCTTCCCAGTAGTCATTGAACAAATATGCCTGAGATGCAAAAGGAAAGAGAAATATTCGTTGGTTACTGCTAAACCCAAAGAGATTACTTTGCTGGCATTCAAAATTAAAAGAAGAAAAAAAACGAGAAATTCCCTCTCACCTGGACATTGTGCTCGCTCACAGCAGCTGGGATAATTTCAGATCCAAAGTCATTGCATGAAGAACATTTCCATCTTAATAGTTGCAGCAGGGTTTCAGTTCTAAACACGTAGACACCCATGGATGCAATATAAGGATATTGTTCTGCTTCTTGTGGCGATAACCCTAGAAGAGTGGTGTCAACACGCTGCAGTTATTGAAAATCCATTAGCTACACAATAACTATATTAAACTATAAATTATTAAGATAAGAGGGATGTATTTCAGACTTCAGATTCAAGATACTATCAATATACCATTGCCTTTAGATCTGATCCCTTAGGTTTTTCTGCAAACTGTACAATTCGTCCTGTTTTATCGATTTTCATCAGTCCATAGTCTGATGCCCGGCTACAAGGCAATTAACACTGATCAAGTCCAAACACAATTCAAGATAAAACCAAAAAAAGTGATTTCAATGTAGACATACCTGTCATCCATGGGTACACATGAAACTGTGATATCAGCATTTGTGTCAACATGTCTCTGCAATGATAACCCCATCAAAATCCATATTAGTTTCAGAAAAACTTCAAATGTTACTAGTTGCAATGTTAGGTGAAAACTTGTATCATTTATACCTGTACAAAGTCCATATAGTCCATCCGGTAAAGATGATCCCCAGAAAGTATCAATATATGCTCCACATTTTTATTCTTGGCATCCTGCAATCTCAGACCCACATTTACTACCCCATATATCAAACCAGTATTTTTAGCAAATACACAACATTATATATTTTTACCTCAAAAACCCATATAAATTGCCTAACAGCATCAGCTGTTCCTTGGAACCATTTCTTCCCTGTCTCTCCAGGTGTCTGAGTAGCAGCCAAGACCTGTTCAAATATAATTACAATTCAATTCTTGTCAAAACTTTTAGTTTCCAGAAGAATATAAGGGCCTTGTTTGATTCTCTTACCACTTTTTTGTTTTAAAAACTAATTTCTCAAACAATTCCATACCACCCAGCAATCAATTTCTCATCCACCATCTAGTAGGTTTGAAAATTATTGGCAAAAACAAGTGTTTAATTACAGAACCAAAAGACACAGCTGCGAGATGTTTTCTCTCTTCTTTTTCTATCTTCGTCTTGTTCAACCTCTCCCACAATTCCACACTCCCCCGTCTCTTGCGTTACCCTTCACTAACTATCTGTGCAACCTTTTTTAATTACATTTTAGAAACTAAAAACAGTTTCTGAAAATAGAAATCAAAATACACCCTAGATCTCTCTTCCTTTCAAACTTTACAGTGACTCACCTCCACAAATCCGTCTCCAAAATTCATGCCATTTCCAAAGCTGTATGTGCGGGACAGGTGGCGGTTGAGAGAGAAAGAGTTAAACTGCGTCAAAATGAATATTTTTCGGATGCCACTGTTGATGCAATTACTCATGGGGATATCTATGAGTCTGCAACACCCTCCAATTGGAACCTGAGAATCTCATTCAAACACAGAAATTTGCATAAATGCAATTATAGTAACCATTACCAACAAACGTTCAAACTCAAAATCATATTATACCGCGGGCTTGGCTCTTCTGCCAGTAAGAGGAAAGAGACGAGTTCCTGCACCTCCGCCCAAAATGATAGAAGCCACACTTTTTGGGTCCACTTCGGGTGTCTCAAAAGAGGGTACGCCCTGAAATGCCTAAAAGAAGGACTGTGGTTAAGCATTGGAACTTTGATTAAAAAAATCAGACACACCAAGGTGAATCAAAATTTTCTTTCAATATAGTATGATGTGTATGCATTTGGTGATTTACCACGGAATCTTCGTTGATGTCTGATGTGAGAACAGCACGTGCAATTCCAGAAGGCTTGGAGTTTCTAAGATTCTTATTGGTTCGTGAAGTTTTGCATGACTGAAAATTCAAAAACCTTGTGTTCACACTTCCCCTTGCACGCTCACCGCAGAACTCAGTTCTCCTGTTTCTTCCAATTCCCTCACCAACTTTAGCTAGATTGCCACTCAGGGATGCACAGGTTGATTCCATTGCTTAATCAACGACAGAAATAGAAACCTTTTTGGATTTGGTAATTGGTAGTACCTTTTGGTCAATAGACTTAGGACTAGTGAGTCTTTGTATGAATAAAGATAAGAGCTAGATCACTTTCTTAAAGTACTAAACTTTTCACACAATTTGCACCGTAAGTCGAGGAATCACAACTGGGAAGATTCAAGTGAAAAAGGGCCTCAAAAAAATCAGATTTTTTCAAGGAACCTACTTTTCAAATTGAGAGTTTGTTGAAGAAAAACGAAGGTGGGGCCTGGTAGGTAGAAAATTGAGAGTAGAGAGAAATGTGGCGATGGAAAGGGTTGATAACGGGGAGAATGCGATGAACTCGAACAGGGTGACTTGATTTGGAACCCAAGGGGCAGACACTAAACTCACGAGAAACCTGCCAACTTTTTCTGTCATTGAGTCACCATTCGCTACTACTTTTTCTGACTTGCTCCGTAACACTGACACTTCGTTGTTCCCACCATTGTTACGTGTTTCATTTTAAACTTTCTTTGTCTGACTTCTAGGGAGAACGTAAACCTATGCTCATAGATTTCAAAACAATTATTAAATCAATTGATGTTTCTTGATTCCTTATGTTATTTCTTTCCAAGAACTTTCTATCCTCGTCTATTTCAATAACTTGATTCTGATTCATATGTTAATGGCTTTTAATTGTTATACTTGAGTTTTATGTTTATTTTAAATAAAAAATTATGATATACAATAATTACTTTTGACAATTAAACTATTTTTCTTAAATTCGTTTTGGTAAATTTTTAGATTAAATAATACTTATCAATGGTCAATAAGTACGCCTGTTTAAATTTGTTTTAAAGATTTTTTTTTAATGAAATTCTTATGGGTTAGGATAAATTTATTTTGAAAGATAGAAATACATAAATAATTGGAATTACTTCTTGTAGAAAGCAAAGACAATTAAAAAAACTAAAACAATTTATTTTTTACATTTTTTTAAATACAGATAAACAGAACCACATATCATCTAACTGATATGTTATCTAATAAGGGAATTGAGTTATTATATATGTATATATATATATATAATCACTTAAAAAAGTAAATTATTGTTTAACAATTTTTAAATTGTATAACTAATTGTTAAGTACTTACATACTAAATTTAACTTGCTTATTTATATTGTAATATAATTTATATAGTAAAGCATTATTGAACAATTTTAAGTATAATAATAACTGAATAAATAAATCACTCTTATTATTGTGTTAACAAATGGTTTATTAAAAATGTACGTTTTGATACTCTTATAAATTTTGTTAAATAAGGCTGAGATTATCAATTCTTCCACAAATGTTGAAGAAGAAGTAAGAACATGAATTCGTGTTAATTTTGATTATTTGTAAAAGTAAATAAAAAAATGCATAATGTGTAGATCTTAAAGGAGGTGATGGCTTTTTATTTTAATAAAACCAAACAACCTCCGATTTTTATTGCGGTGACCACTCATCGAGTACTTACTTACTATTCGAAGAGTCTCGGGGGAATAACAATAATAAAATATTTTTTATTTTTGACATTATTAAAAAACATAAATTATTATTATTATACACTGATAAATTCTAATTGAATCTCAGTATAACAAATCTTTATGCTATTTATACGCAAAGGAATTACTCAAATGTAATTAATAGTAATAATAATAATGAAATGTTGGCACTTTTTAAAGGTCAACAACACAATGAATGGTTTAAAAAAAAAAAAAAAAACATAAGCATGTGGGAGTCCCTGTTGAAGTTATCACATTCAGTGGAACTGTCAAATTCAAATATCTGAATATCACATTTCTTCTTTATAATGTGTGAACCAAAGACACACTTTGATTTTGTTGTCTAGTATCTTCATTCATGCACTGCAATTCAATGCCATTCACTAATATACACGGTGTATTGTTAGTTAAGTAAATTTTTAAATATTATTTGAGACAGAGGTACTCAAACAGGTTTTTTTAAATTAAAAAAAAAATGAGAACACAATTTTTTTTTTAAATTATCCTAAATTTAATGAACTAAAATCATATTTCAATTTATTTTTATGCACAGTCACATAATTCTTCTTTTATATATTACACATCTTTTTTTGGTGTTTTTTAGGAGGGTCCGTATGGTTTAGGGGTTTCATAACAAAGCGAGCGTAGTGATGATAGGCCTGATCTTGTTGGGCTAATGCTCCAACATTTTAAGAGATATTTCTTTCTGCGCCCCTTAATTTATTGGGTCATTCTGAAATGGGCTTTCGGTTCCGTAAAGCCCATTCGAGAATAAGTGGAGGTGGCCCAACAAATTAATGGGTAATAAAAAGTTAAAGTCCATCTTCAGCTACCAATTCGACAAATAAATTATTTACAGACCAAAATCAAGGTCCAGTAGGCAAGGAAGGATCGTTTGCTTTTACTTGAGAGGAAAATGTCAATATTATAATTATTTTTCTTAAAACATTTATCTTATATATATAAAAGATTGAACTATATATATATATATATATATATATATATATATATATATATACATGATAAAGTTAAAGATGATTAATATATATATTTAATGGCATAAAAAAAAAAAGATTTGTGAAGACATTAATTTGGACGTAAAACTAGGAAAAGAAGTTTATATATGAGTTGATATAATATACGGTGGCGAGTGGTGCGTGGGAAAGTGATGCTTTTTCTCTTGTCTCAAATTAATTTGATGAATGAATTGTTCATGGGTTTCATGCATCAATGTTTTGTTGCTCGTTCCGTGAGTGGTTAGTTACGTTCTTCATCCACGATCCTTCTTCTCTTTTTCTTTCTCTCCCACTTTCGTCTTCTTTCTCATGCAAATGCAATCCCAGCCCTTCATTTTGGATAGTTTCACACTCCTTTAACCTTTCGGCTTCTCCTTTTCATGACTTCAATAATTGGATTTGGTTGAGACTTCGTTTCTTCCTCCTCAGGAAACTTCTTCTTTATTCATAGCCTTAGTCATTTCCTTTTCATGTCTTTAATTTCAGGATTAATTTTATTTTGATCGTTATGTACACTATTCTTACACTGTAAAAAAAAAGGACAAATACTATTTTATCTTTATATTGTAAAAAAAAAAGGTATTTTATGCATTAATATGTATGTTTGTTTGTGTGTACTTTTAAATGCATGTTAAATATCAAAGGTGATTTTTTTAAATGTTTAATTGTTTTTTATAATGACAATTAAAAACATCAACGAAAATATAAAAATTATGAACTTCGAATAAATTTTTAAAAATTATACATTATTTTTGTTCATAATATTGAGTGAATATTTTAATATAGGACTTATTATATACATTTTTATTCACTACAATACAATTTGTAATTGATTTTAGTACGTATAACTCTTTTTAGTTGTAGGATCTTTAGTGTTTTTTTAGTTTCTATTCTTAATTGTAGTCAAAATTTAGTGTTTAAATAAAAAATAGTTTTCATTGATATGATTGAATTGTTTTAAGTACATAATTCAATTAAAAATTATTTATACTATTTTGATTAACATAATTGATTTATTCTTAAGTACATAATTAAACTAAGTAACAGGTTTACTATTTTTTTTATGAATAGTATAATTACATAACATTTATTTATATAACTTACTTTATTTTTAATATAAACAGAAAGAACTTATTGTAAGAACAAAGTGAAAGTTACCAAATAAAATCATCCTGTGCTGTGCCATTGTCTATATAAAGGACTTAGAATTCCAATTCCGCAGCAACCTGTTCCATCCGTCTCGTTTAACATTGTTAATTCCAATTCCTCGTTGTTCAATGGCTTCCTTGGTAAACGACAAAGCCAGTGCCATTAGAAGGTTCCAAAGAAAACTAAACCTCGAAAACATCTTTCACTTGTTCAACGTTGGTGCCGCGATTTTGCTCTTCTCACACTCCTTTTCCTTCCCCATCACCCTCCAAACACTCTCCCATCTCTACCACACATTGATTCCATTCTGCCACAATTCTTTCTACGCTTTTCTTCTGCTAAACGCCATTATCCTCTTCCTCTTCGCACTCTCCAATAACAAAAACAACGACAACAACAACATTGGTGGTGCCAGCACCGACGTCTACAACGAAATCCTCAACGACAACGTGTCTCACCTCATCGTAACCGTTTCGCAGGAACAACCTCGTACCGTAGAGAAAGAAGTCGCCGCTACTGTCTCGCCGGCTTTCGAGGAAACCGTCCCAGCGGTTACCGAGACGACGACGGCGTGCAGTTGCACGACGGTGATGAAGGAGATGGAGGGAGAGGCGGTTTGGGTGTCGGAGAAGAAGTGCTACCGGAGAGTTCAGTCGGAGAGTTACGAGCGGCGGATGGTGGTGGCGGCGGCGCGGGGTGAGTTGAAGCGATGGAAGACAGTGGGATTGAGGAGGCCGTTTGAGAGTCAATTGCGGTGCGTGGAAGAGTTGAGTGAAGAGGAATTCAATCGTGCGGTTGAGGAATTTATCGCTATGCATAAGAGAATGCAGTGGGAAGAACAACTAGGCTCCAACAAAACACAGGATTTGGCCTGCACTCCATCAAATTAAAAACGAAGGATTAGAGAAGGAAATAATTTACTTTTAATTTTTCATCCACTGTTGTACAGTAATTTATCCAATTTCTTAGGGGTTTAATGGAGTTTCCCATTTTAATTTTTAATATATACCATATCTTATACATTCAGTTTGATGGGTTTGGCACGCCAAATGCAGAGTCAAATTAAAATAATATAATTACTATCATTTACCAATCTTTTTCCTCATGATATTTTAAGAAAAATGCTTTGTAAACATTAAATTGAGATAGAAGTTATTACCTCATCTCATCTCACTTCTTACATGAATTCAACCAATGTTATATTGCGTTTTATAAATCAAATGATTTTTTTTACCGTGAGATATAATTATGCATAATATAGATGAATATGATTAAAAGTTGACTATTCATGTCATTACTTAACGCCATATATATATTAATAATTTAAATGCAGTTGATTTTCTTTTTATAATTCTCATTTTTCATAAGAAATGTAGTAATAAGGTACATCCCAAAATAATAATATGTATTAATTACATATATATATATATATATATATATATATATATATATATATATATATATATATTAAAATTTTGATGTTGAAATATCAGAACTGTTTATAAATTCTAAATTTGTGTCTAGAAAGAAAAAGGCCATGACTATGGATTATTCTTCTTAAAACTCTGATTATTTTCAATGATAGAATATTTTGCTGATCTGGGGTCAACTAAATTCACTTCTCCTCTAAAAAAAACTTCATTTTGAAGTACTAGATGCTCCAAATATGGAGAAGATTCCTTTGTAGTCTACTACTGGTCATTTGTAACTTGATGAACTAACTTTTTGCTGATTAAATGATGGGCAAGATTAATGGGATGAAACAATCAGATTTCAGACATCACCAATGATAATGTATTATACCTTAATCAATATTGTTTGGCTAACTAAAAATCTCAGTTCCTATAACTTTGGAATGATTTTGTAGCATTGACATCATGTGCACTGGTTTCTGTAACTGGGAAATGAATGTTCCCCTTATAAAAGGGAACCTAGGAACTCGGGAATGTGAACATTCTTATCATCCTTTTTATGGCACTATATATTTACTAATTTAATTTGATTGATGCAATGATATTCATATTTCCCTAATGTTTGCTTCAAAATTTTATGATATTACTCGGGTGCAATCTTCATGTCTTGCCAATTGCCATACTTTACTTAAAGACTAGTCTTTGGCTTCAACAACTCTGAGGATTAAATTCATTTATTTTCTGCTATTCGGGGATCAGATTAGTGTGTTGTGTAGCTATTGTTGGTTTACTTCTGCTTTGTTCACTTAATTTAATCAGTGTTTAATAGAGAAAAGCAACCTTTCTTTAATGAAAAAAGTGGGGACTTGTGGAAAAAGTATGTCATATACTCCACTACATGATAACAGATTATATGTCTTCTCTGAGTAGTTTCAAATGAATAGATATTTTCCAAATACTGGTCATTTTTTGCAGTGCTGAAAGGGACCCATTTAAAGAGAAAACAAAATAGAAAAAAAAAAAACACAAACATAATATATAAAGAGATGTTTATGCGATAGTGGTTGGAACTGGAACAACAAAATAATATAGTGCTAAACTATTAAGTTTCTTTATAACCAAGTAGATCGCAATTATCCTAAAGAAGTGAAATAATAAGTTATTGTTTATTTCCACCCAACATATTTTCTTTTGTGCTGTCTGTTCCAAGGGAACCAACCTTCTATGCTTGTAAAATTTATCACGGCGACACTCAATACCACTTTAGATAAACATTCTTTATCAACAATTTTCATTGCCGACTACCTCCAACCATACCATACTCCAAAACTTTGACACAGATATCAAATATGAAATTCCATGCATATTTTCTGTCTCAAACAACTTCATTTCATTTTTCTACTTTTGATTCTTGTTTCTTAGAATATACTACGTTAATGTTCGAAAATTAACGTCTTTTTATGAATGCAAAGAAGCATAAATTTAAGCTATTTCGACCAAATACTTTGCCTTTCTTTTTGTTTTTTATCTGAAAACTATACTTTACGATCTGCAGCTTTTTGATATTCCCCCGTGTCTTAGTTTCAGCGCTACTAATTATACATATATTTTAGAATGAAGTTGCTTAAAAGACTAGTAAACATTCTATATGTTAAAATAGCAGTCACCACTGAACCCTCTTTTTGCTCTCAAAATAGTTTGCTTCTTTCTTCTCACACTATCCACCTGATGCCATTTCTTAAATTTCAAGTTGTTGATTTCAAATTTCAGAAGAAGAAGAACCTTTTCACCTGACTCATCCCAGTTGCTTATTATTTAGTAATCACAATTCTATAGGAAGAAAAACAAGTTGATCGATGAATTTTAAATTTTATATATATGAGGAGAAAAGCAAAATCAAACTAATAAAAAATAATACAATCACAAACCACATTTGCTATTGTTGTTGTCTCTGTGCTCCAGAGATAAATAATTGCTCAGTCCATTGGTTTTGTCTTCTTGTCTCTCTCTACTGCACACTAGTTGTCATGTACACTCATCATATGCAACTTGACCTTCATTTTGTGCCTTTGTTTTTCCCAAGTGGGTCCACCTGAAACACCATTTTATTATCATGATGATTAATATAATAACAATATAACATCTCTCTTTATATGTTATTTAAAATTTAGTTGATCATATTTTAAAATAAAAAATAAGATCAACAGTCAAATGTACTACTGTATAAGAAATATAATAATTGAAATTTAATATTTCTCTTATATATAAAGTATTTTTATTATCATGTTAATCAACACAATATGACATCTATCTAAGTATATATAATTTTTATTTTATTAAATTTTGGTTGCAAGTATGTTAAGATATAAATGAGATCAGTAGTCTAATGACCAATATAAAAAAAATTTATAGTAATTGAAACTCAAAATACAATTTAAAACAAATTATCTTCAAATAAAAAAATGTAAAATTAAAAAAATAATTTAAAAGTTGTTTTTTTAATTATAAAATTATTTATACAATATATATAAATAATTTTCGGTGTTTTATATAAATATTTAAAATCAAGAAACAAATTAAAAACAACAAACCACAGCTTCCATACTAAGCAGTTCTATATTGCACGTAAGTTTAGAAAGTGTGTTTTTTCCTTTTTATTTATAAAATTATGTACTTTTAAATTATTTTTAAAAACTATAGAAGAAAAATTGAGTAACTTTTGTACAAATAATAAAAAATAAGAACTAAATTAAAACCAATATAGCACTTTTATAATTAAAAAGTAAAAATTAAAAATTAAAAACAGAAAATAAAAGATAAATAAACTCCTCCTACGTATGATAATTTTAGCGTCAATTTTACAAATAAGACAATAAAGTATAACACAATAAGACAATAAAGTTATTATATGAATATATTTAATTATATGCTGATAACAATTTGTTTACATCCCTAATTATATTACATAATTTGAAGAGGAAAAAAATATTATAGCAACTCATTTCAATTAGAATATAATTGTGAATTGAAGCATGGAGAGTCAGGTGAGAAAATTTTATAAATTTATTATCTTAAAATTTTAGATGGAAAAATGATATTATATTTTTTATATATTTATTTTGTGTGTTAAATATAACAACGATATTATCTCTCGTTAAATTCTAAAATTACAAGTGAAACGGATGGAAAAATAAAATAAATCAAGAAAAAAAGTTTTGTTTGGGCAAAGAGAAACTAATGAAAGAGGCATGCTTGTCATTTGGTGAGTGATGATAAGTGCAGCGTTTAGTCTATAAATAGTTTATAATTTTTTTCACCACTTCAACTTTAAGGGAAAATAATAAAAAATAAACAAAATGACAAAAAAAAAAAACTACTTTATAAATTTTCTATTTTTTCAACCATATTATATAATGTAGTTAGTATTATTTACTACTGATAGCATTATTCGCCTCTCCATTGTATATGATATAGGATAGTAATATTTTATTGATTGTTTAGTTAAAAAAAAATCCATTATTCATTAGTTTTAATTTTTTCAAAAATATTTTTATAATTATTAAATATATCAATTATGAAGATTTTTGTCTTTTTTTATAAATTTAATTTTTTTATTAGTTTAGGAGAGTATTTTGTAGGGTCATGTTTTTTCTTCACAGCTTGTCTTACATTAACCTCAGTTTTTTTTTTTTTTTTTATTTACAATTTCTATATTTTTCAAACACTATCCTCATATTTCATTATTTTTTTTTCAATAAAGTTTGATCTTTAAATTATAATCATCTTCAAATTCTAATTTATTTTAAAAATTTTAATTTTCATATATCACAGCATCATAACAATAGTTTTTAAATTGGCAATACAATTGAGCTCAATAATTCTTAACTTCGAGCCAAAATGCCAGTATGGTATAATTTGAGCGTTTATTTTAAAACTTAGTGTATATTTGATCTGATATAAAACTAGAGTATAGTCAATTGAATCTCTAAGTTGGAATTTAGCGTTTTAATAGTCTAAAAATAAGAGTTTGCGTCAAATCTCTTAATTATTCTTCAAACCAAAACTTGAATATTGGTGAAAGGAAACTACTATCAACTGCATAATTATTTTTGTTTTAAATGTTCTGAATTTATTGTGTGCATTGTTTGGAACGATTTATATATGAAAGTACTATTTATGTTAATTGATTGACGGTAGTATAATAAAGTTTTGAAGGAGTGATATTTGATGAATCAAGTTTGATAATGGATGTTGATAACAACAGCAGCATGTTGTACATCGCAAACTATAACATGAACATATCCATCTTCATATTCATTTGACATTAATATTCACATCAATTTATTCTTATACATTCAATAACAAAAGATAATTTGTGTATTACATGCATACGGATCAAAATATTTAAAACAGGTAACTGTATTTGCAATATCTCAGGAGTTAAATAATTGTTACTCAAAGCCAACCCTGAATCTACGGGTTCAAACTCACGTTCGAAGAGCTTGTAAATCTTCATCTTGTCACATCACAAGGTTTTGTTTTTGACATCCCTAATTGAGATCAAACGTACAGGATATCCACTCTTAAGTTTTGTAAAAAGTGCCATCTTCTGAATACTTGAGTCAGAATCAATCACCTTCCACCTTAATACAAGCATTACAATCATATAATTACTTTAGTGTAACTAGTATGTTACAACCATACACGTAAAACAAGCATTTTACCAACATTAAACTAATGTGTCTGATCAATGATAGAAAGTACCCACTTGCAATTGGTGATGAAACGGTGGAGAAACACCAACATCATGGCTTTAGCCATGTTCTTTCCTAGGCATGTCCTTCCTCCCATCCCAAAAGCTAAGAAGCTGTATGGTTTTGACTCTGCCTGTAATATTTGTTGGAACATTGTGACTTTTGAATATTAAACTTTCTTTTTTTCTGTCCAATTAATAATACTGCAAGCAGGATCTTGCTCAGATTAGAGAGATAAAAAAATGAAACAGAGTAATTAAAGGGTCTTAGTGTAGACTCACATGAAATCTTGAAGGATTGAACACACCCGGATCATTGTGCACAGTTGGATCATGGTGTATCGATTTAGCATCGATGTTAATGTTCCACCCTTTCTTGATTTTATATCCTATATCATTCGTAATTGTATTATGAAATATTTTTTCATTTACATTTACACAAAGTACATAGGCATGCATAGGAAATTTATGTGTTACCTTCTACGACACAGTCCTCGAGTGCTACTCTAGGCAACCACTGTACCACAGATGCCTTCCTTAATGCTTCTTTTACTACCTGTTTGTGAGTGTGTGAATATCCAATTGTGTACAAAAATGAGAAAACTATAAGGAAAAGAGAATAACTAGTTATCAGAAACCACAACTATCAAGTCATGCAATGCACAATCTCATCACTATTAAATTTGATGCAGAATGTTGCATAGAAAAGTACAATATACACTTACCTTAGAAGCGTATGGCATCTCATTAAGGGCCTCTAGTGTAAGATGTGAATTTCTTGAACCATTCTTCTCAATCTCAAGTTGCTCCTTCTGTTCAGTTAACAAAGTTACAACATTTTATTAAACCAAGAAAGTAAGTGTTGAAAGAACAATGTCTTATGCAAAGATAAACCAAATTGAAAAGAATCACCGACCATAAGGGTATTAAAAACTTGCTGATTCTCATCCACAAATTTGATCATCCATGTCATTGCATTTGCTATCGTGTCTTGTCCTGCAATTTCGAACTTGTTGTAACAAGACTGGATATTGTGGAGAAATTATTATATAGTTTCAAATAGTTGCTTATTAAGTAAACATGGATTAAAATTTTTAGAAAGTGGACTTTAAAGCATCTCTAATATAATTTGATCATCTAATAACATCTTCAACAAAAATTACATTATCCTGAACTAAATATATTAACTTCTCATTGGGTTCGATACATACTAAACCTTACCTGCAATTATCATAGTTAAGATGTTGTCTTTAATCTCTGAGTCTGTTAGCCTTGGGACTCTATCCTCGTTTAATTTATCATCTAAAAGTTGTTGAAGAAAATCTACATGGCTAGTTGCAATTCCACTTCTTCTTTCACTCATATGCTTCTCCAAAATGTCCATTATCCTTTTTCGAGCCTGCATTTTCACTTGAAAGCTTAAATTGACATTTCAAAGTGTGTTTCAGCTGATGACACTGAAATGGGTAATCGAAATATATGAAAAAGTTGCGAATGTTGGATTTTGTTGATAATCAGTAATGAAGGGTTGAGGTTGTATATTTACCTGAAGGCCTTTGTAGAATCTGGTCCAGGGTAACCTGACGGGTAAGGCTAGCATTGCTTCACCCAAACGAGCAACCTCAGTTTGCATCGTCTCTAATTCGTAGCCATTCTCGATGCTTATTAACATGTTGCACATCGCCTTACAAGCCAGCTGCATCACAAATATGTAAGTTCAAAATGTTTTCATTCAAAACTAAACCTCTACTAACATTTTTTTACATAGAACAAAGAAAATAATAACATGAGAGAAAGAAGAGAGAAGAACACAAAATACAAAAGTAAGTTCTTTTACCTTGAGTGTTTCATCTTGAATGACGAGGAGAGATCCAGATTTCCAACTAGTGGTAGCTTGAAGAACGAGTGAATCAAAGAGTTTAACCAAGGAAGAGAGAGAATCTGTCGAGAACAAAGTGAAGAGAGAGGCGCGAATGAGTTTATGATGTTGATGTGCAGCACAGAGCAAGCTATCGCGCCCAACAAGCTCGGCGATCGACTTCATATAACTCTTGGAGAATTTCCCACCCTCGTTGTTTAGAATCACTTTTGCTGACTCCGTGCTCGATATGAAAACGTGCGTTTCCCCAAATAGCTTCGTCTTGAAGCATTTCCCATACCTGACACTCACACCACCTCTTCTCCCTTAATATTACCAAATATAATTTACGTTGCTGTAGATTAATCATAAAATCTCTTTTTATGTATTTTTAAAATAGTTATCACAAATTAACGATATTTACTATATAATGGTAATAATTATTCATAATTAAACAATTATGAACTGAAGTTGTTGATGTTACCGGAGGCGGCGAACTTGGACAAATTCATAGACTCCTTTGGTGTTGTTGATGGCAGCCATGAACTGAAGTGTCTCTCCTACGAAGGGAAATCCTCGATTTCCCGGAGGAATATTGCCCACAGAGGGCTTGTTTCTACACCAAAGTGCCCATGCTTTTTGACATAATAAAAAACACAAGACACTAACATGGAAGCAAAGGTAAGGATGCTCCGTTACCGATTGAAGAAACATTTTGGTCTCTCTTCCCTTGTTTCTATGGTGCCCAATTATCTTCCTCGATAAACGACACTCCTAGTGCTCTCTATATATATATATATATATATATACACATTGCCAACCTCAACATGCACTCACGTGTAAGCTTGAGAAAGTTACGATTTTTATGGCCGACATGCACTAGAGTATATTTTGAAACGTTGAGGCTTCCACTTTGAAACAGAAGTGGACACTGCGTACGGCCTTCTCAAGATTACCGTGAGATATTTCATTACTCGTCTAATCATTCGACACTATCACTAGTGGACTTACATTGTTAACCTGTTGGGTATAAAATTAAGATTTTCGCTTTATTCACCGTTCGATTGGGTTGAATTTTGACCCAAGTTCGCAGCGTGAATTTGATAGTTGAACATATCAGTCTCACGGCTGATTTTTATATTTCTTTTAGAACAATATTATTTTGATATATTAACTATTTGAAAAATACTTTAATTTGATTTTTTTTACTCATATTTTAATTTAAATGAAATTTAATTGATTTTTATTTTTTTCACTCTAAAAATAGTAGTATTCTCTATTATGATTATTTTTGTATGTTGTATTATTATTTCTCATAAATTCTTGTAAATTTAAGAAAAATATTTTGATATTTTAAGTTATTGTACTGCTTTTTAAGTTATGATCATCGTTTTGTTACGATTGCATATCATAAATGATCAGTTCCCTTCGTGTGGCTTCTAGTAGCCTAGAATCTAGACTCATCACCAATTTTGTTTTCATTTTTGGTGGACACCATCATCTTGGTCTTATTTATGAAAGTTATATTTAAATTAACGGTGTTGCTCATGCTTTGCCAATCGCCACCATTTTTGTCTTGTAATTTAATGGAAGTACTCATGGCTTTGGTTGTTGGTGGGCGCCTACATTTCATTCTCTTACAGGAGAATGAAAAATCAATCAAGACGTGTTCAGACAATAATAAGTATTTCCATACATAAACTAACATGAATTTGTGCACAAATTAAAAATAAGAATTTAGAAAAATTAATTAGAAAGATTTTCAAATTAGAATGACATAATAAACCTTGAATAAGAGATAGACAGCAAAACATAGTAGCTAGAAAACAAAACAGTGTAATAAAAGAACATTTTAGTGCAACACAAGTGAGTTAATTTCTAGTTTTTAGGATGTTTAATTGGAAATTACTCGCTAAGTATTCGTCAAAGTTGGACGCGTGTTAACTCTTGATCAAGAATGTTACTTATTTGAGGGAATTCAAACAAATTAGTGATTAGTCTTGGGCACTTTTAGAGAAGCCAATGCAATTGAAGATTTGAACGTGTGCAACTATCAACGGCATTTACTGATTCCTAAGTAGGGCTTTATTACCAATTGGAGGAGGCTCACTAACCAAAGAAGCCCGAAACATGATAAAATAAAACCCAAATAAAGAAATCATCGCTATATTTTATGTATATTATATGGTTATGCATTATCAGTATAGTTGTAAATTAGCCACACTATTATTAAATGATAAGGTAATTTATTTTTATTATATATAACAACTTATACTTGAATTAATGTATATAAAAATTTACAATGTCATTCCGTCATCGTATTCGTACCATTTCCTTTCTGGATTGTTGTTTTCTTTAGTTTCACGTGTTTTATTTATAACGCTCGCAAAGGTTAGGTTTGAATTTAAATCTTGTGTAATCTTATCCTAATTTCATTATAAGGCTAATTTTAGTGGGTTAATTTCAGGTGATTAATAATTTTGTTTTAAAAAAAATATATAATAATTAAGATAGAATTTTTTACAATGAACTTTTTTGGGTCCAAATACCAAGGCCCAACAAACCCAGGCACAGGAAAGACAATTAAATAATTATGAAATAATTATCTAAAAAAAATAAGCAAAAATTTGGGTTCGAAAATCACGTCAAAATACAACAATGAAGGATCTGAGCTGCAATTACTAGAGTTGGACACAGTACGCAAAAAGGATTTTGTTTTTTAATTTGTCAGTGGATTCTAGTTGTTTGGTATTTGAATGTTTCCTATGATTGATTCGGACCGTGTTCGATGAAATGCTTCACACATAATCGTTCGTTTTCTCAGGCAAAGGTGTTTGATGGAGGTGATTTTACAGGAGAAGGACGCAGGTAAGTGGGTTTACCGAGGGGAAGGAGCTGCGAATCTTGTTCTCGCATACAGCGGATCATCTCCTTCGTTTGTACGTTCCTCAATTCTTTGTTTTAATCGAAAGGAATCATAATGGAAGCTTGATCAATGGTACATTGATAATGGTGTTGGTGCAGATTGGGAAAGTGATGCGCATTCGTAAGGCTCCGAGAAATGGTGCTGAGGCCATGACTATCAGGAGCCCCTCTGCCTTGACTGCGCATGAGCGCCTCCTTTGGAAAGACGTTCATGAACTCATTTCATCTCCGGACAGTGAAATTGCATGCCAACAATTTGTCGACCACGTTATGAAGCCATTGCTTGGTTCCAAATTTGTTGATGCTGGGGTAGGTGCTATGTTGTGTTGCCTCAAATCCGTATCCACCACGTTCTATTGTAATTGATTTTGTTATTGATAAATGTGTATTACATAGCGGTTTTTGATAGTTCGTGAATTAACAAGTCATCCATGGACTAACCTTTGTCAGATAGTGGATAAGATGTTATGTGAAATTGATCTTTAGTGATTATGATCTCTGACTCTTAATTATCCTTTTTACTTGTTTAGATGCTTGTGAGAGTGACAAGGGAATTTCTTGAATCCGTTGAAAAGAGTGTTATCTGTCAACGTCCTGCTTGGAGAGTTGATAATGCACTGGTCGACATGCGTCGTGATTCTGTGCTTCTCTTGTCTGATCATTCAATCTTCACTCATGGTATTGAGATGCCTTTGAGGACTTGCTTCAGCTCAAATAATAATTGTTAGCCTTTGTGCATGTGTGATTGTGGAGTATGTAGCTGCTATGGACCTTATGATTCTTTCAACATTTTATAGCACCACGCTGAGAAATAATCTATATCCAAACACACACACCATGAGTAGTTGCAATACAAAGTGAGCTAGATGTAAGGGAGGGAAGGCTTCAGGTTGGAGCGAGAGACATGCTACTCATCATTTGAGTATTCTATAGTGCTGCTGCTTAACATACTTCCAACAGGAAAACCATCATTTCTAGCCTGTTTCATCTTGGATGTTATCCCTTGTAATATCAATTTAGTAAACTCACATCTAAGTTTTCTAACTTCACAACGCATCTGCTAAACATTTGAAAGTTCTGTTTCAAGCTCCCTGTTTCATTTCAGGTAATCTAGGATCTAGCCCCTGCATATCTGTTGAGATAAAGGTATGCTATCAATAATATAATGTCATACATTATTATTGTTTGTTATGGTCCCCCTTCTCATTAGACAACAACTTAGTTAACACTTGAAAATTTTGAATTAAGTATCAAACTTGTTCCCCCTTACTCTCTTTTGCTCGTTGTGAACATTTTAACTGTTGTTCTGAACAAGTAGCCCAAATGCGGATTTCTTCCTCTTTCAAGATTCATATCCGAAGAAACTGCTATCAAAAAGAGGATAACTCGCTTTCAAATGCACCAAGCTCTGAAATTGCAGCAAGGAGAGGTACCCCATGCACACAATTTTGCCTTTATTGGTGGTTCTGTTGCTGCATAGTGCATACTTCTTCTGATGGTGATATCATGTAGTCTCAGAGTCATTATTTAATCTATTGTTCTGTTGATGGATGCTACTATAATTTCACTTAAGCTTACACTATCTATTTTAGCCTTTAAATTTTACAAAGATTTTTCCAATATGTTTGCAGATATCACTGCTAAGTGAATACAATCCTCTTGATCTATTCTCTGGATCACAGCAAAGAACTTTTAAAGCTATCAAGGATATCTTCACTTCACCTCAAAACAATTTCCGTGTATTTATGAATGGCTCTCTCATATTTGGTGGTCTAGGAGGTGGCGCTCAAGATACAAACTTTTGTATTGCTAAAGCATTTGAAGATGCACTTAAGTCTGTCATTCGAGCTAACGATGGTCTGCGGACAGAGAACTTGCTTACTCTTGTTACCGAGGCTGTGCAAAAATCAGGAGTCCTTGATCGGCTCCTGGAGGTTCAGAAGCTTGATAATGTTGACATAGAAGGAGCCATTCATGCATATTATGATATGACTAATCAACGGTGCATGATATGTAGACAACTGAGTCAAGAACAACTGAAAAGATATACATCTTTACATTCTGCTTCGTTAGATGAAAGCTTGAAAATTGTAAAGGACTATCTAATAGCGACAAGTGCAAAAGACTGCAGCTTTATGATATGTTTTAGACAAAGGAAAGAGGGGGATTCTGGATCTGTATGCAGTAACATATATCTTGACTCAACTAAGCAAACCTTTGACTTCAAGGTAGGCAGCCCTTCACATTTTATTTGTTTATTTATTTATTTTGATAATGTAGGCAGTGCATTACATGATTCATTTGATTGCTCTGCTGGTAGTTTCAGGGCCTCATTTGAGAATGATGTTGCTCTTAAAAAGCTACTGCAAAAGGTCATTCAGAAATGGAGATAAAAATAATATAAAATCTTCTACGAATTTTACTTCACTAAAAGTATACTTTTTTTCCGTGTTCAATAGAATAATGAGTTTAAATACAGTGGAATGTTGATTCATTCTAGAATGGATCAATGGTAAATTACAAAGTGGCACGCCTAAATGTATAGTATATTAGACTAAACAATAAGTATACTAATTTTAAAAAGATCAAATGAAAAAAAAAAAAAAATCTGAGTTTTTTGGGTCTCTCTTTTCTAATTTGATGGCTTTCATTCTTATGCCTTCCTCATATTCTACCAAATAAAGGATGGCACTGAAAGAATAGCAGCAAATTGAAAGATTTTTTTTTCAATTGTTGCCAAGAGAAACTCGCTCATCATAGTGGGAAATCAAAGAAAAAATTTGATCCACAGGAGTGAACTGTTATGTTCAAACATTGAGTTGATATAGTGTTTCACCAAAAGCATCCTTATACAGCGTATTGCTACTGATTATAAATCACTCAAGGATATAGGTAAACTCTTATGGAATGCAGAATTAGTATGCAGACTTTAGGCTACATCTTTACCTTGTCATTATACATCCTTTCATGCTATATGTGGCTGTGGAAAAAGATGGAAGAATGAGATGGCAATGGAACGATTGAAAGAGAGGAATAAGCAAAACAGGAAAAAAGAGTTAGGTTTGTTTGGTTTTAGTTTTTTATTTGATTGTTTTGGTTTAATTTTTTTAAAAATTAGTATATTTAGTGTTTAATCCTTAATATTTCATTTATTTATTTTATTATAGTGTGGTGCTTCATCATTCGCATCTGATCCACTCTGGAATGAGTGAACATTCTATTGTATTTAAACTAGAAAAGTTGTTTGGTATAAACTTATATAGCAAAAGATATTTAAAAATACAGAGGCCATAGAATGATATCTGTAATAATTTACTGAATTCCTAACAGATTCTAAAGGAGAAAATCATCCTTCTAAAGGTTTCCCTTTTACAACTGAGAAGTAAGTGTTCATTGCTAACAAATCTGAATACTTCCCTCTCATATTATTGAAGTTAATTCCCTAACCCTTACAACTTCAATTGCTCAACTGCATCACTTCAAAAGGATAATTATGTTAACGAACTAGGTGCTTCTCAGATATCAAAAGCACTAGAAGAAGCACCCTTACTGTTTTTATTATTATTTGTTATTGAACTGAAATTTGCGTCTGTTTTCATGAAGTAATAAAACTTAAAGCACGGCAGTTCAAAATGGGGCCTTAATGTTTCTGCACACACTTTTATGAACGAGTTGATCACACATGATTTCATGGATGTCTTAATTTATGTGAAATAAGCATCGAATATAATGATTCTGTTATGTTTATACTTATTAAACAATAATTATAACGCTTGTTACATTTATATCTTATTTTAACTGCTATTTGATCTATATTAGGTGTATTTCATTGACTTGGATTTGAAGCGACTGACTAAAATGGAAGAATATTATGAATTAGATAAGAAGATAGTGAGCTGCTACAAAGAAATGGCCAAAATGGACCAAGGAAGAGATTCACAAACTTGCAAACATCACAAACTGCGTACTGATATTTAGCAGTCTCTGTTATAGAGAGATAGTACTTGAGGAAGATTGCATTGGTAAGTATGAGCAATTTGTCAAAGTTAGTTATCCTTCAGAAGTTTTTTTTTTTTTTTGTTCCAAATCTTAAGTTTTGAAACTTGTATTGTGCTTCATATAACCGTTTAATGTAGCTTTACTTTCAATTTCTTTATGGTGGCATGTTGCATTGGTTTGTGAAAGCTTTTATGTTATTACATATTATAAACCCTCACTCCTTTATTATTTCTAAAATGTCTATTTATGTGTGGCCTATACACACAGAGTTACCCTCGCTCCTCTGTTTTGATTTGTACCTATTAGTTAAACCGTCCATCCCTAGGGCATTGCAAATTTTTTTATAGAACTGAAATTTGATTTGTCTTTGCTTTTTAAATATGAATGCTCGGCTAAAATGCTGGAATGAAACACTTATTAGTTATTCCTGAACTTATGCTTCATTTCCACTTTCTTTGCTTGAAAGATGCAGGGGCCGTTAAGTTGGCCTGTGTAGTAAAATTAATTGGTATACAATTTAACCTGTATTCTTGTTTTGGCTCTAAATGGAAAATTGTAGTACTTGCAGTATGCACGCAGGTAATGTTTAATCAATTTTCTTGATGAAGTATTAGATATGCACAGCTAGATCCTTTCCTCAGAATTTTGGAAACTCAGTTATCTTTTTAATAAAATGTTAGGGAAATTTACACTGCTGTGATTTCTTGAAATTTATACTATACCTCTGGCCTTTATAATGCCTGGAGTTACCCATCTTACAAGGTATTAAAAAGCAGCACCCGACCACATGGAGAACCCATCCTCAAAACCTATCCATTAAGAAGAGAGAACCAAACACTCAAATACTCCATCAAGTATCTCATACTACTCAATGTGAGACTTAGACAACCATATTACTTTCAAGTCCCTATCAGATACACGGTGTAATGTGTTTATTGGGTAATAGGGATACACAGTTTAATGTGCAAGTAATTAAGAGGGGTTACTGTAAGCATAAAAAGACAATGGTATTGTGTGAAATTTCAAGAAGAAAGTGTCTGTAATGTATGAAAATGTTATTGTGGTCCGTGTAATTAACCAAAAATGTTATTGTAGTCAGCTTCGTGGTTTGACTGTTCAATCCCTGTTAAAGGACATAGTTGTGTTTGCATACAAATTGTACATCACATAAATATTAGTTATTTAAGATACTTCATTTGATCCTCAAATGCTGAGACAGTGTGTATGCAAGTTCATTGGAGATTTAGCTTATGAGAAATTTGCTCTCAGATCTGATACATGGAGAGTTGAAAATAGTTTCTTAATATTTTTAATCTTTAGTTGAGACAGTTGTTGGTTTGTTCTGATAGACCATGTACTTTTGCTTTCATTAATTTCTGACAACAATGTATATATTATTAAACTTTTAGATTTCAATTGCTTTCTTTTTCTTCTTAAAATAACTTTTCTAGATTTTAATTGTTTTAAATTTTATGTTCAAGTAAAGAAATAATGTTGTTTGAATTCCACACTAATACAGTAACAATCAGAATACCAGTTTTAGCTTTCAAACCTCTCATCTGCTAACTTTGCAATGTAATTTTGTAAACAGTACTCAGAATTTGACAAAGCAAAGTCTATTTTAGAGACCGTGACTTCAGCTCAGATCAGATTTTTTTTCCATTGGTCAGCTTTGTTTGGCCATGGTTTGACTGATGATCTATGTATGCCATACATCTAGCTCATGAGCTATTTCAAGGTTTTTCCTCTCACTCTTTTATTTGTTTATTGTCTTAACTTCCAGCAGTAGTACAAAGGGATATGTGTAGGTTGGATTCCCAGAAGTGATCATGCTTTCAGTTGTATGTTGACACATTCCAATCATAGCTGAGCTGATAATTTTCAAAACCAATTTTGAATAGAATTTTTTTTATTTTAAATTTATTTCATTATAAGGTTTAAATAGCACACTACAGCACCCCTAGCAGCAAAGCTGCCCCTGACCACTAGTATAGTAATTATAAATTCCCAAATGCTGTCTAATTTTCGTATCGCGGCTGGTTTGTACCCTACTTTCGCATTATAGCACTCTTGCAATGTGAAAATGATGTCGTCACTTCTAAAGTCGTTTATCCTTAATGACACGCTTAAGTGATATTTACTATTTGCTCATTTTGGTTTAGATTTGATCAGCTTTTTGTTAGAAATGATTCCCAACAACATATCTGACTAGCTTATGTATTGCAGAAGTCTAGCGTCTGTAGAACTGCTCCGATTCAGGTGCAGGCAAAAGCAACTTCTAAAATCACTACTTCCGTTGTCCTCAACTGGTACGAAATCATGGTGACCATGATTTGCGAAGCCAATGCCGTGTCGATCATCAAGGTCAGAAAAGATGATGGATGGGAGAAAAGATTCATGTCGGAGTTGTGATGTAATATATTTACTTTTCCATTATGTAATTAATTTACTCTAATCGGTGTTGTACCATTATCAATCTTTCTGCCAAGCAAAGTATTCATGTTCGTTCATTGTGATTTTTTATTATTCTAACGTGATGTCATGAAAATTCTTTTAGAATAATAGCGTACAGTTTTTTTTTAACGTTGTCAAAAATATATATTGTCATATCTTCGTAAATTATTGAATTTTGACCTATATCTTTAAAAGTTATATGTGAGATAGTTCGTAATTAATTGACGGCGTAAAATTACACTCCATAGTATATGAAAATTAAACTCTTTCATGAATTCATTATTGTCGATACTTCCAGCTTTTTTTAGAAGAAAATTTTGTAAAGAACATTACATTTGCTAAATAAGATAATCTGGACGTATGCTTTGTCGGTAGAAATTTAGAATCTTAATGTTATTAATCATCAAAGTTAGCTCATATCTGATCTTGTTAGATTACAAGAGCGGATAACAAATATTCTTACGAGAACATCTCTCTCTCTCTCTCTCTCTATATATAATATTTTATTCCAGTAGATTTATAATTTGTTATCTACATATTTGTATTTTATTGAATTTAAATAGTTAATTTCATTAGATTGAATTAAGAAAAAAAATGCCAATAAAAATAAGGTAGTAAAATAAAAATGTTAACGTGAGAAATCAAAGTATAGTTAAGGGGATAATGAAATGATTTGTGTGTAAGTGTTTGGGTGTAACATTATTAATTTTGAATTCCCGAAGAGAAAAACTGTTCAAATGAAGAAGCCTCTAGTTGACTTCTGAATTCTGTTGTATGTTATTGACATCACCATACTTGGAAACAGAAACACGAAACCAATATTTACCGCAATGTTATACATCATTTTATTACCCGTCAATTGGTTCTCCTCATATAATGTATATATGTGGGAGTGATAGAAGAGTATGACACTCGTACCATCCACCCAACAACTCCACCATGTACATTATTCTCTTTACCAGCAAACTTTTCTCTGCTTTACCAACAGATAGAACACACGTAAGAGTTCCCATGCACGACATCACGATAACATGAACTTGACTTAAACAAGAAACAAACATCATCGACTTGCCTTTAATTTGTGTCTTCCGTGACTGTCTATGTATGCCATAAGTTCCTCTTGTTTTATCAAAGCCTCGTATAAAGCCTGTTAATGAAGTAGAACACGCCAGTTTATGAATGTACTTAACAAATTATTGAACACAATAAAACGTGATTAGAAATAGATATAAACCTTTTTTGTAGCTATCAACTCTGCTTCTAATGCATCCACACGATAAACTGCAGAATAGAGCAGCTCCTCTTTCTCACATGGCATCACATTAGGCTTTGACTGTAGCATGTCAACTTTCTCTTCAAGCTCACCGAGGCGTTTCAAGGTTGCATGTAAAGGAGGACGAGATTCCTCCTTGGATGTTGAATCAACAGTCATGTTAAGCATATTTGAGGCAGAACCAGATTGTGAGTACCGTATTCCCTTAGTCACACGAAATGCTATTGAACGAGCAAAAGTATAAAGGGCCAAAATGAAGCCAGCTGTAACAATAAGGAAATTGTTCTCATTTCAGTAGTCTCAATAGTAAAAAATAAATCTAACTGACATCATTTATCTTAGTTCAATATATAAATTTATTTATCTTTTGTCTCATAAATTAAATTTTGTTTCACATGCAAGATTGCAAGTACAGATTCAATGAACTCAAAAATGTGAAGAAAAAAAATATCAAGCACAATTTTGTGAAAGGAGTAGTTATTATTGAATTGGAATTGCAAGTTTTTCATTCCTTTAGAATTTTTTTTCTTGCATGTCAACGTAGTAATTAATTACGACAGATATTTTGAAAATGTCCTTGTTGGTTAAGTTCATCAAGTTCATAAAAAACAAATAAGTGTCTACAGGCTTTAGGTAACAATAATATCCATAAACCAATAATGGCATGTCAAAACCAATAATTGAGCATAAACTGTATGACCTGTTGAGCAAAATAGCTTTCTAGATGTTGCTTGTTTCTCCATTGATCCAACAATAATGGCCTTGTCAACCATGGGAACATACTCAACTAAACGGTCACCATGACTAGCTTGACCAACTAATCTTGCCTATATAAACATGAAGTCAGTTAACATAAAATTTATTGAAACATTTTTTTTTTCTTGCAACCTCAAGATCAGTATCAATGTATCATGATCACTCACTTCCTCAAGGACAGGAGTTAACATAGGGCTAATACAGTTCCCACATGCTTTGGGAGAAGTAACGTCTTCAACTTCAGATCCTGATTCTCCTGTAGATGTATCACTTCCACCTCTAATCTGTTTTCTCAAAGAACCAAAGTCCAAAGGAAGACAAGAAAGAGTTTATTATTATAATATCTGAAAATTCTCCACTTACAATTTTACAGGTTCAAGATGGTAATGGAAACTGTACCACTGGATAAGATATCTTGTCACATTCAATCACTTTCCCCTCGTCGTTAGAAACTGTTACTATTTGTTTAGAACATCCCACTTCACCACTAAGAACCATCTGCATGACCATATTTGTTAGTTGAATCACAGACACAGTAGAATGCAAAGTATAACTAAAAACCTGAGATAACTAATTAAATTTAGTGAATAAAGCATCACCTTTAAAATGTTTGGGTCTTGCCATGGCCCTTTATCAGACCTCATACAACCACCTAGATCTGTACAAGTGCAAATACCACCAAGAAATTCTGGAAGCTCGCTGGAAACTTACGATTAGTCAGAATTTACAAATAATAAGTTGAGTGAGAAATCACTCCATTACCAGAATTGAATGTATAGTTACCTCTCATCTATAATCTCAAGTAATTTACTCTGGAACTTGTTTCCGAGAACCTAATGGAACGAACATTCAAGTATCGACAAAACTCTACCAATAAATTATCTCCTAGCCAAAATTCTTTCAATGCAATCCCGTAAAACTCTAAATCATAAATAATAACTCAAAATTAGCACGTACATGGATCTTTGAAGTGGTTTTAGGATCAAGAAATGTTTTCACCGTGTTCCAGAGCATCTTAAAACCAGGACCAGCATTGATGATGAACATTTGACAGAGTGTCTGCACGGCACAGTAGTATCATTTAGAGAACAGAGCTTAGAAGCACAACATGAACGAACAATAATAAAATCTGAAGTCAAACAAAATGAAGATAAAACCTACATACTTCAGGATAGTAATCACCGTCAATCTTCTGCAGCCGGGTGATCAGCTCCCGTGCAGACTTTGTTAGGTTTTTGAAGCCCTTGAAAGCAAAAGACAACATATTATTATAAACTCTAATATTTTCTTTTGATTACCTTCAAGTTAAAATGGTGTCTAGAAAACATTCATTGGCCTTTTAGACACGGAAATTACCACGCCTTGAACATCCAAAATAGTTGTACTTGAGTCTATGTGTCTCTTAGCAGCTATAGAGCAAGCCGGAAACTTAACAGCAAATGCTTTCTCAAAGCCCTGAACATGGTATCTCAAATACCTTTCCAATGTAGTTACTTGCATAAGCTTATTGGGATCAACTTTCCCTAGCCTTTCAATATAAACAGGCCTTCCTTCCTTATCCACGCCATGATAGCCATGTGGGTAGTATTTCAGAACCTCGTTCGATTCCTTGAATTCAAAATCCTACAGAGCGGAAAGCATATGTTCAGATAATGAAATTGAATATATATTGTAGTATCAAATGGCTCACCTCCAGAATTGTATCTGTTCCATACTCTTTTCTCCATTGGATCATGTTGGCCCACATGTGCTTCGCTTTCTCAATATCAAACTTCCTTGCTTTCAAGAATCTACAATAAATATGTTACATTCAGCTTTAAACTATACAACAAGGTAAGCAAATCGTATCCATATGTGATTTTCCTGAGTAAGAAGTTTGTCAGCAGAAAAATATGCAAAGAAATCAGGTTTGAATCACAAGGCCAGTATTGAAAAAAAATAGTAAGAGCGTTTGGGACCTCAATAGCATATGGTAGTCATCATGTATTGGAGGTAGCAAGTTATCCAACACAAGTGCTTGTCGAAATGCATCCACTGCCTGAAGCTCTTGAACATCACGAACGTCCTCAATGGAGAGGGAATTGCTCCTGCTACCACCTTTTCTGCTTCTTTTCTTCTTAAAAGAATGTCTGAATTTGGTTGATGCATTCAGTGCTTTCTTCTTCAGACTGCCAATTCTTGTCCACCGGTCATCCTCCGAATTATTCTCGAAACTCAATTTCCTCTCTCTTCTTTCATCCAATCCTTCAAAGCCTAATCGAAACAACAACAACAAAGTCTGAGGACCAACAAATTTCATAAAGAACTAATAATTTCTTGACAAGTATCCAATCCATTGAAGGATAATTCAATTCAATCACACTCCGCTAGCTAATTTACACCTTAAAATCTAAAAGAAGTGAAACATTTGAATAAAGATAATAAAGCACAACTCCGAACAAGAAAGAAAAAGGAGAGCTTTGGATGCTCACAAAGGTTGGTTGACATGTTGTCGACGAAGATGGAAGTGGTAGTGAAACAGAATTCAAAGGCAGAGATAAATTTGAAAACTTATAACGTTTTTGTTTTTGGTTCATTCCTTTTCGGAGTGTTCGTTAATAATGTAGCGGACACAGGGAGTGTCGGCGGAAGACAAAATTAATGGTACAGTAAAATCGGATACAACATTATATTCGGAGAGACAAAGGAAATTTAACGACGAAACTGACACACGAATCGATCCTACGTATGCTTCACCTCCTTCACATCTAAATTATCTCTTATCATTTTTTTATTTATTTTAGATGTTATGTTCCTAACTTTCCCTTGGTGGGTCCACCATTGATAACTTCATCGTCTACAACTTGGCGCCAATTTACCTCCCTCCTTAACTTCTTCGTCGTTTATCTTTTTAATTCTTATTCTGGCTTTATGTGCTGTTTGTATTATTTGTTTCATATTTTTAAGTAGTATAGTAAATACAAACACGTTTTTTTTTCTAAAGATATTTATTGATTTTAGAACTTTACCAAATAAGAAATATAACATGTTATTTAATAATCATTTAGTGAAATTTATAATAGCATTTCTCTCGTGGAAAGTTTGATTCCCTTATCCTTCGTGGCCCTATTCTGATTTCCCTTTATCCTCCTCCTTCACAATTTATTATAGAAAATTATTTCAAAATTTATAGCATGGTAAAATTACTTCCAAATTGTTACCAAAGAATTTTTTTTATGAAAATTGTATTTATAGAACAAAACTTTGAAATAATTATAATGGTCTATTTTGAGATTGTCACTAAAATTACCATGCTGTTGCTTTTAAATACAACGCATTTGATATGTACATAATAGAGAATGTGCACTTTTTAAAAAATAACGGATGTAATTTGTAAACAAATAATATCTAACAAAGAAAAGTAAAATCAATTGAAGAATGGAAAACTGTACTTTGTAGAAAAATACATGAAGTAGGAAAAAAATAGAAGAAAAAAAAGGGCATGTATCATGTTGTTCTAAATCTTATAATTATAATTCATAATACACATATTTAATTACAATTATTATCAAGATTAAAAGAAATAAGTACAATTTAGAATTGAATACACAAACAGAACTGTTATTTTAATCTAATATTAAGTGCTCTCATTATTATAATTAAAATTGAATACACATTTTTTGTATTGAAAGAGGTCAAAGATTTCCCTTAAAAATGGAGAAGAGTCGAATTTGAAAAAGACAACAATTTTAGTCTCTTATTATTATGTCCACAAATGCTTTCTTTTTTCTAATATATTAAAATTCCCATTGATGTTCTTATTCTCACAGGCCCACTCGTGACTTTGAAATTTGTAATATTTCCACCGGCTTATTCTCACACTTCATTTTTTTTATTCTCATTCCAACTTTTTTCTTTTTTTGTAAAAAAATCTTTGACAAAAACAATTTTGTATTTTTCTTGTGTATACAAAATCTACATCCTATTTTCTTTTACGACTCAGGAAATTTTCTGTTTATTGATCACAGCGGAAATGTGATTTTGACAATGTTATTTTATAAATAAATAAAAATTAAGGATGTGAACTTAAGAAAATGAGTATAAGAATAACAAAGCCCTTTTAATTAGATTGCAAATAACGGCCCACACACTATTTACACCCCTAAGTTGAATATTCGCATAACTTACTTTAAAAATACCATTGATGGAAATTAATTTTCGTTATTCATGATTATGCAATCAAAAATAGGTGAATGGGATCAATGCAATCAAGAATTAGGGGGTGAGAATAACAAAGCCAAGAGAACATTCCACTGTGAGCCCAACAGAAAAGTGCAATTGGATTTGTGTTAAGAAGATAGGCCCAATTTACGACCCTTTTTCATTTGGAGAAGTTTACAAGGACGTCCCATCCAAAAAATAAAAAATAAAAAAGCTTACAATACCTGAGACATCTATCACTCGCTCGTAACATTTATGATTCTCCAAAAAAAAAGACGTTTGTGATGTATGTTATGTTTTAGATTTTAAAAGATTTTGATTCTTCTTTGTTTATCATTAATAGAATATAATCCACCCTCAAAAAGAAAAAAAAAGTGCATATGTTTTTATCAAATATAATTGGTGAGTTTTATATTCAATTTATTTGATAAAATTATATTTTTTTATCTAATATAAACTTATAATACTACTAATAGTAACAATAGTAAACTGAAAAAATTAATTTCAAACAGCCTTTATTGTCATTAAAGACTAAAAAGGGCATTAATTCCTCGTGTTTCTATCTTAGATAGTTTTCAGATGTTATATATAAATATCCCATTGCACCATAAAACATTTTAAATCAACACAGTGAGTTCTATAAATTAAGTGTAATTTTATGGTATTTGTTTGTGATGAATGTACTAACCAGAATATTTAAGATTTTAGTTCATCAGTGACCACTCACCTATGGGATATAAATATGCCTTTTGGGATTATATTCATGTGGAACATTTGTTTGAATCAAAATATAAATACACTCTTCGTCTTATGGAGAATGAACGATGAGTTAAAGACACATCTATATATAATGATTACAAAGATCATTTTTAAATGTATATTATTAGATTTATTCATTGTAATTTTTTAAATGATTTCTTCAATTATTTCTCACAACATAATTTGAATTTATTTACGTGTGTTTAATATATATATATATATATATATATATATATATATATATATATATATATTTATTTATTGATGGGTTGTGGTGCAGGTTTTCTGGGTTCACGTGAAATGAAATGATAATATAAATGAAAATAAAATGAGGGTGGGATCCACCGGATACAAGTCAAAGACTAGTTGAGTTGAGACCACTATATATTATAAGAAATAATATTTCTCTAAATTTATATTATTTAAAAAAGAAATTATCCTATCGATATTATAGTTGTGTTATAAGAAGATGCATATCTACGAAAATGAAACGACAAAGATATGTTGTTGGGTGGAGAGAAGAGGATCGATGAGGTAGGGTTTGGAATAATTAGACGAAGAAAGTGCAACGAAAGAATATCATGAAATCAAATCATAAACAGAGAGGATGATTCCGATTCGGATACTCAATCCAGATGATATGCCTTCGTCACTCTTCACCCAACCAAACCCTGTTATTATCTTTATCATCTTATCCCATCTATTCTTCAACCATTTCACCCTAATTCGACCTATTACAACCCTTCATTCTATTTTACCTCATCTCATCTCTCATATAGTAAAAATGGAATCAAACACATGATTTCTCATAATTAACATAAATTATTTATATCTTGCAAAAAAAACGGATTCACAATAAATTAGTGAATCAATTTTGAAAAATATATTTTTAATTTATTAATTAATATTTTTATTAAATAAATTAAAAAATTATTATATTTATATATTAAAATATTTAATTATAATTAATCATTTTAATTTAATTGATTAGTATTTATAATTTAGATTATAATATTATAATAATTTTATATATTTAAATTATAATTTCTTTACTCTAATTTTAATATATAAATATTTTTTTAAATAAATTAATGGGTTAACTCATCTCTTATCCTATTCTTAATTTACCTGATTAATAAACTAAACAGGTCAGTTTGACATATTAAAACAATTAATATATTTTATAGTTTCGAACTATATATATATATATATAACCTGCCAATTCATTGTTTTTTTTTTAACTATTTGCTTTCACTGTTTTCATGATTTGAAAGTAAAATCACATATTCACCTTTACATGAGTAATCATGGTTTACCATAATTGCTAAACTTTTCATTCATCCGCTTTGGTAAGTAATAATGTTTAATGTACCAAAACAAACCTTTCCAGTCATTTGTTTTGATCAATATCCCATTTTATTTTACTGTTAAGAAATATTTCCCTGTGTGTGTGTTTTTCAAAGTACTTTTCACTTACAATATCTTAAATTTCTGTGATGATGATAAAATAGAAAGGAAGATGTGGGAGGCGTTTGAACAGTGAGTTTTTTTCCTTTTTGGTTTTAAGATATGAATGATGCCTTTAATTGGATTTTGGGACACCGATTCCACCTACTACAACTCAAATAATGGAGCTTTATCTCTTTTGTTCCTTAGATTCTCCTTATTTTTGCCATTCTCATCACTCAACTACCGATACATACTTAGCTTCCATCGTCATCACATGTTATTCTATTATATTTAAGATGTCTATCATGTGAGAGTGAAATAATGTTTTTTTTTTTTTTTTGGGTTTGGAATGATTATGGAAAATGAGACAGTGAAAAGAGAAATGATTTAATTAAGAAGAAAATATAAATGATAGAAAGTTTACATAGATTTGTTTTGCTTTCTTTGATAGGTTTTGTTATTTTTTATAATTATAAAAATTAATTTAATATTTATAATAATTATGATGTAATACTTATACAAATTTGATTTAAAAAAATTTAGACAGTATTACTGAAGCATTATCACTCTTATAATATACTAATTTATATACAGAAGATCGAAAAATTAGATAAATTAATCACCAAAAAAATGATATAAATATGTTATCGATATAAAAGTTTACTAATTTTTAGTTTTTTAAAATTGAAATAATGTATCTTAGTAGTCTATTTTTGATATTTTAATTTATTAAATTTTAAAAATACATCCTTGTTTCAAAGTATTTAATTTAAAAAATCTGAAAGACTACAGTATTTTTATCTGAAAGAAAGCTACAACATCTTATAAAAACAAAAACAAATCCAAATGTATCCCACTTTCATAATAAAAGTTCAATATTTCATACTTTTTTATATTTATTGTAATAAAAAAAAATCATGTGACATATGATGTAGAAAATGTTGAAACATAATTAGTGGGACCATAATACCTACGCGTCCATCACAAATCACAATCACAATCACCGACTTGTGTTGCGGCAATGTGTAGGATACGATGCATGTCAACCTTTCTTTCACTGTCACTAATTACTGCACCAAATCACATTATTATTATTGCTATTATTATTATGATGATGTAATAATAGGTCTTGTTGCTTTATATAACATATCAACGTTAACACACTGAAATTGGACTAAGATAAGATGGGGAATAAAAGTGTAATAAAACAAAAATGTGAACATTAATTTATTCTTTTTCTTGGGAACATTCTTGCATGTGATACTGAAAAGGTTCCACCATGTTATCGGGAAGAGACACCAGCACTCTCACCGCATTAGCGTCACCGGGAACCGGTAAAAACAAGCAGTAAATATCGCTGGTCAAAGGACCCATATGCAAAGGTTTCCCTTCCCCAAAATCCACCTCTTCCAACCCCAGTTTAGACCACTGCGAAATAACCAAACTCGTACAAAGATCCGTTTTCACCGTTTTGTCCTCCAACAAGTCAACCATTGACCGTATATAGTCCTCGTCTTTCAACCTCGCCTTCGCTTCCTGCACAAGCTTCACACCGTGGCGCAGGTTACCCTCCTCCACTAACTCCTCTACGCTGCTCTCGGCGCACGCTAGTAAGAACCCGTTTCCGTAATACCCTTGCGGAAGGTCAACCACTGCTCTAACGTTCACAGAGAAAAGGAGCTTCACCAGGAGTTTCGACGGTAGGGATTGGTTTAGTGACCGAACCCAAGACCGCCACGTGTGCGCCGCCACGGTTTCGAAGGACGTGCACTTCAGGGAGGGCACGCACTGTTTCTTGAGGCGAAGGACGTGGTCGGGGGTGAGGGTGAAGGACGTGGGTACCAAGGGGTGTGACTGTATCAACTTCATCAGGTCCACTTGAGAGGTTGGGGTTGGGTTTGGGTTTGGGTTTGGTGCGGTGTACCCCGCGTGACGGAACTTTACCTGCGCGGGCTCTCTGGGTTTCAGCACGTGGCGCCAGTGAAAGGGCACGATTGTCAATTCCGCTTCGGGCTTTTTCGTTAGTTGTGCCCAAGCGTGTAGGAACTGAGACGTGCCTATGCCGTCGCATACGCAGTGGTTGATCGCGGTGCAGAGTATCATTCCCCCGCAACCTAGGCTCGTTACCTGCAAATTAAATTAAAAAAATAAAAAAATCAGGTCTGGGAGGACACTCTGGTCAATCTCAACCCTTGATTTTCTACCGAAGGAAATTTTAATCTGAACCCTTAATATTTTTTATTCCTTTACAAAATTATGGAGATATATAAGAACAAAAATTTTCAGCCATTGATCCTGACGGCAGGAAATCCAGATCCATATTTTGTGTGTTCGCATAGATATGTGGTGTTCAAACTTTCTGTTTGTGTCAGTCTTGCTTTATTTGACTCCTTTATTTTAATTGTAATTAATAATATTTAAGAAAATAATTGCAGTTGCCATTTGTGTAGCTCTGTTGTAATTCATAGTATTGGAGAAAATTATGGGTCCATTTTAAGCGAAGACATTTAAATATATGAGTTACAATGAAACTTACAGTTGCAAACTGTTATGTAGAACCTTGATAGAGAGGCAAATGATAAAAGATAAAATAGATTCAACCACGGTTGTGTTTTAGGGATAATGAAGAGAGAAGAAAGTGTAGAAGTGTGATGAAAGAGCAGGGGAGTGAATGTTTTAAATATTTATTTATATAAGTTGGAGGAGTATTTTTTTATTATATAAAATTCACCTGGTTTTTAATTATTAAACGAATAAGTGTTGAATTTAAAACATTGCATATGTTTCTGTATCAATATGTTTTTCTCGTCAATAAGATTATTAAGAAATAATAATAAAAAAAACATTACTTAAAGGTAAAACTTTTTTTATTTTTTATTTTTGTGGTGGTGAAACCTAGGTTCGGCTTTTTGCCTTTTCTAATATATACACGTTAAGTAATTAGTACTATATCAGTAGCAAGGAATCATCATTACTTGACTCATTAGTGTCGAAACCTTGTTTAGTTTTTCTTATTTTTTTGGATAATAAATTTAAATGCTCTAAAACGATTGGTAAGATAAAATTATTTGGTGATGAGATTATTTTTTAGGAAGTTGAAAAATTAGTAACTTTATAGTTTTTTTTTTTTAAATAACTCGATATAGTAAGAAGGAACCAAAAACCAAGTAGATGGAATGGCAAATTCTAGGTATAACCTAATTATATAGGAATTGGGATTTTAAATCTGATTTTACAAATGTCATCTTCAAGACATTTTGCTTTTCACGAACCATCACCAGTGACCGACTAAAATGTAAATGTCTTTTTGTATATGTATATGAGAGGATGAAAGTTTTCTGTGAAAGTGTGAAAGAGACAAATTAGGAAAGGAAGAAAAGTAGATGATACCACATATTGAAGAAAGATGTTCATGTAACAGAAACAAAAGTGTAGAAGCTGTCACAATAAATATTCATACACGTCTTCACGTCAAAGTTCTCTGAACCTAAACGTAAAAACAGTGGACACTAAATACACAAGGTAACATATTTTGTGTGACGAATTAAACTTTGTGTGAACAGACAGAGAATTAGAAAATCTAAGCAAAAGGGTTGAATTATAAACAAGTTGGTCATAGAAATTTGGAAGGGATGAGTAGTTAATCTGACCTGGACTATAAGAGGAGGAACATCGACGAAACTGTGAGCTTCGACCTTATACAAGAACTTGTTCCAAGACTTGTTGGGAGTCTTGGAGGATTCGAGTAGTTGATGAACAGTGGTGTGAGTGAAAGCCTCAGCAAAGAGAGCACCTTGTCCATTGCAATCCACCTCAAGCTTGTGATCATCGACGCTCCTCAATCTGCCAGCTAAGGGGTAATAATCCACTAGAACTCTACCCAGAGAAGACTTCAACACATCCAAGCTCATGGACTTGTTGAAGAGGAACAAGTACTTGATGGAGAACCTGAGGAACTTTTGGTCGTCAAGATTGGACAAATAGAGAGAATGTTTTGGGGTAGGAGCACTTGGTGGAATGCTCACTGCTTGCCCACGATAGATACACTTAGGGGCTTCCATAGATACTGTATGATACAATGATTAATAATGATACGAAGAAGAGTTGCAGAGATTGAAAGAAGGAGAAAAAGAGAAGGAGAAGATGATTGAAGAAAAGAGTGAGTGGAAGGAGAGGGTGGTGTATTATTATTATTATTATTATTATTGTTATTGTTATTATTATTATTATTATTATTATTACGAATGTGTGAGTGTGTCCAAGGAGGAAAAACGGGTGATTTGAAATTTGTGGTTTGGATAATGGTTTTGGGTACGATGAGATTCCTTTTGAGGAGATGGGTGTGGCCTCATCATAGCTTTTGGAGTGCTCATTCTACACTGTCACTTCACTTCACTTGTTTAACACAATTTGTTTGTTGTAATCACTTTAATTTGCTTCCACATTACAATAAAGGGACAATGCTAAGTCAACACAGCGCAGCAGGTTCTGCCGATAAGATGCTGCACTGTTTCACTTTAATCAATCGTCAACACACTAATCCTTTCCTTTTCTCGTCTTGATCGATATCTATGCAAAAACAAGTCATCTATTCCTTTATCAAAACCTTCCTCTAATTCATAATATTTCAATTCCATTTCTAAATTCGAATGAATTAATAATGTAGTGGGTTGAATGTGTCTGCTGAAAGAGTAAAAAGGTGGTGATTTTGGAACTTCAACACGCCTCTTGTACTTGTTTAACATATCAAATGTATATGGACTTCATTTTTTACTCTCTTCTTTTCAAAAACGAACTCTCCAGACGGCACCTTTATAATTTTAAATCATTGCACTATTGATAAATTTGTCAGGTTATAATTTATTTGTACTATAAAATTAACAGGGTCCAGGGATAGAGTACTTTTGAGCTTTTTCTTATAAGAAAGGTCAAAGAGAGAGCACGAATCCATTGCCACTGTAAAATAAATCAAATAAATTGATAGTGGGAAAACATTTGCGTAAGAGCAACACTTATCTGTTATCTTCAACAGGTTTATTACTGTCTTATGGAGCCTTTTATTGGTCATATGATACATCAAAACTTTCATCTGGGGGTTAATTGTTCAATAACAAGCTCTAAAGATTATCATGTTTTAATAATTACAAACTACCATTTGATCCTGCAACATCTTAGTACTTTAATTTTAAATAGCATTTACAGATAAAAGTGTCGTGTAAAACATTTTGAGATCTGTTATTTTTAGAAAATATTTATATTTTGTTTTGTATTTTTCAATAAATATTAGTTGTTTTATGATAAAATAATAAAATATATTGAGCAAACAGGCAATAATTTTTTTAAACTAAAAAAGATAGTATCTATTTCTCAAACACCATAAATGGAGTTTATTTAGAGGGTTTATATAATGTATAACCATATTAATATAATTAATGTAATTGAATATAGATTCTTTTAAGGGAGTCAAAGTGAGGTGTAACGCACTAGTTAATGTCTTCATATTTATCAGTGAAGAGGTAGATATTAATATCACTTTGATTAAAATATCATGTAACTACTACTTTCTCAATTAATCTTTACTCTGTTTTTACATAACTCCACCCCAAATTTATATATATATATATATATTAGTCAATGCAGGTTTTTTAACTAAGAATAGTAACACTATGAAGAATCTTGGAAAACAAAAAATTTACTTCTGAAACCACAATCACACTTAATGTTTTGGATTTGAAAAATAGAAATTATTTAAAATAATGTGATATATAAAAAAGAGAGTGAAATATTGTGTGGTCATGTTAACATGAACCAGGGAGATTGTGAAAGGAGAAACGCGACGCTCTGTTCTGACTTTTTTGTTTGCTAGTTTCGGCAGTGGAGACCACCAACTATTGTAGTGTCGCCGCAGTGCCATTTTCTTTTTCTCCTCCATCCACTACTCCACATTATGTTATCCATTTTTTCATAACAAAATATAACTCAACTCACTCTTTGTTAAACTAGTGAAAACAGATCATTCATTTGTAAAATAACTTTTTTTTTTCTATTAAATAATAGAACTATTATTTAAGTAATTGTTTTGAGAAACTGATTGTCTCTAGTAGTTCTCTCATTTTTTTCTAACGTAATCAAATAACTATTATAATTATAAATAAGGTATTAATATCAAAATTCATTCGAAACTTAAATCCGTGATTCTTTTAGAATCATTAAACGACCAACCTTCGAATGGACTAAACTGAAGATCGTATCATTTCAAATGGTCCTGCATAATATTAATAATGTGAACTAAATTGAACATCATGCTACTAATCAATGGCCACTATTCTGCCGACGATTTCTTCGACCTGACAAGAATATGTTTCTGCTTGATTTAAAAGCAAACACATTCACATCTTAAGAGAGGATATTAATTTCGCCAGTTTGTCACCATTAGATGCCATTTCAGCTATATTAATTCAAACTAAACAAAGAAGCACTACAAATTAACGGCAAACAGCTTTGCAGGAACCAAACAATGTTGCCAGTACAACTATTAGTTGTCCAATCCTTCGTAGCTTTTACCTCAATCAAACATGTCTATGCGACATACTATAGGCGACAGAAAAACATGGAACACCGTTTCATGAGATCTAGGTTGGCTCAGCTCCACTGTTCAAAACCTAAATCATCTTCTGTGGCTTCCACAATAAAACCTTTGCACCTTATTTTACCTAACTTTGACAAATTATGTTGCAAGAACGACATCAGGACCTTGGAAGGTGTAAGATATAACCCTACACCCCAGTGATAAGGCTGTAGGTTGTGTACGTGTTCACTCCTTTTTCCTCTATTATGTCATTGAATATTGATGGACAATTTCACCAACATAAATTTTTAATTAGATTTTTACCGATATAAGGTTGAGACGTGCCTTGTCCGGCAGTAAAAGCTTCATTTGATCATACACTCCTATTATTCGAAGGCATTTGAAACTCAATCATGTTCCCAGAGACGTAAATTCTGTCGGTGTGTTTTTCAATATGCTTTAGGAGAAAGGAACATCGACCCAACAAAAAGTATATCGGTACTGCACTTTTCTTTGTGTACCTTATACGCTGCCTACGACTTTCCGGTGTTTTCTCACTTTCACCTTTTTGACTCTGCTTCTTAAAGTTTGGAGACATACTGGGTCAAGGGAATCGAATTCTCGTCAAAACCAGCTCAGGTTCAATGGCGCATATACATTCCAACGAATATCTCTAGTCCAAACCATTACATAGGAGGCTCACCACATCATAACACTAATGAGATAAAATAAAGTCTTTAATAAGCTTAAGTTTTACAAGTCGCGTGACACAGTTTTACTATCACAGCCAGCCTAGTAATTTTCCTAGTACATTTTTTATTTATTTATTTATTTAAGAACTCAAGTTCCACTCGCCATTCATTATCTCGTGTAAATCATCTTCCACTTGTACAAGCAGAGTCGTATGCTGCCATACCACCAAATTTAACTGGAAATTCCAAATTAAGCAAACGAAGTTAACTTACTAAAAATGTTATTCGTAGTTTTCTGGAATAATTCAGCATACATGAACATCAATGAGTTCGAAAGGAAGTAACCTCATACTTTGGATTTGCAGAGATTCTAATTATAACCGGGCAACGTATGAGTTTGCTTCCGTTACATACCGAACCCAGCGATAAGGATTATGTGCTTTTGATTTCTTTGCTATTTGCAAATACTTTACCTGCAACCAAAAATGGCATTTTAGAACTATTTAAGAGAGTTCAAATGAACCAGATAGAAAAATCAAATTGCAATAATAGAGGTAAGTTGGAACTATATCTAAAATCACTAGGGATGATAACACTATCCGATCTAGTATCCAGTAACACGAGCTTCAGAAATCAACAAAGACATAATAGGAATCACTTCTAGATAGCAATAAAATTATGGCACTATAAAAAATCCCATACACACTATTCTAGCTTTGCTAAATAAATGTAATAGAAAACACACCCCTAGCAGTTTACCTGGAGCCTTGAAGCATTGTACATAGGTATGGTGAAAGTCATGCTTACAGGCCCTGCTTCTTTCATGATGTTTCCTGTGCTCGGTACAAATACTTCAATTCATTACAAAGAACAACTCCTTTTGAAAAATAGAGCTAAAAAATAATTATCAGCAATGTACCATGTAACTCCTGTGAAAACGTGAGCTTTGCTCGTAGAGTATGTTCAGATCCACCAACAGCCTGTAAGAGAATGGACCAGAAATTATTGTCATCCATTAATATGACTCGTATTAACCTCAAATACCTCCAACTGAATGATCCTTTACAAACATCAATAGTAAGTGTTTAAAAGATATACTGATTATCAGCGAAAAAACAAACAATCAATATTACCTTTTTCAGGCCCCATTCCAGTCTTTTATTTGTTTCCTTAAAATCAGTGGTGTGTCCAACTGCTCCAGGTTCTAACTCAAAATTAACACTGAAAAATAAAAAAATAAAAATTACAAAAAAGGAAGTAAGATCAAGTCATCGGAATGGTTCTTTAACGATGTTAATGAATGGACCATTTTGGCACGTATGTGCTATAAATTACAACACACACACAGCAAAAACAAAAGGTAGCATATTCACTAAATCAGATTCTGACAATCCCATTGGCATTAAGATGAATAAATCAGCCTCCAGCATGTACATCCCTACTTATCGCATTTTCTTTTTCTCATCTACCAGCCAACCCATGAGTCAGTGAGTACCAGTGGTGTGGCGCCCTAGTAATCTTGTTTTCTTTTTTCATTTTGTTCTTTGCATGCTTTGAGTTCTAATTTATGATTAGACACATTCAAATTGGGCCCTAAGCTTTGCTCTTGAATGTTTATATGTGGGAATTGTGGTGCTGACAAAGGAATGGTTTGCTATTATAAGTGAGTGTGGTGAAATTAACCACTGTTAGTATTTATTTCACTTGCCACATTTGATACTTAGTTCACTTTTTCCTTTTTTAATTTCAAAATCTCCTGCAGTGTAATGTCCATTCATTCTACTGATAGCAACAAAACATTACAAGCAAGCAACCAGGCATGACAAGGAAACCTGTCGTCAGCCAGTGATTTTCTGGCTTTGTGGTTAATTACTAATATCTATCTTCTGGCCTTGATGTAGTGCAGACTGCAAACTGAAACAGATTCTGCTGCTTATCAAAGACTAGGGTTGCACCAATTCTGCTTAACATAAAGGCTATTTTCTAAGCTTTTGATTTTATAAAAGCATGATGAATTTTTCTTTCTTTTTGAGTTTTTTTTTTTTTTTTTTTTTAGGTGGGTTGAAGGTTATCTCATTTGACAAACCTACTATATGGCATGGCCTCTGGTGCCTTAAATCTTGACAATCTATCAAACAGCCAACCAACCTGTTAGTTAGCTAGCTCATTATGGAGAGGAGGGAGTATAAACTAAATCATTCCTGTTGAATATAGGGAAAAACTGTATAGGGTTAATTTCCCTTGTGTATTTACCACACATAGGGCAGTATATTTATAATAAAGAAAGGTACTCCTCAAAAGAGTAACAGAATACAAATAGGGTAAATAAAAGATATTATTTGATATTGTGATTAACAATATCTAACAATATCTTAACAATATCAAATAATATCAACTAATATCTAATCATATCTAACACTCCCCCTCAAGCTGGAGCATACAAATCGTATGTGCCTAGCTTGGTACAAAGATAATCCATCCTAGGTCCCAGTAAAGACTTAGTGAAAATATCTCGCTAATTGATCACATGAGTTAACAAACTCGGTCTTGATGTCTCCGAGACATAATCTTTTCTCGAATAAAATGGCGAGTCAATCTCAATGTGTTTAGTCCTCTCATGAAAGACAGGGATTAGAGCTTATATGGAGAGCGGCTGATTGTCACACACTAGTGTCATTTGAGTGACATCTCCAAATTGTAGCTCTTTAAGCAATTGCTTGAGCCAAATAAGTTCACAGGTAGGCTGAGGCCATAGCTCTATACTGCGCTTCGCACCTGGATCTTGCCACAACACTTTGTTTCTTACTTTTCCATGAGATCAAGTTACCACCAATGGAAACACAATACCCAGATGTAGATCTTCTATCGGAGGGAGATCCCGCCCAATCGGCATCCGAATAGCAGACAACTCTTGTATGATTATGGGAGTCATACACCAAACCTTTTCCAGGAGACTTTTTGATGTACTTCAATATACGGATGATCTGCATTCCAATGATCTTGACAAGGAGAATTGAGGAATTGACTCACCATACTGACTCGCAAAGGAAATGTCGGGCGAGTAAGCTGTAAGATAATTTAATTTTCCAACTAATCTTCTATACTTGTTCGAGGATCCGACATTGGCTCCCCCGATTTGGCAAGAGTTTGGTATTAGGATCCATGAGTGTGTCAACGAGGCTTTGAATTCATCAACCCGAGTTTCCTCCAAAATATCCAATGCATACTTTCTTTGAGATATAACAATGCCATTGGTAGATTGTGCTACCTCAATACCCAAGAAATATCCGAGTTTGCCAAGATCTTTGGTTTGAAAATAGTGGCAAAGGTGTTGTTTCATCCGAGAGATGCCATGATGGTCACTACTCGTAAGAACAATGTCATCGACATACACTTATCAAATAGATACATCCGAGCATTCGAGTGACGGTAAAAGACCGAGTGGTCCGCCTCACTTCTAGTCATGCCAAATTGTTGAACAACGTTGCTAAATTTGCCAAACCAGGCCCTAGGAGACTGTTTTAGGCCATATAAAGATTTGCGAAGACGACATACCAATCCGAGAAGACTCCCACGAGCAACAAATCCAGGAGGTTGCTCCATATAAATCTCTTCTTGCAAATCGCCATTCAAGAAAGCATTTTTGACATCCGAGTTGATAAAGAGGCCATTGTTGAATAGCGGCCATGGCAATGAATAAACGAACGAAGCCATCTTTGCCATCTGGAGAGAAAGTATCACCATAATCCAACCCAAAAATTTGGGTATAGCCTTTGGCTACAAGGCGAGCTTTGAGGCGATCAATAGTACCATCAGGACCAACCTTGATAGCGAAGACCCACCCGCAACCAACAACAGATTTTCCAGATGGTAATGGGACAAGCGTCCGGGTTCCACTAGTCCGAAGAGCACCGAGTTCATCTAGCATGGCCTGACGCCAACCAGGGTGGGCTAAGGCTTCGAGACAGATTTAGGAATAGACACAGAAGAAATAGACGAGAGACATGTATAAAATGGTGAAGAAATTTGATGATAACTAATAGCAGTATAATGTGGAGAAGGATTACGAGTAGAACGCGTACCTTTACGAAGGGCAATAGGAAGGTCGGACTACGTGGACTGAACCGGAGGAGGCGAGTATTTAGCACCGGGAGTGAGTCATGTGGCGTGCTGTTGTGGGCGAGGTCTGCGACTATAAACCCGAAGGGGTGGTGGAGGAGGAGGGGCTAATGGTGGATGGTCCTCAACATAAGGATCAATGAGAACAGGGAATGGGAAGCTGTAGCGAGATGGAGACTCAGCAGGTAGGGAAGGGTCCTTAAAGTAAAAGGAAAACTCATTGAAGGTGACATCGACGGACACAAAATAGCGATTAAGAGAAGGAGAAAAACACTTGTATCCTTTTTGGGATCGAGTAAATCCTAAGAAAACACATTTGTGTGATCGAGGAGATAACTTATCATGACCAGGATCAAAATTGTGGACAAAACAGGTAGACCCAAAAACCTTCGAGAGGTAAAGGATGGAGAGTGTCATGAGGAAATAAAATAGAATGGGGAATTTTGTTATCTAAAACCGAAGAGGGCATACGATTAATAAGATAACGAGCGAGTAAGAGCGACATCACCCCAAAAATGTTGAGGAACCGCACCATGAATTAAAAGAGTACGGGTTGTTTCAATAAGGTGTCTATTCTTGCGCTCGACCACCCCATTTTGTTGAGGGGTATAAGCACAGGAAGTTTGATGAAGAATGCCATGAGAAGCCATAAATTGTTTAAACGAGTTTGAAAGATATTCACGGCCATTATCACTTCGAAAAGTTTGAATAGAGACACCAAATTGATTTTTAATTTCATGATAAAAGTTTTGGAATATAGAAAACACCTCGGAACGATTTTTCATTAAAAATAACCAAGTACAACGAGAGAAATCATCAATAAAAGTAACAAAATATTGAAAACCTAAATTAGACTTAACACGACTGGGTCCCCAAATGTCGAGTGAACTAAGGCAAAGGGGGATGAAGCACGCCGGGAAACACTACGAGAAAAGGAAGTACGACTATGTTTGCCTAATTGACAGGACTCACACACCAAACCGGACAACCTGGGATAAGCTGGGAACAAGTTGCTGTAATTTGCGCAGACCGGGGTGACCAAGCCGAGCATGAAGGAGAGAAGGAGACTCCATAAGCGTGCCAACATGTGGAGAAGGTTGAAGATAATAAAGTCCATGTGACTCACATCCAGGTGCCAATCACTTTTTGCGAGCTCCGGTCCGTAAGGAAACGAAGTTTTGGTAAAAGAGATAACACAATCAAGAGATCGAGTTAGACGGCTAATGGATAATAAGTTAAAGGGGGACCCGGGTACATACAAAACATTATCAATGGACAACGAGGGAAAAAGAGTAACTAGTTCCAACACCATGAGCTAAAGTTGTAGACCCATTAGCCATTGTAACGAGAGGGTAAATTATGAGAAGAAGTGAAAGAGGAAAATAAGGATTTGTTACCGAGTGATGTGATCGGTGGCGCCTGAGTCAAGAACCCAAGAGCCAATAGAAGAAGAGTGAGTCGGACCAAGCAAAAGATGTACTGTGTGGGCAACGAAGTAGTGGAACTAGAGGGCTTTCGATCCTCATACCATTGAAGAAAATCATTGAAGATAGCAGATTTGTCCGAAGGTACGGACGAAGGAGGATCCACAGCAGAGGATTGTGCGGAAGAATCGGTCCGAGCAAGCTGCGACGAGATCGGCGAGGATAACCATGTAAAGCATAACATTTGTCAATTTTGTGGCCTAGTTTGCCACGATGGTCACACTTGACACGCCCTTTGCCCGGCTTGTGAGAGCGATTACGATCATCACGGTGAGAGGCCAAGGCGGATGAATCATTAAAAACAGTTGCTCGGACCCACCGGAGTCGACGGAGGTAACTCGAGAATTGGAAGTGGCGGCGGAAGATGCCATGGAGGAAGAGAGAGAAAAACCCTAAAACACCAAAGAGGTCCGATTGGAGCGGCGAGGACAGATCCGAGAGAGAGGAGAAGGAGGCGACGCCGGCACAAAGAGTGGCGGCCTGAACGGCGGCGAGACGCGCCGCCACGCGCGGCGGAACGGGAGAAGGTGGCGCGGCTTCGGGAGGCGCGTGAGGGAGCGTGGCTGCTCCGATGACCGCGAAACTTCCACGGTGGAGGTCGCACGAAGGAGGCGAGCAAAACCCTATGCTCGGTGGTCCGAACTGCTACTCCGGCGACGGCGGCAGCGGCGGCGGACGGAGGCGGCGACAGCTGCAGGTTCAGTGGCAGAGCCAAAAAAAATCCCAAGAGACCTTAAGCTCTTGATACCATGTTGAATATAGGGAAAAACTGTATAGGGTTAATTTCCCTTGTGTATTTACCACACATAGGGCAGTGTATTTATAATAAAGAAAGGTACTCCTCAAAAGAGTAACAGAATACAAATAGGGTAAATAAAAGATATTATTTGATATTGTGATTAACAATATCTAACAATATCTCAACAATATCAAATAATATCAACTAATATCTAATCATATCTAACAATTCCTATCAACTATAACTAAAATTAAATGTACAATAATTATTAAGAAAATGTTATACCGAGCTGTAAATGATGGCAGAGGCATCTGTACAAGAATAGTGTTAGCATTGGTACTTGAGTTGAACTCAGCTCGCACTTTAATAGTCACTTCAGCCTATAAAAAAAATATGCTTGCTATCAGAAAATGCTAAAAAAAATGAAGACTAGGAAAGTTATGGGGAGGGAAGATCTAAACCACCTTCAGGGATCCTGTTTCTTCAATCAATGCAGTAATACGAAATGGTGGTTTAAATGGTTGAGTCATACGATAATTCATGACTGGAAACTCACCATCTGGTGGTACCTACCAAACAATGGAATAGTAATTAGTCAAGGGACTCAAAAGCACAACATGCTATTGTATTACCTTATATGTAAGTTAGTGTACTATGTACTTACCAATGACAAAGTTCTATCAAGATCAAAACTATCAAGGTGTACTGACTCATGGAAGTTACAATCATCCAAAATCACAGCACCTGAACCTCTGTAATCTGTTAAAGATGATAGAACAAGATCAAGAAAGAATGAAAAGGTATAGCAAAAGAGTATAGGATATGAAAAATCAACTAGCCAACAAGAATCTCTTCAAGAAAATTATCTATCCATCAGTGATTCAACCAACAAATATATGAACCCAACAAAAAATATCCCCTTATTAACACCAAATATAGAATTATTTTCAATATATAAATACTTTAAATCTTTATAAAGGGAATACAGTCAAGAAATATGCCAGACAACAACCAAACAATCAAGAAAATAACATGATAGAGAAAACGTACACATTTTTCTCAGAGTTTTAACTTTCAAGGGGAACAAAATAAGATGTTGATTGACCTACCACTTGTCCCTATACTCAGGTCTTCATTGAGAGCAAGTCGAATCTCTGGGTTACCAGAAAGATAACTCTTCATTTGAATGGTTCCATCTATCTCACTGGTTAGTATAAATCCCTGCATGCAACAACAAACTCACGTCAAAATGCCTCAAAATTTTGTAGTATGTAAAAGGAAGTAAGACATCATAACAGACAGCATGGAAAAACCATAAAAAAAGATGACCAATATACTCACACTAGAATTGAATGTAACACTTATTTTCTCAATTACATCAACAAAGATCTCATCTCTCTTCCTGCCACCGGGTTCATTTGCAACCACAGATTTTGTAATTGCTGTACCTGGCATTCGTTTAGTCCCTTGCTGCAAATATAAGAATAACAAGTCAACAAAACCATGCATGAAAACCAATAATATGTCTGCAGTAAGAAAATGACTGAACCTCCAAATAGTTAGCTACGTACCATGAAAATGGAAGCAGGACCAAGGGGAGGCATCCGTGCAGCATCAATCACTATTGGCTCATTGAATATATATGACTTCAAAACTTCAGTGGATGTTGTTTGCACATAACCAAAATCCTGGCACAATAAACCTCAGTATAAATAAATATATCAAACAGAAATGCAGCAGTTAAAACCACAAAAAAAATTAACAAGCTCTAAAAAAAATCCATACATCATGGTGAAATACCAAGCATCTGTACAAATTACAAAGTTTCCCTGCCCTCCCAAAAGGTGACTCATAAAAATAGATTAAAATGGAATTTAACAAAAGTGTGCTTTTTATCCAATCAATTTTAGTACATAAAGAGTTGAAAATTGGAAACTTGTTCAAGGGCAACTTGGCATGTGAATAGCTGTAGACAACAGTCTAGTAAAAACTGATAGAAAGAATCACTAAAGTGTAAATGACCAAAAGCAATCAATGGTGCTAGGACCTACATTTTGTTAATAAAATTTGGGAAAGCATGCTTTCGAATCCAACTTGCATATACAGGTATTTTCCACAAACAAACCATCAGTCGAAGCAAAAATAGAAAATAAATACTTACAATCACTTCATCCAGCAATTCATACACAAGCACAAAGTTCTTTCGAAAGGAGTCTTCATTAAGAACACCAAGGTAATCTTTGATGACACGTGCAATTCTTTGCAAAAGTTCCAAAACAAGAGAAGGGGAGACATTGACTCTAGTTGTAGCAACAAATAGCAATCCAGCAACCTTCACGTGGAAGTAGTTCACTCCATCTATATTCTACGAAAAACATAAAGACACATAAAACAAAACGATCGCATAAAAAACATGGAAAAGTAAGAAAATTAGCAAAATTTACACCCACGTTTAGGACTTTTTAGATGACCTTTGCGCTGCACCCCTTTAGTTTTAAACAAGACAAGTGCTCAGTAATACATTCTTTTTAACACACTTTCTAACCTTTAGTTTTAAACAATACAAGTGCTAGCTTAGTAATACACTCTTTTTAACACCCTCTATAACCTTTAGTTTTAAACAAAACAAGACAAGTGCTTAGTAATACACTATTTTTAACACACTCTCTAACCTTTAGTCTTAAACAAACACTCATTTCCCGTCTCCCTTATGTATTTACAAAAGTGACACACCCATAAGTGATTTTTAAAATCGATACGGGGAATGAGCATCATTCAGGGGAATTTAAAAACTAAAAGGAGCGAAAAGAATATTTTTCCTAACTGTTTTTACAATTTATCAATAATCAATAAATGACACACGTAAAGCACTACAACCACCATAACCTGCGGCAACATGCAGTCCCAGAAACATTTCTTATAGAAATTTTTTGAATTAATTATTGAAAAATGTGAAAAATATTATAGTTGACATAATGAATGAAATACCTACAAAAACAGGTGGAGCATCTCCCTCGGCATCCTCTTTCCAGAATTTGACTTTTCGGAAGAATGTCTCAGCGCTTCCTTTCTGAGCTTCACCACGATCTGCATTCATTTAATAATAATAATAAAAAAAAACAAAGAGATGAAACCCTAGAGATAAGGAGTAGAGTGGGTGAAATTTTGTTGCCACTAACTCCCCACGAGAGAGAAAAATTGAATTGGAAATTTTTTAATGAAAATGGATGGATCATGGAAATGGAAGAGAGGATGAGAAAATAGTGCCCTCACAGTCGCGATAGACGATGTTGTCGCCTCTCTGGGAAAGCACGAAGAGCTGCAATATCATATTTGCTTCTTCTTCTGTTTCAGCTTTCTCTGTCTCCAACTAAACTCATGTCCTTCTTCTTTACTTTCTCCACGCTCCCAAACAAACGACACTGCCGTTTTGCCACGCACCTTCCAGGGCCCAGAAATTGGCAGCATCATTTAACTCGTGTAGTTGTATTATTATTACTTTTTTTATGCAATAATAATAATAATAATAATAATAATAATAATAATAATAATAATAATAATTTTTATTATAAAGAACATGGATATTTTAGTTTAATTTTAAATAAATAGACTTATTTTATTACATCATTAATATAAATATGTTGTTTTATTTTATTATTTTTAGAAAAACATTTTATCTTTTATTTCAATTTTTCAATAGTAGATTTAGTTAGATTTAATTAAATTTATTATTTTACTTAAAAAATATACATACAAATATTTTTTTAATATAAAATAATATATATATATATATATAAAAATAATTTATAAAATATAAAATTGTATAAATATGAATAAATACGAAACTATAATATTTCTAACTAAATATAATTTATATAAAAAAAATTAAACTTTTTTTTAACTTAATGTATATAAATATTATACAATGAGACATTTTAATGATGTTATCAAATCTCTTACATTAGTTAGTGGACAAATTAATGTATTTTTTTTAACAAGGTCAAATATTAAAATAGATTTATTATTTACTATAAAAATATATAACCTATTTATAGGTTATGTAGGTTATGTAAGTGAGAAACACATCTTTCATAGTGAGAGACCTCTTTGAATGACTGAACAATCTAGGAATGATCCACTTTTCTATGAATTCTTTCCTTTTTTTTTTAGTTTGGCTTTAATTATATATATATATATATATATATATATATATATATATATATATATATATATATATATATATATATTCTTGGTTTAATCTCTTTTTTTTGTCTATGTGTAATTTCTTTTTCGCTTTAAGTTTGACTGTGAAATTTGTTGGGTTGAGGCATCATTATCTTATTTTTGTACTTAATTATTTCCCTATTAGTATAGTGTTAGGATTAACAGGTTAATTAAAAAATTCTGTTTTGTTCAACTTTCTGTCAATTCATTTACAAAAATAGGTGAAATCGGTAAATTTGATTTTTTAGAAACCAACATAGTTTTAATAAGAAAAACTTACATTTTAATTGAAAGCTAACAAAATTAGTTTAACAAAAACCGATTACACCAAAAAAAAAAAGAAGGACAAATGTCATTTGGTTTCAGCAGAAAATAAGAACTTTGATTTTATATTAAGATCATATGAAAAACGTGTAAAAATTATCTCTAAAAACACTTGCCAGACATTTTAACATTATCGGTGCCACACTAACGTTGCATCCACGCTATGCTTCCCGTAATAACCAGATAAATCTTTAATGATTTTGTTTAACGATTTTAATTATGATGTAGTGGACCAATGAAATAACTACACTTTAATAAATAGCTTTATTTACTAACGATTATGTTGTAAATAGGATCTTGAAACCATAAAAACGAAAAAAAAAAAAAAGTAAATAAAATATTTATTAATTAAACTTCTAAAAAGGAAATGATGCAAGAAAGAAAGAGAAGAGAAAATGAGAAGATAGTGCGAGGTGGAAGTACTGGAGCAAAACCCGGGTGTGTGACTTTCGTTAGGGAGAGAGAGAAAGACATATGTAGTTTCATTCAGAAACTCCAAACATCTGAGGCGACAACATTAGGAATCTCGATCGCTGATAAAACCTATGCAGCCCCAAACACACTCTGCATTCCAACTTGTTTAAATTCCCTTTTTCCGATTCACCCTTCTCTCAATAAATTTTGGGCCTATGAAACCCGATTCTTCGCCACCGTCACTTTGATAATAAGTTTCTTTTTATCAAATAAAGGTAACCTTTTCTCTTACGTTCTTTCTACATTTGTAATTAAACTAGCTTTTTTTTTCTCTTTTTTCTTTTTATTAATTAATAATTACTGTGGAGTGTGTTTCTGTGTTTAAACCTGTAATTCTTATCATAACGTTCTATTTGGTACAGATCTCTGCATGTTCTCAACTTAAGATTAATTAAATTAAAAATTGATATCGATCTAGGTTCTTAGTTTGGTAGGTTAGTCCTAAAGCTTTCAAGTGTCTCTTAATTAATTGTGTTTGGGGGTGGATTATTATAATGATACACCAAAACACGTTACACACCACTGTATGTTATGATTCTGTACACTTACCAGTCAATAGTGTAGACTGAAACTTTCTGAATTGTGATGATTGGTTGGTGATATTCTCGGTTTGATTTGTAGGAAATGGCTACTCCTGTTGATCCTCCAAATGGGATCAGGACTGAAGGGAAGCATTATTTCTCCATGTGGCAAACCCTGTTTGAGATTGATTCAAAATACGTGCCAATCAAGCCCATTGGTCGCGGAGCATACGGGGTTGTGTGCTCGTCTGTGAATAAGGACACCAATGAGAAGGTTGCCATCAAGAAAATACAGAACGCCTTTGAAAACCGGGTTGATGCGCTGAGGACTTTGCGCGAACTCAAGCTTCTTCGCCACCTTCACCATGAGAATGTGATTGCTTTGAAGGACATCATGATGCCTGTTCATAGGAATAGTTTCAAGGATGTCTATCTGGTTTATGAACTCATGGACACGGATTTGCACCAGATTATTAAGTCTTCTCAAGCACTGTCTAATGATCACTTCCAGTATTTCCTCTTTCAGGTATGAATCTTTGGCCCGTTGTTGGTGTAATTGAATAATATTTTTTGGCTTCGCATTTGTCAATTTGATATCATGAAGCACATGGTGTTCAATGCTCATATTGCCAACTGTTTATGAATGTTTAGTATTGTAGAGATGACATTAAGCAGAAACCGTGCATGTTAAACTTGTTTTTTAAGTTTTTGACATCTTGTAGAGGGTTTTTAGTACAAGGTCTTGCATAATTACAAACTTGTGTGCAGTCATAATTTTGAAATAATTGTTTTTCTTGATTTTGTTGCAGTTTACCCTTCTGCCTGTTAAATTCCCCCTTGATTTTCTAAACCTATAGACTTTCCTGAATAACTGACCATCAATCATGTTATGGCACATTTATAGGGCTTTTAGAATGTTATTAAATTATGACCATTTGTGTTACTTAGCAGTTGATTGAATTCACTGATTGAAAGCTCTTATCTGCAGTTGCTTCGTGGCTTGAAATATCTTCATTCTGCTAACATCCTTCATCGTGACTTGAAACCTGGGAATCTTCTAATCAATGCAAATTGTGACCTAAAAATATGTGATTTCGGGTTAGCACGAATTAACTGCAGCAAGAACCAGTTCATGACCGAGTATGTTGTCACACGTTGGTACAGGGCACCAGAGCTCCTACTCTGCTGTGACAACTACGGGACATCCATTGATGTTTGGTCAGTTGGATGCATCTTTGCCGAGCTTCTTGGCCGAAAACCGATTTTCCCGGGTTCAGAGTGTCTCAACCAACTGAAATTGATTATCAATATCCTTGGTAGTCAAAAGGAGGAAGATATTGAGTTCATTGATAATGCAAAGGCAAAGAAGTATATCAAATCACTTCCTTCTTCTCCTGGAACCCCCTTTTCACGACTTTATCCTAATGCACATCCTTTAGCAATTGACCTTCTGGCAAAGATGCTTGTTTTCGATCCAACAAAGAGGATCAGTGTCACTGAAGCGCTTCAACACCCTTACATGGCCCCTCTCTATGATCCTAACTGTGACCCCCCAGCTGTGATTCCAATTGATCTTGACATTGATGAGGATCTAGGGGAAGAGATGATAAGAGAGATGATGTGGAAAGAAATGCTTCATTACCATCCTGAATCTGCTATGGAGAGTGCAGGGTTGTGCTAATCATATTTTCTTCTTCCTTTCATGGTTATTATTATGCGCCCCTTTTGTTGGTGCCAGGGTAGTTATAATATCATAACTTGCTTCAAATAATTAGGAGGGGTTTGTCATCAGTTAGCTCATTATATGCTCTGTTTTCTATTTATTCAAAGTAGAGAGAATGAGCAAAAAGATTATCATCATAAAAAAGTGTTATTGCTGATGATACATTTTAGTCTTTAACCGCCATGTTGAGAGATTGATTTTGTACTGAACTCTGTATTGTAGTTGCCTCGTTTTATTGTACATAAACATGTTCAAGTGTCTTGCATAAACCATTTTGTATACTAAGTTTAATGTTTATCAATAGTATGTCACTGTTTGAAACTTGAAATTAGCCATAACAGTAATGCTTGATATGTCACTTTTAGTGTTATATTTGTCTTAAAATATTTGTTAATTTTAAAAAATTAAGAATACATTTATTTGGTCTCTTGGAAAAAATATTGAGTAATTATTTTCTTAAACGCATAATAAATTTCCTTAAAAAAAATTATTACTTCAAAATAGAGTCATTAGAGAGGTAGTAATAAATTTTATAAGCTTTACCTTTACAATAATTGGTAGTGGGAAAATAATAAGCTACTTATTATGTCTTTGCTGTGCTAACAAGTAGCTACATACAGCTTCCACTCCACTGATTAAATGTTAATCAATATTATTTTTAATTAAATATACAAAACACTTTTTGAGATAAATGAAATGTTTAAACCTATCCTCCATATTAAAATTGGATTATTTAAATGAGTTAAATTTAACTTTTACTAACTTAACATTAATAACTTATTTTAAAAAATACACACTGTACTTTATCATATATTATTAAATTGTTTATTAAAAACTGAACTAATAAAGTTTAAAAAAATCATTGAAAATTAATTGAATAGTAAATAATTAAACAAGCAAAGCTTAGTTTTTAACAAATTTAGTCCAATTTTTTTAGTTAAACTCATTTAAATGAATTAATTAAATTTGAACATTTATCTTCCGAAGAGATCAAATCAAATTTTTAATGTCAGCTTCAATTCTGTTTGCACTTTAACTTCGTACCAACTTCACATGTTTTTTTCGTTTATTCTTGGGCAAAACTTTTTAGTAATCATTATATGTTGATTGATGTAATTTAATAAGACTTAAATTGTTTCTAATAATAAACATATTTTTAACAGAAAGTTTCTTCATATTTTATTTGAAAAAATAAAATATTATTAACTTGTATCCTGTTGGGCTTCCTCCTAATGCTGAGTAATGGACAGGGGATGAAGATTGTATTCATAGAATAAGTAAAAAACAAATGATTATAACGTGATAGTATATTCTTCCCTCTTCCCAAATTATATGTAATGTAAAAACTTTTCCAATGCATTCAAATATAACAATAAATATATGTATTTTGAATACAATTGTATTAAAACAGAAACACTCTTTAAATAAATGCACCGTACATCTACTCCCATCAAGATTGAGATCATTTATGGGAGGGCAAGTAGAAAAAAAAAATGTACGTTGAAAATGAGACTCATAAGTTGGTGTGGTAGATAGGAATCACACTCTTAGTACATATTTATGTAAGAGAGAATTTATGTTCAATACCCACCTATTTATTAGAAAAATGGTAAAGAAATGTAATTTTGGAAGGGAGGGAGAAAACCTTATTAGAATAAGTAGCATATTGGAGTTTTAATGGGGGTATTTATTATGCTAACCCTTGGTAAAGAAAATGGACAGTGATGAAAAAGCTACAACACAAAATGTCCATTGAAAAATCATTCCATTTTAGACATTCATTCATAAATGAAATTGCTTTTCATCAACTTGCTTTGGAATGGAAGTACTGGATTCAACTTTGGAGTTTAAAATATTGCATTTGTTTCTGTGAGGTTCCCATCTTCAAGGGACCACTTTACTGCACTTTCATTTCAGTCCCCAGCAAAATCTGGGAAACCCTAGCTCACCCACTCCACACTTTATCAACAATAATTCATCTCCACCATCACATTTATGGAAATACATTCCTTCTTCAAATCAATCAATCAATAACACATTACAAAAAGCATCTCCTACTCCACTACACACTTTTACTCCTATTGTTAATTGGTTCAAAAGATGGGAAGAAAATGAGATACACAAGAAATTACAAGGTTAAGAGATGCGTTTGTTTGTATCCATTGATATAAGTAGAAATCATTAAACTTGTAAACTAATTACTCCGTGTTTTCCTTTTGACAACTTCCAACAAAAACATCAATCGCTATAATCCAAAAACCTATTTAAACATCATATTAAACTTATTTTTTTCCTATGTAAGACTCTTTACGACATAAAAATGATCATATATTAGACATTGATTTTGTTATGAATAATGGAAGATGTTTAGTTTATGTTTACTTCATTGTAGAAAGCGCAGGTGCATTGTGTTGGGAATGTGTTTAATAATTTTGTTATTTAATCTATGATGGTTGAATTGTTTCCACACCTAACGAATATATGCTCAATCTATTTTATACTGGCTGCTCTCCTTATTTAATAATGCATCCTGTGTTTTTGGATTTGGCATCACTCTGAATGGGAAAGTGTGTGGGATTTTTTCAAGAGAAAATAGAAATTATTATTTGTAATTAACAAAAATAATTTAATTATTTTTATTTGTAATTAACTTACTTTGTATTCCATTTTTGTGCTGTGCTTTAAATTAGTCTCGCAAACACTCATTTTCTAATATGTGCAAACCTCAATATCAAAAAAATTTATTATGGGTGTAAAATAGTAGTTTATATAAGTATTTTATTATAGTTATATAAAGTTATTATATCTATTGGTTACTCCAAAATAGCTTTCAAAACAACCTTAAAAAAAGTTGATAAAAATGGAGTAGGGCATTAATCTCTGTTTACACCAAACTTTGAAGGAGATTTCAATGCATTTTTGCTTTTTCCTCCATCCAGTCGCTTCCCTCGTTAATTTTTTACTTTAATTTTCCAACCTTTGATTTTGATATCTACTGTGCATTCTCTCTTTCTCTCTCTCTTTCTTCTATAAATTGGCCCTTGCTTACCTATACAACTTCCCCTTCTCCTCTTTTCCTCTTCATGCTTCTATTTCACCCTCTTCATCTTCTTCAACCTTAATCTCTTGGTCTTAAGAAAAATTCCTTCTGAACCTTGATGCTGAACATACCTGAGTGTTAATGTTTCAAGTTCCCAGTGAAATCCTTCGTTCCGGGCTTAGGTTTATGATAAATTCTTCCTTAAGACGCAGGACCCAATTGGTTCAATCTTTCTCTGTTGTGTTCCTCTACTGGTTCTATGTTTTTTCATTAATCTGCTGTTTCGTGTCACGTATTATATAACTTAGTTGTATCATCTAAGTCACGTGTAAATTACCAGTGTCATCTTTGGGTCCTGCGTCTCAGTTTTTCTTTTGCTGTAATATATTCCATCGTTTTCATGGCCTCATCAAGTGGAAACTCTTCTATTTGCACCAAGATTCAAAGCTCGGGGTCTGAAGAAGATTTGCAGGTTCTCAGGACAGACGAGAGGAAGAACAAGAGAAAGCTGTCGAATCGAGAATCTGCGAGAAGATCTCGGATGCGCAAGCGTAACCACTTGGAAGATCTCACGAAGCAAGTGTCACAGTTCACAAAAGAGAACAGGGAAATCCTCGGGACCATAGACATGACCACACAACACTATCTGAAAATTGAGGCAGAGAATTGTGTTCTGAGGGCCCAAATGGGTGAGCTTGGCCAACGACTCCAATCGCTGAACGACATCATCGTCGACATCATCAATCACACAACCACCTCCTACGAAAGGGACTGTTATCTAACAAGTGCACAAAATTTCACCAACACCCGCTGTTTCCACCAACCCGTTTTTCAGTGGTGAATTGTCTTGTGTTAACATGTGGATCTGACCAGAATAAGAAGAAGAAAAGAAAGTGTGATTGTGCGTGTGCGCTTGGTTGAATTGAATGTACTTTTGTTCTCTTGGACTTGCTTAGTGAAAAACTTAAAAGTCAAAATTATGCATAATATTATTATTATTATTATTATTAGCAACAGTACCTAGGGTGGGGTTGGAGCTATATGAAGTGGGAAATGGGTAAGCAAAATTTGTGCAAAGTGCTTAATGAAAGTGACATACTGATCTTCAACTATGTGTTAGGTGATTAGGACCAATCAGTCTTGTCCAGTGCCTTTGAAAAAGTGATTTCAGTGCTAGTGTAATTTATACTTACAGATATGTTATTATTGTAGCTTTGGTGTGTTTGCTTTAATGTTGAAAAGTTAGTACTTGTTAGGTTAAAGGATATTTATTTCTGAACTGTTCATTTGATGTTTTATTATTATTATGTGTTTTATTTTTCTGTTTACTCTTGTGGGTGCAGTGTATGTGTTTGGATATTTGCTCAAGAGTGGAGGATTATTTAATACATTAAATCATTTGGGATTTTAAATTGAGCATAAATCTGTATCTATTATCAGTAAAACCAATTAAATGTTGGCGATGAAATATTTTCAAATGGTACTACTACACGTCAATTAAAATTCTTAGAATTGTACTTGGTGGTTTTGATTTTATGTTTGTTTCAATGAAGAGCAGTGTTTGGTACTACATCTCAAAAAGCACTTTATTTAGTAGCAATGAAACGCTTTGTGACTAACATAATCTCTTTTTCTAGATTTTGGTTGTTAAATTAAAGAGCACTACTACACCCATAATACCTTTCACGTGGAAAACAACTATTGAAATGTGAATTTGGAGTTAGACATAAAACTAAAAGATGAAATAAATTTATGTTTTTCTTTATATATATATATATATATTTTTTTTTTTTTTTTACAACTGAGTTATAATTCCTTTCCACCAACTCGATCCATTTCTAGGGTAAAATGGTATGTTGAAAGTCAAATAATTTTATATTGGCAGTCAAACCTAAACTGAAATAAACGATTTTCAAAATAAATTATATCCATGAGAACTAAATTAAAAATATGTGTGATATTAACAAATTATTACATGTAGATAAAAAAATTATATTAATAAGTCTGATATAATAAATTGAGGAGAAGAGACAAAAAGAAAGGCGGGGACGGAAATGTTGAACAAACATCCTCTGCCCATAGACTATGACCTAACTCCGTCATAACTGTTGGTGTCAAAGTCTGACCCTTAAACAGACGCTGACGGCGTTACTCAAACACCGTACACTGGTAGAAGCGAAGTTAGAGCGAGAACGAAGCCGAAAATGACTCCTTCGAAATGGTTCCCAATTTTTTCTCCCAAAAAACTCTAACTTTTCGTTTGAAGAGGTAACTCAACCAAACACAGCATTCCTTCTTCATCTTCATTTTTCCTTTCGTATCTCTATATTTAGTACTTCTCTGTTAATCTTCTCCTCTTTGCAACTCTTCAAAACCCTAGTTTTTTTTTTTCTAATTATTATTATCATTTTAAAAAAAGAAAAAACTTATTCTTGTCCAACGCCGAAGACAACGCCTCGTTTTGTGCCTGTCTGAATTATTCGTCTTCATTTCTTTTAATGGCAAGGGATTGGGTCACGGGAGAGGAAAATTGCTATTTTTTTTTCTTTTTCCCTAACAATTTATTCCTGGTGGTTCTATTAATGAAGATTTATAATTTTTATTTAATTTTATTTAGTTATTTAAGAGTTTCATGGATTTTTTTTTCTTTAAAGTTAACTAAGCATTTTTCAGTATTGGCTTTGGAACGGCTTTCTGTGTTGTACTTTCAACTGGGTGAGTTTGAGTGTTCGAATTCCTTTTTAGAAGTTAGGCTGTAGCTGATTTTGCTCATTTATTTTGGCATCACTTTTTCCAGGACTAGTGGCAGTGAGAAAGGTTTTGGTGTCTGTCTAGGGAACATGGTCCATGGTTGTCATTATTTTACCAGACAGAGTTTATGTGCATCAGAGCCTTTATTATCTTGTAGCCTCTAGGAGTGTTTTAGTTGTATGCGAGTTTAGATTGAATAATATGACGTGATGTTCATTGTTCACTGATTGTTAATTGCATCGGAATGAGATGATTATGTTGTTATAGTTAGAGCTTTGGCCTCTGGATGGTTTTTAACTCTGTTACCAACAATCTGAATTTAATTGAATTTTCATTTGGTTTTGTTCTTCAAAAGGAGGTAGAATTAGATTTTGTTGTTGGAATGTTGGGGTTGCTTTTGATAGGTAAGTGAATGTGGTCTCTGCATTGCCTGCCTTTTTTAAGTTATCTTATATAAATTCCTATTTGTGTGTGCCAGCAATTATCATGGGATCAGCTTGTTGTGTTGCTGCAAAGGATCAAACTATTCCCAGCAGAACTGGAGGTGAACGTTTACATAGAAATGCTGTATGTTCGCCACCATGGAGTTTTCGATGGGATAGTTGGGGCCATGTTGGTCGAGAAATTGAGAATCCTTCCTTTCAGACATCTCGTGGAGTCAGTAGAAATGCTAGCATGGAGTTTAAAGGATCGTTAAGTTCTGAAAGAGGCCATTTTTCTGATAGGGTCAGCAACCTAGAGAATTCTGTAACACCTATATCTCTGAAGTCCCCTGTTCATGATCATTTGGCTAGAAGTCAGATGACTCCATCTTCAGGTAAATTTTAACTCTACAATTCTCTTGTGTAATTTACTTGAACATTAGCACATGAAAGTTGATGTTTTTAAAGAACTGCAAATTTTGGAAGCTGATTTTGCTGATGAATAAATTATTTTTGCTATTATCTTTGAATTTACTGTGCTCACTTCCTCAACAGAAGAGGCAATAGGGAAATTTTTGGTTAAGCCCACGTGCTGAAATCCAAGTTTGAGTTTTTGTTATGCTGTACATTTCACTATACTTATTAGTAAGGTTGCATATGGTGTCTAGAATTGCTCTGGCCATTGAGTGCATGTTTGGTTTGAAAAGCTGAAAATACTGCGTAGTTTCCATTTTTCACATTTGAAAAGTGATTCCAAGTGCCAAACCAAACAAGTACTTAGATTGATTACAGCCCCACCACCTGACAAGGGGTTGAAATGAGGATCAATGTAAAGGGGCATTGGTCATATTAATAGGTTCCTTGCACTTCATTTTTCAATAATGGGACTGTTTGCATTCAGGGACTCTAGTCATTTATCAGTCATCGCTCAGTTTAAATTCATTTTCTTTTGAAAAAGGTTAAAAAAAGACTGTCTTTTCAATGTTACTGATTTGTAGATTCCTTTTCATAATTTTATTTTGTTTGGAAGGATATTTTTTTTCCAACTGATATTATTCATTGTAGCACGTATTGCCTTACATCCTGTTTATTTCCCCTCCCTATAAGGTTTTCTATTTTGGCGACATATGTTACTTCCTGATATCATATGATTATGCTCTCTGCTTTGTGGGTTGCCATTTAATATTTCTTCTTCATCTATATACTTGTCGCAGATCTATCTATGTCAAGTAATTGCTCTGCAGTGGTGAGTTTTGAACTGCTAAATTTGACGAAGAAAGAATTGCTCATTGTCTGAATTGCAAGCATTTTTACTGCATCACACAAGCCTCACTATTTATCTATATTTCTCTTTAGGTGAAGAATCTGATGATTGAATCACCTGAGATTGCAGAATGTTCAGTACCAAATTGTTCAATATCTTCAGTTTTCCCAACTCCTACATCAGATTCAATGCCTAATCATAATTATCACAATCTTCCTAACTCAATGCCATCCAGGTGGGCTCATCGGTCTCCGGGACACCCACTGTCGAGACAAATATCTGATAGTCGGATTCTGGGTGTGAAATCACCTGACACATCAATTTCTGAAGGCAGGCCATCATTTGTACTCTCCAATTGCAGCAACGATATGGCATCAGGATCCCAATGTGGTTCATCTGATGGCTGGTCTATGCGCACCTTTTCTGAAATGGTAGCCTCATCTCAAAAGGAAAGGTGGTCTTTTGACAGCGAGTATTCAGGTTCAGGTCGTCACAAGATAAGTGGAATAAGTAGCAGGTTTTCTTATTCTCCCTCCATGGACGTACAATCTTGTGGGGCTTGTTCCAAGCTCCTGACTGAGAGATCTGCATGGGGAAGCCAGAAATTTATGGGCTGCAGTGACCTCTCAGTTGTTGCTGTACTGGTGTGTGGTCATGTTTATCATGCGGAATGCTTGGAGACTATGACACCAGAGGCAGATAGTTATGATCCAGCTTGTCCAATTTGTATGATTGGAGAGAAGCACTTGTCAAAGTTATCCAAAAAAGGCCTTAGGAGTGAATCAGAGACCAAGACCAAGAACTACAGGATATCCAGAAACCGAGTAGTTGATAGCTACCTTGATGGTGGGTTAGATGTTTTTGATCGCCTAAAAGAGGTAGTTACTAAGATGGAACCTAGCTCCAGTAGGAGTTCATTTGGAAAGCCGTTCTTGAGGCGACGTTTTTCATTGGGATCTAAGTGGAGTCGGTCCTTATTGGAGAATGATTCTGTAAGGAAGAAGGGCTTTTGGGCGAGATACCGCAAAGACTGAGCTCCTCCTGTAGCCATAACTCTTTTTAGTCGCAGCAGTTCTTTTGTATGCAGTGTTACCTTTAGTAGTAGTTTAGATTTGTTTTAGATTTATTTCGACTTCCCAGCAGAAGTTCCCAACCATGTTGACGTGCTTCATATACAAAATCCTAGCACCCACGAACACAAGGATGCCAAGGAAACAAATACACCACCTGTATTAAAATGCTTATTACACAAGCTTCGCGTGTGTTGTATCAATATTCACTCTTTCTGCTGCACTCAACCTGTCTGAGGCTTAAAATTCCTTTACGCTTATGACTGTCTTTTACATTCGTATTCTAGATAGGTTGAAAAGTAAAAGAAATCCCTCCGTAAAACGATGTAATCTACAACAAGCATTCATGTATTTTTTTAATTAATTTTAAATTAATAACAGTGTAATGCTTGGTGTGATTATCTTTCAATACATATCTCTTAACCCTTCAATAAAAGGTTGTCATTTTATGTTCTATTTCTAAGTTGAATTTACGTGACTTCTTGAAAAAAATGATACGACGAAGTTAAATTGAAAGAGAAAATAAAAGAGAATTTGAAGACATGATTTGTGTCTCAAAATACTGCGCCCCGTTCAGGAAGACGTTGACGGTTAAAGTTGCTCCCCCGCTATCTATTTTTTCCGATCTCCCACGCTACCCTTTTTTCCTCACGAAGAGACTCTTATTTTGACTCTTATTCTGTTCTTCAAATACATTGATAATCAAGTGAATGTGTAAAGTTAAGCAATTTAAATTTTTTTAGATATATAAAGCAAATTGTGCAGATGGCAAGATTCAGTATAAATGTGAGTCGCATTTCAATTGAACATCCCTATACCGTTTGATTAAGTTATCCTTCCAAATTTTAAAATGGGAAAACAAAAGCCATAACCCAAAAGAAACATCACGCTTAGCTCTACGAATTGAGTAATTTGCCCGAGGTATTTTCAACTACAGATGCACTGCCTTGATATCCATGGCTCTGCAGGAATTTTGCAGTAGATTCTAGTCTTTACCAAAATCAGTATTGTAATGTGCACTGGATTCAAGTTTCTTTGCCTCGTTCAATTTCCTAACAGCCTGGAACCAAAGTAATAAATTAACATATTGTCCCCGTTGACACGGAGAAGACAGACTCTTCGTGACCAGCAATACACAATTTACTTACTACACAAGGAACTCACCTTCATAAAATCTTCATGGATCACGTAATCACGCTCTGCACGAATTGCTGACATTCCAGCTTCTGTGCAGACATTTCGAAGATCAGCCCCATTAAATCCCTGCACGATTAACAAATGCATTAGATATGCACCAATTGTGAACAAAACCCACTCAGGCAGTCAAGCCAGCTGCACTCACCTCTGCAAGCTTCACAACAGCTTCATAGTCTATTTCACCATGCTTGGCGATTCCAGCAGCATGAATCTTGAGAATCTCCATTCTTGATTGTTCATTAGGCAGAGGAATTTCAATTTTTCTATCCAATCTCCCAGGACGGAGGAGAGCAGGGTCAAGTACATCAGGTCGGTTTGTTGCCATTATCATTTTAACCTATAAAAGAAATGTAGACAGCAATGTGATCATGAATCCACCATTAAACTTTTGATTAACAGTCATTTTGTATAAAAAATCACCATATCCATGAGAATTCTTGAAAGAAAAAAAAGGTCAGTGCTTTAATATTTATTTCTTCATTTGAATTATATATAAAAAGGAATGAACTCCATAAAATATTCCATACCTTGAAAAGAATGCGACAATTGATTTTCAACTTTAAAATTTCATTATCAAAGGGCCTTGAAATAGCAGCTCTTACTCATTTTTTCGTAAATGGTGAGTTAAGAATTCATTTGTAAACATTATAATTCGTGCCACAAAAGTTAATGAAATGACAGAAAAGCAAAATCACGATCTGAAAGTGCAAGTTAATGAAATGTATCTTAACATAGGGGCTCATGTCTTACCATCAGTCCGCTCACCCCCCACCCCTACCCGAAAGAAAAAAGAAAACAACAGCAGTATAACGCTCCTTGTCCTTGTGATTCTGCTACAACGGAGGTTCTCAAAAGGCAATTAACATTGCTAGCATTTTTTGGAAGTTCAAAACATAAATTACAAATCTTATGACTTCAATGCATGGATACTACAAAATAGATGATGCATCTGCTATCCAGTACAAATAACTTTGGGATATCCCTTTAGTTTTTGTGAATACTCAATTTGCCCAAAAAATTGCTAGATGAAAAAGCCAGGATATAGATTATACTCTTGTCCTCACCAATTTAATCCCTCAACATATTCTCGTTCTCGCATTCTTGTCCTATGCAAAACCAATGCACAGTACATCAAAGTTTTCACCCGCATTAAACAAGGACATCAAAAGGAGAGCACATGGGATACGGACTAAAATGACCAAACATTTTTTTTATTACTACAAAGTATAAACAGAAACCATGGTGGTGGGAGTGCAATGACAACTATAAATGTTATAGTTATCGATAAAACTATCCAATTTTGATTCCTTAATTAGTACCCTTAAAACATTGGTTAGAATTCTCCATTTTTTATTTAATGTGCTTAGCAGCCATATTTATAACAATTTATTTTGAAAAATTGATGAATTGCATTTTGAACAGGCTTACCGAAAAAAATAGTAATAAATAAATAAGAGACAGAAGTTCCTTAACCTCAGAGTTTGCTACAAGGAGTCATGCTTTTCTATAAAGGTTAGGGTTAATGACTGTTTTTAAATCAAACTAATGGGATTATGAATAAAATATACCTTTCCAAGTTGATCAAATCCATCAAGTTGATTAAGCAGTTCCATTAGTGTTCTCTGAATCTCACGATCTGCACTTGTTCCTTCACTGAAACGACGACCACCAATGGCATCGATCTCATCCATAAAAATGATGCAGGGCTAATAAAGAAAAATACATATTTAGTAGATCTATTAAGTATACATGTAAACATATAGGAAGACAACTTCACACAAGTAAATCACCTGATGATCTCGTGCATAACCAAACATCTCCCTGATTAGCCTGGCACTCTCTCCAATATACTTATCAATTATGGCACTTGAAACAACCTACATTAGAATGAAGGAAAGGTAAAATGAATTTTAGAATGAAGAAAACTTCAAAGCACACAATCAACAAAATACATATAATCTAACCTTTAGGAAGTTGGCTTCTATGTTACTGGCAATTGCCCTGGCTAACAATGTTTTACCAGTACCAGGAGGCCCGTAAAGGAGAACACCCTGAAAAATTAGAAGTAAAAGATGTTGATCAAATGTAAAATTTGAAAGTAAGGTCATCCCTTAAAAACTTCCACCACAAAATATGTAGAATAATGACATGACAAAGCTAATAACAGTATAAAATAAAGATTAAGGGGTCAGAGACTAGAAAGTGCACTGAAAGGCAAAACACCTTTGGAGGTTTAATTCCAACTCGAAGAAAGAGCTCAGGATTCATCAGAGGTAGTTCAATTGACTCCCTCAACTCCCTGATCTGATCAGATAAACCACCAACAGCTGAGTAGCTGACATTACCAGGATCTTCATGCAGCATATTGTAAACTACTGGATCAACCTGGCAAGTCAAACGACAGAGAATTAGAGACAATACTGCCCACCACGGATAAAATAAATCTGATGATAACCCAACAAGACAAGAACATATTCATAAAATGAAAATATAAAAATAATAAACAGTGATTACTTACTTCTCGAGGAAGTGCTCGCATTATGGTGAGTGTTGTCATATCAAGAACAACCCTTGTTCCAGAAGTCAGTTTTTCCTTATCCACTTTACTGCGGCAGCCAACCACATACCTGGGACCGCTGCTCGCTTTAACAATCACTGAGAAAACAATAACAAACATTTTATAACCATTTCAAGCAGGAAATAGAAGGGATCATATATAGGACAATTAGCTAAGAAAATTGGACTACAAAAAATAACTAATAATCCTCAGGCACGAGTTTTATGTTTGTAAGACACTAATTTCTTTCTGGAATAAAGTCGGGAACAAAAATAGGAAAAAACTTAATGTAACTCAATATTTATAAAACCGTTAGGTTGGCAACACAATTAACGATGATTAAAGTTGACCAATGAGATACCATTTAGATACAAAAATAAAAGGATAGAATAACTACAGCGTTCATTATCAAGAGGCCTAAGAACTTCGCCAATGATCTGCCCAACACTTTGAAGAGACTTCAAATCATCTTCTGTTTTATTGAACTCTTTCTTTGCGGCACGCAAATTTTCCCTCACTGCAATTTGAGTTTTCAAGGTCAGTAAGTTAGTAATCTCATCTATAAGATTCAAGTCCATAAATAGAAACAAAGGAATGGAGTTGTGTCACCATGGAGGCAAATTTAACGAAACTTGTCACAATAAAGGGCAGCAGAAAACAGATTGTGGCTTATTCATCAGCAACCATGCTGAGAAATAACGAACAGTCCTCTTAGACTAATAACCGTGTCAATAATTCATTACTCGATTAGGAATTCACTTATTTCATCAAAGAATCTCAGTTGATTTTAACAATAGATCCGGTTGATAACCAAACCCTAGTTCTAAGAAAAAAAATGAAAAAACATCGTCGCAGATTTTTTTTCCCAGAAAAACCAAAAACCCAATCCAGGAATATAATAGGATTATCCCATGTCAAGCAATTAGATAATTACAAAACCAAAAACCGACGAGGATGGGGAATAAGTGAAAACTAAAAGCAGGGAGGAATTGCAGACGCTATTAAAAGTGAGAGAAATATGATAGACCAACCGGATCGAACTCTGGAATCCAATTCCTTGTGCTGAAGAAGTTTTTTTCGATACTCAGCGATGGCATTACGGCGTCGAACGGCATCCTCTGCGTCGGCCATGTTGTTGCCCTTCGAAATAGGAAGAAGGAAAGGAAGAGTGAGGTTATGTTATGACTACGGAAGCCTAAGGTCTCACGTAAGTGTCCCCACCTTTTAGCATTTTACCACTGACCCCCTTAGGCATTTAAACTAGGAAAATGATATATCAGATATAATAATAAATTTTTATTATTATATTAATTTATTAAATTATTTATTCAATATTTTTTATTTTTAGGTGTCAAAATATCATCATCCATTTAATCAAACCACCAAATTACAATTTTTCCAAATTTTTTTATTTTTTATTTTTGGAAAAAAAACAATAAAAAATTATTATATTTTAACAAAATTTTATAGAAACAAAATATCGTTGACAAAATATGGCATAAATTTAAGTTATTAGTAAATTTAAATAAAATTATATCAGTATTAGTATATACTTAGCATATATTGATTCAGAAAATCCGTGTGTAGGTGTAGCTAATTCTATAATAACTAAGTTACGGACTTATATTTAAAAATTACTGAATTATAATTAAGAATATCAAGAATGATAAAATATATTTTAAATTTAAATAAGAACATAATTTTATCAATATTAATGTAAATTAAGCATGTATAATTTAGTAAGTTATTATATTTTTACCAAGATTATTGGATCTTAGTGTATAATTGAAAGATAAATAAGTATTTGGGTTTGGTGATGTTAAAAATAAAAAATAACAAGATAAAGAATAAAACACACATTAAATTTTATTCTTTTTATTATGATAAGTTAGATATAAAATAATTCATAAAAATTTGTTTTATATATGAAAATCTAAACAAGACAAATTGTAAAATTAGAAAAAAAATTATTTATAAATTTTAAATTATTAATTAACATTTTAATTTTCTCCTATTTTGATACTCACATTTTTTATATTTTTATTTATTTTTTATATTCAAAATGATAATAAATATTATTTTTTATTACTGACTTTGCATTTGCAGAGTTTAACTTAAAAATACATGCTTGTATGATTAATTTTAAAATAATTCTATATAATAATTCTAGTATAAAATATAATAGTATAATATTATTGTTATATGACAATATATATATATATATATATATATATATATATAATATTGAATTTATTATTTGTAGCAATATTTATTTGTATTTAAGAGTTTGAAGATTCAATTTAATGTTAAAAATATAATATATGGGTCATTTTGAGAACTTTATTAGAGAGGAATTAATTTGTTATTTATAATAATATTTATTGACTTCTATTGTCTACATATAATATATTTTTTATTTTATATTCTTTTTAAAATTAAGTTATATGATATCGATAATACAATATCGACTACTTTTATACAATATAGTAGATAGAATTAAAACATAAATATTGAAAAAATTAGGAATTTAAATTGAACTAATTCTAAATTTAAATAAATTTAAAAAATCGAAAATCAAATAAAACAATTTTTTTTTAATTTTTTAATTTTTAATTTAATAACAAAAAATCAGTGTAAGTCAAAATTAATATATATATATATATATATATTAAAATTAAAATATAAAAATATTATAATAAACTGATTAATTTTGTATAATACAAAATATGTATTATTATTTTTTAAATTAAATATAACGATATATTAATATCACAAGTGATACTTTTATACTATATTTTTTACTGAATAATTATTTGATTATAATAAAAATAATATAAAAAAATTTCAATTCAAATACTAAATTATTTATTTGATTAATATTTTTTTAAAATAAAAATCAAGCTAAATCACATTTAAATTTTATTATAATTCACCTTCACATTAAATTTTATTATAATTCACCTTCACATTACTTTTTTAGGGTCACGCATACCCTACAAAACCTATAAAAATATTCAGACACACCTAACTGTGTCTTAGCCAGTATTCGTTTGGATGCTACTGGTAAGCAAAACAAAACGGCCTTGTATACCAGGGATACAAAATAAATACAATTAGATACTAAAAAAAAAACTATTACATATGCACTATTTCCCACATACTCTAATTTTTCTATAAGATAAAACACCGTTATTATTAGTTTAAATTTATGTTAATCCAGCCACTTTATTCAGCCAGTTTACATTAATTTCAGAATAATGAATGAAGTGCATTTCAAAACAAAAAAAAAGTGCAAAAGGCTTCCTCGCATTCGCATTAGTGTATGGTATGAAAGAACATTAGATATACAATTCATTCTCACGAATCGAATCAATCTTGTTTTCCTGTGGCATCAATATACAATTTAACAGGGAAGTACCTAACCTGCAATTTAATATGTCTATTGCCTAGCCTTCCGTAAAACTTCCTTCAGAACCAATGCAATTCTCTGTGACATATGGTCCTCCAGAAACCTCTCTTTCACTCTCTCGTACCCTTTCTTTCCCATGGTCAGCCTCTTCTCAACATGAGTTGCCAATTTCACAATGTTCATCGCGAGAGGTGTCACGCCTTCTTTTCCAGCAGGATGCAGCAAACCCGTTGTCCCATTCACCACAATTTCCATCGTCCCTCCAGCTGCAGTTCCCTGGAAACGTTTTTAATGAACAAAGAAGTTACCAAAAGAAAGGATTTAATCAGGGACCTCACCATATAAATTATGTAAATATGATAAAGAAATAAATAATAATAAACACAATTTTATTACTACTAACATTCTCATCTACGATATATCTCAAAGCCAACAAAGAAAGGAGATAATAATATGTTACAATAGTATCCAAAACAGCACAAACCAAATAGTTGGAGGGGAAAAAGATTAACTAATGTCTGGGCAACTAAGAAAGTTAATTAACATTGTTTAATTCTACTACATTACTAATTACATCTAAAAAATATAAATATATGTTTTCTCAAAGAGTATCTTTCATAGGAATTTCATATCAAGAATAAAAGAGTACAATACAAATCACAACTTAAGTAATCAGAGGATCTTTGAGGAATGTTATCATTAAATAGGAGGAAAATAGTTAAAAATTTACTTATATTTGAATCCATCATTATTTTTGTTGTTTTTAAGTTGTAATTGAATCCGACGGAGTAGATAATTACTTTAGCAGATAGCCACAAACATTTTACTATACAGATGATAATAAATTTAAAATAAAAAGCATAATTAAACATCAATATCGTGCAGCAACTAAACTGTGTCGTGCTCTAGTTGAAATCACCAGCAGTTGACTATGAACAGAAGTTAGATCTGATTCCAAATGAAAATGACAGTATTATCTCAGACACATTAGCCCAGTACTGGCTCTATATCAGCTTCCCATATGAGTAAAATATTACTTTCTCCAAAAAAAATGACACGTATAAAGCCATAAACCAAGAAACACTTATCCCAGATTTCAATAATCACAGAAGGCCACCTTAAAAACAATTTCGACAACTTAAAGTTGCAGGTAGATGATTTAGCAAATTGGAAGTAAAAAAGTGACAAAGGTTGACATATTCAGTAGAGCAATGTAAAGGAAGAACTTTAGTTACCAAAAGTTATCCTCGTAATTTTTTCGTAAAGAAAATTAAGTGTCTTAAAGTCAGATGGATTGATAAACCAGTGAATTGAAAAATCAATTGAATTTTTTTATCTTTTTTATATGCTACTCTTCAGAAAGATATTTTGGTGCTTCATAAAGGCCACAAAAACTTACTGAAATGAAACTTCTGTTGTTGTTGTTGTTGTTTTTTTTCTTTATCTTTCTTTCTTTTTGGGAGGAGGAGGGGTTAGGGGACCAAAGGAAAAGTAACAAAATGTAGTATCGTATAAAATTGGAAGTAGAGAACTAGAGGCAAGGCACACAATATAAATGGAAAGGTCCTAATGAAAAGGCCATTCTAGTAGTATGTAGAAGAGAAATACCAGTACAGGCAAGCGAAATGCCATTGCTTCAATAGTTATCCTTCCAAAACATTCCCCCCGTGCCTGATATGAAGAGAAGCACATTCATGAATGAATCCCAAGAACCAAAATAAACTTTAACAGATCATAAACACTAATAGTAAAATTCTCAAGTCCCTTACTGAACTCTGAGTTAATATGTTTCGGAAGTAAAAAAATAATCAATGAATAAGTAAGAATCTTGCTTTGAGCAGAAAGATTACAGTTATAATTTGTTAAATAAGTTAAGGATTTTTACCCACAAACTATAATTTTACTCCCCCTCGGAGTCATATTGCAACTTTGATTTTTCAAAACAGAATATACTATATATTCCGTTTCATAATCAACTAGGGTGTATATATCAGTGGATACCTGAGAGTTCTGAACAAGAACATCAATAGAAGCCAGGTAAGGAGCCACAGCCAAGGTTTTGTTCACAAAGTGAACACGGTCCTGAATCTTTTTCTCAATAACAAATTTCCGCAGTTCTGTTTCAAACTTTGTCTGAGCATTCAAATCACTCCCTACTACTACTGCATGCAAAGATGGTAACTGGAGTTTCTTCTCGTGGATGAGTTGCAAACTTTCATAAAAGGCACGAAGAAATAGATCCTGCCCTTTTCCACGTGAAACACCTGCAATAATATCACCCTAGGGCTCAAATTGTAGACTGGTAAAAGGATTCTCAACATGAATACATTTACACAAATTCTACAAACAGGGAAGGATTAAATTAGCATATACAACAAAAAGATAAGATAAATTACAAATTACAAATTGCAATAAACAAGATGGTAAATCAGGTAATATATACCTTGCTGGCAAATATTGCATTAGATTGGATAAAACTAGTCTAATGAACTAAAACGAATATCAAATGAGTACTGATAATGATCATTAAGGAAAAAATCATACTATTTATGATGGCAAAAAGTAGATCATCATTTCTCACTCCTAGAGATTCGCGAACATGCTCGCGAAGAACCCTCTTTGCTACATTATCTTCTGCAACTTCCATCAGCTCCTTGCTATTTCCAAGATGTACAACAAAGGTTTCAGGCATTTTAATCCTGGAAAGTTAGACCAAAGCATACAGTTAGAAACTTCACTCAAAATTATAGCAGCCATACAGAACAGGTTACAGGTAGCAGCAAAAGTATATCAAATGACGTCAGAAGCATATACCCTAAACGCTCCCTAGTCCTATTCTTCCAGTATTCTGCGGTTGTGTGTGAATCAATCATGGCACCTGCAACAAAAGGGAGGTGCTTAACATATTCCACTTTGAAATAATGCCCTCGCATTTCATGAATCCACCATAAAACCTTTGGAATAACTCGGCCAACTTTTTCCTTGAGAACGGCATCCAGCCACTTCCCAGCTACCGCCGTATTTAGAATGACCATATCAGCTTTAAGAGCTGTATCTATAGCCTTTTCACTTTTGGCGGACAAGACCTAAGAGGAGCAAAACATGTAAATAAAGGGTGCAATCAGAAGTCCAATAACTTGGATACAAAATGCTGGTCCAGACATTTCTTATAGATCAGATCTAGTGTCAAACTCAATCAATTTGATAAACAGAATAAGGGTGAAGAGCATGTCCTCTCTAGATCAACTTTTTGAAGAAATAAATGCTAAATTGAATCGTAGAAAGATATTTCAACAAGTTTACAATAGCATATACATCTAGTGGATAAATGTGTATCGTCAAGGTTATTATGAATAACAGATTTATTACATATACTTTCATAGTTTAAATACATGCTTGATCCCTATAGCTTACCTTGATTTTGTTTTTTTGTCCCTATATATGTATATTTAAAAAAAAAACGTTTTTTTACTTCATATGATTTCATTCGATTTAAGATTTGATCTCTGCTACTAGTACAACTGCAATGCGCCACCACCATACACTTCAAGAGACAACTATCAAAAACTAATGTTGACAAACTATAAAGCCCAAAATCTAATCAAAATGAAATTATAGGGATAAACAACAAATCTTTTAAAATAGGTGCCCAAAACCAACACCGAGTCAAACTTCGGGGAACAAAAGTAAATTTGAACTTAATTTCACTGGTGGTTAGCTATTTGCAGACTATTGATACACACAATTTTACTATATATATATATATATATATATATATATATATATAGACACGTACACATCCACACACCCGCTCACCACAAAGAACTTTGCAGTTTTCTAAATTGCTACGAATTAAATGTGAATAGAGAAATAGGAGAATATGGGGAAAGGGGCAAATAGTCAAAACCAGTAACTAATTTACATATTGAGCACTCAATCAAGCTCCCTCATGATTTACGTTGGAGCGACTAGACTGTCTAGTATACAAATGCTTTTGAATCTGATTATAGAAAGTACACTTAGTTTAGTTGAGTTTGATTGCTCCCATTCATTTACTGTTATTAGTTTGCATGATACTCTTCTCTCCCATGCTGTACATACATGTTGTATTGCTTTGTACAACAATCTTATTCAATAAATCACACAATGATTTTCTATGACACTCCCCTTTTCAACTTTGAGCTCCATGACATGAGGTCACACCAAGTTGGTATGACATCATATGGACCTCCTCTCTCAAAACACTGATACTATACATGTAACCTAATGCATACACCATTGTCATCAAAATAACACCACCAAAAGAGAAAGTAAATCACCTGCACTCCCCTGTCCAACATCTTACTTTCCAAACTGTAAATGACCTGATCAGGTTCCGCCGGTTTCTGATTGGTGATCCAAACAACGTCAGAACCAACGCCTCTCAACAGAAAAGCCAACTCCATCAGCAACAAAGGCCCGCCTGCAAGTGAATTCAGTCCATTTTTGTTTTTTTCATCTCATAAACGGACAATTAAAAAAAAATACAAAATAAAAATGAGACTCGATTTGGCATGTATTAAAGAACCTGAGAGAGATAGCTCGTGCGAAACCATGAGTACTAGCTTCGACTTCATGAAATATAGGGGACTTGAAGCGGCGTTTCCGACTTGATTGGACGAACGAATCTGATTATCCTCAGCCACAGTAAAATGCTTGATGTTGCAGGAATCGGAGTTAGCAGCTCTCATTAAGAGCACCGTCACTGTCGAGACGGACAAGAATGCCGCCAACATTATCGGCCACCGCTTCTTCGCCATTGCCACCGAATGCTTCGCCATTCTTCTTCCCAAACTTTGCAATCTCTAAATTGTCATTCTATTTAGGGCTTGTGCTCTGTGTCGATTGATTCGAGATGCGATTGCAAACTTGGTCGGAACCTGGTTTAGGAATCTCGAAGACTTCTCTTTTCTGCTCCCAGATCATGCAGTTAAACTGAGCTCATACACTGTCCTTAATCTTCTCGCCGTGATGGGGGCGAAGAAATGAATGGGCTAAACTCAAACCCCTTAAAATGGGCTTATATCACGACCAAGCCCAAACGAATTTCGATTTAGACTCAAGATTGCTTCATGGTGATTGCTACAGTACAGTATTACAAACTAAGAAGATAAACATAAAATACAACTTTATTCTTATTTGAGTCCTGTAAATTGTAGTTACAAAAAATTTCATAAAATAAATTATAGTTACAAAAAAAAAGTAATTTTATCTTCAATATTTAAACTATTTTCTTTTAATCTTTACTCATTATTTTTTATGCTATGTAGTTTGTATACATGCCATATTAATACATTTACTGTCTATTTGGATGGATGAAAATGTTGACGTGGAAGTGAGGAAAGTTACATTTTCAACGTATATAATAAATACGTTTTTCAAAAATTATTCTCTTTCCTATCTTCAGAACAAAGATTAAAAAAATATTTTATAACATCTATTATATATAAAAATATATTATTATAATACGATTATGTCAAAAATATAATTATTATAAATTATTATAGAATAATATTTTTAATCAATTTTATATTTTATAGTATTTTTAATTTTTTTTCTGCTTTCTTTTACTTAATCTAAATCACTTTACTTTTAATTTTTTTTTCTCATCTTCTACTTCCTCAAATTCAAACAAGGTTAATCTTTTTAAGTTTATGATTTTTTATTAAGAATAGGAATTAAAGAATTTTTTATAACTAAAAGAACCAAATAGATAGTTAAATGTAAAATCATAATTTATTTAAATAAATATAATTTATGACTTCTTTTTTCCTCTAACTCCACTATATCACTATTTTCTCCAACGAGCTTAAACTGAACATCTTCCATACGTTCACGACCACCAGGATGAACAAAAACTCTACCGTAAGGAACAAAAGCTTGAGCTTCAAATCAATGATTATGGACACACCCATCTTCCCCTTTGTCAATTCCCTACTCCTGGTCATGGCTTTATACCCACACGAGTCTTCTAACACGGTCACAGCACCAGCGAATTGCCAAACCACGGGGAGGTACACAAGCCCCGCCATATACAGGATTGTCATGACCCCAGCAATTTCATCGCAATCGTTTCTTCCTCTGAATATAAGTGGCCGTACAACAAGCCATGCAATAACGTCATAAACGAAGAAAGCAATAAAATTGCACAGAGAAGTGAGCATAAGCCTCGTCCAGACCTTACGGGTGATGCTGATTAGGACCTTGAAGGTTACCTCTTTGCCAGTGTAGATGGAAGAACCGGTGTAAACCACAGAAGAGGTGGAGAGGGGAGAGAAGATGAAGACGAATATGAAGAAAAGGAGTTTGGAGAGGAAGAAAGTCCAATTGCACGAGAGAAGGTAAAGGAGATTTTGTTGTTCGGGTGTGACAGTACCACCTGGGGTTCCGGTTAAGTCCCTCATGTCGAGCGTAATTTTCTTGACGAGGTCATGGGATTCTTCAATGTTAAAGAGCAGGACGAAGGTGAGAGGGAGGATAAGAGTTAAGGTGATCTGGCTGAAGATCTTCCTCCATAAAAATATGATCTTGTAGGATTCTTTGTAGATGTCAAACAACCCAAGAAATTGCATCTCTTCTTGTTCTATGTCCATGGTTCTGTTCACTTTCAATGGTTTATGAGGTTCCAACTTCCAAGGTGACTATTTTATATTGTAAAGACACACTGTGCCAAACAACTAGATGACATATATAATTCACCAATTAATTAAACTCGGTTGGCCTTTAGCTTGTTCGACTGATTAAGGTGTTATTTCGGATTGTTGTGAGTTTATAAGTTACATATTTCTGTTTTTAAATATAACTTTGAAAATAATATTTGTTTAGATAAAATATAACCAAAATAATTCATTGATGTTTTATTCATTTTTGGAAACTGAAAAGGAAACTCAAAGGAAAAGATTTCTAATTCTAATTGATCCTATAAACCCTATACAGGCTAAGCCATCAAAAGCCTTATAAAACCCAGCTTTCAGTAGGATTGGATCTCATTTCTTCACATTGTCACTTTCAACTCAACTCGAATTGAGCTTGTGACCATCCCAGTCTAGAAGTATCAAGTGCAATGTACAACTTACCCTTTTATTTCTTGTTTCACAAATTTAGGTTTTTGTTACAGAGCCGATGACTACTTTTGCCTTTAATCTTAGAATTTCCGCAGTTCCTGCTCAAAATCATTCCTCTCTAACCACCCTGATTCAATCTATGCCCCAAGTCTGTCACCCTCGAGTTCCTTAACTACATATTCTTCACATAATTGTTGCTGCTACCATGGACAATGGAATCATCTTATTTATGCATTATCAATATGGCTTCTTATAGACATGTTTATTTATGGAACAGCTACAGCCCAAAATCTCCGATGGTCCCAACTATCATGTCATGATGAATTAGCTTCGGGATAAAAAGCTTGGACTTTACCCATGTCATCTGAGAGGTCTCACAAGAAGAACCAGGATGAATGATTCTCAGCCTCTGTATCCCTTGTGGGTTACACGTGGGCTCACAATTATGACATCCTCTAGCTACTGTTCCGCATAAAATGAATTTTCTGGACTAGTCCTATTTTGTTAAACAAATATGGACCCATGAAGGCATGAACTTGTCAATTTAGTATATCATATATCTCATTTATTTTTTATTAATATCATTTTTCACACAAATAAGAATAAATCTAATGAAACTGCTATCTCATTTATTAAAAGATAACTAATGATATACTCATACACCAGAGAGGATTTGGAAATTAATAGTGAATTTATGATATTGCAATTTTCTCATGATCTCATCCATTGTTTTCTTTTTTCACCTATAAGCTGGTATCAATTGCAAACCTGGCATATTACAAGCCTCACGACGTGTTACAACGGTTACAGTTGGTCACTTAATCTAAGGTACATGATTTTCAAAGCCTTGAATTTCACCTGAACATATTTGCTCATCATCTTGCCATGTTACATAATGTTTATCTCTTGATTTTGGAGAATAGGGCAATCATTTTTAATGCCCACTTTTTTTTCTTTCAAACAATAGTTCTTTCTTTGTTCACTGGAGCTTTGATTCAATCCTCTACACAATCTGTGGTATCTTCCCTCGTTAAGCAGTTGTTAGCAGCCGGGTTGGAATCTTCCGAAGACTCCCCAAACTCCTCTTTGTACATTTCTTCTATCATTGGCTTCCATAGCCGTACTCGAGCATTTATGAACCAATTTGAGACCTGAAGCAACAATAAAGAAACCACCAATATGAACATCACATCCTAGCGAAAAGAACAAAAATAAAGGTGAAGTTTTGGATAAGGAATTACTTGGTTTTTAGTTAAACCTGTCTGAGATGCCAGCATTAGCTTTTCAGAATCATTCGGGTAACTGCGGGAATCAGATATCAAGTCAGTGTTTTTTTAAAGCGGCTAGTGACTGAAGATTAATTAAGAAACAAAAAACCAAATTTCAATAGCTTACGGGTGGAGGAAATGCTCAAAAAGCCATGAACGAAGGATTGCCACAGAGGTTTCAGGCAACCCTCTGATGGGTCTCCAAACTTGGCGTTGGCTTTGAATCACCCCAAGTTGTTGGAGAGACATTCTACTGTGTCTGATGTCCCTATCAAACAAGCTTAGTTGAGACAACCCACTACTGATCTTAGGTAAATCCTGAAAAAGTTTTCTTTTCTCAGCATTTATTTGCGACAATATGGCATCTTTCAAGCTGCAGAAATGCCTTGACATGGCTTGGAGTGCCAAAGCAGTGTAACACTTGGCAGCTCCCAATCCTGCTATCATTTCAAAGGATGACACCACTTCTTCCATTTGATGATAATATTTCTCACACCTGCTTTCAACCTGAGAATTAAGAGCAAAAAAGGAAAAAAAGAAAACAGATAAGAACTCACTTTCAACTTTCAAGTCCAAAGGTTGAGGAAACCAATGTCCAAAGGTATATCCAAGTCAATGATAGTTGGCAGAGGAAACCAAACAACCTTATCCAACAAAGAAATCAACCTTGCAATTTTGATGTGATGTTCATGTTTATCAGCCAATAAAGGTCCATTATTCCTCAACTCTGTCTTCAACTCTGAGGACAGTATCCTAGCACCTCCTCTACTCCCACGAAACATCTTCTCGACATACTTTTCATTGATTCTATCCGCCACATTTCCACCAACGTCAACAAGATCTTCAAGAAGGGACTGTACCGGTTTGAGGTACCTCGAGTTCCCAATGACAGAAGCAAAAGACTCAGGAACATAAGATGTGGAATTAGGAGACCGGTTCAAAGGGGCAGAAGAAGAAGAAACATAAGTGCCAGTGCCAGTATTGAAAAAGTAGTCTCCGGTAAGATGCTCCAAGGGTGGATTACAAGCCTCACGTGCCTCTTGTCCAGACATGAAGAAATTGGGGTTAATGAGACCCGGGTTCAAGGGTCTCTGATGATTCCTGTATTCATCGGAAGGAACAAGCATGTGAGAGCCTAAAGAGAGAGAAAGGCCTCGAGGTTGGTGGTGATTGCTTTCATTAGCTGCTCCAAGAAGATCCATCAAATGCCTCGTGTGGCTTATCGCAGAGCCCTCAGCCACTCCAATGCTAGGAAATGCTCCCAAGGCCTCAGGAAACGCATTGTTGTGCCTCATAGAGGAGCCATAAGCATCAAGCTCTTGATTCTCAAATTGGTTTTGATGGGTAATGGAGTTGGACATAACGGTAAAAGTGTGTGAGATAGTTAGTGTTGGTTGTAAACTAGTTTTCCTAGTCTTGTATTGTAACTAAGTGAAGAGCAGAAGAAGTTGAGAGGCGTGTGGTGTGTATCGGGTGGATGTGACTCTTTTCTTTGCCACTACAGTGAAAGAGAGAAAATCTGAGGGGCTAGGAGATATCTTTGTGGTTTGCCAAAAAAGATAGAGTGAGGAAAGGGGAGTTGGAAGGGAAATGGCCACTGTTTTTGACGTACTGAAGAAACTATTTGAGTAAACAGCTATCTGAAAATAGGACTTAATAATACACAGAAGTGGAGAATCCGTACGACGTCGCACGAAGGCCTTCGATGTTGAGCAGTGGCTTCATTGGCGAGGATAATCAGTGGTCACAATCAACTCGAAGTTTCAAGGTGGAGAGAGAGGTTGTACACTTTAAGAACCAAGGCCATTGATCTTGGGGGTGTGAACTCTAGTATTCAGTAAGAAAATGTGAGTGACTGAGTGACCCATAACCAAATTTGGAGCCGACATGCCACCAAGATCACACAAGAGAGGATTTATAATCAGGAGATGGATGGTCTCAAGAGAAAAGAAACCTACTTGGGAAGAGCATGGATAAAATATTGGGGTTAAAAGTTGGAACACAAGCTAACAACCTGGAAAACAGGACAAAGGTTGTACAACTGTTTTACCCATTAATTCGACAACAAATAATTTTTTTACAGAATAAGCTCAGGTTTTGTAAAATTTCGAACGGATAGCTAAAAGAAAGTTATGGATGTACAAATTTTAGTAGACCTTCATAGCGTTGCAGTTTCTGCGATTCAAGTTTCAACAATGATGTAAAATATGCGTTCGAGAATAATTCAATGAATATTAAATAATTTACCCTCTCTTTCCCAGCAGATCTATATCTATCTATCTATCATCTACCCTCAGACCTGAGTCTATGGCACAGTTCTGGCCTTTTCTTAAAGAAGTAAGTTAATTGGCTATGTTAGAAAACATAGAAAATGACAATAAAATAAAATGGTCCCCAACTTTCCTGACTATAAAACAACAAGCAAAAGCATCAATCTTCCAGCTTTAGTCCCTGCAGCTGTATTTTTTTTGGGAGACTCAAAAGCAGCTTGAAACAGTGTAAATCTCTTCCTTTACCTCTCACCACAGGGAGGGGGGAGCCCTCCATAGGTTAAACTGTTCTGTTCATTGTAATGTTCTGGTCTGCAAAAAGAGGAGAAAAGTGGGCTATCTTTTGCACACTCCCAGTTCTAGGATTGTCAGTTTGTAAGCCTGTATAAATTATATCTAACCTTTTCCCTGTTAGGTATTGTGGGCATGCATAGGGATGTTGAAAGGACACTGATTATCACAATTTCTGAAACGGGATTAAAATATCAAAATTTATAATAAAACGAAAAAAAGCTCAAAGGGTGGCTACTGACTATGTATGCATTCATTCATTGTAGTATTGTGTTGCTAACGCTGAGATTTTTTTAGAAGCATATTGGTGTGTTTGGATGCTGTAGTAATCATTGCATATTTGTTCCTTTGGACTCCTTCACTTGTCCCTTTCTGGTTCCGTAACTTAGTCTTCATACGTCGCATACCTACATATTCAACATCCCTACTCCTCATCTGATTTCTAAATTAATACAATATTAATGCCACAAGTTTGTGCCACTTCAAACCATAAATAAACCTCCATGTGAATACTCTTTCAATATCAGTTGTTTAAAGCCATGAACGAATGGACCATTTCTTTTTTCTTAAAAAGCAAGGACATTCATGAATTAATATTATTGAGTCGCGTTTGTACTGCTCCTTTGCCTCCGTGCAAGTTATGAAGCATCGTCATCACGATTCATCAATGACACAGACTAAGGTGCGCATATGAAGTATGGACCACACACACGACATGCCGTGAATTTACTAACAAACAAGAATCAATGCATTCACATCGTACTTGTTACCGTGTTTTTTTTTTCTTTTACAAGATTCCTTATTCAACATAATACACGAGACGTGTTCTTTTATCCTTACAAAAATTGCCTGCACATACATACAACCAATCATCTGCAATATTACAAGCGAATATATCTACATATCTACCTGTATATTTTGTACGTTTCGTGATTTCGTCACTTTTACGAACAATAGGCAACAAGAATGAGGAAAAAAAAAAAAAAAAGTAGCAGCAGAAGCAGAAGCCAGCATAGGCTTTCTCTTTCAGCTTTGTTTTGGTACACCTCTCCAGAGATCCATTAAAATCTTCAAATATTTTTGCTAGATTTCATACGACAAACTCATGCAGCAAATGGGGATTGCCAAACCTGTGTTGTTGCTTTCCTGAATCCGTGAAATGATAATCTAGCAAATCAGTCTCAGGGGAAGAGGCCAATGTTTGATTACGTCGTTTGTGGATGGCATCGTCAGACATGGAAAATCCATCACTTTCACAGTTCCTCAACTCCAATGCAAGTGAAACGTGGCCTCCCACAGTAAAGTTACCCAACTCTGATAAATCGTATGTGGCATGAGTAGAACCCATTAGGCTCCCATCCCCACCGTTCTGGTTGGTTGAGATAGAATAAAGGTTGTTGTTGCTGCTGCTGTTAATGTTATTTATGCCAAGCCTTTGGTTCTGGTCACCCTGCAATTTCCCAGTTCCAGAATTCATCACCATATTTTCTGCATTGACCCCTCTATCCAGTTCTGCTTGAGGTTGGACTTGGACACTATCAACAGTTACTAAATTGTTATCAGACTCCTGAACATCATCTCTCTTACCTTTGACCGTGTTCTCAGATGGAAGGTTGCAGTTCATCTGGAAATCTCCAAACTCCTCTTTGTACATTTCCTCAACCATTGGCTTCCAAAGACGCACCCTTGCATTAATGAACCAATTTGCCACCTGATATCAACATTGAATAGCTCAACAAAGATTAGCAACCATGGTACTGAACTGACTCTTAGATTCTCCCTTAGTTAAACAGGAAACAAAGTCTAGATGAAAACAGTGATATACAGTTAAAATTATTTTTTCAATAGTTTACCTGGTTTCTGGTCAGGCCTGTTTGTCTAGCCAGCATAATTTTCTCGGAATCCTTGGGGTAACTGGTTTCAATTAGAAAATTTAAGATGAAGAGTTTTATTAAATTGAAAACATAATAGTTTAGTATAATGTTATTTATTTCTCAAAACAAGTACAGGGTGAGGGTGACATGTGACATACGGATGAAGAAAATGTTCAAAGAGCCAAGCACGGAGTATTGAAACAGAGCTTTCAGGAAGCCCCCTCTGAGGCCTCCATGCTTGTCGCATCACACCAAGTTGTTGCAGAGCCTTTTGTTGTCTCAGCTGCTGATCCACATAGCGTAGACGGGGTATTCCCTCTTGCTCCCCAAGGCTCCTTTGTGTCACTTGAATTTGGCCACTAATGGCGTCACGCAAACACCGAAAATGGCGAGAAATTGTTCTTAAAGCAAGTGTTGTATATGGTTCTGCTGCTCCACACCCAGCAACCGTGTCAAAAGATGACACCACAATCTGCATCTGATGGCAGTACTGTCTGTATCTTTTATCCACCTATAACCATTGTAAAGAAAGGATGACCGATTTAACCGTTGACCAACAGACACTCATAAATTCATAATTCATAACTAACTGTCTTTTCAATAGTTAAGTATATGGTTCAAACATTGGAGCAACAAATTAGTTTTATAGACAATTATAGATATATAACTTTATTTTATTTTGACACAAGAACTATAGATATACCTGAAGAGCAATATTATTATGTAATCTTCATTAATTCTTTCACGTGGTGTGTAACATGGAAAATATTAAACTAAAAAATATAAACTTGTGAACATCAATTGTTTTATAAATGGCATACTGGTGGTGCAGTTGTTCAATATGTTGTGACAGCTAATCTTTTGGAAACCAATTTACTGAGGTTACTGTTCTAAGCAATTGGAATCTCTGCAAGCCACACAGTATACACACAGGTACAGCAGAGCTTTTCCAAACACTGTAGCAGTTCAGAGGTTTAAAAAGTAGAAAACAAAAACATACGTATATTCCCATGTAGAAGAGTAAAGTCGGGAAAAATAAGTTATCTTATTTCCATGTAAAACATAAACATCTACGAGGAAAATGGGAAACGGAGTGCTAAGCAATTATGTCAATGGAATTTGAAAAAACAATGCAATATAACAATTTGGAGTTATGGACACTACCTCATCCAACATGGATAAAAGCTTTGTTTTCTTGTCTAACAAATTCTGCCGTTCTGCAGATGATAGTTCACTAGAAGCACTGGCAGTGGAACCATTTGGACCTGAAGACATAGGGGTAGATTTTCCATCAGAATCTTTAGAGCCATCTAATCCAATATCACGGTCGTTCTCTTGTTTTGGCATTCCAGGTTGCTTCAAAGCCTTTCTGACACTAACTATTTCATCAAGCAACTCCTGTGCCGCCTTAAGGTATTGGGAGTTTAAAATACTGTTGGAGTAACCCGGTAGATCGGAAGGGACTTCTTTAAGACACATTGAGGGGTGGGGGTTGTAAAAACCCTCCTTTTTTATAATGTCATGAAAGCCTCCAGAGGATGCAGATCCCATGCATTCATCACTTCTAAACTCTTCATGTAGGTTATTAGTCTCATCATCTTTGAGAGGCATAGTTCCCTTTAGATTTGGAAAATCAGTCATTAGTGGCAAGAGACTGGTGTCGTGATATTGGTATTGGAATGGAGAGACAGATGCAGAAGAAGGCATGAGTGTTCCGAGACTGAGAGATAAGCCCTGACACTGCATGTTTCGCTCACTATCTACCATTCCCATTTGTGTCCTTGGAACAACATTAGAATCCCCAGCATAAGTGTTACATGCTGGATCACAAGTTGCAGCATTGGAATGCCCATTAATAGATTGCATGGTCACTGTGTCACCCAAAGCTTTCATAAACTTAACCCCATTTTGTCCTCCTACAGATTCACTGTATTCATGAGGTAACAGATGAGTCCCAGACATCATCTCCGCATAAGACCCTGAAGAAAAGGCTTGGTTGGGATACATTCTAAGCTGATTTCTTTCTGGTCACTTCACAATTGAATCAGCTTTGCATTGCTTTTACCACTTACGTATGCGAAATGAGTAGCGACTGTATTATAATAAATTCCCTGCTACTCTGTTAAGTTAAGCGAATAAGGTTAGCATGATGTAGAATCATCAAAAGCTCATTGAGTTAAAAAGTATAAACTATGTACAACAAAAATTACATAGAATAATCTACGCAAACATCAATCAATATATGCATAATATCACAATATATGCTTTGCTTGAGGATCAAGATACGTATAACATCTGATTCGGGTAAAACAATTCGAACCATCAAAATATGTATATAGCATGATGAAGATTGGAGTGGTTTGGCCATTACTCAATACAGTTTTTACATAATTTTTGTACTTCGGAACTTTAGTTTGGAGATTTTGTCACAAAGATACGCGTGGGGGAAATTCCTCCAAGATGTACAAGGACAAAATTGGTTTCTGGGCTCAAAGTTCAAACCCAAACTCACTAAGCAACCACAAGAACCTGCCTGAAACAACTCCAGCATTCTGGGGTCTAATCGTTCTTCCAAACAAATGCAGAATGAATTTATTAGCATTATAAGATCGTAATTCAAATGATCAGATCAGGAAAATTGTGGGGGTTACGATAAAAATAGGAGAATGGTCGTCTGAAATACTTTGATTAAAGTGGCACTCATTTGTTGAAATGAGTGCAAATTCTTGTATGTTGGAAGGACAAGAAAAAAAAAAGGAATAAATAAACCGAAGAAACAGATGCAAATTTTTAAGCGCATACTTTCAAGTTTCATTATAAGCTGCGAATATATTGAAAAGGTCTTTATGCTTGCTGGTCAACATGGACAAAACGGAGGGAGCATAAAGTGATGTGAATTTGACTAATAACAATAACAGACAATGAAAACCAAGCAACCACGAAACGAGAATCCAACAATTCCACTTGTCCAGAACACTACTTCCTCTCCAATTGGACCTCAGAAGACATGGTTTCATCGGTGAAAACCAAAAAAACATGACTTAAACAAGGAAACACCAACAAATGAAGAACAAAAACACTACCAAAATGAAAAATTAGACCCCAGTAAAGTACCTCCTCACTCATTTACCCTCATCTCTCAAATTATAAACTTCTTTCCCCAGTCAGCCAAATTATGAACTTTTTTCACTTTCTATTTTTCTGTTTAGTCATCAAATTCGAATGCCCCCATCTCTCCAGTGCCCATCACAAGCATCATCCAATACTACAAACAACACAACATCGTCATCACAATCTTTGTTAAAGGGGACAATCTTTCTACTCAACCATATAGACTTGTTCAAGAACCAAATTAGAAAGAATGAAAATAAAAAAAAAATACCTGAAAGGGAGAGATAGAAGCAGTAGCAGGGTACAAAAATGAAAAGAGAGAGTTTTCTAGAGCAGAAATGGTAGCCAACAATCCATAAATTGAGTATGAGGTAGCCCAGACAAATGGCAATCCCAAGAGATTATATTTCAAACAAAGACCAACCTCCTATCATTGGAACAACGACACCAACCCAAAAAAAAAAAAAAATTATTAAATTAAAAAAATTTTAAATGGTAGAACTTGTCTACTAGCCAACATCAACTACTTTGTTTATTCATTTTCTCTAAAAAAAATTGATATTGGTAAAAAGGAATAAATAATTAGTAAATTTCAGCGTCAATCATTGTCGAGTTTGTCACGTGTGGCAAACGCCTCATGAAAATCGTGTGTGTGGAAGATGGGAGGTGGTGGTTGTTTGCTTGGAAGGGTTCAAACCCTAACCACCAGTTGGTGGACCTGTAACTTGTAACCCTCCCTCCCTTAAACCCCCACTTAACGCATAAATCATAATAATCCCTCTTTCTCTCTCTTGGTGCAATGAACTCAACACAACTCTTCTCCACACGCAATATCTCAAAACCAACCATCCAAAGAGAAAATAAAATTTGAAAGAATATCAGGGTTGGCTGGATTCGGTATTCGGGAGTAGGTGAAAGTGACAAATTCACACGTCGACGTGTATGCTTCATGTCTTCTAATTGCAACTGCACCCGAATCATTACGATCCTTTTATACGACCACCCTTATGTTATTGCTTTCCTATGTCCTCAGTGCAGACCCCATTCATATAATAATATACTCATCATTTTTATTCATTCTATCTATGCACAATCACACATTATCAATTTATCATTATGCATTTATACATTATACACGTATACGCGCATTAGTTAGATTTTATTTTAATATTGGGTTAACCAAAGGGTTCATGTAATATATTCATATATCAAGGTCAATTCCTTTTGAGAAGAAATTAAACTAAACCACCTACGGGAGATTGCAAGAAGAGGCTATGTTACGTATTCTAAAATTGCAAAAGACTTTTCAAACTGAAAAAAAATACAGAGACTATTTTAATTATTATTATTATTATTGTATTTTCATGATAAGAATATTTAGTTTTTGAGAAACTTTCTTCTCTTTTGTTTCTGATCTCATCCCCCACAGGCGTATTTCATACATATGCAAATGCTTTGTTTTGTTGTGTTCTTAAATTTGTATCGGAGGAAGTTAAAAAAGGGAGGTGTTTTCCCTCTTCACGATAGTGGAGTTAGGTTCCTCTTCCACTAGTTTTGAAGAATCCAATACCTTTCAAGCAGAAGCAAAACAATAAAGTACGAAGTTATTAGATTATTTATAAATCTATTAACATTTTAGTGAACTGTAAATTTTTTGTTATATTCGTCGGCTTTTTCTTTATTATTTTTAAATGAAGTTATAACTTAGCATTCATTCATTTAATATAAAGATTTAACATCGCTTTCACATATCTACTTATGTTTACCGCCACTGTTTTATATGTTATCTTCATTGGCACTTGACCTTTTTTTTGGTTTTGTACCTATAATAACAACCATGGATAGCGACGTAAAACTGCATGTAATAGGGTAATAACTTACAACTCAAAACGCATATATATATATATATTTATATATAATCTCATACCAAACTTAAATTAATGAGTATTTACGTAGATATTATTGTTTGCTTAAATTTGTTAAACCATCTATTCTGTGAATGTGATGTTTATGAAGGGTTCTGTGATTAAATGCTTACGTAATGAGTTACCTAGAGCTACAATTAGCAGGGGTTGATGAAATATTGTTGGTGGTGGCAACGCAACCTGCAAGAACCCCAGTTATTTATGTATGAGAGTAAGAGTATTGAGTGGAAGCTTTTTACCAAAACAGAGTCCATCTGGTGTGATCCAGGTCATTCTGGTCTCAGTGTTTAGACCAAACCAGTAAAACACATTTTCCCGTCCTTCCCTCCCTCTCTTTTCTCAGAGTGAAGGTACTTCTTTAATAAAAAGGCTATTGGTAGTTTATCTTTAAGCCTAAGACATTTAACTCATCAAATTCCTCCTCTACCCAGTAAATGAGTTATTGCTGTCATTATTTAACTAACAAGAAAAAATACTTCATAAGAGAAGTGTTATGTGGTTTTTTAATATAATATTAATTATTATTTTCCACTTACACCTACTAAAACGATTATAAGGTTTCATTTTTTGTTAAATTATTATTCTTAGTTTTTTGTTGTCCTTAAGAAAATGGTTGGAGAAGTGGTGGGCGAGTTTTGTAAGTGTTTTAATAATCCCCTTGAGACAAAAAAAAATGGTTGAATTCAAATTTTTTCTGGCAATTGTTGGGTGGGGTTTGGATTGGGAGGGATTCCTTAATCCCATTGGTTAGCAAGTCAGATTAATTGATAAGGAAACAAAGGTGGGTACGAAACGCACTTCCTTTTCATTGCTCTCTCCATTCTCTTTTTCAATGAATGACATTTCATTAAATCAAATTAGCCAAATTCATAACCAATATTTTCTAACTACTAAGTCATCCTATTGCTTTGGAATCAATTGTGTCCAAGTACAAGTGATTTTATCTTTTTTTCATTCAGGACAAATTTAGTAATAGTTTAAATATTTTTATTTATGCAATTATGTTTTCGTTTGATTTTAGTTCTTGAAAAAATTGTTTATTTTTAAATATTTTCACATAATTTAATATAGATAAGATGACTATAATTATATATTCATTTTTTAAAATTTAATAATTTACATTAAAAATTTAGTTTCTATAAAAAAATTAGAATTTACTTGTGTGCTTGTAATTTATTTTCTATATATTAGTTTTGAAATTATAATTTTGAATTATTGTAAAATATTTAAAAGAATCAAGAAAACTTTTATGATAAACCTATCAAGAAAGTAAAATTAGGAATCGGAAACACATGAAAGAACGAAACATTTTATTTTCTGTTTTTAGTTTAATAATATTTTATAACATTTACATTTTGAATGATTTTTTTTAAATTTTTTTTTAAGTTTTAAGTCAAAGTCAAAGCATCATTTGATGAATTAACCTACTGGTCCAAATCCGTTATTGGACTTGTTCTAGAATCCATTGGGCCTGATTCAAAACCGAAAGGATCTGTCATCTGTGTGTTGCACCGATAGCGTCCCAATTTTCCGAGGAGGGAAAATGCTGATTCGACGATTACCTTGGTCGGCGATCTCTATTGCCGCACCATTTCCCTTCGGTTCAGGTGGTTCTAGTGGACTTCGCATTCCCATTCGCAAGCAACTTAACTCTTCTCCCTACTCCATCTGCTCTAGCTCCGGCGTCAATCTCCCTCCACCACCTGTATTTCGTTTTCGCGCCATGCCTAGGGTTTATCTCATTATGATATTTTTTGCATCAGTCACCGAATTTGAGTCTCCACTCGCAGGGTCACGAAACGGATACTCGTTACTCGAAATCTCTGAAACCGGGTCTTTACCTCGTCGGAACACCGATCGGAAATCTCGAAGATATCACTCTGAGGTACGGAACAACTCACTCTATATTTTTTTCATTTCACTTTGGAGTTTAAGTTTAACAGTATATTTGTTTGACATGGTCGCGCAGGGCTCTTCGCGTGCTGAACTCAGCTGATGTTATACTTTCGGAGGACACGAGGCACTCAGGGAAGTTACTTCATCACTATAACATTAAAACGCCTCTCGTAAGTATCGATCGATCGCAACGTGTAATTGCTTTCCAATTTACCTGTTCTGATGCGCTTTTGTAGCTCTTCAGATGAGTTATCACAAATTCAACGAATCACAAAGGGAACAGGTTGTGCTTAGGAGGTTGAAGCAGGGTGATGTTGTGGCTCTTATAAGTGATGCCGGAATGCCAGGCATCAGTGATCCGGGTATGGAGTTGGTAAGTGTGTTTTTGCTACGCAAAATTTATTATTGTCAACGAGGTTTTAAATTTTTGCCGTGACGAACAGTTTCCTCAATTTTTTTTATAATTGTCAAGGAAATTGTAGTTGAGGACCTTTTTTAAAACCTTAGTCGTCAAAATCTCTTTAAGTTTTTAAGTCCGTGTTCCGTGACGTAGAGGATTTCTTTTATCAAATTTTAATGCAGGCCAAATTGTGTGTTAGTGAGAATATCCTGGTTGTGCCAATACCTGGTCCCTGTGCATTGGTGTCTGCTCTTTCTGCCTCGGGTTTACCCACCGATGAATTTACATTTGGTAATATGCTGGCTAAACTGAGTTTTTGCATTTATGGTATATTGGGACCTAAAATGGTTTTTATTTATTACATTTAAATTTGTAGTTGGTTTTCTTCCTAAACATTCGGGGTCGAGAAGAAAAAGGCTTATGGTATCAGCTGATCAAACTACTACACAAATATTTTACGTTCCTCCTCACAAGCTTTCTCAGTTCCTTGATGAGAGTTCTTCAATTTTTGGTGATGCAAGGTACTGAGAGTTATCTTAAACGTTGATGTAATGCTTACTTTCACATATAAAAGTCGTGTACATTTGTCAGCTTTTTCTTCTAGCATCTATACTCTTTGCTCCCCTCTCCAATTTTCCAGTTGGAGAATCATGTGTTTTTTTTTTGTTTTTTTTTTTGTTTGCAATATATAAACAATTGATGTTCTGAACTTTGATCTATTTGTTTATTTTATCATTCAAATTTAGCATGAATTTTGATATATTATGTATTAAACTTCTCCAATAAACAGAAGGAAGTTGCACAAGTAAAACTTTCTGTCAGTTCTGGATTTTTTTTATTTCTTTGGGGGGTAATTACTTTTTCTGCAAAACCTTCCTGTGGGCAATATAAAAGGAGGATCTCAGAGGTGTGGCTTGGTGAATACTGAGTTAGATTGGTTGACTCTTCAATTTGATGATATTGCAGGCAATGTGTTATTGCTCGGGAAATGACCAAGTTACATGAAGAGGTAAGTTTAGCATTTAACTTTCTGAAATCAGTATTCCATAGGGATGGCAATTGGATCTGTTTATCAGTTAATCCTCTAGTTCATCCATAAAGGACTCCTACCAGGCTATCAAATTATAGATAATAAAAATGAAAGGATTGGATAGATTGAGTCAATACTATTATTGGATGGTTAATGAACCATTCAACAAATACTGGGTCAATGGGAATAATTCTAATGGGTTCAAAGTCTGGAGAGCCAACCTTGGTTCGTCAGTTCATAACTTCAAATTTCATGAAATAAAAATGGGAAAATATATTACAGGGAAAAAATAGGTTGTGGGGGCTATTGATCAAAGAGAAATGAGAAATGTTAACAGAAAAAAACAATACAGAATAATTACATATCTAGGAAGGAAAGAGGAATCTTCTAGAGGAAGAGCACAATCTAGAAAAGAAATAGGTAGGAGATCCTCGTGAGAAATGAGAACAATTGATCGAAGAAAAATGAGGAAGCACCTGGCGGAGAAATCTGTACAGAAAAATCACATGTACAAAAGAAAGAACCATTGCATGGAAGAGCCAAATCTAAAAGAGGGAAGTGAGAGGAATGAAAAAATGATTATTGTCTCTGCAAAAATTGATCAGGGAACTTATGCAGATGAAGAGAGAATGAGCGTGAGATTTATTATATGCAATGTATTCTTGCCCCTTCTGCATATGCTCCGAACATTTGCTATTTGACATACTCACAAGTACTTCCCCTTTGAGAAAAAAATTCTGAAAAAAGAAAGAACCGTTGGTGGAATGAATTAAATTGATTCTTATGCTTCTTTCTTATATCTTTATCTTTCTTGTAAACAATAAAAATAATGATATTTATTGTAAGTATCACCATGTCATGTCAATTAGTTGAATCTTTCCTGAAAATCTCAATGACATTAGTAGGTTGAATTATGTATATTTACGTAATTTTTCATTTTGGAATTATAATAAGTTTTTATTTCATCAAATGATGAAATTTTTTGTTTTACTATATTTTATAGTGGATGAGTTGGAATATTGTATGTTTTTTTATTAATTTGGTCATGGATGAGTTGGATTTTTCCAATATATTATTTTCAAATCATAATTCATAAATGGATCAATAGCTTAATTTTTACCCATTTATTACAATTGAAACCAAAATATATCCTAACCATTGATTTTACATCCCTAGTCTGATTAGACTAATTTCAATTGATTAATTATCTTATTTCTTTTATGGTTATTTGAAGTTGTTGATTCTGCAACTACTTAATTGGTGGTGATAGAAAAAAAGTGGGCTTTATGAAACTTAATAGCAACCCATCAGTATGCTTTTGTTTAATATATTTTGTTAATAGTTTGCTGAATCAATATGCAGTATTCTTGCTCTGATGATATTTTTTCTGAACTGAATGAGTAATATTGCTTCTGTAGTTTTGGCGTGGTACTCTTGGTGAAGCCAAGGAAGTATTTTCTACCCGTCAAGTGAAGGGAGAACTTACTATATTGATTCAAGGGCAAATAAATTCTAAAGTTGAACCTCCATCAGATATTGAGCTTGAGAGTGAACTTAGAGAACTGATTGCGAGTGGCGAGAGTCTTTCCACGGTAATACCCTTCTCAGATTTGTATGCGTTCAATTTTAGTTTAAATAGAAGCTTGGTATTGTGATTCATAAGTCATGCTAATGAAAATGGTTGGGGATTTGGACACTGGTCCAGTGTGACTGTGCAAAAGTGATCATCAATTTCTCAAGCTTTACAGTTAAAAGAAATCGGAAATGAGAAAAAATTTTGTATCCACATTATGACAAATATTCGTTTTGAACTGAGGATGGTGGTTACCTTTTCTTCTCTTTCATTTACTTGATGTTGCCCATGGTTGTGGAAAGATCCTGCCCAGCTCTGCTAAGAAAATTTCTTCATTCTTGATGCGTTTCACAACTCACACAACGTAGATCTTTTTTATTTTTTATTTTTTTTTCTGTTTTACTCCATTCGAATTGAATTTTAATCATCCTGAAAATTAACTAAAATCATCTAATTTACCTCGCAGTTGATTTATTGAGTAGTCACAGTTCATTTTAGCATTCATTTACTGTGCATAGGCTGTCAAATTGGTCACCGGCAAAACATCTGTGAGTAGGAAAACGATATATTCACTTGCATTAAGGAAGTTTGGGAAGCAACTTGAAGTGGAAGATGATTCAAATTAGTATGGATTATGTCTGCAGGTAAGTTAGATATTTTGTTGGAAGTCCCATTGATTGTTTCATGGTTTAAATAAATGTTATTCTATTCCACATATTGTCAATTGATTTTATATTAGAATCTTAACATGGTATTAGAGTCAAAACTTAACATTATTGTCTTGAGTCAAGAATTGTCATTTTGTTGTCTTAAAAGTACTTTTTCCTTGATCCGGCATGTCTCTTGGAAGTCTCGTATCGTTTTTCTTATTTCATTTAGTATGGTTTAAATACAGGTTAGACTATTTCATATTTGCTAATTAGTTTTACATGGAAACTTAACATTATTTACTGGTGTTTCATTGATTACCATATTTTGAGTAATTGTTCTCTTAAAAGCGTAAAATGGTCTGTAGTTAACAGAGGAAGAGATGGTTTAATTGTCTCTGCTCATACTTTCAATCGGGTTGGTGATGGGCTTCCTCCTAGAGTGGAATGAAATTATTTACCGCTGCTGTTGGAGCACTATTACGGAACGTAATAAGAATGATTGGGCTGGTATACCGAGTTGTTTCTTCGCTGCCAAGGTTCGGGTCTTCATGACAGCAAGATTAATTGTAAGTGTCTACTCTGGGCAAGAGCTGTTGGGTTGGGTCGTGCTGGCGAGCAAAATTAATGGCAAAAGCTGAATTCCATATTTGCTTTAGCATCTGGGGCCAATTTTATTGTAATATTTGACAATTTTTATCGATAAAAGGTAAAAAACCGTGCATCTCTTGGAGATATGTAAACTGCATACTTCTGCTGTTTCTCGACTGGAGAGGATTCCTGCATCTCAATCTACTCATCTTGTTTTCCTGTTAGAGGCATCTGCACACCAGAATGTACAGAATTTAAATTCGGGACCAGATAGATGTTTGTAAAAGCGTTCATGATAACTTATGCATGGGCTAGCAGCTTTTGTTTTCCTATTTTGTTAAAAAAAATAAAATTATTTCACTTTTGCTATGGTTTAGGTTGATATTAGGGTTCGTTGAGTAGTATTTTTCAGCCCTTTGCTTTATTTAGGCTTTAGCTGAAGTAATAAGGTATGCGACATTCTAATTTAAAATGTACAAAAATTAAGATCAACAATTTATTTAAACTATCATGGTGTTTGTTATAACAAATTAAGTCCACACGATCCACTACACTCCAAAACCAATAGCATCCAAGTCCATTCGTACTAAAGCATCTCAGCTTGGACAATTGTGTCGTCTTCCGGTTTCTATTATTTTCCGGTTATGGGAATCTTAGGAGTCAAGTCCTGAGGTTTGAGAAATCTGCTTTCGGAAATATCAACTCTCGTTAATTGGGGTTGTATATACATACACGTAGGGTTGGGACAAGTACTTTCAAGACACAAATTTGAGTCATACACGAAGTAGGGTGATAATTCATTTTTCATCCACTAATAATTTAATATAACCATATCTAAATTTCAAAAAATATATTATTTGGATTGAATTCTTGCTCGAAATTGAATGAATAAAAATCAACTAAATACAATTTATAGGTTTAATTATTCATTTGATCATCATAATTAAGCAAATATTATCTTAGTTTTTATAGGTACAAAAATCACAGTTTTTATAGTTTTTATTCATTTAATTTCTGACTTTTAATGGTAAAGACAAAAAAAATGTTATATGTAGATGGACAAAAAAAAAAATATCAAGATTAGGGACTAAAATTAATAATATTTAACCATAAATATTTTTTTATGACTGAGAATTACGTGAGTAATTAAATCGAAACTATATGTTAATGGATTTTAACCCAATTTCCACGCATAAGAAAATAAATCTAAATTGTGATTGATAGGATTAATTACTTCATAGTTTTTTCATTGAGGAACCAGTCTTGGATTACAATGATTGGTATATTAGTAGATGAATATGTATACAAATATATTTTTTTAACGAAAATATAATATATTTGAAGTGAACTTATTAACTATCCATTGTGAATAATCAATAAATGATATTTTTTATTAAATGATTCATGAGTAGATTATTTTTGTTTATGTTTATGATTAGTAAATAAATTAATAATTTATATTTTGCCTAACACCCCAAAAAAAACCTAGAATGAATATTGCCTATCAAGTTCCTTTGACAGAGTAAGCATCGAGCACAGATTACCAGTCCTTGAAATTTTTTTACGATTCTCCAGCGGGATGACGCCTTGGAAGAAAATGCCAATAGACTAAAATACCTTCTTATTTTTAAATAATAAAATTATATAAATAGTCTTTATGTTTTATAAATTTGCCTAATGTTGAATAACGACTTTTAAAAATTATATAATTTTATTCCTTCAAGATTATTTAAGAATGTAGTAAATTAGAAGCTGGTTTATTCAATTAAAACTTAAAAGCCATAAAAAAAATGCATAAAGCCTGTTTTTGCAGCAACACTAGTAGAGGTCAAATTGTTCTCGCCAATGCTCCTTTCGGTACATTTTACTTCCTTAACTTTCAGAAACTAAAAAGTGCTCCCAACTAAGAATAAATAATTTATAAACTGGGTTGATGATATCATCTCATCGCAACACAGTAATGCATGCTAAACTGGATTTTGTATCAAACTCTTAACTTATTAACACGTAAATAAGCAGCAGTATGTTTTATAATAAGTCAGTGACTAAATGCTTCCATTATTCATAGACGAAATATGTTATATAAATTAAAAATAGTGGAAAGTGTGAAAATGGGAAAGATTGAGAGAGGAGTGAAAGTGGAACAGCTGCGAGATTATGGACGAGACAGGCAAAGCAGAAACAGCGACATCTCATGTGCACATGCACATTGCCCTTTTCCTCCCCTTCCAGGGCCCACACTCCTTAACCATTCAAATCAACTCCAACTTTTATAATAAATGAATACATTGAGCTTAATAACCTTGCTTAATTACCTACCTTATTATGCCTATATCAATTCCAACAATTTTATTACCCTCACCCCACATGACAACACCTCAACCACTCTTCACCATCATCCTTCTCTAAAACAACCCTCCTTTCTATGATCCTAATATCGATAATACTAAACTTGTTTTACACTGGATCATCACTGAATTTCCTTATTTATCTATCACTTAGAAAATGTTCTGCATGTTTCCTAACTAGCTACAATATTACATTAAATATCATCCTCCTCCGTGGTGAAGGATGATGATGGATGAAATTGAAAAATTTGCTGGCCTGTGGCTAAGATTCTGCGAGGATCGAATTGCATCTTCCTGGCATTGAATCGGGTCCACTTATCTCCGAAGTGGTCCATCCACTCCTGCTGCGTAGTGTAATGGGGCAGGTACTGTTTCACCTTGATCTCCGAACCATGGCAGAATCCCAGAATCTGACGGTTCTGATTAGTAAGGTACTCCAGTGTCTCAGTATCCAATGCTGATCTCAGAAATGCCACCAAGTAAAACACATCCTCTTCTGGTGTCACCACCGAGCTCCTATGGTCCCACCTACACATCACCATCACCAAAATCATCTTTTGGATTTTTCTTTTCATCCATGCAATCATACTACACACACTACACAGTTGTTGGGATTTACTTACTACTACGTTGTTAACAATCCTTTGACTTGTCAGACACACACCTACGCAAGCCTTGTTATATTCTTTATGCCCTTTGTGCTGCTTGCTTGCTTTTTATTTGTACACAGTAAATTACATGCATTCTTTATTTTTCTTCATCAACACATTATTATTAATTTGGCATTCTCTGAAATGAAAAATATTTGACCTTCACGGTGTCCATGGAACTAGGTTAGTGTAAAAGGAGAGGATAGGGCTTCCCTACAATTGGAGGAGTGGGTCCCTGTGGAAGATCTTCTGACAGTAGAATCTCCCCAGTTGGATGATCATGGCCATCCATTTTGTTTGCTTATGGTGTTCACAAAGGAAAAAAAAAATAAACGTGTCACTTCCTAGCTGGCTTTGATGACGATTTCCATTTCCTGTGTTGGCTAAAATACAACCCTCCTGTGTCTCGGTGTCTTTCTACTGCTATCACATAGCTGTAGCTGTGTTTCTTGTTCTTTCCTTTCTTTGCATTTCCACTTCAATAATTGGAGTAAACATTCTTTGGTGTGGGTTCTGGCTAATATTTTTTTCTCACATGATCGGGTGTAGTTCTTCACTGGCTTACAACTTATCAAAACTTTTCTACAATTATCATTGTAGTTCTACATACATAATCTTATTTAGTTCATGACAAGTGTCATCTAGTTAAGTTCATGATTATTGAGGAACTGGATTAGCAGTGTACACATAATAATGGAAGGAACAACTGATTTTTGCCGTTTATCAGTAGGGAAAGATATTATAAACGTACACGTTCTGTTTATTCCCTAATCCATTAATTCCGACAATAGTACTATCTGTCAATCTATCATGGACACATTATCATTATTAAGATCCACAACACAATTATTGGGAATATTTGTTGTAGAAAACATATATTATGGTGTTTCATAGATTTTTTTTCTTCAATATCCACGTTTTTCACAAAACTTCATACACTATTCCATTACTCCTTTGAATTTTTATTTTATTTTTCCTCTCTTCTTCTATCTATACTATACCTTTTTTACCAAGTTGGATGAAAAGGAAGAATGAGATATAGACCTTAACACTGACACCAGATAAGAGGTTGTCAGGAACAGAAATGTCGTCTATATATGAGGAGATCTATGCATGCCTGCAAACATGCAGTGGTTTTATTCTACATATATATATGACTAGACATGCATGAATTTGATAAGTGAAACAATATACAGCATAGTAAATGAATGCATGTTTTTATAAACTTACTTGCTTTTGTTCATAGGGTAGATGAGAATAGGCCCACTTGTCTTATTTCCCAGAATGCCCTTAAAGACACCCTTGTCGAAGTCCCCTATCCTTGATCTTGGAACAAAAAGATTGAGCCATGGATGAGGAACATCCCATAAACCCTTGGATCTAAGCTTCAACTCTGCCTTATGTACACGATCCAGAAAATCCACGTAAGGCAAGTCAGTTGTGAACACCGATGTTGGTATAAAATCTAACTTTTTCAACAGAGCCTGTATTTCCTGCACACCATAAACACGTACAACGTAGAAATATATGAAAATGTCCTTGTCATCTTTGCAATTTGCAACCGCAATGCAGAACAATCAAAACCCCAAAGGAACCAATGCAATAATAACAGTCACGTTAACTATTGTAAACGTTGCATTCAATCTTGCTATTGAACCAACATGATAGATTGCACAAGATCTTTCACATGTTTTCTTCTGTGTGTTTTATTGCATTCTGTTGTACAACTACAGATTTGGTCTATGTTTGGGTACAGAGAATAATCATACACGAGGACACTGATGCAGTAAGACCCACAAGGTTTAAAATTCAACAAAACATGAAAATAAAAATAAAAATAAAGCCAATAGATTAAATAAAATATCTTTGTCATATATTCAACAAGGAAAACTTAAACAATACGATTACAATATTAAACCAGATTAAAAAAACAGATATTCAATTATTAACCTAAGCATGAATTTCTAAACGAAAAAAGGTAAGACATTGAGTGCATAATGATATGTAAGTTGTCGTGAGATTTGACACATTTTTTCTGTTTTAAAATAATTCAATTTTAAGATTTAATATGATTAAGAAATTATTAAATATTTTTAGTTTTTTAAAATTAAATTAATTTAATTATACTGTCGTATCACTTTGTCAAGTTAAAATGACAATAATTGACGATTTCAAGTTTTTGAAAATAAAAAATATCTATATTAAACTTCAACATTCAAATATGAAATTTATATATTTAAAGTTGAATATAGTTAAATGCACAGTTAAATACATTTCTGAAGGTGACTCTTTCCTTTCAAGATGGTAGTAGAATGATATGGAGGAAAGACAACTGTTATTTTTATGCTAAACCAACATAGTTCATTAATAATGTTTGTTCTTTCATGTTTTGTCTGTTTATTTGTTATGCAAATCAATGTTTTTTTTTTTGCTGTTGATGTTCAAATATTCAATGCCATTAATTTTGTCCTTTCATGTTTGCACTTATATATGCATTTATGTGTTGACCAAAATCCCAAAAACTGCGAGGAAAAATCCGAAGACCTAATTATTTCACACACACACACACACATATATATATATATATATATATATATATATATATATATATATATATATATATGTGTGTGTGTTTTCAAGTATTTAAAATATAAACAATATTAATATTCGGATGATACAATATTTTTTTCTGAATTAATTGTTTATATCATTCACATTTGACACTTAGGGAGAGATTGTAATAGATGATATATCTAGTGGCATATTTGAGAAACAGTAATTTAAACAAAATGATTGTTATCATAATTCGTAAGTTTATAAAATGAATTAACTAGTTCAAATACAAACAAGTAAATAAAACAGGTATCAGTAGTAGCTGGAAAAGATTTTTTGAAAATCCATTTTTATAAACAACTTAAAATATTATTTTTTGATTAAGAGAAAGAAGTAAGACAAATAAATAATAATATAAAAATTTAAAAGTGAATTGTTGATGGATGTTTTTGTCATTTGGTGGTGTCAAAATATCAACTCAGTAGCTAGACAAATCTGGTTTGTTTTATTGTTAGAAACTTAATCCTTACATTTTCAATTAAAAAAATATGTTTTGATGCACTCTTCTTTACTCTTTACCCGAATCTCTTTCAACGTTAAAGTAAGCATATACATATATAATGTATGAAACTAAAAGTATGCATAATGAATAAAATAGTAACACGTTATGAATACCCTTTCACTCAAAGAAACTTATGATATATGAATATTTTATGGTCACAGCGCACTAAGTGTATATGGCAGTGAATAATATTATTATTATTAAGAGTGAGATTGAGAGAGAGAAAGAAGAGAACATGTACCTCGTCAACAGAATCTGCGTTCTCTTGGTCGTAATTTTTGGTGATCTCCAAGCAGTACAAAACACCTCCATCAGCGTTGAGGGAAGTGATTTTAACAGGGTTACTTGCTGAGAAAAACGAAGACCTCCAATTATTGATCAACCCTTCATCAACTATCACGAAACCCTCCACATAATCGAATCTCTCTCTCCCTGCTTTCCCATGCAGAGAAATCAGATACTCCTGGTCCTTACAAAACCTTCCAAAATTCGAATACAGTACTCGTATCCACCGAACCTGTTCAGTTTTTATCATATTATATTCTTCTTACTCGCACTATAATAAAATCTTAACATCACATTAAGAAATAAATAGTACATGTACAGTGAATTTATAATATTTTTTATATGTAACAACTGCTTTTAATTATACTCTATTAGAGTGGATAATATTTTCAGTTTGTTAACAGAAATTAATTAATTAGATCAGAGAATGTCCACGTAAATGAGAAATATCCAGGTTTATATTATTAGGAGAGTACCCAAACCATCCCTTCGAAAACGACCCTTTTTAGATTTTGTCGCTGATGTGAAGAAATATTTCCGAGAAAAGACGTATCGTGTGCCCCTCCTATCCACTCATGGAAGTCATGTTCAACCGACTTTTTCTTAAGATGAGAAAAGGAAATAATATTATTGTTTACTCTCCTTTACACACTCGGTCTATTTACACTGAGTACGTTGCTTTTGAAAAATAAAAATGAAGAGTGTAATGTGTATTTACAGAGATTTTTGTTTGTTACATGAAATAATATGAGTGTGTGAGAGGTGTGGAGTGGGATAAAAAAGAGTGGGAGACGCAATTGTATAAGTGTGTGTGTAAGAGGAGACAAAGAAAGAGAAAGTACGAAGGAGAGGTATACATACTCTGTGAGGAGCTGGTTCGAGAGCAATTCGAGCCCTCGTGATGATTCCAAATTGTCCAAGACCTCCAAGAACAGCATGGAACAACTCCGAGTTACGATGTTCTGAACATGTCACCAACTCACCCTTTCCTGTTATACCAGTACGCATTATCATACCAATAACTTACGACACTACTTTAATCAACCACGCTAAAGACAAACCAGATTCATTTGTACTCAGAACCATGACAAACCAGTGGGACACCGCTGTTTAATTGCTCAAAACTTTTCCTCCTGGGGAACAACTAGTTCGCACCATTTTCTTATACTAAAACTACCAACTTTGCCAACAATAACACAACAAAACATTTCAATAATTTAAAACTGCATAACGTACCAACATTTCCAAAAAAAATATTCAGGCTTCATATCAGTTCATGTTTAAATGTCAAACATGTATAGTATTATTGTAACCACTATGAATTACTATCTTTAACGGTGAATGGGGATTATATATATTGAAAGAATTACCTGTAACTACATCGAGCTCGTAAATATTGGTGATCTGAGGACCGTGATTGAAGGTTTGTCCACTAATCCCAGCGTTGGATAGGGTTCCACCCACAGACAAGTACAAGTAATCAGTCCAAGACATGGGAGCCAGCCCATACTCCAATGTTGCACTCAAAACCTCTATCCACAACTCCCCACCCCACACGTCCACATACATTCCTTTGTCACACACTTTAACACCACTACCACCACCACCACCTTTTCCCATTTGAATCACCACCCCTTTCTTCTCTGTTATCAGTGCTTGCCCGTTTATCGAATGCCCCTGTCCTCTCGCCGACACCGGGAACCCAGACTCGAACGCAGCCTTCACCACCCTCGCCACGTCCTCCGCCGTCGCAGGGTGCACCACCTCCGAAGGTGCCCCTCTGCTCAGCCTCCCGAAGTCCACCGAAGCCGCCTCCAGCTCCCGCTTGTCCACGCTCAGTCGACCGTCAAGTCCCACATCGAGCAGCTCCGGGACCACCGTTAATCCCACCGTTACTATTAGACGGCATATGGCGAATGTTAACAGAAGGAGCTTGTTGTTGTTGACGGCCATTAATTGAAATAGATAATAATTAATTAGAAAAGACCCCACAAGCTAGGTAGCTAGTGTACGTATGGTTTCACTGAGGAACTAATGAAGATACATGCATGTCATGTGTGTAGTGTACGATGACGATGATGATGATGAGTTCTTGGGTTGTGGGGTTGTGGTGGTGGTGGTGGATGAGGGAGAGAAAGAAGAATGTTGGGAAGTTCCAGAGAAGAGAACAAAATCTTGGAACAGCGTAGTGGGTTAACGTAAGCAGGATTTCGCTTTAAAGATTCTGTACGCAACATGCAGAAAGATGAAGATTCTTGCTCTCACTCACTTTGTTCCATTCTTGCCGAACCTTTCTCTCCTGTTATTATTTTTCTTTCTCCTTTTTTAAAAGAAAAAATGTCTATGTACAAGTTTAGAGGGGATATGTTGTATGCATATGTATGTATATGAGAACGCAAGACACACAAATTAAGAACAAATTAAGAAAGAAAGAAAGAAAGAAAGAAAGAAACAGAAAGGAATTGTTGTAATAGGAAAAAGAAAAAGGGTTTGGCATGGAAAATAGATGGAAAAACTTGGCGCTTGCGATAATTTGTGATGAATGAATGGGTCATTAATGAGTCTCTAGGATGTGAGATACAGGCTCTGAATTTATAGGACAGAGGACCACGAGAAACTGAGGGTGAAGGTGAGAGTAAAGGCACGTGGATGTTCACGTGAGAGGAGCGAGGCGACACGTGCCTCATTGTGGCAACAGCACATCTCTTGGGCCATTGTTTTTAAGTCTTCGGTTGAGTTGAGGCTAAATTTGATGCTACACTCAGTTTTTATATGTATGGATTAAATGGAAAGAGAGATGGAGGAAAATAAGAAAGAAAGATGGTAAAGATAGATACGACAAACTTATGGAAACTGAGTGACATGATTAGTAGCGATTTGATCGTGGCCAGACAAAAATAAAAACCTAGCTAATGAATATTATATGTGAAATTACATAGATTATTTTTTTATTTATTGAATCACTTTTTATAATTATTTTTTTGTCTCTAAAATTGAAGTAGGCGTGTTATTATTGATTTCTTGTGCACTGAATATTTTCTTTTAAATGACTAAGGGGTGTTAAAGAAGAAGAAAAAAACATTTTATTATCCCTCACACTCAATATTTAGTGTATTTTATGATTAGTTTTCATAACTTTTATTCAAATAAGAAAGATAGAAACCAAGAGATAGAGTAAATAAAACAACATAATTTTCCTTGCATTTATCCTTGTCCCAGGTTTCATTTAATGAGTCCCATGTTGGATCGAATAAGGATTAATGTCTTGAAGATAGATAGATAGGTACAAGAAGACAAAAACAAAAGGGCAGAAAAACATGGTGAAACCAAAGTTCTTGATTATCCAAGAATCACTTATAGTAATTTTTTCTCCAATATTAGTGTGTGAATTTGATTATTAGAGCTAATGAGAAGGTCCTTATGAGAAGAGGTTGGAGGGTCCACATAAGGATACGGAGGATCTGTGTGGGGACAGTGTTACAAGGATGGTTCACATGGGTGCAGACACTGCCACTGGGATCATCCTTGTCAAACTCAAGTGCAAATATATGCTAAGAACACACACACACACACACTCTCTCTCTCTCTCTCTCTTTTCCTTTAGTTTAATTAGGCACTTGCATTGTAGCACTTCATCAACACTCAACATAAGCAAATGTACGTGTCTGCTATGCTAGCTGTCTATAAATCATAAGGTCATAATCATTGAATTATGTTCCCATTTCAAGCCAAGCTACCTTAGCTTTCCCCAACTTTCAAGGGTCCCAAAAGAAGAAAATCATAGAATCTAAGGCTTAGATTGCATGGAGGCACGTAGTTATACACTTTATTTTACTTCCTTTAACAAACACAAAGGAGCAAGTGGCGCTGGGAGATTAAGATATTCTACATTACGCATGTAATTAACACTTAGCTTTGCTAATTACTTCATGCCTGTTGCTGCGTGTTAATCAAACAGCTTATCCAAACTTTGTTTTCTGCCAATTTCATAATGCTTAGCAGTATTATGTATGGGGAAAAAAATGTAAAGTTCTTCTCCAGAATAATATATAATAAAGTGTACATGATGAGACATAAGATATTAATTATAAATCTTTCAAATTTGACTATTCAATAATAATCACTAATATAAACTATGATTAATTCATATTAAAAAATGGGTTGATGTTAAACTAACTCTACAAAAATTATTTATGATGTGGATTTTTTTATATGTCTAATTATATTTATATAAAAAAAAATACTCACTTTAACATTGAGCAAATACTTCTATTCTAATTATATATATACGCACGATGTGAGTTCAATCATTCGCACAATAAATAAATATGTATGAGTTTGGTTGGGTCGGTATGTGTCGTGTGGTAGAATAGTCACAATAATTTTTCTTAATGATATAATTAAAAAAAATCAGTAGTTCTTCGAATCATAAAAGTGTTACATTTGAAAAAAAAAACATTTTATTTCGAAACTTAACCGTAGGTATATCTAGATCAAATTATTATAACAAGAATTATTGTGAACGCATTTCAATTTGTTTGTATTTGTAGGACTAGTTAATCAAATCTTGTATTATATCTTTTTTTTTTTTAGAAATATTTTCGTCAAAATTCTATCTGTCAAACTCCAGCTTTAATTACTTTTACATTTGTTTTCATCAAATATCATGTAAATAGGATTTTAAATTAAATTTTCTTTAAACTTACTCCCTTCAATTCAAGAAAACTATTTTCTTTTTATGTATAATAAGTAATTCTGTATCTTTCTATCAACTATAAATACGTTAGGAAATTTAAGGTTAATTTATTTAAATATTTAACTTATGTCTTATTAGTGTTATTTTTTATGGTAAATTTTTTAAAAGATCCAACAGTAATATCCAATCATTTGTGTGATGACAAATAATTTAAGAGTGATTGTTGTATTAAAATTTTTTTTGACAGTGGATTAGTTAAGTTATACATAAAAAAATCTATTAATATGTTCGAGAGAATATATCAATATCAATATAAAAGAATTTATATTTAAGGAAAGAAATTATTAAAAAATCTAAATATAAATCTAAATCCCACGTTAAATAAAAATAAGAAATTCAACAATATACAAAAAGATTAACTCAATGTTTTAAGATTTTAAATTTAAATTGGTGTTAATTATTTACGTAAATTCGAATCATATATTATTAATATTGTTTTTACTTGGAATACCTCTGAAAAGACGCATCAAATACTTCCTTTTACATTTAAGATTTTATTTACATGATACTTACCTGTGCTCATATGAATCATTAGTTTGTACATATATCCTCTAAATGAATCCTTCTTATAATTTTTCCTGCTCCTGCACGTCAATAAGCTTATCGGAATTGCTTTAATGATCATCTCCAATATAGGTTAAAATAAAAAAAAATAAAAAAAAACGAAGAGTTGAATTATGAATTCAAAATCTTAAAAAATAAATGTAAAAATAGATAACGTTGATTTTTTATTTTTTATTTTGTGATTATAATGAGACTATGCATGCCTGATTTTATGCAATACAACCTTTGTCAGTGGTTGTGAGGAACAAACATTTGATAAGATTGTTTTGTATGGGATGCTTGTTACATGTGTGGCTCCATTCATCTTTTACTCAAATCTTAATAGAAACTTTTTTTTTTTTAACCTTCAAACTAAACCTTAAACCCTGAATTATTACATATGGTAAAATATATTTTATTTTTTATTTTAAAAATTATAATATTTCTTTATAATTAATAAATTATTTTAATTTAATATTGATTTATATAATTCATAAAATAATTTTAATATAAAAGTTTGTAAAATGATTATTAAATTATACATGCATTATTATTCTTAAAATGTTAAAATTAATTTTCTTTCTTTTTCTTTTATTAAAAATTATATTCTTTTAATAAATATTTTTAAACGTTAAAATTTTTTAGAGTTATCAGAAATAAAATATTATGCTTTTCTATTTATCTCTTTTCAAGTTATATTATTACGAGAAAAGTCTTAACATTATAATAATAATAATAATATCTTATGGACATTTATATCATCAAGAAAGAAAATCATTATAATATTTTTGATGGATCTTTAATAGAAAATGTATGAATTATGTTTTAATTTATTTAAATATGTAACAAGCTTTTATTAGGTTTGAACTTGTTTCATAAAGTTTGTGGCAATAGAACTTGAGACAAAAGTTTTGGATACAGTTTCAAAGTCAATAGTAAAACATAATTTAATTAGAACTCCATTTTATCTTTTAAAATCTTATAAAATGTTACTGTTAATATTTTTGTTTACCTTTAAATGAACTAATAATTAATATGTTTCATCTTCTAGAGTTGAAAATAAATATATTTAAAATTAAACTATAGGACAGTTTACGTGTGATTTATCAACAATTTAACTCTTCCATGATTCCTAATTTCAATAATAATAATAATAATAATAATAATAATAATAATAATAATAAGGTATTTAATTAAAGAATGAAACCCTAGCTGTCTGCATATATAAGACGAAATAACAAATTGTGGGAAACAATATGTTTACTACGGACACAACCTAATTTTGTTCATTGGATCAGTTGTAGGAAATTAATGTCAATGATACAACTAATAAAATGACCTAACATTGCAATGAGAAACAAGAGATGAAAGTTGCAATACTCAAATATTGGATGCATAAAGAAGTTGATGTACCTATAAAACACCTCCAAACTCTACATTCTACTCCTTCTCACTTACTTTTAGTTCCTTCTCTCTTAACCCTAAACCATATCTCTCTTCTTATACTTTTCTCAATCCATTTATAGACCATGCCTGTCAATTATTTCTTATGTCCTTCTTGTCACTCAATACTAATTGAATATCAAATTATTGCAATTTGATTATATTTGACTGAGTCAAATGTCATCATGCAAATTAAATATTACCACTTTCTTATTATATTTAAAAATTTATTAACAATGATAAAACTTATTAAATAAGAATATACAACTTACAAAATGTTATAATTTTTAATAAATATCAATTAGCAATAAAAAAAAGTGTATTAACATTTTTCATTCAATTTAATGGCACATACATTTAGGTAATTCTCATCGCATATAATTTTCTTGCTTTTCCGAAAGGAAAAATAGAAAGCATGGGTATAAACGTTGTATAATTATTAAAAGTTAAAAGGTATATGTTCGGACAAGATCCTGCATGAGGTTAATTATTGACGAGATATGTATGCATATAATAGAGTCCTTTGGACCAGGCTTTGTCCAGAAACTAGCACACACAAAATTGGCATTTTCCTTCACTTTCTCAGGTTAAAACACACAACAAGTCTTGTCATGTCCCTAGGAAATATATCAAACGATCTTTCATACCATACAAATACAATATGTTGCTGCATTTGGTCCTCTGATCAATGCAGCAAGATTTCCTTCGTAAACAGTTCATGACAAAGCTACAAGAAACAAATCCTATCAGAGATGTGGGTCAATTATTGAATCATTTATGTTCCATATTTGGATCCAATTTGTATATTAGATGAGTGACTGAGTTTATTTTTCTGATATTCCATCTCTTCAAATGCTCAGTAACCTTACACTGCTAGCTGCTATAGCTATGTTATTGTATGTTTATGTTTACCAAAGGGCAACTTGTTATCATCCTTTTTCATCTTAACCTTTGGTCAGAAACAAATAAACAATGGTAAAATCCATCTCAAAATCTTTCTTAAAGATCTTGTGACCTTTTAGCCTTGAAAGGATCATGCAGATCTCGTTAGACACTTTATTCAAGTGACCACAGGTTTCATGTCTCGATAATTGTTTTCCTTTCTTGACGTGGAACATGTGTTTAGCTCAATAATTTACTCAATACTTATTCTTTAAGCTCTTCTAACATGAAAGCTTACATTATAAATTTGATTGCAGAGGTTTATCAAGGAAATGAAAAGTGTATAAACGAATGAATTTAAAAATTTTGTAAGAATTTAGTTCCTCCCTCAGTTTATAAATAATATTTTATAGAAATTTAGAAATAAATCTTCCATTGTTATATTTACCATCTCATTTATACATATTGTTTTAGTATTAAGACTAATCGAGACAATTACTCTTAAGAGAAAATAATTTTTTAATTAAAATATTCAATTATATTTTTTTAAAATACATGTATTATTTATAAAATATTATTAATAACACGGTAATGATTATTTTAAAATTAAAATAATTTAAAAATTCGTCCAATATCAATAATGGCACACGATAAATTAAACGAGTTAATAACTTTGTCAAATTAATAAATATTATCACGAATAAAATTAATATAATTGATAGCTAAAACTACATGAATGTTCTAAATGTGTTGCCTATGCCTCAAATTCCCTAGACAGGCCCTGGAAGCAGGAAGTGCATGGCATGCAACAAGTTATTAACGTGCGCCAAAAGTACAAAGAAGAAGAATCACCTTTATTCTTCCCTTAATGCCAATTATTATTCCTTACTGAGTTAGGTTCTTCCACTTTTCACATTTTACTTTTTATTTGTTTATCAACTTAGCCATGCTTTATCTAAAGTCTGGGTGAATCGTGACTCAAGAAATCTGGCCACATATAGGCTTTGGAAAGTTTTGAAAAAGAAACCTCATAATGCATATGCATCAGGAATTAATGTAAACAAATCATTGTTTTGTGTTTTCGTAACTTTTACAGCTCAGTTCCCAGTGCCTAAGAACAACCCTTTCTGTGTGTTGTTGTGTCCACATTGTTTTGTAACTAAAACTCATTTATTATCATTATGTTTATGCAAGTTTTTTGTGTCGTTATGTTCGGTGTTGTTACCTTTTCCTCGGGGGTATAATTTTGCGTTACTTTTTTCTTACTTTAACATTTCTATACAGACTCATCTTTCTACAACATCAATGTGCATATTCGTAATCACCATAACTACTTTTTATTATTCATTTACTTATTTATTTATTTTAAAAAGCATTATTTCACCCAAAGTAGCTTTGGATTCGTGGCACAAGCAGAGGGGGTGATTACGAGTATATATCAAACAATTAATCTTTGCTAACTTGATTTAATCCACAGATAATTTTTTTTTCTTGAATAAGTAATTATGAGTTTGATTTCAAGCACATATGTATGAAACCTATGTTTGGTATCATGTTATAAATAAGTTAAATCTAATGTAATACCCAGTCATATTTATCATTTAAATATAGCATATGTATCTTTCTATAGTTAATAATTATTATTATAATACTTTAAATTAATTTTAAAGATAAAAATTAAAATAAATATATTTAATATTTCTGTTTATAATTATAACCAACATCGTAACAAGTACAATTGTTTTTTTCTTAATTACTTACTGTTTTCTTCCAATAATGACAACGGTATTATTTTAACATTTCAAATAATAAGTTTGTTAAACAAATAAAGTGAGATAAATACCAATAAATAATTTAAAAACATGTCCATAATTAATTTAAATAAATTAAAATATATTAATAAATACTACAAATTTAATCTGAATTTGAAATATAAAAAAAATAGATTATTCTAAAATAAATATACTTATTTCACAACTATTTTATATAAATATATTAAAATTAAATTATAACACTCCTAGAAAACGGATTTTTAACATTAGTTATTTTGAATATTTTAAATAGATTCGATACTTAGTTTTCAGATTAATTAAAAATTAATGTAAAAAGTGAATGTACAAATAACTGATATAACTTTTTATATTATTTTTTTTATTATAACTTATGAAAAAGTGACATATTTAATTGATTCTTTATACAGCTGATACAGTACGTATTTTTCTTTTTAATTTTTTTTTGTTATTCAATATAAAATTTAAATTTTTGCATAATCATACAAATTTTTTTTCTTAATTAATATAAAATTATAAAAATAATATCAATTATGAAAAACTTTGGAAAATAATAACATGATTTTTTTTTCAAACAAAAAATTATTTCATAAATTAAAAAAAAAAAATATATATATATATATATATATATATATATATATATATATAATAAAAAATACTAACTTCGAAGAAGAATTGGTGTAAGTGTTACTGGACGGAAGAGACTGCGGCCATCATATAATAATGACGAAATGAGAATGTGTGGAAATCAATTTGCAAAAGTGGTAAGAAGAAGAAAAATAGTAGAAAGGATAAGACTTAGTGTGGGTGAAGGAAGCTTCACGTGGGAATGGTAAATATTATCGTGGGCGGATTTTATTGGGAGTTGATAAGTTTTGTAATTTTTATATAATTTATGAGTTGAGTATTTAAAATTTAATAAATATTTAATATATTTATTTACATATTAATAATTATATTATATTTTTAGTTTTGTATATAATTTATGATTTTGTTCTTTTAAATTTAATTATTATTTAATATTTTTAAGTATATATTTATAATTTTATTTTTTGATTTTTTTATATTTTTTATTATTTATTAATAATATATTATTTAATCATAAAATTAATAATAAAGATTAGTCACTTATTATTAAAATTAATGATTATTTAATATTTTTAAGTATATATTTATAATTTTTATTTATTTATTAATAATATATATTTGACCATAAGATTAATGTAAACATCAATCACCTATTATTAAGAGGATGAAGAAACAATTATAATATAATAAGGTGATTGTAGTCACAGTCAATGTGAAGTGAGAGCAAGGAAACAAAAAAAATATCCTAAAACATAAACGGATTAACAGTATAATATTAACGATGAAATTCAACCTATTATATAAACAAACGTATCATATATAATTATGCATTAATACTTTGATAATGTAACTGTGTGAAAGGCTTTTACCAGGATGCAACTGTTGATAATAAGTGAAGGAATAATAAATTTACATTACATTTTATAGGGATTTTGGTGAAACGTCGCTAACACATATCTATCCATACTTTAGGATGACATGTAATGAATTTTTCTCTACATTTTTTGGCAAATTATATTTAAATTAATATATATTTATATTTATCGGTTGAAAATGGTGGTGGGTGGATATCACAATCCTTAAATATGTGTTCACATGGGAGAGAAGGTGGAATACTTGCATGAACGACAAACTAAACGTCATGGCTTCCTTAGCCAACCAGGTACATATCATCTCCATGCAAGAGTAAAAGGAAACCAATCTCTTACTTAATATATCACCAATAATTAAACCTATATTTTAATCTCTTAATTTCTAAAATAAATAAACCCATCTTTCAATACTTAATAGTTAGTAATCACGTGTCAAATTCTGTCAGCATATATAATATTATATAATTTTATTTTTATTTTTTACTTTCATTGACTTCGTCTAACATCAATAATCAGAAACGTATTTCTTTAACTTTTAGTTAAAAAAAGAAAAAAAGACAAACAACATATTTATCTCTAGTATTTTGAGTAACACCATGTGAAAGAAGCATACAATTATTACTCCAGGAGAAATTATTACACGGTTTAAAATCATCATGGTCCCAATTAATAATAGCTATAGCATGACATGTGAAGAATAAAAAATCACCATTGTCTTTTATTTGAATTATTTTAAAAAATGCAATGACATGATGATTATGAATTGTGTAATAATTTATCCTATCGTGGAAGAAACAAATCAGTAAATCCTTTTTATTAAAAGATTATTTTATTTTGAAATTATTAGTGTGACATTATTTTTATTAAATCATAATTGATGTAATGTAATAATCTTGTTAAAGAATAAATAGATATCTCATTTATATAATATAATTTGCCTAGAGAATTATAGTTGATAATTGATGTGAGATTTTGAGACATTTATTTAAATTGAAAATATATATGTGATTTAAAATAAATAATATATTTCAACAACTATAAATTATTAAAAAAATAAAAAATGTTTCATTTAATCTTATAAAATTATAAATTGAAGTTTATATTTAATTTAAATATTATGATTTGATGTAATATCTAATCAGAGTGTAACTGATATTCAGGTTCACCAAATTTTACCCACAAGAAAACAAAAGTGAATTGAAAGGTGGCGTTTGAAACTGATATTGTGACTGAAATGAACTAGTCTAATTTAAAATGCAATGTGATTTACATGCAATGGAATTCAACGCCTACGATAATGACTATGGCATAGAGCTACCATAGGAGCTTCATCTGTTTCCTTGTTGTTAAATGTTTCATTCAAACTTCAACAACAATTGTCCATGTCCCTACACTGCAAATTACTCATTAATTCCAAAACTTAGTGACCAACTCTGCCCAAATTTGATGAGAACAGATCACGTGATTGATCAGACTGGTGTTTGTCCTTATAAAGAAACAAACCAAACACTTATTCATACCGTGCTTAACTAACCTTATTTGTTATTTTCAACAAACATAATTTGACCTAATTGATTAATCATGAATATGTGTACATGTCGTTACTTGCACTTGCCAAACCCTTTTGAATTTCTGTGTTGATAATTTTGGACTCATTTGCTCCACTACAACTCTTAACACAAAAATAATGTTGCTACCTAATGCTTGGTTGGAACTGCTTCTGTGCTAATCATTTTGGACTCATTACCTCCACTAATTTACTTTTAAATCAAATAAATTTTGCTAATGCTTCCAACTTTTCTTTCTCACTGCCCAAGCTCCTTCACTATGTTTCGTTCAAAAAATGGCATAATAATAAGGATTAAAGGAAGCAACTTTTCTTTTCTTATCAAAGAGGCCTTGTCGTGCTGCTTTTAATTTTTAATTTACACAAAAGCCACTTCACTTATAATAACACAAATTTCATACTTACTGTCTTGCATGGAGAAAGAACGAGAAAGAATCGAATGAGAATAGAAAGTTATTCGTTTGGTGGAATATATAAAGGTATATATGTGTGTGTGAAAAGATATTTGAGTAATATTAAAAAAAGGAAAGTTTAACATAATCTATCATACGTGTAATGTGATTCATCATGTTAACTTTTAATAATTTTTTTTAATTAAAATCATTTTCATAATTAGTCATATGACTTTTTTTTTGTTTTTTTATCATAATAATAATGAGTAACTAAAAATAATAACATTAATCATAAAACTTTTTTTTTTTTCATTTATGTCTTTCCAATAAAATATTTTTTCTTTCAATTGGGCCATAGAAACGTTGTTTTCTCTAGCTTTTTAGTAGTATTTATTATTTTTTTAATGGGCCTACCCAACAGGGCCCATATACAAATAGGCCGAAAGTTAAAGGAAATAAAAGCTCTAAAACATTTTGGAGATGCGGGGTATCGATCCCCGTACCTCTCGCATGCTAAGCGAGCGCTCTACCATCTGAGCTACATCCCCTTTTGACAGTACAGTTATTTTAGATAATAAATAACCGTTATAATTATTTTTTCTGAGTTTGTCAAATTAAATTTCTCTGACGTTTTCACTGGATATAATACAATTAAATTATAATCACTAACTATATAGTTATACTAAAATACATAAGTATATGTAAAAAATAATAAAAATATTAATACTTTTAAATTAATTATACAAAACAATATACTATTAACTCACTTTAGATAAATAGTTTTCGATTATTTTAGTCTAAAATAAATTAAATTTTATTTGTATAACATGATTTAAATTCATAAACATTCAGTTTTAATAATATATTTTCATGATAATTTTAGTTGTTAAGTAAGAACTTAGGGCCTACTGTTTCAACCTTTGAGAATTGGTTTTTATTTCAGTCAAATATACTTTCATATGTTAAATTTGAGTTGTATTTTTTAATAAAAATATGTTTCTATAAGTTGTTTTCAAATGGATTTTTTTTTCATATTTATGATCTAATAACAGTAAGAAAGATAAATAAATGAAATATATATAAACTAATAAAATGAAAAGTTATAAATATAAGAACAGACAAATCGTTTTAAAAAATGGTAAAAATTATTTAATCATAATTTACAATATTATTTAGCAAGAGTAAATGCATAATTGTGAAACGAGTAATCTTATTAAGAGAAAATTTAAAGTATTTATGATGCATCATCACGAAGTGTTGGGTTACTCTAAAGTTCAGTGTAATTGGTTTTAAATTATTGAATGCAATTAAGATGTGTGTTAAATCAACCTCTAGATCATATGGGAAACTGATTCCTATTGTGCAGGCCCAAAATCACCCTGTAATGGGCTTTCTTTGATGGACTTGTCCATTGCTCCTCACGAAAGGCCCATATACAATTAGGCCCAAAGTTTAAAAGAATAAAAATATAAAATTATGGAGATGCGGGGCATCGATCCCCGTACCTCTCGCATGCTAAGCGAGCGCTCTACCATCTGAGCTACATCCCCAATTGATGATAACGGGCCTTCTTTGATGAATTCCTCCTCACAGAGGGCCATATACAATTTGGCCCAAAGTTTAAAAGAATGAAAATATAAAATTATGGAGATGCGGGGTATCGATCCCCGTACCTCTCGCATGCTAAGCGAGCGCTCTACCATCTGAGCTACATCCCCGATTGATGAAGGGGCCTACAATGTTATTAATTGTTTAATAAATTAAATTTTATTTATATAATGTGATTTAAATATGTACTTACACCAACTCTGAATAATATATTTTATAATAAATTTAGTTGTTAAATATGAACTTAGGACCTAATGTTTCAACCTTTAAGAATTGGTGCTTATTTCAGTAAAATATACTCTTATAAGATCAATTACAATCATATTTTTGAATAAAATTATGTTGAGTTATTTTCAAAGGGAATTTTTTTAAGAATTATTTTGAGTACACTACTCTCTCTCTCTCTTTTATTATTTATGAAAATTGTGAGTTGCTGAATATAGTTTTGTTACAGAACACATGATACATTTGTAGGATTATGTTTTATTGAACAATGTTAATTTTCATTTGACCACCGTAACAAAAAATAAGCGTAATTTGCACATTAATTATTTTTTTACTACTGTTTGAATAATACAATAAATATATGACTAAGTTGACTAAATTTGAAGATATTTTATTCTAATACCTTTTTCGTAGTGTGAAGCTAAGAGTTATGATGTGAAATATAATCTAATTTTTAGTTTGAAAGTTGAGGGAGACATAGATGCAAACAAGAAAGAGTAGTTCACGGCTTCGCGTACAAGACCTACCATCACGCACTCCTCAAAATTTGCGACATAATTTGTTATTACTTCTTCACTCAAACAGAGACAATTCAAACACTTTCCACAGCGTATTATACGTATTCAATCATTTTTCCTAACAATTCGTAAATAATACGTAATTCCATACATAATTATTATTACTGTATAGCATAATTAATTATTACATATGTTTTTATAAGAAATAAGTATATTTTACATAACATGATAACTATAAAATAGATTGCTCAAAATTAACACAAAATTCTCGTTGTTAAAATATATTCCTTCTGGCACCCATAACTAAAATGTATGATTCATGTAAATATAAATAACTTTATTTGATAACATTGTTTTAAAAACATTCTTCATTCTTTTCCATCATATTATTTTTTAATGAAAAGTATTTTATAAATTTTTAACTTAGATTCGTAAAATTAAGTGATGTTGACTAATTTTTTTCATTGTGACATTTAATATTTTGTCTATATTTACTTTGTTTGTAAAAGTTCATTGTAATCATTGAGGTTTCCAAAATCAATCAATTAATAAGTCATTTAGATTTTAAAAAGTAATTAAGTAATAAATCGGGAAAATCTAGGAAAAAGAAAGTGAGTTACAGTTCAACTAAAAAAAAAGTGGTATCCATGTCAATGAAAAATAAAAACAGAACTAAAACAATGCATTTAATAGAATCCCAAATCTGACACAAATAATTAATAAAGTAGCAGAGCAAATGGGGGGTCAAAGTGTGAAGTGGAACTTGGTTCCAGTAGCAGCATCCATGGTTGCTGGTGGTGGAGAGTGTTTCATATCATAGATTACACCGAAGAAGAGAATCTCAACCAACGCCTAAACCTTGTTGTTTTTTATAACATTTCCCTCCACTCAGCTAGCTAAAGCCTAAGCCTAGAGACATGGAAACCATTACCAATTCCGTTTCTAAGTTACTAACATTGTTTTTAACGGTCTTGTTTGTGGGTTCTGAGCTGATACATTGCAATGTCACCTACGATAGAAAGTCTCTTCTCATCAATGGCCAAAGGAGAATCCTCATTTCTGGTTCCATTCACTATCCCAGAAGCACCCCTGAGGTTCTTCCATTTTCTTTACTCTTTTTATGTATTTCAACTTTCAACCTCTGTGTTGTTTCGTTTGCTTCAAATGTATGTTTGGTTTCAGATGTGGGAGGATCTGATTAGGAAGGCAAAACATGGAGGTCTTGATGTCATAGACACTTATGTCTTCTGGGATGTCCATGAACCATCTCCTGGCAATGTACGACTCTGGATCTTCCTTTCTCTCCATGAATAATAACATTTTCCTGGCACTTTGTGATTTTTTTTTATCTTGGGTTGCAGTATAATTTTGAAGGAAGGTATGATCTAGTACGGTTTATTAAGACGGTGCAGAAGGTGGGGCTTTATGCCAACCTTCGAATTGGACCTTATGTATGCGCTGAATGGAACTTTGGGTACATTTTGCTTCCAGAATCCATATCTCTCTCTCTATGTTAATATGTTGTGATTCACAATCTCGTTCTTTAATGGTTTACTGTAGAGGAATTCCTGTATGGTTGAAGTATGTTCCTGGCATAAGCTTTAGAACGGACAATGAACCTTTCAAGGTTGAGCTTGCATTTCATTCAATGGCTTCTCTCTGTTGATTCAAGTCTTGGATAATCTGACTTTGCCGTTTTTCATTCTTAGGCAGCAATGCAAGGTTTCACGCAGAAAATTGTCCAGATGATGAAGAGTGAGAAGTTGTTTCAGTCTGAGGGTGGTCCAATAATTCTCTCTCAGGTATGCAACTCATTTCATTGTATGGTATAAGTCGAGAAATACTCAAAAAAACCAAGGAATTGATCTGGCCCTCACGTGCATTCACATGAATAACTATTCAGGAGACAATCTTGAACTCTGTTTTTTCTCCAATTCTTGTGTTTTGTAGATTGAGAATGAGTACGGACCAGAGAGCAGGGCAATGGGAGCTGCTGGTCGTGCATATTTAAACTGGGCGGCAAGCATGGCTGTTGGATTGGGCACAGGAGTGCCCTGGGTGATGTGCAAGCAAAATGATGCCCCAGATCCTGTCGTAAGTCCTCTTATTCTCTTGCTTGTCTCATTTGCTTCATTACTATTTTGTTTGAGGGTTGAATATGATCTATCCAATCCTCCGTTACAGATCAATTCATGTAATGGTTTTTACTGTGATGATTTCACTCCAAATAAACCATACAAGCCTAGCATGTGGACTGAGTCTTGGAGTGGCTGGTAAACTATGTAGTGTATTACATTTGAAGTTGTTTCTGTAACTTTAGATTCGGCTATGTAATTCTTTGCTTATATCTGTTTCGTTCTTGTGATGTCCTTTCTCTTTTCCTATGATCGCAAGGTTTACAGATTTTGGTGGCCCAATTCACCAGCGACCAGTTCAGGATCTATCATTTGCAGTTGCTCGTTTCATTCAAAAGGGTGGCTCATATATTAATTATTATATGGTTGGTCAACTTCAATGATTTTTTTATTAATTTTACAAAAAGAAAGTCCCTCATTACTTGGATAAGGATCAGTCCCTTCCTCTTGTCATGAAACATGGCTGCCTTACTTTAAAATCTGAATTTCACCTATGTTCTTAATGAAAAATGATAGTATCATGGAGGAACTAACTTTGGACGATCAGCTGGAGGCCCATTCATTACTACAAGCTATGACTATGACGCTCCAATTGATGAATACGGTGAGAAATCTATGCTTATAATGTTACTTGTTTGCTACGTGATTCACTGCCACTTACAGATATAATCTACTACTGGGCGGAGATTCATAGTTCTTCTGTTGAAGTATATTTTATAATGCACCCCAGCCTATGAAGTGATGCATCATCATTCTTTAAGTCAAATTATCTGTTGTACTATTTCCGTATTTCCTTTTCTCAGAGACTTTTAGAATGCACAAACTGGGACTGAATTATGTTCCATAAGTTGTGGCCACAAAGATAGTTCAATATTTTGTTTTGTTGCCTCCTAACCCAATGTGCCTTGTTGTGTTTAGGTTTGATCAGGCAACCCAAATACAGTCATTTGAAGGAGCTTCATAGAGCTATCAAGCGGTGTGAACATGCTTTGGTTTCGTCGGATCCCACAGTTGCGTCATTAGGAAATCTACAGCAGGCAAGTTGTCTCTGATATGAAGCAATTATTCTCTTGACATTTTGTGCTTGTTTATGCTAAATTAATCTTGTCTCTCTGTGTGCTTGGAAATTTCCAGGCTCATGTATACTCTTCAGGTGGTGGAACATGTGCCGCTTTTCTAGCAAACTATAATGCAAATTCTGCTGCTACGGTGACATTCAATAACAGGCACTATGATTTACCTCCTTGGTCCATAAGCATCCTTCCTGATTGCAAAACTGATGTATTTAATACTGCAAAAGTAAGAATACTTCACGAGACCTTTTAAAGCTATGAAGTGTGATGAAAACATTTGCTGCCCATCAATATTATTTATTTTCACTGTCAGCCTTTCCCTCTGCATAAAGTAATTGACTGGATTGTTATGTCTTCATGAAGGTGAGAATTCAAACTTCACAGGTAAAAATGCTTCCTGTCAATACTAAGTTTTTCTCATGGGAGAGCTATGATGAAGATCTATCTTCTCTGGCTGAGAATTCAAGGATTACATCACCTGGACTTCTAGAACAACTCAATATTACCAGGGACACCAGTGACTACCTGTGGTACATAACCAGGTAAGCTGCTTGATTTAAAGATTATGTCTCCTTGATTTTCAAAAAGCTACCAAATGAATAGAATTTTGGGGTTGTTTGCATAAGGGGAAAATAATTGTGTAATGCCAATTGTAACAGGATGCCGATTAAAGATAGAGAATTTTGCTTGTTTTATTTTTCAAGAAGTTCCTGAACTTAGCCACTTTTGGCATATTTCAGATTTAAATTCTTTATCAGATAGATTCTGTTATCCTACCTTGTCAGTCTCAGCATCTAATCTTACTGTTTTTCTGGTTGGCATGCTGCAGCATTGACATAAGTTCATCAGAAAACTTTCTTCGAGGTGGACAAAAGCCCAGCATTAATGTGCAGTCTGCAGGACACGCTGTTCATGTGTTTGTTAATGGGCAATTTTCAGGTTTTTCCACTTTTAGTTAAACATGTAGTTCTTCTGTTTGCAAATTGCTACTTTGCAGATTGATTCTGAGTTAAACTTAGATGAACGATTTCTTTTACAGGGTCGGCTTTTGGGACAAGGGAGCAGAGAAGTTGCACATTTAATGGACCTGTAGATCTCCACGCTGGAATAAATAAAATTGCTCTTCTCAGCGTGACTGTTGGATTACCTGTTAGTATTTATTAGTACGATGCATGTAAATCCAACTTGAAATGGACCATTGTTTCTAGTTTGTACTTTTAGTACATTGTTTTGCTAGTCATTGATTGATTTTCCGTTTTTCGTTGGAAGAATGTTGGTCGGCATTACGAAACATGGGAGACGGGGATCACTGGTCCAGTTTTGCTCCATGGCCTTGATCAGGGACAGAAAGATTTAACGTGGAATAAGTGGTCCTATAAGGTCTGCTGCACTCAAATTTGTTGGACTATCATATGTATTCTCAAGTTTCGATTAATGGGACCAGAAAATGTTTTCTAATTACAATAGGTTGGCCTCAGAGGAGAGGATATGAATTTGGTGTCTCCCAATGGGGTCTCGTCTGTGGATTGGGTCCAAGAATCACTGGCTACACAAAGCCGGTCGCAGTTAAAATGGTACAAGGTAAGAAAACAGTTGCTGGTTTCTATAATAAGAGTTGTGTTATTCTTACAACAGTTTATACAACAATATTTTTCACGAGTATCTTTTTTATGACATCATTTATTACATTTCACATTTCTTTCTTAGTTGTAAGATTTGTTCTTTTAAATTTTTATAGATATAAAATTTCTTACATAATATGTGCTATAGTTTTCAACTAGAAGCTTACTATGAACTTGGAACCTCCAGGCTTATTTTGATGCACCCCGGGGAAAGGAACCACTGGCTTTGGACCTAGAAAGCATGGGTAAGGGTCAAGTTTGGATCAACGGGCAAAGCATAGGGAGATATTGGATGGCTTATGCAAAGGGTGATTGTAATTCGTGCACATATTCTGGGGCCTTTCGCCCTGTAAAGTGCCAACTTGGTTGTGGCCAACCCACTCAACGATGGTACTGCTTTTCTGTAAAGGATATCATATGAATAATAACTAGCTTTATTATGTCTTTAGCATTTTGTTACTGTTTAGAGCCGTTGAACTGGTGCAGTCTGACATCAATGTCACGTGCAGAGTGAAAGAAAAGTGCGCGGAGGGATGTACCTGGCTTTTATCATTTTGTATATTTACCTTTGGTAGTGTCAGCATCATTACCCTCCACATAGGAGTAATAATAATGCGACAACCATATTTTGTAGTGTGCCAGATCCAATGCTACTAAATATTATTTTATGCATGAGGCTAATGATGGAAGAATAGAGATTTTACCCGTTTTGTGTCTGGAATTTCGCAGGTATCACGTTCCAAGGTCCTGGCTAAAGCCAACAAAGAACTTGATAGTAGTGTTTGAAGAATTAGGCGGAAATCCTTGGAAAATCTCTTTGATCAAGAGAATGGTACATACTCCGGCAGTTCAGGGACAGTGAACCCAATTCAGAGAATTAAAGAACCTGAATAAGAACGTGTGTCTTCTGTGAATTCTATGGCTTTATGTGAGATTGGTTGAATCAAAGGTAGCTTCGAAACAATAAGTCATCGACTTGGCAATAAATCGGCTTCAGTTGGTAGTGACTTGGTTCAACAGTTCAGGGCCACAAGTGTTTATCGTTAGTTCCATGGTTTCTAAAAACCACTTTTCTTGATCTTGAGTTGAAAAAGGAGGACCACCTTGCTTGGTAAAAACATGTTAACCTATCTACTTGTGATTGTATTTAGGAAGAAACAGTTCATGTCATAGGATCATCATCTATCACCCTGTGCAATAACCACTATCATAACCCACTCTTGCTATTATCACCATCCTGCATTTAATTAAAGACAAGTGATTTGTTGAAAACTCATTCAAAACAAACAACTCAATTTATTAATATAATATTAATAAATTTTAATTTTTTATATTTATTATTATTATATTATTAAATAAGTGAGAATTTGGAATTAATATATTATTGTTATTTATTTACTTTTAAGTTTGATTTGACTAATTTATTTATAACTTAATTCATCTTGTTTATATGTGATTATTTTATTTATTTAACTTTATTATCGTACCAAATGAAATATCATTTATCACTTATTAAACTCTTATTTTTAATAAACAAAATATTTTAAAGATAGAAAAAGATATCTTCAATAAAAAATTATAAATATAATCTATAAATAAATAAGTTATTAATTGTTTCTTATATAGGTTTGGTTCTCATTTAAATACTCAAATATAATAGAAAGTTTGAGTTTATTTATTAGGACTAGTAATGAGTAAAATAAATCTAAACAGTTAATGAATAACTTGAATTCTTATAGGTGAAAGCATCAATTTCAGAGGTTTTGATTTATTTTTTTTTTATATGTTTACCTTCATGGTATTGTATATAGTTGATGACCATCAATTATTGTTAGTACTGTGTTTGGCTTGTTTGTGCCGCCATAAATGAGTATTTTTATTTTTTTTAGTTGTAAATATGGTGTTAAAGGAGAGCAAAATAACTTAGTTTTTAATTTATATATGACTTGATTGATTATATTACACATAATCAATATGTGGTAAAAATAAATATTATTTTAAAAAAATATTTTTGTATATATAATCAATTATGAGATAAATATAATATATTATAAATGTTATTATTATTTTTATTATTATTTAAATACTAAAAAAACTAAAAAAAATATTAAATGACAATAAATAAATTTTGTAGAATATATAATATAATTTTATTTTTTTATTTCTATCAGGTGATTTATAACTATATAATAAAAATTTTATTTTTAACCACTTTTTTATATTATAGAAAAGAATAAAAATATAATAATTTAAATAAAGAAATTTATTTTTATATATTTTAAATATATATATATATAATTAATAAAAATAAAATATAAAAAATTAAAAATTAAAAACATTTTAAAATAAATTAATTATAAAAATATTAGACTCCATTACTGAAGTTATTACTTTTTATTTTACTACTTTACTTTCTTTCGTTCGAATAAAATTAAGTATTAACTTTTGTAAGACTGGGCACCGTATAGGTGAATAAAAGTCCTTGCAGATATCATTTATTAATATATGAAAATAGTGAATAATTATTACTTAATTATAGTGAATAATTATTACTTAATTTAAATATATTTTCATGTCTTTTTGGATTAGAGAGTAAATTTGAGAAAAAAAAAGAAAAAGTAAAATTGTTTGAATTAAATGAATGAAAGAAAAAAGGTAAAAGAAAAATTAATAGGAAGGTTGTAGAAAATAAAATTAATATAATTGAATAAAAAAATTGAAATAATAATATAAAATATGAAATAATTAAAATATCTTGATTGATAAAAGATAAAATAAGTATAAATTAGGAAATAAGAATAATTACTTTATATTATATATAAAATTTTGAGATATAATACTTTTTTATATAAAATATAAACATAATTTTGAATATTTTTTTACGAATGTTTAAAATATTTTTAAATAATAGTAAAATAAATGAAAATTAAATTTATAATTAATTTGATTGATTTGAAATAATAAAAAAATATATTAATAAAATAATTTATTAAATTATTAATATATTCTTATTTAAAATTTAATAAAAAATAAAAATACATTATTTTATAAAAATAATTAATTTTAAAACAGTATATATTAAAAGTTTTAAATTTTAAAAAAATTAAATACTAATTAAAAAATTAAAATATAATAAAAGTATTTATAATAAAAATAAAATCAATAACATTTTCAAAAATATATATTTTATTTAAATATGATTTTAATTTTATTATAATAAAAAATATAAAATCACGTATAACTATAAATATATATTATCAACATTAATTTATATATAATAAATATAATAATACTTTTTTAATGTAATTGACTATTTATATTCAATAATGGATTATACACATTTATTTATTCCATTGAGTGAATTTCAAATATTTTATGATCCTATATAATTTAGTTATAATAAAAAGATAATTGATTGATGATTATATATATATATATATATATATATATATATATATATAATATTGATATTATTATTATTTATATATTTATTATTATAAATATAATTAATTAAAATATTAAATTATATAAATTATTTATAATATAATTATAATATAAAAATAATTTAAAAATAAAAGTATAAAAATTATTTTTAAAAATATAATATAAATAAATTATTAATCTTATTTATTATCTTAGCATAATATTAACCTAAAAAATAAACATAATTTATTGAAAATATTATTAGTTAATATTTTTTCAAAAAAATTTAAAAAAATAAAAAATCACTAAATTAGTATATATAATGTACTTTATTATCTACTCTCAATTAATTAATTTACAAAGACATAAATGACTTTTATTTTATTATTTTTATCTTTCTCTGTATTTCTTTGTAAATTAAAAGATTATATGTATTGGATGAATCTAATTGTTATTTTTTCATAAATAAGTTTAAATTCATAAATCCAAAAACAATCAATCAACACAATCATTTTTCTATTAACAATAAATTTGGAAAAAACAAGGCTTAGTTTCGGTAATTTCAAAAAACCTAATTTACTGTTTTTTTCAAACTCTCTTCAAAATTTTGTTTATGTATATAAGTTTGAATTTTTATTTTAAATACTTAACTACTGTTCATTTAAATATTCACTGACAACTTTTTCTTTGTATCAGAAGTATTAAATAGTTTAGATAATTTAAATTACAAAGAATATTTCAGGAACATCTAGGCTACATTACCAGTTATTTAGACAGACAAAACGAACATAAATGTTTTTAAATAAAAAAAATAAAAGAATTAATTTTAAAATTAAAAAAAAAGTCAAACAAATTAAAAGAATTTAAAATATATTTAAACTTTATCATTAATTCCTACTATTTTGTAAAGTTTCAGATACCATCTCTATGGCCACCATCTTATCAATTTCCAACACCATCTTATTTAAACGATTCTCCACTATAAATATCTTCACTGTCATTAACTTCAAACTTTTAGCAACTAGTTTTGTGAAACACATAAAATGTTATGACAGCAATAAACATAAAATGTTAGTTGTTTTGCATATCTTTCTGCTGGCTTCATTAGCAAAAATGTCTCGAGTAAGATGGTGCAAAAATATAATTTGAACACACCAACGTCCATGATGTAACAAATTCCAAATCCATGATTGAATCATGCAAACAGGTTCAAGAACAGTCAAGTGAAACATTTATTTTAGACGTACCCGTGTAACCGAGTTCATGTTTTACAAACGCCAAATACTACAGGCTGAAATCATTAGCAAACAAACTCAAGAACAATGCAAGTTCAAACTGACTGAAGTCTTGAAGACAACAGTCTATTATTCTCAACATACTCATATGGAACTTCAAGCAGCAGAGGTTGCATGTGTGCTTATTTTCAGTTGCAGTTCATCTTTCTTAGCACCCACAAACTTGTCCACCACCTTGCCTTCCTTTAAGAACAGGAAGGTTGGCATAGCCTCAATTTCGTATTCACTGCAAACATTCTGAAAGGGATTTCAATATTCTTAGTTAAGGAAATAGCCCCAATAAGAATTAGGATAAAAAATAATGTCATGTGATAGATTCAGATATACATAGTCACCTTCAATTCATCCACATCCACCTTGAGGAAGATGACATTGGTCAGGCTTTTAGCAAGCTCTTCTACAAATGGGGCAATGAAACGACATGGGCCACACCAAGAAGCCGTGAAATCCACCACAACCTATAAACGGACAATTTAATTAACTGAATATATATGAAAATAGTATCACCGAGAAATGAAAGATTGATTGATGTTAAGGGGTGGTAAATAACCAGTTTTTTAGATTCTTCTCCCTTCTTCAGATGTTCCTTCCACGCATCCTCACTGTGGATACCGATCACTTGCCCTTCTTCTGCCATTCTTCTCTTGCTTCACAACCTTGGAATCTTTTTCGCTGTGAACTCAAGCTAAGGAGAATGCAATGGCCCTGCCTCTTTTATATATATATATATATATATATATATATATATATATATATATATATATATGCCTTGTGCTAGTGTTGTAACATGTTTCAATTTTCTCTTCTATATTCTCCAATAATAAGTGTACATCATATTCTTTAACAGAACCTATTTTTATAATCTGCATTTATTTTTTATTTTTTTTTATTTTGTCTAAAGGAACATTGAAACATGTTTATCGTAACATTTTAGGAATTTATTCAAAAATTATTACAAGGAACAATGGAATTGTTTATCACAACAGACATCAAGGAAATTCGTCCAAGAAAAAATGAGTCATAACAAAGAAACGGGTTATTTTACTACCCACGTTTTGGTTTGACTGTTGTTCCACATTGTTATTAAAAATCCATTAACAACGGGAAAAGCCGAGTAAATAAATAAAATTTAAAAAAGAAGCTGACAAAAAAAAATCAAATTTTAATTCAATCATATTTCAGATTTAATTTAAAATGTCCTCCCATTAAAGTCAATATTGTACGTGCGAATATAATTTTGTTTATAAAATTATGATACCATTATTTATTTACATTTTTATTTCTTATATATTTACAAAAATTATCACATAATTTATACTTTTTTATTATTTATCAAAATCATATTTAATTAAAAATAATGTTACATGATATATTAATATAATTTCTAAATTTGTATAAATTTATTTTTAATAATATAAGTTTGAAGATTTACATTGTTAATAATTTCTATAATAAATTATAAATAACCTATTTTAATTTACTTTTTATTATATTTATTATATATGTTACCATTTATTTTCTATTTTTCAAAAAAATAAAGCTAAAATCAAACTACTACTTTACATCAGATTAAATTTAGAAAAACACACATTGTATAATTAATTATGAAATCATGTGACTTTTTCTCCTTGAAACCCATGTAATCCAATTGCAATAGTCAGCCACATTCATCTAAGATATATGGCATGTTTTAAATATGGATAATGGCACTGGATTTTCCTTTCATTCATCGAATCATTGTTTGATGATGGTCCCATCTTCATATGAATTAGTTTTCATTAAAAATTAAAATAATTAGAAAAACTGAAATAAAATTGAATGAAGACAGCGCCACACAATATTTCGAAATGATACAACAGGTTGCAATGATTTAGTTTCTTTAATCATATGTTTTTGAAATAAAGATATGAATGAGCCTTTACAATTTTTGTTTGTGTCATTCAAATATGTTCCTATGGCAGGAATATATTTTAACGTACATAAAACCGACAAGTTACGAGTCATTGCAGCACATGTGGTTGTGTGCTTCAACGGTCTAATTAATTGTGGAAATACTGCTTTTTTTGGTTATTAATTAACACAATGCCAAATTTAACGATTGAAGTAACCAATATTTGTCATATTATTTAACTTTTTTCACTAACTTTGTTTAACGCAGTTTGCGAGATCATCATATTCTACCAAAATCTATCCATTGTTTTATTAATCATATTTTATTATTATTGATGGAAAAGTTATTATCTGCAGAAGAGTTTGGAGTGTGCAAACCATAATCAAGAATGACGTTAATTATTAGATTCAAACAGTTTAATGCCCTCAAATAAACATTTGCGCAAATGCTATTCGTTCCTTGTAGTTCCTTTGTAGTTATAAATTGAATTCCATCATTCTCATATAATAAATAAACATCTAGAATTAAAATTTATTACTATTAATGGTCACATTAGCTAAAATTAAGTTTCAAATGCAACAGTACAACAATCTCATTTACACATGACACATTCCATGTTTTACCAACTCCAAATCCAAGCTGAAATCAACCAAACAGAATAAAAAACAGTAAAAAGCAAACTGACTCGAAGAAACATAGTTATTATTCTCGACATATTTATATGGAACTTTCAGCACCACTGGCATGCTTGGTTATGATGCTTTGCAGCTCCTCTTTCTTGGCACCCACAATCTTGTCCACCAGATTGCCCTCTTTCAAGAACAGGAAGGTTGGCATAGCCTCAACCTCCCACTCCTTGGAAACAGACTGAAGAAACCAAAGTGATTGCAAGATTATGTTAAGGAAATTCGTCTAAGTGCTTTAGAATCCAGGATAAAAATGTAAAAATCATGTTCTGGGGAAGATTTAGATATTCACACTCACATCCAGTTCATCCACATCCACCTTGAGGAAGGTGACATGGGGCAGCCTTTTAGCAATGTCCGCTAGAATTGGAGCAATGAATCGGCATGGGCCGCACCAAGAAGCAGTAAAATCCACCACAATCTGTTACGTAACCTCCTTTCAGTATTTTTAATTGTTTAAAATTGACGTATGAAAAGGTAAACCATTTTAGAGAATCACAAATCATGCTAATAATGACACATATCTTCAACAACAGAAGAAATCATAGATGCAGCAAAAAATTTCACCAACAAAGTGCAACTTCAGGGGACCAACATCCCCTGCAGTTTCTTTTAAACAGCAACACCCCAACCTTAGAATTTTTTTTTCTTTACTGACTGCTTTAGTCAAGGCAGTACATGCAGTTCAAACTTGAACTGCTGCAGGCATTTCAATTGATTAAATAGATCAAAACAACACCTCCAAGAATAGAAAATTCCCAGAATCACAGTAAATTCAGTAACTCTAGGATAGATCACCACAGGAAACACAGTCCGTTTAAAGGTTGCAACAAGGTTACAAAACAAAAGCACTCACATGATAACAATTCAAACAAAGGAGGCGACAGGGAAAAATTTTAAAGAAAGGGATGAAATACAACCATACAATAGAACTGAAGGAGAGGAAAACAGTGATGGAAGACACACTACAATAATCTCTAACCAACCAACAGTGGTTACACAAAAATAGATAATCAAGAGATCGTCTTATCCATGAATGAAAAAGTCACCATACCATTAGACAGGCCCTATTCGCTCATCTAGAAAATTTGAAAGGGATTCAGGGCCATCCAAAATTCCCACAAAGAATAATACGGGGCAATCCAGCTCATCTCAACGATTATTAAAATATTAATATCATTTTTAGCACAGCTTCTAACTTGAAGTTCATCCATCGAGTTGTAACCTTATAATTAGTTCTGTTCGATTATTCTGACATTTTCCACAACATAGTAAAGCATCCGAGACAACCGACACCGTTTCCAGATGCAAAATTAGCAAATCTATGAACTATAACTCAATCTAGAGTAAACTTTGACAAAACAAAATAGCTCTTAAGGCAAGAAACGACAAAGGATTTTATTTTTTTTCTCTTGTTGTTAATAGAAAACCCTAGTGTGCATTATGCCTGTGCAAATCAACACAGAAGAAGGGAAAACGAAACTAAAATGCAAGTTAAGGAGTAAAAGAATAACCAGTTTATTGGGTTCTTTTCCCTTATCGAGAAATTCCTTCCACGCAGCGACGGTGTGGACACTGATAACTTGTCCCTCTTCCGCCATTCTTCTCTTTCTCTTTCTTCGCAATCACCAGGCTTTGGAATAAATTTTTTTGGGATGCCGAACGGAGCCCCTGCGTGTTTATATATAGTAGTTATTATTGGTGTGATCTCTTGTTAAAATATAGTAAAACATTGCGGTCAGTCACGCGCTGGTGGCGAGTTCACATCTGAGTGACGCAGGGCCCTATGTCAACCTGCGCGTAGTAATATATGTTGTGACTCAGCACGACGCGTGGATACGACAGGACAAGAGGAGGCGTCATCTGTACGCAGGGCAGAAAAGGTAGGAAAACACAACTACAATGCAAACACTTTCATGCTCATCCTCCTCCATACTATTTCTTTCCACACTCTTTTTTTTTTCTTTTTTCTTTTTTTTTTACTGTGTTTCGACTTTAAAGAGAAGAATTGAGATTGAAATTTCTTTCCAGGACACATTTTTTACTGTGTTTGGATTTAAAGAGTGGAATTGATAGAGACAAAAAAAAAGTTATTAGAATAGAGAGGAAAAAAATGGAAAATAAAAATAAAAAAAAATAAAATAAATTTAATTGATTAAAAATAAATAAATTAATAACTGATCAAAACATATTTTATATAGTTTAATAAAAATTAATAAAAATTAAAAATAAAATATAATTTAATATGAATAATTATTTAATATATATATATAATTTAATTTTTTTATAAATAATGTTCCAATATTATTATATATATATATATATATATTTTTTTTTTGTTTGAATTTTATATATTTTCAATCAATTAAAATTTAAATATATTATTTAGTTTTATAATATAAATTATATGTAATTAAGTTATTTGGATTCTTTTAATATTTTAAAATACAATAAATATATTTTAATAATAATTTACTTATTTTTTATTATAATATTTATTTAAATTTTTACAAATTATAATCTTATCAAATTTTAAATAAAATTAAAAATACCATAATTTTTCCTTTTAAATTTTTATTCTCAAATTATTTATATTTAAAAAATCTTTCTTCTTCCTGACATCTATTTGAATATAAAATAAATTAATAATATTAATCAAAATAAATAATAAAACTAATTTTACTTAATTTTAAAATTATAATTAATTAAAATAACTTCAAAAATTAAATTTATTCACAATTAAAATTTATAATTTTTGAAATTATAATTATACGAATTGAAAATTTTCATTGTAAAATTAAAAAAATAATATAAATAAATAAATAATATAATAATCACTATACTTATCATAAATAATTATGTTTAATTAAATTACATCTTAATAATAATAATAATTAATATTCTTATTTTTTTTTATGTAAAATTAATATAAATAGGATAATTTATATTCATTTGAGTAATAAAAGTGAAATATTAGATAATTAAAGCATAATTAATTTGTGTTTGACTGCTTATATGATTGAAGCAGAATTTATTAAGTAAAATAGATAATTGATTTTTCCTTATATAATAAATTATATATTAAGATAAAATCGATTATTTTATTTATTTTATATAATAATTAATAATTAAAAATAATAAAAACATTCAAAGTTACATAAAAAATATCCCACTTTTCACACAAATCATCATATCTAAATTACATTAATTTTTTCTGGAAATTTCCTTTCTTATTTTGTCTTTTACAGTACATAATCATATCAAATTATAGTTAAATGATATTAAAAATATATAGTTAGTGACTAATATTTTTGTTACTAAATTCTTGCAACTCCTACTCTTTCTAATTTTAGAAAAAATAATCACCAATAACTAAAAGTTCAAGGATTAAAGTTATAAAAATTTAAGAATCACAATTACAATTAAGCCACAGATATTTACGTGCAAAAGAAAAAAAAACATAAAAACTTCAGTCAAATTACAATATAATCGAATATATTAAAAATAATTGTGTTTTTTAAGTTTGTGTATATAATAATAATAAATAATATTAATAAATAAATAAACAAATAATAAAAAATACAAAAATATTCTCAATAGTGAATATTAATATTAAATAATATTGTTTTAAAGTTAAGTACTCTAAAGATGCTTTTATTTTATTTTTCTTTTCAATTTTTTCAATCAAACTATATTTTTTTCTATACTTTTTTTTAATATTAATTTTCATCCCCTTATCAGTTATTTATCTGCAAATTTGAACACAGGATTTTTAATTAATTGAAGATATGAAGATAGGATTAATAAGAATTAAAATTTTCTAAGGGTCAAAGTAAAACATGTGATGATAGATCACTATAAAAAAGTCATTACGATCCAACAACTAATATGTAAAAGGAAATATTATACATGTGAATAGGTGAAATCTTAATAATTTAACATTTGTTTGGATGAGATTAAAGACTATAAACTAATAAGAAGGAAATGGCAAAAACATTGCTTCTCTTCCTTCATTTGGAAGTGTAAAGAAGGAAGGGAGAACTGGAACAACACTCCTTTTTTTTTTTCATGAAAATATTATTATTCATTAATAGGCCAGGGAGGTTTTAATTTAAAAGAGTAGGCCAAATTATTAGATTAGCCCAAGAAATCATTGGGCCTGATCTCCCTTGATCCAGTATTCCCACGTGGAATATCCAGAACCACAAGCAAATGTTTTGTTTTATATAATATGCTTAATCTTGATTATTATGTGATCCACATACTCCACCAGATTCAGCAAAATCTAACTCCATCAACGTCTCTTGGATATTCTACACACATATCATTTCCAGCCACTGTGAAGTTCCCAACAGATTCATAACAGAAAATAGTAATAAAAATAAATAATAATAATAAGAACCACACAACAAAGCCTGGTGTATGGCAGTCACTCTTTCTCTTATATTCAATTCTAATTTTGTTATTGGAAGAAATGGCGTTCGCGCAGCTTATCCCTTCGCCTTCTTCCTCTTTACCTCACAAACCCTCCTTAAACCCATTCACACTCTCCCTAAACCCTAAATTCCCAACCACACCACTCCACCATCTCAATCTCGCCACTCTCCGCCACCGGTACCGGAAGCCCAATTCCACCTTCCGTTGCTCCGCCTCCTCCTTCTCCGAGAAGCACCACACGAACTCTCCCAATTCCGACGATGTCGTCGAGCTTCCACTCTTCCCTCTCCCTCTGGTTCTCTTCCCCGGCGCCATCCTCCCCTTGCAGATCTTCGAGTTCCGCTACCGCATCATGATGCACACGCTCCTCCACACCGACCTTCGCTTCGGGGTCATCTATACCGATGCCGTCTCCGGAACTGCCGCCGTTGGCTGCGTTGGCGAAGTCATAAAGCACGAGCGCCTCGTCGACGACCGTTTTTTCCTCATCTGCAAGGGCCAGGAGCGGTTCCGCGTAAACAGTTTGGTCCGCACGAAACCCTACCTGGTCGCGCAGGTGACGTGGCTCGAGGACCGGCCATCTCCCTCCACAGACCTCGATCTGGACGGTCTCGCCGCTGAGGTTGAGACCTACATGAAGGACGTTATCCGGTTATCGAACCGGTTGGGAGGGAAACCGGAGAAGGAGGTTGGGGAGTTGAGACGAAACCTGTTTCCGACGCCGTTCTCGTTCTTCGTTGGGAGCACCTTCGAGGGTGCGCCTAGGGAGCAACAAGCGCTGCTTGAATTGGAGGACACCGCCGCCAGATTGCAGAGGGAGAAGGAAACGTTGAAGAACACGCTTAATTATCTCACTGCTGCTTCTGCTGTTAAAGACGTTTTTCCCTCTTCTTCGAATTCTTCTTGATTGGGGTTTATACTCTATACCCAATGTATTGATGCTTGTAAGTGTAACTTTGTGGCAACATAATGAGAAAATAGTTGTAAATTCTTTTGGTGCGTCAACTCGGCTTGCTTTTTTGTTCTTTACTGTGTTGCTCGATAGATAAAGACAGTAGATAGGATATTTAGTCTGTTTCATTTTGCTACCTGTTGACAGTTAGAATAATATCCTGTTTTAGAATAAAATTGCACACATCATGATTTGAAGTTCTATGTGGATGATGTTTGTAATTAGTAATACTTGTTAATAACTTGCTCTTTAATGTGCCACAGAATGTGAATTCTTATGCAGATTTGCATTCTCGATGTTGAGACAATTTTATAGTTTGTAACTATAGTTTTGTTGCACATATCTGATTATTAGTTTCAAGTTTGTATCTGCAGACTTGGGTTAGAGATGTGCAAACTAAAATCAAAGCATGAATAATCCAAATGAATACAATTTGTTTACCCGATTCTCACCTATCTGCGAACAAAAACAAACATCTACCTGAGGCAGAACAGGCACTCGTGAGTCGTGGAAGATTTAGGGTAGTTTCTCTTGGAAATATCTGCGACCTCCCTTTCCTTTTGTTTTTGCCCTTAAAAAGTAAATCTTCCATTTTTTGAAGAAAAAAAAAATGCTCGTTTTAAAGTAATTCTATGATCGAAGTTAATTTGAAAACATTCTAATCACATATTTCATCAATGTTACAGTTCATAATCAAATTCAAGCGTGTCATGCATCATGATATAAAAACCGCAGCTTAGAATTAGTAAAATTTACATTGTTATGAAAAAATCACATGCGTGGTCCATTTCCAAACTCGCACTTCTGACAATTTTATAATAGACAAGCACTTAAAATAGACAAACACAATGCAGTCATCCAAAACATAAGAAGCTAGTATAATTGTGGCTTAAACATTCGTTTCCTCTCTATGGTAATGATGGTATTCTATTCGAGTGGTCAATGCATTCCCTACTGACTTTTCCTATCAATATCCTGATACCATATCAAATATATAATCCATCTGTCAAAACTTGATTCCTTTTGAGCGCTAATCGACTACTAGTAATAAAATAACCCATTAACACAAATAGGATAGCAAGTAGAATAAGTCGATCATACAAATGGATGGTGTTGAAAAACTTCAATGAGATTTCCAGCCTCTTGGCTTGTCGGAGAAATCTTGATTCCCCGATGTGATTGCTGTCCCATTTGTAATCTGCAAGTAGAGACAGTCAGTAAATATATGTTCTGTTAAAAATTCAATGCTAATGACACATTCTTTTTAATACATTCCCTTTTATTTGGATGAATAAAATCTTAGTATTTCTTAGTAAAAAATTTGCAGCTAAACGTTAATGAACTAAAAATTGTTAAATTGAAATGAAAAGTGGTGTATAATGAAATATATTTGATTGGAACATCAACGTCAACAAATTCATCACCCAAGTTTTGGGTATCATATTAGATCATTTACTTGTGATGAGCATAGGTCAGAAGGAGTTCATACAAACCTTTAAACATAGGCCCTTTTCTGTATCACAAATTGGATAATCATGGGGGCAACAGTGCCGTTTGTCTTTACAACACACAGCAGAAGTTAACCCACAGCATTTCCAAGAAAAGCATATTCCAAGAAAGCTCTTGGCACAGCAACATGTTTCTCCTTCTGAACAGTGAGTGAACAGATTACATCTTACAGGAGCTGGAGGAGGAGGAGGATTAGGCTTGGTCTTGATAGGATACGAAGCTAATGTGTTGATTCCACATATCCCTTTGGAATCGCCATTGTTCCTTATCATGTGTATGTAACCATTCATTCCCCAATATTTTCCCCATGAATTCTTGACAATCCAATAATCAACTCCATTTTCAGAACCATATCCTACTATCAATACTGCATGATCCAAAGAAGTTGAACATGGTCCGGAGAAGATACCCTAATACATTTTTATAGCCACTGTTAATTGTAAGATAGATAATACAGATATATGTGGTACTAATACAAATAAGTTACTGCTAATATAGACTACCAACCTGTGAGTACAACTGGAAAGCTCTTTCACTACCACATATGCCTACGCTTACAGGCTGTGAAGCAACGGCCTTTAGTAGCTCTTCCTCACTCGGAGGCAAATCAACATAACCATCAATTGTAACAATGCGCCTTTTTAACTGTAGATTAGATGCAGGAAGAAAGGGTGAAAACAGATAATAAACATACTAGTATCAACAGAACAAATAAACAGAGAAGAAAGAAAGGAAAGACAAGATATTTCACAAGCAATATTTTGGTCACATTAATCCTTGATTAATTTGAGTCGAACTAGGTGAACTCATTAACTATTTTTATCTTTTTTTCTCTTTTCACTTGAACTCAAGACCTAGTTAGAGAGATATCATGCTTTGTGGTGCTTGGACCAAAGTCTGGGTACTTTACAAGCATTTTGATAGACTACAAAACTTAACAATTCAACATTTTTGAGAGGGAGTGGCAGATGAAGCAAATACCTTGTCCTTACTGCAAGGGCGTTGCCGAGCTTGATATGGATAATCATCCTCAGTATCGATCCCTTTGTTGTCAATGACAAATTGGTACGCATAATCCATGAGTCCACCTTCACAACCACTGTTGTAGGATGTATCACAATCTATCAACTCTTGTTCAGAAAGGCTTTCAAGAGACCCTGTGACAATCTTATTTATACCTTCGATTGCACCAGTAGCTGAGAACGCCCAACATGCACCTAGATAACACACATCTCAAGTTGTCACGGAATTGTATCATGAATACTCTTTACCACTACAAACCACAGTGACAACTGAAGTTCAAGAAGCACAAATAGCATGTCCACAAAAATGACGAATTCAAAATCAACCAATAAAGTTTTTGCACAGCCATACAAGAGATATAAGACAGAAAAAATGGAATGCATTTTCCTGTGGCAGCCATTAGTAACTTTTCGCATCAGAAGTCTTCGTACGAAACCAGATTTTCTTTAAAGTCTTATGCCACGAATTGGCAAAATCATAAAAATAGCTGACCATACAATAGTTGTTTGTCAAATTAGAGGCGAACTAAACACTCCCTAAACTCCTAACAATTTTCTAGCTATGCCTATTAAACTTTTAGAAAAATAATTATTTCTTTGAAATAATTTATTACTTATAAATATTAATTGGATTCGGATTTGAGTTTAACTTACTCCCAAAAGCTAATTCATGATGTGAAAATTGTCTGTCACTCTATACATAATATTGTAGAATGTCTTAACACCCTGAGTATGAAATTTGTTGTATTCCACATTCACAAATGGTTGGCTTAAAACACCCAAGATTTACAACCACCAGAATATGCTGTCACAGCATCTTAAAATTGACCAAACTTCATAATGAGATGGTTGTTCTCCACATATATATAAATTATTTATTATATCACTAGTTAGTGTAGAATCTCTAACATACCCTTTAGGACAAGGATTAAGTATCTCCAATATGAAATTTGCATAACTACACATACGCTAGTGGGCTATAATGGATGGTCCGATAGAGCCAACAACAACTACTAAAATAGCCTTTGAAGTCATCTTAAAATTTAAGGGTATGTTTGAACATATTTCTCCAAAAGGACTTTTATGAGAGAAAGAAAATGAATAAACTGTTTCATAAGTTGAATAAGCTAATTTGTAAAAATTCTATCAGTTCTTTAAATTTTATTTTTTTAACTTGAGCACAAGTTAATTTTAATTAGAGAAACTCAATTCATTTTTCTTCTAAATTTTCTCTACGAAAATCCTGGCATTTGTCCAAACAAACCGTAGGTCTAATCCAACTTCAAAATTGAGCTCAAGGAGTGAGTTGCTACTACTGCCCTAGTTACACACGCTGTTTAATCATATCACGGAACAATCAATGAGGGATCTTAACCAATAACGAAAGCAAATTATTTGATCATTCTAAAAAAAGGGCGTGTAAAGAAGACATAGGCAGTACCGCAGCTGGCTTGGTCTTTGACGGGTGTAACAGCGCCGCTCTGTCTCCAATCGATCTCAGAAGGAAGGTGTAGCAGTTCACTATGTTGTCGTCTCTGGACCCGCTTGAATCGAAGCAAGGAAGGGGAAAAACCGAGGCGCGAGGTTTTGAATTCATGGTGGGTGAGATCGGCGAAAGCGTTGAGGGAGAGGGTGTAGGTGGAATTGTTATCATTGGCGTTCCGGTTGTGTTGGGAGACAAAGGCATAGTTGTCCTCGAAGACTTGGAACCTGTAGCGTCTCTCTTCCTCGGAAGAATAGGTTTTGTCGTGTTCCTTGCACCACCTTTCGAACAGATCGGAGGTGTCGGAGGCAGATATGAAAGGCAAGAAAAATGCGAAGAGGAGGATCAGAGACAACAACAATTTCATCGGACCTTTGTAGAAAAGCAGAATTAACAACGGTGAGTTGAGTTGGAATTCCTAGAAAAAAGGAACGTTGGAGGGACCAAGGTTGAGGTCGCTTCTTTTGGATCTATATTATGAACAACCAATGATCCACACGGTCTCAACTCCCAACTGCAGAGCCAAACTGGATATATATATGAATAGCTTCATCCACTTAAAATTAAGTTCTATATTTTATCTCAAAAATAAATAAACAAACATGTTTGTCTCAAAATTGAACATCCAAAGTACAACCCGCACATCATTTGCATTAAAGATATGTATATATATATTACTGCAGCTTGTGTTTACTGAATACTTCCTTCTTCGGCTGATTTACACACACACACGTACACACACACACACACACACACATATATATATATATATATATATATATATATATATATATATATATATATATATATATATATATATATATGTGTACAAATTAGTTTGAGATTTTTTCTGCATAAATAATGGTTTTGAAATTGAGTATGAAGTAGGTAAATTGTGCGTGTATATGTTTATGCATTTGTGTTAATATCAGAAAAAATGCTCAATGCTATAATGATATAATTTTATTCATTTTATAATCGATATATGTGATTTATTGAAAAAAAAGAGCTAATTATTTACCTATGAAATTTTAATAGTTAATTAGTTTTTACTTAAATGACAGTATATTTAGATTTAAGTATCTGAATATCATTTTTTGTCATACTAGTACAGTTAATGCATAATTACTTGACTAATTTGATATGGTTGATGCATAATCAAAATTACAACTTTATAAAAAAAATTCATAATTACAATAAAAGAAGATTTAATAATAACACCATTTAACTGATTTAATAATAATAATAATGTAAGAAATTGAAGAAAATTAAACTATATGTAATTCATCCTCTCAGACTGAAGCATTTCTTTTTAAAGCTGCAAACTGAAAACTTTGCTGGTAGTGTGCTGTGTTTGCATGCATGGAATATCAGTGTTACACGCACGCTATGGAATGAAGACGGTTATTCATGTTTAGAATTGGTAAAGAAAACTATGAAGCCATGTTATAGAGATGGTGCTGTCATTACTTGTCAAGGAAATCAGTGTGATAATTTCATGTCTAAATTTGTCCAAAATCTGGAAGAACATTTCAGTCATTGCTCTTCGTTGATGATGCTGTGGGCATTATAGGTTTTTGTAGAATCTAGAGATATGTATTCTCTCTCTCTCTCTCTCTCTGATCTCCAAAATACTGAATTAAGTTGAATTTGAGTTAATTGATTTACAATTTGGGTAATAAGAGTTTAATTTGTTTGAATTAGAATAAAATTTAAATTGATTATATTTATAATTTATAATGGATTATTAAAGCACAATTAATTATATACAATATTATTTCTTATTACATGTAAAAATTGAATCAAAACCTAATAAAAATACACAAGTCAAATATCTTTTAATCTAATATACTAACTAAATGTTAACTTGATTAATTCTATTACGTTTTTAAATATTTATAATTCTATTTTATATCATTAATGGTATTAAAAACATATAAAATTATATTAATCTGTATACAATATTAATATTAATATTGTTAAAATATTTTTAACACAAAATTCCTATTACAGTCACGAATAGAATTTTTAATACAATTCTAAATTTGTTTAGTATAATAATAGTTTTAATAAAATACAATATGGTTTACAAATTTCAACATATCCAATTTTTTAAAATACTGTAATTTTTTTAATATGTTTACAATTTAGGTTGAGTGGTTCCCTCACGTGCACCAGGGCAGAATCATCACACCAGTTGAAGAGGCACATCAGGTGTTTGATTTGAGAAACAACACACAAACACACGGTGGAGTTCTCACCAACGGTATGATTTGGAATCGGATCGTGTTGTAGCCACTGCACCACAGTCTCGTAACTGCCGCCTTCTTTCCCTGTTCGCTTCTCGCATCGTCTACCAAACCATGGACCTCGATCCTCGTCAATACGAAAACGTTGTATGTTTCTTTTTCCCTCTCCGTGCCCTACTGTAACTACTTCACTCACTTCTTTATGATTTTGTTTTTTGCGACGCTACTATGTTCTCAATTTCTCGTATCCCAATCCCTACTCAGGATAATATTGATATCTGTGCTCCTTCACTTTCGGTTGCTTTTTTTTTTTTTTTTTTTTAAACAAAATTTCGTCGAGTCTTATTTCTCTCTGGAACACGTAGTTACTAAAATGAGACCCTTGTGAGTAATTGACCGGTGGATATTAGTAATATGTTTTGAGATAAGGGATTTTTTACTCTTAGTGAAACCCTTCGATATATTATATCCTGAAAGATATTTTCCAACCCTAATTTCTGATGCCAAAAAATTGAGAAGAAGAGGGATTGGAAACATGAAATGTGTATTTCTCCTGCCCTGTATACTCTATGTTGATCATGAAGTACTACTATTACGCGTTCTGGTTCCGGTGAATAAAATTTTTGCCCTCTGTTTTATTTTTGAAAGAGAACGTAATTGAATCCCAGGGGTTTGGTTGAATGGATAAGACAGGGTTTTTGTTTTTGACAGTTTGCATGACAGGTTCTTTCAAACCGTCACTCATTTCTTTGGGCTGAAATAAATTTAAGTTTCTCCGTAAGTGGTTTTTTGAGTAAGTGGTCTTTGAGTCTAGAGACTTGAGCTGAGATTGAACCATTGTAGTATGCTTTATCGGGTGTCTATTTTTGAAGTGTTGATTTTCTGGTTCCATTGATTCTCTTGCCGTAATTAATCCATTCCTTTTTCTTGGCTACTTGAATTTACAGGCTATAAATGATAATGACATCCACAGTATTGTTCTTTCATATCTTATACACAATTGCTACAAAGAATCGGTAGAATCATTCATTACTAGCACAGGGGCAAAGCAGCCGGCAGATTATTTGGAGGACATGGACAAAAGGAAAAGTAGGTTTGTGGTTATTTTTGGTTACAAAGTTAACTCGAGACTTTTTTGCGTTTTCAGGTCATATTTTATTTGCTTACTTAGACTAGAGACTAAAAACATAAGTCAGCCTACTTTTTCTCTAGCAGATCGTTTTCACTTTGTTAAGATAGGCTTCTCTTGACATTTTAAGGAATCTACTGAGCCATAAAGGGCGCTGGGAAATCCTCCAGACATGTTAATTTGGCTTTTTATTGGATCTTATTATTAGTAATGAAGACATTTCGTGATGATAAATTTCATTTGTCTTTAGGAATCTTTCACTTTGCACTAGAGGGAAATGCACTGAAGGCTATTGAGCTTACTGAACAGCTGGCAAAGGATATTCTAGAGAACAATAAGGATTTGCAGTTTGATTTACTAAGCCTTCATTTTGTTGAGCTCGTATGCTCTAGGAAATGGTAAGCAGAGATTAGTTTTGTCCCTAAAAGAACACGTTGTAAATTTCCTGCTTTCATAGAATTTCATTTTATTGGCAGCACAGAAGCTTTGGAGTTTGCTCAGACCAAGTTGGGCCCTTTCGGAAAGGAGCCCAAATATATGGAAAAACTTGAAGTATGTTTGAATTCCAAATAGCTATTTGTGATATATATGTGTGTGCTTATGATTGAATAAATATTATGCTACCGTTGTTGCAGGACTTTATGGCCCTTCTTGCATATAAGGAGCCAGAGAAATCCCCAATGTTTCATCTCCTTAGCTTAGAGTATCGGCAACAGGTTGCCGATAGTTTGAACCGAGCTATTCTTGGTTGGTTATCATGTTATCTGCGTCTTTCTTGAATATATTTTGTTGCAAATCATGGTGCTTTTTCCTATTTATGTTAATGTGATTTTTGTCGTGATGGTGGGTATTGGCAGCACACTTGAATCTTCCCAGATACACAGCAATGGAGAGGCTAATACAGCAGGCTACAGTTGTAAGACAATGTTTAAGTCAAGAAGCTGGCAAGGTAATGGGTGTAGGTTATGAAATTTAATATTTGATGCAAAGTTCTGTCTAACTTAGAAACCTTGATTGCTCAGCTCTTTTAGGACCAGTAAAAGAAGACTAAGCTACTATAGTATGCACAATTAGTGTTCAAGCTGATTCTTTCATTATCTTTTCAGGATGGGCCTCCACCATTTTCCTTAAAGGATTTTCTCAAAAGTTGATGGAGAGTCAATTGGGAAATGAAACACGGTTACCTTAGGCCTTCTTGTCACATATTGGATTGGTGTGTATGGTTTCATCATAGGTGTAAAGTTTTTTAATGCCTTTTCATCTATAAATTATTTGTTGCCATGATATCTTGATCTTTTTGGTCTTGCTGCACTTTTAGTAATCCATGATTGTCCATGGCAAAAAATGCAATTGGTACCGGATTGAGATGATTCTTCCTGTCTGGGGCAGTTAGTTGACCTCGTTCATGGCTTAATTTCAACGTCCATAATTTCGACTACTTAAGTTATTTCAACCCATTACAAGTTTGAGCAGACAAAATTAGTTATCATAATTCCCTAAATTTAGATGATTTTCAATCCATTGAGATTCAGCTGCTTTTAATATTTGATGTTAAATGCTTTTGATTACGTGTATGTGGATATGAGTACGAGGATTGAATACTATGTGTTGCTGTAATATCTTTTCTCCGGGTTTGGAAGTATACTTTTTGGTACATGTATCAAAATGTTGGGTGTGTACAAATGACATGTCTGGATTAAATTTCTACGCAGAATTGTATGAATTTTTAATTTTATTTTAGGAACACTCATTATTTGGGTGTGAGAGCCTATCGATATTCTTTAATAATACACAATAATACTTTCAGTGTCACATTATTTTTCTAATTCCAGAAGACAATTTTCCTCAGAACACCAATCAATTTAAAATGGTAGCTCAACGCTTTGCCCACCGCTTCTAATCTGTCACTTAAACTATGAATTATATTACGAATATGGTTTGCTGTCAATATTGTGCATGCAATGAGAATTTGGTGTCACAATTGCATCATCGACACAACTTCGTGCGTTCTTATGTCAGATTTAGTTTAATAGTAAAAGAAGCTACAGTATGCAATTTAATGAAACAACTTACATCCGATATTTTAATGCATCTATGAATTGTTAAATGAATACATGTAAATTTTAATTCTGGTTGAAAGGCTTTTTTTACCTTGTTAAGCACGATTTTTATCATAATTTTCTATGAAAGTCAAATTTATGTACAGACAATTGTGTACAGACAATAGTGTAATATTTTATATTATTAATATATAAATGAGTTTTTTTTTTCTAATTTTCAATATTTTATTCTTACGCAGGAGAATGTGTATCATGCCGAAGAGACTCTTTCTTAAGAACTGGAAAATTCTCTTATATTAAATTCGAATGTCAAACGTTGTGCTCCCAAACGTAGGTGATCCTTATCCCATATTATTTGACTTGTGTAGTTTTTGGGGTTTGGACGACGGCAAGAATAGAATATTTGAAAATTTTAATGTAAAATAATCTGTCTTCCGAGTTTGTTAGTGTGATCGTAACATTTTCCTTTAATGGATTCACATCTCAAAAATGAAACTTTGTTATTGCCATACTTACCATTCGTGGGTGGAATTGCTTTTTTTTTTTTTTTTTTTTTTTTTAAAATTATTTATTTATTGTTTCGTATGTATAATCATGTTCAATAATTATAGTTGAGATAAATCATGATTTCAATAATTACATTGATTTTTTTATATTTAGAAATGAACTTCAATACAATAACACATGTATGATAACTCTAATTATAAACCACAATCTAAATATGGTATTGCTTTTTACATTCCGCTCAGTTTTAGGATTTTTTTTTCTATATTTTTTAAAACCCTTAAATTTTGACCAAAAATGCCAAATAATTTTTTTTATTTTCTTAATCATCTTCTATTATCTTATCCCAAGTTTTTCAAATGAATCTCTTAGCAGAGTATATTTTAAAAAATAAAAACATTTTCATACGTATTTTCCAGCTAGAAAAAAAAAGAAAAAAAATCATTTTCATTATAAACTTAATTTAAAATTATATGATAAATTAATTTTAAATTTTTATTTTATATTAATCTCTCCCAAATCGTAATTCATATATATATATATATATATATATATATATATATATAAATAATAACTTATAACAACTGATTTAATTCTTCTCTTTAGAAAGTACTTATAGGAAAAACTTCTTCCATTATTTTAAGAATTATTACAAAAAGTGACTATGATGTCTACATAGTCGATATTGATTATGATTTTGTTTAGACAAATTTTAACCATTTTTAAGAAAGAAGCATAAGAAGTATGATAAAATGATTTCTCCATGGAGTGAACGTATAGATTAATATGTAGAAATTTGTTTAATATGATTTAAAAAAAATGCTTTTAAGTATGTGTAAACAAGTAACTTATGTAGAATTTTTTTTTTTCATTTTTTTTTCTTAGAAATGTTGAAATAAATAGATCATATATATTTTTACTTTAGTATTGGTTTTAGTTCTGTATATTTAAAAGACACGGTCACGATGAAACCTGAATTGGATAGAGCATGGAGAGTGTGTGGAGGTAGTTGTGTTGTACATTTCATGCGAAGTCAATAGCAGTAGCTGCGATCAAGACTGAGAGTGATCAGAAGAAGAAAACAATGTTGTTCACAAAAAGAAGTGGTAGTCATGTATTTTAAATATATACTCAATATTTATTATTATTTTTATTTTCTGACTTTTATTCTAATTTTTCGTTATTATTAATGTTATATATTTTTAAAACAATTTTTTTAAATATAATTATTGAACAAACTTGTATCTTATTTATTATTTTTTTAATTTAAAATTAAATTAAATCAAATAACACAATATATTTTTAGAAATTATTTATGTAAAATCTTCGTATAATATATCATGAAAAAATTATCATAATATATTAAATACATTTTATTGAAATTGGTTATGAAACATCTTATATATGAAATTAAAATTTTTTATTTCAAATTTTCAGTTTTTTTTTATGGTACTTAACTAAGATTTTGTCTTTATTTTACATAATGTTTATTTTAAGTTGTTGAAAAATGAAACATTTACTGTCTGATAAAGGCTATCAAAGGTCCTCCAGCCTCTAGACTCAAACTAGAGTTTCATTTATATATATCATGATGAAATATTACATGATCAGACAAACAATGGTCTAAAACCTTAAATATGTTAAATTATTTCTTAACATAAAAAAAATAATTATAATTATCTTTATACTAACAATTTCAAATTGAAAAATATCATAATTATATTAATACATGTTCATATAACAAATACATGCATGGATAAATACTGATTAAAAAAAATGAAGTTTTGAATGTTTTAGTTATTAAAAATTGAAAAGAATCGTATCAAATTTGTATCCAAAATTTTTAATTTATTTTTATATTTAACTACTATTGTATTTTTTTTTAATTTTATCAAGCTATAAAGTTATTTTAAATATTTTAATTGTTATGTTATGAATATTAACGTATTTTGTTTATTTTTTAATTAGTGTCATAGGTAAGGGTTGTTGATTTTTTTTAGTTTTAATTGACCGATTTATTTAAATAAATAAAAATAATATATTTATAATATTATTAAAATTTATTGTAATATACATTATAGTCATATATTTATATATTTTTGAAATTATATAACATGTTGATATATAAAAAAATATTAAAAATAAATTTATATCTTATATAATGATTATTTGTCATATTATATTATATTTAAATAATTATATTTAATATATTATATAAAAATTATAATAATTAAATTATATAAATAAATAATACAATAATATTTGTTGATATTTTAAAGATTTGAGAATGAAACAAATTTTATAATAAATTATTCTGCAATTCAGACTGATTCTTAAAATGAAGAACTCAGGACCATCTATATGTTTTTTATTATAATAAAAAATAAGATTATCCTGACACGAGACGAGATATTATGACTGTGATAACGACAAAGGTCGAGGAAAATCCGAAGTAAAATGGGGCGTTTTGTCACGTGTCTGAATGCACAGTACGCATGTCTTTCTAGAAATAAACAGCGATCTACGTGTTTCAAGAAATGGATGTCATTTTACGTGTTTGAGATGTGTGTCGAAATTAAAATCAATCACGTGTTTACATCACCGTTTGCCTACGTGTCAACACCTACTCATCTCAGAAATCAATGAAGGCAGACCCACTTTTTAAAAATCATTCATTTTGATTCCTACATAACAAATTTTAAATTTTTAATTAAAAAAAAGAATCTTTAAATTCTATAACTTAATATAACATTAATCGTTGCAAAGTGTAACTTTGTGTTAAATTGATTTTTAAATATTTCATCTTAATTTTAAAATAAACTTAAAAATTAACAACTATTTAGAATTTGGGGGATTTCAAAATGAATTTTTTTTCCTTCATTGCCATTGACCTTACTATTTCTGTTAGTACTGTCTGTGGTTATTGTGAATTGACGATGCTAAGTTGAACGTGTCCAACGTAGACAAAGCCTTGAAAGATTGCATCATGATGTGTGAGAGTTCCAACTCATGCTCCTGAATATTATAATACTTGCTAACTTTAGTCGAATTTGTGTCCTTGTATCATGTCTAACACTAAAAAAAAAAAAAAAAAGAATAAAAAGTTTTGTTTGTTGTGAAATGGTGAAGGTCATGGCTCAGCCTAGATTATATAATTTGTGCTTAAAAATATAATTATTAAAAATGATTTATTTTGAAGTTTATTTTGTTTTAAAACATAATTATTAATACTTTAAAGTGATTTTTATTTTTTTTTGTTTATCTATCTTTTATAAGCAATTCTCTAAAATTGCTTTAAAAAAACTATATTTTTATATATAAAAATTCTAATAATTTTTTATTAAAAAAACATTTTGTTTTTCTAATCTCTTTGTGGCTTCTCTCTTTCTTTCTGTACTCTCTTTTCCAACCTTTTTTTAAGAGTTACATTTGTATGAAAATGAAAAAAATTATGAACAAGGTTAATAGAACATTGTTATCTATGTTTATTTATATATTTTATATTATTTCTGACGTGTGTTTCATCTTTGTCATATAAAAAATAGTACATTAGTGCAGTTATTCATTATTATTTTAGGGTAAAGAATTAAAGAAAAAAAATACTTTTTTTAATTTTCTCCTGGCAAATACAAAGGAAATGTTAAATGCTATTTTTGGGTGAATTGAATGCGAATTACTATAGGTTTGAGTATTATTGTTGTGTCTTTCCACACTGATCAGGAATTTCTTTTTGAATAATTATAACTTATATACCTTTCTTACAATATTCGTATATACTAAATGAAGAAAAGAGTTAATCTATTCTACGTTTTTAATTAATTAAACATAATGATAACTTGTTATACTTATTTTATAAAGTACTGTGAGAATTAATTAAAAAAAATAGTAGAAGATTTTTGTTTCTTATGTCTAGATTTATCTGGTTATCATAGAACTTATGCAAAGAAATAAAAAAAAGGATTCACTATTCTAAGTACTTTTCTGAATAAAAAACTCATTCAAGAAAAAAGAAGATAGATTTGACAACAGATACCACTGCAAAGTAGTGCTTCTTGCTTTTTCTTTTTTCTTTTTCTTTTAATAATGGCTGCACTTGAATATTTCCACTGCTGTCTTCACTGCAAAGTCAATTGTAATTTTTTATTGAATGGTTATAACTATACTTAGAGCTACTTTAAAGAAAAATATAATCAATAAAAACTTACAAAAATAATATATTAACAATATAAATTGAATCAATTCATGAATATATTTGGATTCGTAAACACTTTTAAAAGTACGAAAAAAAATCAATTGTTTTATAAATAAAAATTATATATTAATATACAAAATAAAAAATTAATTGTATGTAGTTTATAAATAAATAAATCAATTTCATATATTTTTTTTATTTCTTTCTTCTAACAGCGTTTACGAGGAGATTTCTTTAATTAAAATCCACGTTATTTAACTTCTTCTAATGTTGTGCACATCTTGGTTCTATCATGGTAACAAATTGATTTATTTTAACTCTATAGTTCTTTTTTATTCTTGTTTTTTTTTTAATAAATGTTCAGTGAAAAGATAATATCCAAATTACACATTTATTCTTTAAATTATACTTTCCTAATTTTTGGGGTTATTATGTTAGAAAAGATATGTTAGTAAGTAATGACCTAGTGACCTTCACAGTCTTCTGTGTGAAATTAAATGCGATCGATTGAATTTAATGTTTGGAGCAGTGATAAAAAATTGTCCAAAATTTCTAATCATGAGCAACTTTCTCTCTCACTCTGTCCCGAATAAATGAGAAAAGAAAATGTGGAAACAAATATTATGAACTTTAACAACTTCTGCAATATTGGTAGGGACAGTTTGGTGCCGTTGTATATTAGCTAGCATGCAGGCTTGATATAGTATTATTTGTAAGATGAAACATTGTCCTTGTAGATTGTCACAGGCTTTTTTCTTGGTCAACTCCGGGGAAATAGTTTGTTTCGATTTGATCCTACGAAACGTTGCTGACTTTGATCCAGAGTACCTGTAACAGTTAATGGTTTAGAATACAATAGACCTCTTATAAGCCTTGGAACTTTGTTTTGTTCTAAATTACTTGGGTTTTGAATATTGCAGGCACTTGCAATAGCATTGATAGATCCGCATGATGAGATATTGAGATGCTTTCTGTATGACCTACCAGAATCAAAATTATTTTGGCTAGAGAAAATTGGAACTTAAGAAATGTAAAACAGTTTGAATGGACAAGTACACTGCTACAAATTAATTAGGTGATGAAGAGAACGTTTAGGGGTTGTAGTTTTGAAAGCTTCGATTTGAACGAAGGAGAAACGTTGCAGCTCATAATGACTCTCTACCATCCCCATTTGCTTCTGCTATTTAGATGCTATTGTCCACCTTCTTATTGAATTTCCTTTCTGGTTATTCATTGAATTTGAAGTGATGCATAATGAAGTGTGACACAAATTATGACATGCACCCCAACTGTACATAAAAATCTCGAATCCCGCAATTCATTTTGAAGTAAGCATTAAAGACTGCTTATCTCTCGGTCTGTGTTACTCCTTATCTAGTCTTCCATCCACCGCTAGCTTTGTTGTTAATGCAATGGGGCAAAATATATTCCATAACACTAACGGTCCTCTTTTATGATGACAACCACCTAGTTGAGTTCTTCAATACCATATTTGCTATATTTACGCATCTCATAGAGTGTCACCAAACGACAAAAAAGGCAAGTTCACTACCTAGTACTAATAGTGCTACATAGGAGTATGAACATGTGCAATTATAATCAAGGGGGTGCGCAATGGCATTGTGGATCAATTTCTGTAAACTCTTATCTGTGTCCCATTTGCTACGTGTGGTTGCACAGTCCATTGAATCTCTTTCACTATTCACTGATTTCCAAGTCCTTTCCTTAGCATGAAACACAAACACCTGGGATTGTTTTCATTACACGTCTGAATGCATCGTTGCTAATTTTCATGTGCGCAGTTTTGGAACCCCCGCAAGCACTTATCTTCAACCGTTTCATTCCAATATGACACCGATCCCACACAATGGTAAGTGACTTATCCGAATCCGAATTATCTATACAAGCCATAAAATCCCATTATCCATGAAACCGCATCTTCTCACCCACAGAGCTTTAATTCTATTTTTTTTATTGTTTTTTCATTCTTCATCCATCCTATCCATCACAAAAGTTCCTTCACAAATAAAAAATACTAAAAGAAAGTATAAATCGAGAAAGAATTTTAATTTATTTGGTGCTGTTTGCCACGTGATCATGAGATTGTAGTATGCTAGTAAAAGAGAAGGCCAAGTGTGTATAAGAGAAATCAACATTGAGGCTCATCCTGGACACGGTCTTTCTAGCTCACATTGCCAAGTAGCATCATGGCCCCACCATGGGGCCACGTTTCATCTACTTAATCTTGGACATAGTATTTACTCTCTTGTTCTTGCAATATAAATAGCTCCATCAACCTCACATCCTCTTCAAGCCCTTGAGCTTATCTCTACTTTTGTATGTCCCTCATCATCTCAATCCTCCAAAGCCTAATATACCCACAATGCTAAAATCAGGCATGGAAATTGAGGAGAAAAAACAGGTGAAAAGAACAGCACAGGCCAGCTCCCGGAAGGGATGCATGAGAGGCAAAGGAGGTCCTGAAAATGCCAGTTGCACCTACAAAGGTGTGAGACAGAGAACCTGGGGAAAATGGGTTGCTGAAATCCGTGAACCCAACCGAGGTGCAAGACTCTGGCTCGGGACATTTGAAACCTCTCATGATGCTGCTTTGGCTTATGATGCTGCAGCACGCAAGCTTTATGGCCCTGATGCCAAACTCAATTTACCAGACCTCTCTCTGTCCTCAATAAAATCATCTCAATCACAATCTCAGTGTCCACCACCACCTCCTGATACCAGCACTCAAATTCCTCACACGGAGAACCTGCAACAGCCTCAAATGCAAAACAAAATAGACATGACAACTTCTTCTAATTTCAATTTTAATCCTGCAGTCTCCATGGCCTCTCAGGAAGTTGGAATTACTCCAATTTACACCAGTGACTGCATTGTGTCTCTTCCCATGGACACCAATCCTAAACCAATTGAAACTTACACAAAACCTGTGGAGATCGAGGGAGAGTTTTGTCCATCTTGGGACACAATGAATGAGGGTTTACCTGTTTTTGATGATTCTATCTGGGCTGAAGCTGCTATGTCTCTAGATTTTTCTCTAATTCCAGAAGAGACTGAGATTTACACACAGGAGAACAACTTGGCAGATGTGAATACGTGGGACCCTCAAACTCCATGGTGCATGTAATACATTTTGAGTCACAACTCATAAAGGCAAGGACAAGGACAAGTGACTACTACACCTTACAGTAGTTCTTGTTCTTGACTCCTCTCTGGTGTTTTCTATATATATATATATAGTGTATAAAGGGTCAAGACATATATGTTATAGCTAATTAGTAATAAGATATAATACATATAGTGTATGTACTTTGAGTGTACGAATGACCATGACCGTGTTTTCGGCTTCAGTTTGCACATGTATGGTTTTTCGGCTATATAGTAATATTATATGTAAATATTAATAGTGTTAGGACGGTGGCCGTGCCCTATCGTCCTGATTTCACATGTAGGTTTTGTGCCCAATTGTCTGTATTTCGGTCAGTGTGTCTTTTGTTGCCTATATAATCGGATTTCAATAAGTGTAGGTTTTCTTTGCCATGGTCTCATATTTTCTGGTGTAGGTAAGTGGTCTTTATATCGATTTCGTGATTTTGGTGTCCATGTCCAGGTCGTAATTTTCTATAACGAGGGATTTCTTTCGTTTTTCTATAATCAGGGATTTCTTTCGTAATTTTCTATCATCAATAACATGTAGGTTTTCCTGATTTCGTCATCATCAGGATTTCTAGGATTTCTTTTCGTAATTTTCTATCACCATGTAGGTTTTCGTGATTTTGGTGTCCGGACGTCGTAATTCCCTATCATCAGGGATCACTCGGATTTCTTTGGTTATATCCTGTCGTAATTTTCTATCATCAATCAGCATGTAGGTTTTGTGTCCGGTTTCTGGTTTTGTGTGCATTGTGTATCCGGTTTTGTATCTGGTTTCTGGTTTTGTGTGTTTATGTATAATCCGGATATGATAACAAATCCGATTTTTATCAAATAGTATCTGGTGTGTCTCGTGGTGTCTTTTATCATAAAAGTCTCATCGTGCTTGTTTAGGTTCTGTGCAGTTTTGTGCAATGTGATATTATGTATGTAAGCAGCATATACTTGTACCTCAAAAAGTACTATGTCAATAGGTCTTGTTGCTTTTGTGCAGCGGATGAGATATATGTAAACAGTAGGTTGAGTTTTGTGTAGCTTTGAGAGTTGTATGTCAATTAGTACTAATAAGTGATGTTGGTTCTATGTAAAGTGAGTTTGTGATTTATATGTCAATAAGTATGTAAGTAGTGAGATATGTAAGTAAGCAGCTTATGATTTGTATGTCAACAGCTACATACTATCTGCATAAATAAAACGTGTTATGTTAGTTTATGTTTACTCCCTATCTTTAAAAGTTTATTAGAAGAACCCATTTTAAATTTCTCATGTATGATTTGAAATTTAACCAATCCATGTGACGTTGTGAAAGATTTCACTACCAAGCATTAGGTTTATCTTTGAGGATTCTATTTTCCTGTGAAAGATTCTTACCTCTTAACACCAAAACTCACTACTTATTTATTTCTTGAATCCACCTGAGATAACAGACTCAATTGTTAACTGTAAATTTTTTTTTTCTCCGAACAAAAGATATCAATATAGTCTTATTGTAATCTTGTAAAACCAAATCACAGTTTGCCTTAAACACTACTTGAATAGGCTTTGTGAAAATATTACAATCCCTCTCTGTTTAATTGTTCAATCCCTCCACAAGTAAGAAAATGAAACATTTTATTTGCAGCTTCTTTAGGAAAAGAATATTACTTTTTTTGGAAGTTAATATTGGTCAGCTTCTTTAGGAAAAGAATATAAAGTTTTTTGGAAGTTAATATTTGTCAGAGTGTGTTATTTCTTAAAAGAAAAAATTATATTTTTACTTTGATATTATCATTGTTCTTATACTTTAATATATGCTGATGGGTTCAAGCTATGATCGAATTCAACTCTAATTGATTTCAATTAAATAATAAAGTTACGGATTGGACTAAAAACAAAGAAAAGATTATTGTAAATTTTATTTGTACCGAAATTAGTCACTTTTTACGTAAATTATAAACTTTTTACTTACAGTTTTTACGTAAATTATAACTTTAGTAGTGAATAGATTATTTTAGCTTTTTTTAACCAAAAGTCGTATACATATATCCCACTTCTTCATAACTCATCATATTTTTTTTAATTATATTTAAACACACGGTTTTAGAAAGATTTTTTTTATTGAAGTTGTTGTTGATTTTTTTAGTATTGAAGTTATCAATTAATTGAAAACTCTAGATAATTTTTTTATACCAAAGTCAGACTTTAGTTCATATATTTTAAATTAATTTTTTCTTTTTTATTCAGTAAAATTTTTAAATATATTAAATTATTGAAAATAAAATATTAATAAGTTAAGGAAAAACATTCTAAATATTCATTTGTTATGGAGGAATATGTTTTAAATAAGAAAAAAATGTTTATATTGTTGGAATAAAAATCATCACTGTGATTTCCATAATGAAAATGTAAAATTTTATTTTTTTATATAATATGTACATATTTTTCTCATATATATTTTTTTAAACAATTTAATATATTTAAAAATGATTTAATATTAAAGATATTTAAATAATAATTAATTTTTTATTTTATTGATTTTTTAAATATTAAATAAAAATTTAGAAATAAAATTTATTTTAAAAATATATAAAATAAAATTGTCAATAAAAATATTAAATTAAAATCTTCTACTAGAAAAATGGTTAATAATGACTGAAATTAGTGAACAAAAAATTCAATCACCGATAGTAACTGATTTCTCTCTTTACATTTAATGACTCGATTTAGTGACTAAAATTTCAGATCATGAAAGTCTGGTCACTGATTCGATCACTACTAGAAAAATGGTTAATAATGACCGAAAAATTCAATTACTAATAATAACTGAATCAGTGACTCATTTTTCTTTTTATATTTAGTGACTCGATTTAGTAACTAAAATTTCAGATCACAAAACAAATAATCTTTAAATTGGTGATTATTTTTCATTTATATAAATATTTTTTAAAAATATTTTAATAATATATTAAGTATAAATCTACTTAATAACTTAAAATAATTGATAATATTTTTAATAACATTATAAAAATTTTAAAAAATAGTTTACTAACTTATTAAATAATTTAGTAATATAATTATTTGATTTTATTTTTAAATTTAGTATGTTAATAAAAAAATTAAAATTGATTATTAGATTAGTCACCAAATCGGTTATTGAATCAATCATTAAATTAATTATTAATTTAGTCTTATATATATATATATATATATATATATATATATATATATATATATATATATATATGAAAACAATAAGGGGGAGATTGATGGTAATGTGAAATATGTTTATACATTCCTAAGAGATGATTTTGATGATGATTCAAATCAACAACATTCAATAATCAAGCAAACCAAGATATGATTTTGGTAAAGATTTAATTCAACATTCAAGCAAGTCCAAGATGATTCTTGAAAACTAGATAAAGTCTTAGAATACCTGGATATGGAGGTACAAATTGATGAAGTAATATTATGCATAAGCCTCCAAGGCACAAGTGTAATAAAATTTCGTAACATGACATTTTTCACTGTCATAATTGATTATGATTCATCAGAATTGAGAAATTGATTTTTACCTCGACATAATCGATTATGCTGAGGAGATAATCGATTATGACAGATTCAAATTCAAAAATATATATGTTTTGAAAAATAAATATTTTTTAATATATCTTGATTTTTATCCATGAAATTATTAAAGACCAATGACCATTTTCTGATGTTATTTTTTTATTTAATTAAGTTTTGATGAAAAATAAAAAACACACAATTACAAAATTCGAAAATACAATTTACATTCAATCAGTTTTGATAAAAGAATAATATTCTTCTCCATTGTCAAAGAGATATTTTACCAAAATCCCTTTCTTCATTGTCTACTGTGCTTTCATTGTTAATCACACTTGTTCTTGGAGGTTGACATTCTACATGCTTCTACAATTTGTTGTCTCCATTACCCAAGTGTGGCTGTTCTTATTTTATTACCTTCATCCTTTGTGGGCTTAAGTGATTGATTGTTAAATTCCTTGTTTAGGGTTTAAGTAGTCACTGTCATTTTGTTGTGTTTTTTTTAGGGTTTTCTATGTGAAAAATTTTCATCCCTTTGATTTGTTCAGGGAGGTGTTTTCATCCTTTGATTTGTTTTCAGATTAGGTGTTTATCCTTAGTGAGATTCTAGGGAGGTGTTCATCCTTAGTGAGATTCTAAGGAGGTGTTTTCATCCTTTGATTTGTTCAGAGGAGGTGTTCATCCCTAGTGGGATTCTAGGGAGGTGTTCATCCTTAGTGAGTTTCTAAGAAGGTGATTGTCTTTTTAATTAGTTTGTTTTTTGCTGAGTTGATTGTAATTTGTAAACTGAATTTAAAAGATAGTGAATTGCGATCACTTTTGTGTTAAGAGTTGACTGGGAACTGGATACAAGGTTGATTATACTCAAACCAGTATAAATCAATGTGTGCTCTTCTCTTTCCCTTATCCTTTTTCACCGTATTTCTCTATCTTGTTGATATTTTATCTCTCTGATTATATCACTTCCGCTTTATCTTTGTTCAATTTGATAATTAAAATTGAATTAATAAATATTGGACATCTTAAAATACATTTTTAATTTGACATATATTTTAATTTGTGCATATATTCACCCCCCTCTAGATGTCATTTGTCTAACAAGTGATATCAGAGCTTGATTAGATAAGATATTTCTAAATGAACTGCCAAGATGTCTATGCAAAATCAAGTTTAAAGAGAAAGAGCCTCAATAAACAGACCACCATTATTTGAAGGAGAATACTATCAGTTTTGGAAGGCGAGAATGAAAATATTTTTACAAACACTAGATTACGGTGTTTGGGATGTTGTACTCAACTTTCCCTACATTCCGATGAGAACAACGGAGTCTAGAGTTGTTCCAAAGACTTTTGACCAATGGACGCCAGATGAAAACAAACATGCCCAATATGATGTAAGAGCCCAAAATACTATTGTTTCTGCCTTAAC